GGGGGGGGAAGGGAGGCCGGGGAAGAGTAGATGTCCATCAGCTTGAAGAACAGCCGAGAAAAGATGACATGCACCACTGCAACAGCGAAAGCGGCAAGGTCAATTGATTGCACGCACTCACGTGATCCAAAAATCCGATGCCAGTCTTGACACTGATGGTCTGCGGTGCAGCTTGAGGATGCACATCCAGGCTCAGCGTGCACTTGATCTTCGTCTCGTTGGTGATGCGCTCCACGGATGCCGTTCGCACGGGCAATGTGCCAGCGCCGTTCGCAGTCGCAGCCATGAGGAAGAAGAGGCAGACGTTGGAGGGCTTGGCGGAAGATCCTGTAAATTTGAACCAAGACTGCGGCGATGAAGAGTATTGGCGAGGGGAGCGATGTATGAAAGCGGTCGGGATGATGGATGCGTCTCAAACGGTCGTGTGAGGTGGGATGAAGAATCGTGAGTGTTAACAGTCACAGTCAAGAGTTCAATCGCACCATCAGGAACTCATGCAGCAACGCGCGACTCGAAACGGGCGTTCGGAGCTGTAATACAAATCATAATCTTAGTGATGGTGATAAGGATAATGATAATCTTCGATGATATTCATAGTTGAGATGATAATGATGCTAATTTTCAATTACCGGAATTATCAATCAGAATGACAACATGTAGAAGAGTATTTGATGCGCCCGCCTGGAAGAATCAGACCTTTGAATCAAGCGGCAGGCGTGGGCTCGATCACGTGGGTAACGCAATCACGAGTGTCGGTTGCGAGTCAAAAAGTTGCTGCCAAAATTTGCACGCTGCGCCACGCAGTGCGATTGATCGAGGTTTAAGAAGGCAAGCCTGGCAGAGCAGCGACTTTGCTTTGTCTCTTCGAACAAAAATCCACGAAGGTGAGTGGATCGCAAGGTGGACTTTGGCGAGACTTGGCACACCACGCGTGTTTGAATAAGCAGTCTGAGTCCACAGCGCCATTTCGACTGCTATCAGCTGACCAGATCCCTCGCTCTCCTCTCCTCTTCCCTGCTCGTCCCAAAGACACAAAAGTTCGAGCTTGGCGGCGCTCCCATTGAGGATGACGCGAGTGCCTTGTTCGCGTTCCCGTCTTCAAGAGCAAAGTCTCTTTCATTCAAGAGAGAGAGCTTGACGTTGGGTCCCTCGTGGTCCAACGTAGTGGCCCTTGCGCTTGCACTGAGCTCGTCATCCACGCTTCAACTCGCTGCGATTACCGCTGTGCAAAACGAGACCGCCTTTTCATGGCAAGAGATGTGAGCGCGCATTCTTCTTCGGAGATGCTTGCGCTCCGTCCATGACCGGCCGAGGTGGGAGACGGTACGCAGCGAGGTGGATGATGGGCAGGGCGTAGGGCCTACAGCGATTCGAGGTTTGGGCAGCACGGCTGCGTGTGGCTTGGGCACAGGTGTCAGGCCAACGGCAAGATTTCCTTGCTCCTCGCGCATTCCTTTGGACATTCATGAAGTGAGTGCAAGTGTGTTCGCTGTGTCACGAACGCAGAGTATGCCAGTGCTGCAAAGCTACAAAGATGAGAATCAGTGTCGCCCCAATCTGCAATGTACCTTGAAGATTCGACGAACATTAGCCAAACACATTTTACAATTCTGAGCAAGCTAGCAAGCCAAGCAAGCACGATGGCGCAAGGTCGTGTCCAACATCGTCAGCGCAGGAAGTTGCTGACGCTGAAACGTCGCCTCTTTCATTCGCGGCGCAGGTGTCGACCCGCCAGTCTGTGCTTCCATCGTCGTGAGTTCATGCAAGCTCTGCATCGCTCGCAGCCGGCGATGAAACAATACCATTTCAACTAGTCTGATCGTGACACATGCGGAGAAGACGTTTATATCCAATTGCTGTTACTGAGGCTCAATGTCGGCCACAGCGTGGGCTGCTTCATCGTGCGCTCACCGCCAATGCTGACATGCTTTGCACTGGGACTCGCAGCCTCTTCCCAGGCTGCAAGATTCGCTGCGCTCCGGTCACCGAGGACAGCTGTGAGTGTTCAGAGCGCTGCATGTATGCGTCTCCCGGATGAAATCATATCAAAAAGCTCTAGATTTACCCTGAGCTCTTCAAGAGCGTTGAAGAGCAAATTGTAACAAGCGCTTCAAGCGCTTGCTGATCGAGACTCTGTGCCGTGATTGTTCTCTGCTTCCTTGCTGCGACGCATTCGCTGACCTCGATGCGCTTGCTTCGGAATTCAGCGCCGAGGCATTGGATTGCCCACTGCACTGCATCAGTGAGTGAATCAGGCCGCTGCAGCGTGGTGCTGACTATGGTGGAGCGTTTCGCTTCAATGAATGAGATTACACATGAGAAACCCGGCTATGAATGTGCGTGCAGGGAGAGGATCGGAACTGAAGTGTGTTGTGACCGATGGGACAGCTGGGACAGCTGGCCTTGGCACTAAGCTTCCTCTCGTCGCTTCTTTCGCCATTTGACCAGACCAGGTTGCTGATTGTCTTTGAGCTGAGTGGCGCGAGGGAAGCGAATGAGCGCTTAGACAGGCCATATCAGAGATCAGAAAGGTCAAGGCACTCACAGCACCTTCCTCGGCTAGCTCCTTTGCTGGACGAGTCTCGCTGCGAGGCAAGAGCCAAAATCTGACTGTGAAACTGCAAAGCGGACGAGAAAGTCGCTGATGAGCGACGGCGAGGCAGAAGCCAGTCATCGTTCTGCGCACACGGACGACAGACTCACTCGAGCTTTTCGTATTCCTTCACCACGCTATCCAAGAGCTCCCACAGATCCCTGTCCGGGACGCTGTCCCCGGGCATGCCCATGTCGCTTCCTTCAGTCAAAGTCCAGCCGTTTCGACGCCAGGTCCAGATGCTATTTGGGCGAGGGGGCTCACAAGTCAGCGTAGGTGTCCGCCAGTAATCATGATCTGACCACTGCTACTCACTCATTGGTGATTGCAGAAACGATCCACCATTCGCTCGTGCCGATGACGACCTTGTCGAATCCTTCGTCTTCCCACCTGCAGTATTCCAAGCCAGCAATCACCGCTCTTAGAGCTGCTCTCCTTCCTGACGTCTTCTGCTCAAACGACGGCATCTCCAACCTCCGACTGAGGTTAGGCTCTGCGCGAGCTTCTCCCTCGCCTTTTGTGGCAGGCGGGACGAAATAAGCGCCAAGTCCCGCTCGGTTTTTGGCACCTTCGCTATCTCCAAACATTTTCAAGAGCTCTGCAGTGTCCCCCTCGAGCATGCTGGCGGCAACCGCCTTCGACCTAGCTGCCACCATCGTTGCGGCTTGCGCCTTGTCCAGCTCTAATCCGGCGCACAGTATGAGCATCTGAGTGGGATCCGTCCTTCTCACCAGCCTCAATGGTCTCCAAATCCTGGGGTCCGCCACAAATTCGTCTGCCACTCGGGGTTTCCTCCAACCAGCCTGGCTTGTCTGATCCATTTGCAATGCGGGCACTCGACCAGGTCCGCTACGTTCTTCGTACTCTGTGAATCCTCTAGCTTTCTCCTCTGCCGTGGGCTCGTCCATCACTCGATACGCGGACCTGCTCGTGTCCACCTTATTACTACCCACGATGGACCCTGGCACTCGGGTGCTTGTGATGGCCATATTGTCCCTAACCACGCGAGGAGCGAGGCCCGTGGATGTGGATTGAGCAGCCAGCTCTCGCGCAAATGTAGCCGTCTTTGAGGATGCTGCGCTACGTCCGGTGCCAATCGTCGCGCCGTCCGTGCCCGTTACGTCGCTGCTTCCCGCATCTAGAGGCTGGGGCAAATGCACTGCCGAAAAGTGTTCCTCCAGTGTAGGACTTCGCGGCGTCATATCTATTGAACGCATGTACTTTTTGGCGTCCGTTTCATTCTCTTTCGCTGCTTCTAGCAGCTCTGGTGGCCCTGCATTGCCATCAACTGAGGTCCAGGCGTCGCTCTTAGGCTTGCTCGAGGTTCTCTGCTCCAAATCAGCTTGAAAATTGTAAAATTGCCGTCCAGATCCATCGTCCATAAATGGCACAAAGAGGCGCTTCTGGGGATTATGAGGAGCTGTCTGGTCTGGAGCATACGAGACGCCACCTGGAACGTCCAACCTGATGTTCAAAGTCGGCTCCTTCTTTTCCTTTGGCTTGCTGTCACGAGGCTTGTCCTCCGTCGCCAGCTTCGGCGGAGGCTGACGCCCTTTGGTCCACAGCTCAAAGTAGCGCGGATCAGCAGCCATTCTGACTGCCTGATGGTCTTGGCTAGAGTGTATGCGTTAGCTCAAAGGGTGGCACAGCTTCGAGGTGGACTGGACTTGAAGAGGTGGTGGTCACCAAGACTATATACGTATCTCATGAGGGCCCGCCAAAGTGCGGCCGGCAATCATGGCCCGAGCTCCCTGGGCCTGGCGAGAGCCGCGTGCGAGGGGCTGTGCCAAGCGGAGCAACATCGGATTTCCACGGCCGTTTGAACCCGACAAACCGTCTCCTTGTCGAGTCCAACCACGTGCCAAGCACGTTTGCTTTGTGCGCTGCACATGCGCGGGCTGGCTGGCTGGCTGGCTGGCTGGCTGGTGCACCGACCACACAGAAAATTTCCTGCATGGAGGGGATTGCTGGTCAATTTAGTCGTGCTATTCTGGCCGCTCTGCTGCCTGCTCCGTGCTGTGTGCAGTGGCGCTGCTTCTGCTTCTGCTTCTGCGAGTGTTGCTGATGCTGATTTAGGTGGCGCCAAATCACGAATCACAATGAGATTTTGGGCGAAGATGAGCGAGCGAGCGATCAACAGCGCAGCGGCAGGCTTAGCTCGAGTCAGCCAGTCAGTCACGATCGTGAGTGTGTTGCAGCACCTTTGCTCCTCGCCCGCACCTCTCACACACCCACCCCCATCATCGTGACTGCAAAGTGACCCTCACGGCCCGCAAGCTATCAGATACAAGCTTCACCCAAGCAATCCGAACACGCAAACATGGCACCTATCGGTAAGATCTACTCTCGTTCCATCAACCCCAAGGCCACCCGTGTGAGTGGCAGAAGGGAGGGAACACGGCGATCTCCGCCCAAGAGTGGCTCAGCATGTAGAGCTGCAATCAGCTCACCGGCTGATTTCCCCCACCGCTTCGCCATCGCAACCAGGTACTCGCTGCTGCGAAGTACAACGGTCTGGAGGTCGAGCTGATCGAGACTGTGCCCGGAGAGGACACTCAGAAGCCCGAGTTCAAGGCAAAGTTCCCTTACGTGAGTATATTCACAGCGCTAAGACAGTCTTGCATAGATGTCAATTCATCTTTCTTCCGCACCTTTCTTCTTTGGCCTTTCTCGCATGATCCCATACTTCTTGTAGGGCAAGATGTAAGTGCTCGCGAAGGGTCTTCGCACAGGGCTTGATTTACAACCGCGTGCTCACACTCTGCCAACTTCCCTTTCCTCGTTCCCTCGTGCAGCCCCGCTTTCCTGGGCGAGGATGGCTACAAGCTGACCGAAGGTCGTGCCATCGCACGCTACGGTAAGTGACGATGCAACGTCTCGGTGCTGCAGTCAGGGTGATAGCGGCGCCCCCGCGCTCTGGTCGTAGCGGGAGGAATGGGAGAAGACGGAGGAGCTGGCTGGCATAAATACGGGCCTGGTCAAGAAATCCTAAAAGATGAGCAACAAGTTATCCCTGGCCTAATCAACATGTGTCGAGGCTTTCTTTTGGTAGCATAATGCGCTGATAGGATGATGGTGCAAACGGGGCAGATGATGGCAGGTCGCAATTTGTACTTCAGACGAGACAGCTGACGCGTGTCTTCCTCGGTGCGGTCTCTGCAAAATTCAGTCGCTGGCTTGTCGAGCAACGCCAATCTGCTGGGCTCAGATCCCAAGTCTTCCGCCGAGGTTGAGCAGTGGATCTCCTACGCAGACGACGAGATTTGGAACAAGACGCTACTGCTCGCACAAATCACCTCTGGCCGCGCTCCCTACAGCAAGCCCCTCGAGACCAAGCTGTGGGACGACCTCAAGCGCGCCCTGCTCCACCTAGACATCCACATCAAGAAGCACACATACCTCGTCGGACACCGTGTCACCCTGGCTGACTTGACCATCGTTGCCAACTTGCGCTTCCTGTTCACCATCGTTGCTGGCCCCGACTTCCGCAACCAGTACCCCAACGTCATCCGATACTTCCAAACTGTGATCAACCAGGACAAGATTGCAGACGTGTACGCCGCACCAGACTCTGCTCTCGCAAAGGAGGATGTGAAATTCGTCCCTCCCAAGAAGGAGGCTGCCAAGCCTGTCGCTGCCGCTGCTGCCGCTGCCAAGCCTGCGGAGCCCAAGGCAGCCAAGAAGGCAGCCAAGAAGGACGATGACGATGACGATGAGCCTGCTGCGCCCGCTGAGCCAAAGGCTGCTCACCCTTGCGCCAGCTTGCCACCTTCCAAGTTCATCCTGGACGAGTGCAAGCGTCAATATTCGAACCTCGACACCAAGCCCGATTTCTTGAACTGGTTCTACGCCAACTACGATGCGGAGGGCTACTCTTTGTGGCGTGTCGACTTCAAGTACAACGACGAGTTGACTCAGGTGTTCATGTCTGGTGAGCTCTTTGCACCTCCATAGCTATGCGGCAGCCCGCTGGATACTCACGCCCACTTTTGGCCGGTCCTTAATGTCTCCAGCTAACCAGATTGGTGGCTTCTTCACTCGTCTGGAGGCATCGCGCAAGTACGTGATGGGTAGCGCTGCGGTGTACGGAGAGTCCAACAACAGCGCCATTGCTGGTGTCTTTGTCGTCCGAGGCAAGAACGTGGACGACGTTCTCGGCGTTGCGCCAGACTGGGAGTCCTACAAGGCCTCTCCCATTGACCTGCAGGATCCCAAGCAAAAGCAATTCTTCGAGGACTGCCTTGCGTGGGAGGGTCAGCTCGAGGATGGCAAGAAGCTCAACGACTCGGCTGCCAAGTGAGTCTTGAGCACACTTCATTTCTGCGAAAGAGCGTGGAGGTCACTGATGTTCCTCGTCTACTTACAGGTTCATGAAGTAAGCACCATTGCTTCGTTCGGTCGCTGATGTGCGCTGTGACATGAGACACCAGTTCGCCGTGTAGAGCGCTCTCTTGTTCAAACCAAAATTGCAAATGCATTCGTGATGCTGTACAACGGAGTCGGCCATGTGCGGAAGAACGCGAGCGGGGTGACGTTACAACGCATATATTGCGACGTTTGACTAGATCGATGGCTTGGACTCGAGTGAATGATGGGACCTCGCTCGCAACCTTTGGCCGCCATTGTGTCATCAACAATATGGACGCAAAAAGAGCAAGGGGGATGCGCAACCTCGATGGACAGGATCATTGATCAGACTCAACCGCAAGCCCTAGGCCCATGAACTGACTAGTACAGGTACAGGTGAAGGCTGCCTCTTCTATTGCTCTCAGCGAGCGCGTTGTGCACAAATCTTTGAGCTGCACCCGTACAGTCAAGAGTACCGCAAGCACCGACTGCTCTTGTCAGACACAAAGAGCCAGGCGCTGACGCAAGGGGCGTTCGAGTTGCGAAGCTGCAGCCGGCAGACGCTTATATAGCGATGAGCATCAGCTATATAGGGCGCCTCCGGCTGTGCTGATGACTGCGGTGAGCAGCATAGACGCAGAGCACTCTCTAAACACGAGTTGCGATGTGCGATTGACATCGCCAAGCAATCGTGAATCAGAATGCAGGTACGAGGAGGCCAGCGATCATGCGCCTTCGGCGTTTCGCACCGCTCGAGCCTTGGTAGCATTTATGGACTGTGAATGCCGATGGGAATGCGAGAAGTGGAGATGGCTGCGATGAATGAAGGGCGCAGGAAAGGAGAGCCAGCGACAGGAGATGCGCAGAGATGGTTAGCGCTGTGAGTTGATCTCTGTTGGTTGTCACTACCCATCACGCCAAGCAGGCGCGGATTTCAGTTGTGCTGACTTGCAGTCAAGACTCGCGATGGCTGCACGGTCAGATGTCACCATCGTGAGACCACACGACGCGCGAAAGAGACGACGAAGCATGAGCGGTATTGTGATTCTTACCTAGCTCTGCAGAGCGACGTGCTGGATCAGCATGACATATGCGTGCAACAAGCTGATGTTTGGTGTCTTGCGTCCACACATGTGTAGGAGATGTCACGTTACCCCTCGTCAGCTGATACTGTGACTGTGCCCTAGCCGCGCCGCCATGCCGCCGAATCGCTGCTTAGCGCTGCATGAACGCTGCCTCCTTTTGAGACCTCGCCGTGGGCTGCATATATACGCCTAAACGCCGAGGACGCGATTCTCGGATCCAAAACCGAGGCTATACGGTCCAAGTAGTGGTCCTACGCGGCGGAAAGTCTAGCTCGATCCAGGGGGGGGCAGCATGGTGAGTCCTATAAAGAGACGCTAATCACCATGCCCGAGGCACTTCGCAGGCCCCATCAAGATCAGTCAGGACAAGACTTTGGTCACATCGAGTCGCAACGATCATTCAACTTCCACGGAACCACGTAACAAGCTAGCGGGAGATTCAAAAGACAAGATGGCGCAAAACGGAACGCAACATCCAAACAGATCTGCTTGGCCCCCTGCGCCATACAGAGCTCTGTCGCTCAAGCAACCTGCCAACTTGCGCGCGGCCTTGAAGACTCTAATTAACGAAAAAGGCGACGGTCCTTCCGACAATTTGTTGATGGGACTCGGCTTGGGTGTTCCCTCCGTCGAGGTTGCCAAAGTGCTGTCTGTGACGCGTGCAGACTGGGTGAGACTTTCCGCGACGAGAGCCTCAATGATGCTCGTTGCACCAGTCGATGATGCTTACAAGCCTGTATATTGCCATCGTCTTGATGCCCAATGTGAAGATTTGGGTCGATGCAGAGCATTCGCCCTTCAACGTCAATTTGCTTGCAGACGTGATTCAGGTGAGCAAAAGCGGAGACCTACTTCTGCCGCTTTTTGCGGCTATTTGAGGGGCGCTGACGGTAGGGGCGTATCGCGTATGCGCATTATTTCGTACAGACCATCAACTTCTACTCTGAAGGTCACACCGCTCCCGTCGTCCGCATCCCAGGACTTGATGCTGGTTTCATCGCACACGTTCTCGATGCTGGTGAGCACAAATGGCTGGTATGCTGACGTTTCGCTCACTCCCTCCTCACCGCGCAATCTTGCTGACGCGCCAACTTTCGGGGATCTTGCATCTACACAGGAGCCGGTGGAATCATCATGCCTCATGCTGAAGATCCGGACGAGATTAGACAGCTCGTTTCCTACTCTCGTTTTCGTAAGCAGCGCAAGAGCATCGAGGTCTGACGGCATGGAACTCACTCAATCTCGTTTCCTCGCGCTCTGCAGCGCCGCAAGGTCATCGGTCGTATCCTCCGTTCGCCGTGATTCCGGGGATGACGGATCAGGCACCAGAAGGAAGTTCTTTCGTGAGTCAATGGCGGCAAATCTCAGAAGCTGTAGTTATTGCTGACATTGAGTCCCATCGCCTTTTCAAGCTTCACGTTGCGAACGACCACATCGCAGTCATTCCACAAGTAGAGAGCGCCAAGGGCATGTGAGTAGGACGAGAAAGGTGAATGCGATACGCACCTAATCCATCCCCATCCTTGACTCCTGGCCACAGCGAGAATCTGGAAGAAATTTGCCAAATTCCAGGCGTGGATGCCATCATGATCGGTGCGGGTGATCTGCGCATGGATCTAGGTTATCCTATGGGTCTATTGGGAGATGAGCCGGATTTCGTCGCAGCGTTTGAAAAGGTCAAGCGCGTGGTGAGTACGAGTTTCGAGTACGAAGCCGCGGATCACTGCCCCCCATTTTGATCGCCGTCTAACATCGCTCCACATATCGCCTCTGCTGCCTTGCTTGCGACCGTCGCAGTGCGCAAAGTACGGCAAGCCAATAGTGGGCCTGGCCATGAACGACGAGCTGCTGCAGAACCGCATCAAGTACGGCTACAGGATGCTCTGCGTCGCTGCGGACCTCTTCCTTTTGGCTTTCGGCTCCGCAAGTGCCCTGCACGAGATGAAGCAAGGAGCTCAGAAACTTCTCAAGGAAGCCAAGGACGCGGGACCGGAACTCGACGTGAAAGCGGCCGCTGCTGCTGCCACTGGCCAGACCATCGCCTCCACAGATTGAACTTGAGCGCAAGCTGAAGTTGACCTGCATGATCAGCTGCCTGCCAGATTCTGCTTGCTCCGATTTGCTCGTTCTGTTCACCAAACGCCTCAGGCCTTTGAGATTGCTGCGACAGAATGGAATTGTCTTCTCTTTTTCATACTGCCTACATTATCGAACGTCTTCCCCATCTCTTGAATCGAGACCTTTATGCCTCGCGCTTGATGACCTGTGAATAGCAAGAAGAGAAGAGTCAATACTGCTTGGCCGAGCTGCAGCAAAGGAGGGAGAATGACTCACGATGGCCGAAGCTCCACCTCCTCCATTGCATACACCCGCCACTCCGTACTCTCCAGGCTTGAGCTGATGAATGAGGGTGACGACAATTCTGCAGCCGGAAGAGCCGATGGGGTGACCGAGAGAGACACCACCTCCCAGAACATTGACCTTGGAAGGGTCCAAGTTGAGCAATTGGTTGTTGGCAATCGCTACAGCGCTGAAAGCTTCATTGATCTCCCAACGGGCAACGTCCTTGACTTCGATGCCTGCTCGCTTGAGAGCCAGGGGAATGGCGTGCGCCGGTGCGATGGGGAAATCAATGGGGGCGCACGCAGCATCCGCAAAGGCTGTGCGAACAAGGCATCGAGACAGCGAGAAAAAGAGATCAGTGGCACACTCCGAGGGCATGCGACCCTAAGCCTCGACACTCACCAATGATCTTCGCAATAGGCTTTGCGCCGAGCTTGTCAGCCTCTGCCTTGCTGGCAAGAACGACGGCACTTGCACCATCGTTGAGCGTGCTCGCGTTCGCAGCAGTCACAGTTCCGTTCTTGTCGAACACGGGTCTAAGCGTGGGGATCTTGTCCAGCTTGACATTTTTGTACTCTTCATCCTCCGAAACAGTCACGTCTCCCTTTTTGTCCGCAATGACCACCGGAACAATCTCATCCTTGAAAGCGCCGCTCTTCCAAGCTTCGGCTGCTCTTCGGTAAGACTCGATGGCATAGGCATCTTGATCTTCGCGAGAAATGTTTTGCTTCTTGGCAGTGTTCTCGGCGCAGTTGCCCATGTGCACTTGGTTGGTCACGTCGTGCAGACCATCCTTGACGATGGCGTCCAGTAGCTGCTGATGGCCGAAAGTGGCACCGCGAGTCATGTAGAAGCTGCGAGGAGCGAGACCAAGCTGCTCGTCAGCCAGCCGTACAGATAACGAATAAGGTAGCCTTGGTCCTACCTCTGCTCAGCGTGCGACTCACGGAGCGTTGCTCATGCTCTCCATACCACCAGCAACCATGACGCCTCGTTGTCCAAGCGCAATGTTCTGAGCGGCCAGGCTGATGGCCTTCATGCCCGAAGCGCACACCTTGTTGATGGTGGTAGCCTCCGTCGTATCCGGGCAGCCAGATCCAAGCACGACCTGACGAGCAGGAGCTTGTCCGACATTTCCCTGGAGCACGTTTCCAAAGTAAATCTCTTCGATCTGACCAGGTTGAAGACCTGCTCGTTCGATGGCTGCCTTTGTAGCCACCACGCCCAGGGCGGGTGCGGTCAGCTTCTTGAGCGAGCCATTGAAGGATCCGATGGGAGTTCTCGTGGCCGAAAGAATGTAGACGTCGTTGATTTGGGACTGAGGGAGCGCCGTTGGGGAGGGGAGGGGGGGGGGGGGGCGCGGGAAGCAGCTCTAAGGTCAGAATGACGACGATGCGAAAGAGAGAGGGAGAGAGAGAAACGAAGCTGCGGGCATGGTACGCTATGCTGTCAATCACTCACCATGACGCGCTGTGTCTGTGCGAGTCTTCGAACGGCAGTGGCTGCGAAAGCTGACATGGGATTGTGGATGTTGTGGTCGACTTGGTTGCAGCGAGAGTGCAAGTGTGCGTGTGTATGTGAAGGAGGGCACAAGAGGTGGGTGTGCGTGAGCAAATAGTGGATTGATCGATTGTCGATATCTTTTGCGTGCAGTCAAGTCAGTTTGCCCTCGAACGTGCAGCAGTCGCCCGCCCCCCAAAATCGCATCCACATCATCATCCCACACGCCCAATTTTATATCCACGTACCTTGAAAGATCTCAAATCGCGAATCGCGATCAGCACAGCTCACTCGTCTGTCTGCACGGAAGAGAGCGGGGCCGTGCCGCTCTCGCTTTGAACCCGGTCGCCGGTGTCGTTCGGATCTTCTCGCTCGCAGCTGCGTACAGAACGACGAGCAAGGCGCGACGCGGCGCGGCGCGACGCTCACCGCAGACTTTTTTGACTCACTTGCCCCGTGCATGTATACCGACCGGTACATGGTGCGATGCGGTGCGATGCGGTGCGGTGCGCTCGCTGCGTTGACTTGCATTCCAGATTCCGAGCGCATCTTCAAGTCACTCGTCTTGACTTTTGGTCTTAATTGATGACTTCAAACGGGCGGCCATCGCAAATCACGAATGGTGCAGTTGCGGGTATCAAATCAATCGAATCAAGCCTCACGTGTGCACGGCCGTCAAGATCGAGTTTGAGTCGTGAGTCACAGTGAAGAGTCGACGTGAGATCTTTCTTGTCTGATCTTGTGTGGTCAGGAGATCTGCGATCACCTGACTCGCGATCAATGCTGTCGCTGCATGGTGATCATCTGCCGGCTCACGATCACGCCTAGAAAGTGTGCACGAATCAATTTGAATGTCACCAGTCAGCAGAGGAGGGCAAACTGCCTATCCTTCCGAGTGCGAGGCACCCTACACCCGTGGCTACGGATGCGTGCGACCCGGATGGCAGTCAGAGTCACTGCAGAAGTCATGGAAACTGAAGATATAGCGAGTCCATAGGCCATGAAAGCAAGAATGGGGCGTGTGATATCATGAAGTTGCTGAAAGCCTACGCGTTAGGGGATGTGAAGGGCTTTACAGCGCTACAGATGTATATAACTATAGGCATAGCGTGACAGATACGAGTCACGACTCGACTGGCTGGCTGCATTGTGATTAGGCTGCGCGCTCACACCCATCCACGTGGCCCAGCTGCAATTCTCGACGCCCAATCTTCTTGCGCGGGCAGGAACAACGCTCCCTGCAAGCAAGCAAGCGCAGCAGCGATTGATGAGTGACGAGTCGCGTGTCGAGCGAGCGCGCCTCTGCCATGCATGATGGCTATGGGGACGCGGATCAGCAAGCAAGCAGGCGCAGGCAGGCATCACGCAGGAAAGATCGAGGGCGTCCGCCGTGTACGTTGCGCGCAACTTTTTGAAGTTGCGCAGGAATCACGAATCTGTGATGAGCGTTGCGATGATGCGTTTGGAAGGTGATGAAGGCTGAGCGAGGGACGCACATGACTCGCTCTCAACTCGCCTCGCTTCATTAAGCATTGCATCCCCCCTCCTTCCCTTGCGCACACCTCTTTCTCCAAGGCACATCTCAAACCAGCTCGATTCTCATCTCTCGCTCCATTGCACCCACGCTCTGCGACAAGTCTAAGCGAGCGCATTTCAGGCAGCGAGCATCCATCTCTTCACCATCCGAGGGGGACCAGCCTCTTTCGCAGCAGGTACACTTCCACGCCACACCGGTCCTTGGCCTCCTTCTTCTTTCGCTTTGCCGGATCATTCCCTTCAGTGACCCAAGGCAAAGCAGCATCTTGCTGATCGCATCATGACTGCGGCAAATGGCAGCGCAGTGGATGCGCTAGCATCTGGAGTAACTGAACTCTCCCTCGACACTTCCAAGCTCAACCCCTTATCCCCCGAAGTCATCTCCAGGCAAGCGACGATCAATATCGGGACGATCGGACACGTAGCTCATGGAAAGAGCACAGTGGTAAAGGCTATTTCAGGCGTGCAGACGGTCAGATTCAAGACGGAGCTGGTGCGAAACATCACAATCAAGTTGGGCTATGCTAATGCCAAGGTGGGTGGGCAAACCGTGTCAGACGCACGATGCGCTGTGAAGTCGCCCCAAGAGGCTACACGAGACGGGCCGTCAGAGTCCTGGGCGATGCCGTCACAAGGTCCGGAGGGGTCTTGTTCAAAGCGCGAAGGCTGAGACGTTACGTGCGCTGCTTTTACTGTCTCCCAGATCTACAAGTGTCAGCGCGAGGCTTGCAAGAGGCCAGGCTGCTACAGGTCATACCCTTCGAACAAGGAGGAGAACCCTCCGTGCGAGGTGCCAGGATGTGGCGCCAAGATGGAGCTAGTCAGGTGAGTGAGGAATCGTGCCACGCAAGGACGTAGATGATGCGAGTTCGGCCGAAGCTAATCCTGCCACGCACATTTCTCAACGTTTGTCAGGCATGTTTCATTCGTCGATTGTGAGTTTCTTCCTACCATGCCAGCGCATGTATGCGTGCCGTTTCTGACACTGCCAGCTCGGCACATTGATAGGCCCAGGACACGACATTCTCATGGCCACCATGCTGAACGGTGCGGCAGTGATGGATGCAGCGCTACTTCTCGTTGCCGCCAATGAATCTTGCCCGCAACCCCAGACATCGGAACACTTGGCGGCAGTGGAAATCATGAAGTTGAAACACATCATCATCTTGCAGAACAAGGTCGATCTGATCAGGGAACAGCAGGCGGAGGATCACTGGAAGAGCATTTCTAGCTTCGTCAAGGGTGAGAAATCTGGTGTCCAGCGGCTCAGAGGTCAGCATACTGACACGTCGACCTTGAACAGGCACTGTTGCTGGGGACGCACCCATCGTGCCGATCTCGGCACAGCTCAAGTACAACATCGATGCTGTCAACGAATACATCGTGAAGAGGGTGCCTGTGCCTGTCCGCGACTTCGCCTCACCCCCGCGCCTCATCGTCATTCGGTCCTTCGACGTGAACAAGCCAGGAGCAGAGATTGCAGATCTGAAGGGAGGTGTTGCAGGCGGGTCCATCTTGTCCGGAGTGTTGAAGTTGGGTCAGGACATTGAGGTTAGGCCAGGATTGATTGAAAAGGATCAAGACGGAAATGTGCACTGCAGACCCCTCTTCTCAAAGATCGTCACTCTATTCGCCGAGTCTAATGACCTCAAATTCGCCGTGCCTGGTGGATTGATCGGTGTAGGAACAAAGATCGACCCGACCTTGTGCAGAGGTGATCGATTGGTCGGACAGGTGCTCGGTGCGGTCGGCTCGCTGCCGGCTATCTATGTCGAGCTGGAGGTCCAATATTTCCTCCTCAGAAGGTTGCTGGGTGTCAAGACGGACGACAAGAAGCAGACCAAGGTGAGTCGTGGTCCTCCACTTGTGCGCTGTGTGCGTTTGAGGCTAAAATCGATTCGTCCTATCGCAAAATTAGGTCCAAAAATTGGCAAAGAATGAGGTTCTGATGGTCAACATTGGATCCACCTCGACTGGAGGCAGAGTCATGAGTGTGAAGGCAGATCTAGCAAAGATCTACTTGACACATCCTGCCTGCACAGAGATTGGGGAAAAGATTGCGCTCAGTCGGCGTATCGATAAGCATTGGCGGTTGGTCGGCTGGGGTACTGTCCGAGCGTGAGTAGTGAAACAGCGACTGAGCGCACCGATATAAAGCCGCCAGACATCTGATCGCTGTGCATTTGCTTGGAATTGTGCAGCGGCTCTACCATTGAAGCAGAAACATCGTGATTGGCCTCGTCAAGCATGCATCACGGCGCATCCCAGTGCTCCTCCTTTCCCCGCGCAGGTTCACATGTATTACGCTTGTAACTTTGCACATTTTGACATTGCAAAAATACATGGTCACTGTCCCACGTCAAGCAATCACGACGAGCGCTCTTAGATGCGCAGGCAAAGACCGAGCGAGCGACCAGATTAAGGGCCGAACGAGCAATGTCTTGGCCGATTCGGGCCCAATTAGCGCTTCACACTCCTTATTTGGTGCTTGGTTGCTGGATGACCTTCGTGCGGTCCAACCTTTCCGACCTTCGCTTGTCAAAGTGGATGGAGTCTCGACTCCGATGGGCTTGGCGCTCGTATAACAGATGCTTGCCTCGCTCATGCTTCTCCTTGTGGTCCCTATGATGCTTTGGCTCTTCTTCCTCTTCATGTCAGCTTTTGCTGGAGAGATTCGAGCGCTTGAAGGTCTAGTGCAATCATCAGACTTGCTGCCGGTCTCTATAATGCCCACCGCATTTTGGGGGCGCTGCAAGCACTTTCTCGCCTCGTTCGGATCTGTCATAGAACCGCGCGCATAACAAAAGTGCAAGGATGTTTGCATGGCCACGCGTACGATTATTCCCCTCGCTATTATTTATTACTGCGCGGTCTCATGACTCTCGCACTCGTGGACGCGGACGCTGACGCTGACGCTGACGCTCCGGTCGCATGAGCTGCGCTTCGGCTGAGACGTCGATTTCACGTTCGCAACTCTGCTCGCGCATTGTGTACCGTGCAAGAAATCAGTAAGACCCACCATCGCTTTCTACTCGCGACGTGTCTCTGAGTCACGATTCTGACACGCTAGGCCGTCCATTGACCGCTGTTCTGGACTTTTGGGTCGGAATGACTACACACGGAGCAGCACGAAACGTCGCATACCTATCAAGGCTTGTTTGGTCGGGTATCTATGGATTGATTGGTACAGCGTGTAATAATAAGAGATCAAGGCCTTCAAAGGGCGGTTTGGGAGCTTTGAGCGAGGGCCAATGCAAAAAGCAATCTTCGGAGGATCGTCCATTGCCGGTCAAAGACAGTGTCGATGACCCGAGTAGGATCGTCGGCGCTCTTCGCTCTTCATTCATGGCGGGGCAGGCGACTCGAGCGGAGACTTTTTCGCAATACTCGGCATACTTGCTGGACTGACGCCATAGAAGGTGCTAAGTCGAGCAGCCGCACTGAGCGGCTTCTTGCGAGCTCTTGGAATGGGAGGAGGCATGTCGCCCAGGTGATCTTCAGAGACCGCGCCAGCAAAGTAGGAGCCCCCATCCCCAATGCGAATATTTCCATCACCCTCGCCTTGTGCACCGTGCCTAGATCTAGGGAGCATCTCAGCTTCTGGTGTCGTCAGACGTGGCGTGACAAGTCGAAACGTTCCAGAACCAGAAGTAGCAGCTTGTACTTGCGGTGTCAAGCCGCCTTTGAAGAGTTGAGGACCAGCCCCAGAAGCGCGCTGAAGCTGCAAAGCGGGTCCTCGACGGCTCGGTGGGGTAGCTCGCCTCGGCTCGTCAGAGCGATCCTGATGTGAAGTGAGGTGACCAGCATCCTCTGGTTTTTGGACTTGAGACCATGATGGCGTCGACGGCCGCCCCTGCGCGCCCCAGATCTTCTGTTGCCGAGATGCTGCCGATCGAGAGGGCTTGCTGCCCTCATTTCCAGCCTCCGCCGCTACCTCATTCTCGTCTTGCACGTGTATGGCAATGTGAGAGATTTGGCCGGAATCCACACTGTTCAAGGGGCCACGTTCAGCAGGCGTTGCGGGGTAATCAGAAGTCGCAGAGTCGGAGGTTGAGAAATCGGTCGACCTGCTTGTGTCAGACTGAGCAGCCGGACTTGGCTCAGGTAGCACCACCGCAGCTGTGCCCATTTGTGGAGAGCTGTGCTCTTCTTCGGCAGGGAATACCGAGTCGTAGCAAGCGTCACAAGCACGCGCAGGCTTTTCCGCCTCACCTCCATCGTCCTCGTATCGAGCGATCAGGAAGGAGCGCTGACTGCAGGCCCAGCACACAACTTGCCCGCACAGACGACAATGGTGCTTGCGTCGCCACATCCCAAAGGCCTCTGCACAAACGATGCACTTGTCAGCGCTCGAGTCTGGTACCCAGACCGGAGCATTGTAGTCCTCGAGAACTCGGAGACCAGTCCTAGATCTGGCCGTTATACCAGCATCGCTTGAAGGACATCCGCTCGAAAGCAGGGTCGCAAGAGAGTTGCCGCTTTCCGACTTTGGGCCAAATGCGCCATGCCAGTCAGCTGATACCGATGCGGAGGAAGCGAGTGGACTTGTTGGTCGCCCAGAGGTATCTGCTGAAGTGTTGCCTGTGAACGACCAGCCAGTGCTGGGAGCTGATATTCTTCTGGCCTGTTGAGGGGTACAATAGCTGGGGCCCGCTCTGCCGTACAGGCTGCGCCTTCTCTCCCGCAGTACCTCCGAGGTGTCTTCCTCCGCTTGCAAAGTGCGCCTGGCCGTCATGAGGTCATCGCGAGCGTCGCGTATAGTCGATAACCAGGTCTCCTTCGCCTCTGCACTCTCCGCGTACACTGCAAAGCTTTTGTCAGGCGTGCGAATTTCGATGGAATGACGCAGACCTTGATGCAAAGGCGAGGTGGCCTTCTCCACGCCCACCACCGTGCAGTCTTGCAAAGGGAATTTGGCCCGGAATTGCAGCTGAAACCCCTGGAGGCTGACTGATAAAGGTCGACCATTGGCCAGTACAGCGTCGGCTGATGACGTGCGCGAGCGTGATGCGGTGTCGATGGCGTCTGCAGAGATCGGCGCGAGCGGCAATTTGTCGACTATGGTGCGCGGACTGTTCGGTGCTGAAGGAGGCCCCGTGTCTTGCGCGCTGCCTCCATACACTCCCAGTCCTCCGCCCCTGGCGAGAGCAGTCCAGGCTGCGGATGCACTCTCTAGACCCCCGCCAACAGGACTGGCATACACCAAACAGTCCGTAAACAGAAAGAATTCCCTCGGCTGGATGTTCTTTCTGCAAGCCTTGAGCAGCGTGCCCCGTTTGAGCAAAGCTCGCCCAGGAACAATCAAGGGCTCGGTCAGACCAGTCAGGCTGCGTTGCAAGCCAAGCATGACTAGAATCATCTCGTGCTGTCTGACATTCTCGTTGATGTAGGCAGCCACCTGGTCGATGACTCCAAAAGCCTTCAAGAGATCTGGGTAATCTCGATGATTGCTTGGAGTATACTTGACCAGATCGCCCACCATCATTTTGTACCGAGGGATGCGCTGCACAATCGTCAAGAGATGCGCCTGAAATCCAAGACCGAAGCCAAATCCGCCGCTTGCGCTCGCCTTGCCCCATGTAGCTCTTTCCGTGTCCTTCAAGAAACGATTGAAAGCGTCGTTTGCTTTACGTTCCGTCTCTATCCGTGCCATGGCCGCACTGAAATTCTTGACGTACAAGGAGTACATTTTCAAATATGGCACGACAGGCACCAGAGTATCGCCGATTGTGTCCGTTTCTGCATGCCACGGGTCTACTCGTCCCGCATTTGTCGAGCCAGCTTCCGCTGAGCTTGGAGCAGCATCTCGGGGGCTCGTCGGGCCTGCGACTGAAGCTGGGCGAGACGGAGGCGGCTGCCTCGCTCTACCTGAGAGGCGGTCATCGAGCCTAGAGAAGAGCTCAGAATTGAGACTGAGAATGTCGCTAAAGTTGGAGAAGATCTCGTTCAACGCTTGACGCGAAAGCACTGGTGCTGCACTCGTGACTCCAGCTGGCGCAGCCAGACCCTTGCTTAAAGCCATAAGAGGCTGATAGTAGGACTGCCCGTGCGTGAAAGCACTGTTAGTCAAGCAGTCCGGAAAGGCTCGGCAGCTCTACATCATACTCACCTCGTTGACCAGTTTCAAACTCGCTATGAAGACCCTTTCGGTCTCCAACAATTCCATGGCAATGGCGTGTCGCCTCCGCATCATTCCCTCAAAAGCAATCATCGAGTGAGTAGGATCCGTGGCGCTTCGTTGTAGCGCATGGCCCGGTCGACTGGCTGTGCTAGAGGACCTGTTCATTGAAATCGAGCCCACAGACGCCTCATCTGTAGGTGATGTAGGTGACTGCCACGAGTCTCCTTGGCTGAGCGTTGGAGAATCGGTCGCTGTGCTAGTCGATGCGGAGAGATCTTCGTGAGGAGCATCGCTTGCTGATGTAACGCTCAATGGTGACGCCGCGAAATTGACGGGCTCGCCTTCGGGTAGGCTCTCGAAAGAGGCGATGCTGATCATGCTCACGCGGTTGATCATGCTGGGCACGTTGGGCAAGCTGGGACGCCGAGACCAACCATCGGCCGTCAGGGATGGTCGCGCAACCCCATTCCGCGACTTTGACGCCCCGCCAGCACTGCCTGGTCGACCACTCTTGGATGAGCCCGCAACGTTGATACCTAAAGCGGATGCTAGCGTAGGGGACAACAGGCTGGGCTGAGCAGCCAATTGGCCCTGTGCATAACCTTGACTGCTGTGACCTGAGGAGTTGCTTGCAACGCTGGACGGTCGGCTGCTGCTACTGCCAACACTGGATGTATGCATGGCAGAGTGGCTCGAGTGGCAACTTCTTGGTGATGTTGTGGGCGAGGAGCAGAGAGGAGAGCCGCTACTGTGAGCGGATGAGCCCGACAAATGAAGGGCAGGGGGTCGTTTTGGAAGGTGTCGAAGGTTATTTTGCTTGGGTGGTATTGGCGCTGGTTCGGGCCCTGAGTGCGCGTTCAGGGAGTTCACTTGCAGGACGGCAGTACAATCGTTAGAGCGTTTTGCGGCAAGCAACGATGCTTGCTGAGAAGTAGCGCGGCTGCTTGAGACCGACGCACAGACCCCGGACTCCATCGACTCGAACAAAGCAGTGCCAGGCTCGGAATCGGGATTGGGGGCATGTAGCCTCAAGGAGGCTCAATTGTATCCTCGTGCCGATTCCACTTGTGCGAAAGGTATGATCCGGGTATCTCTGACAGCCGCAAATGAGCACCGCACGAGCGCGCGCTCGCGACCAGGGCTTCGTCCTGTACGCGCCTAGAATGGTGTTGACGGGGTGGTCTCGCGGGCTTGATTGCAGAACAAAACCCTTAATGAACGCTGTTGCACCAGACGGTCTGGATCGTAATATGATAGCACTGACAGAGGAGTTGATAGAGGCGGAGAGGACGGAGGTGACGCCTGTTGATAGAGAATGTGGTCAATCGTGCGTGTGTTGGAAGCGGACCGCCGCCAAGCGGTGATATGATAATCGGATCTCGTGACTGTTCGTGGCAGGGAGCAAGCCCGCTCAGCCTGCGCACAACAAAGTCGTTCAGTATGAAAGCGGAAGGATGTTGAGCCTATATTGTTTGACAGGGCTTAAATAAGCTTGCTCTTGGAAGGGGGCTAAAAGGAAACGTGTGGTTGTTGTCCTCATCCTTGTCTCGCCTGATGAACCAGCAGTCGTAAGTCCCTCGGTGTAAGCGGTAAGCGTGATTTTCGGGAGCCGCCTCGCGGGTCCATACAGGGCCTTGTGTATATTCACTTGATTCGTGATTCTTGATTATAGACCAGCGCAGCTGCTGGAGGGGGTTGTGCAGCGCGGGCGCGCGCGCAGTCTGACAGGGTCAAATCCGCCTCTGCGCTGGGCCCCTTTGCGCTCAGCTATGCCACACGTACGCATGCATAGTCATGCACAGCCTCTTCACTCAAGTCTAACCCTCAATGTCGCGATCCAACACCAGGCACGAGCGCAGCAAGCGCTGAGCGTCGGCGCGTGCTGCCATGCGTCTACCCCTGAGGCGCGTATTGTTATATGCGGTCTGGCCAGCATGATATACAGTAGGTACCGGTACACGATTCACGTTCTTCATTCTTGATTCAAATTCTTCTGTCTGATTATTCGATGTCTTATGAGTTCGAGACTTGCGATCCGTGCTGATTGTTGTGGCTGACAGCTGTAACTCTCTGCCCAATCGAGACCGATCAGCATTGTTCTGACTTTGACTGCTGCTGTCGACCCGACGATCTTGAGGCATCTCTCAAAGATGCTCGAGACTTCCACTCGAGACTCTGAACAAATCCTGCTAGTCCAGGCCAGGAATCAACACCAGGTTTCTGAGAGCGCTCTCAAGACAGATCTCGGACATGAGGCCGCGCTTTGGTGCGACTTTTTGGCGATCGAGAATCAAGAGTATAGGCCCCCGCTTGGTAAGTCAGTCGGCAACGCCTCGGCCATTTGGGCGTAGCGAGCTTCTGTACATATCATTCGGATTCACGATTGAAGCCTTGACGGGCGCTGTGCTTAATTGCTGTCAAGGTCAGCACCGGCCAGTTAGTAACGCTGCGTCGGCTTCGAAGATGAGAGGATCCAGCGTATATGAGGTTTGTCAGCAGCCATGTCGTTCCTAGTCGGTCGATTTCGACTTGCAGCTCAGCAGGACACTGTGCAGCGTGATTCGAAGCAGGATGAGATTATATCATGATGAAATGTTTCGCATAGAGCGAGGCCTGAGCCACGATCATTTCGTGCGTGCCTCAAAGCACAAGTCTTGGCTCACCTCGTCTCGTTCTTGCACTCACGACCGATGAGCCTTAGCGACCGTCAAGAGTATCATCAGGCGAGATGACCGTATCAGAAGAAGAGCCTTGCAGAGGCTGACGTTGGACCTCATCGCGCAGCTGATCAAGCCGCTTAGCGGCCGAAGGAGTGCTGGCTCTGATCGATGAGCATGAGAAAGAGCCCAGGCTCAATTCACGATTTGGCGGATGGCCTGTCTACCATAGAATGAGGGCAGAGCAAAGGGTGCCTGTCATGGAACGAGCAAGCTTTGGGCCATGGCACGGACTGCACCGGAAGCGCTCGCCGCCCGAATTGGATGACTGAGCGACTCGATCGTGACGTGACTTGGCAGATTGCGAAAATCACGAGCGGCCAGCATCCACGCGGGTGATCGAAGAAGAGTGGTGACCAAAGTCACATCGTGAAGATAATGAGTGATGCTTGATTGAGGGATCACGTTCATCGCATCCAACATCCGTCCATCACCCGCTTAACATTCGCATTCACAATTCTTGATTCAGATTGTTTCTACACCTTGTTGCGGATCCGGAGCCGTGTCCTTCTCGTCGACCCGACGACACGCGCGGCAGTGCACGCTCCATCACGACGCATCTGGCGCGTGCGAGCGTGGCATCGCGCCTGCTGCTGAAGGTGAGTATAAGACCCTCTCGCGGTACCGCCGCATGCACCACATACTGATGGAGCATGCAGTCACACAGTATGCTTCGCACGGGCTATGCCGTGGAGTGGCGCTGCTGCCTATATGATTTGGACTACGACGCCGCAGGCGTCAAGAATCGTGAATTAGGTGATGAGTGATGTGATGCAGTCATGAGTGTAACGATCGATCGAGTGAGCTTCAAGAATGTGAATCACGCGCGCGTCGAGGACCGATGCTGCAGCTCTCCTCTCATCGCAACGATCGCACTTTTGACTCGTGATGAGTCGTGGCTGCTGCAGGTCGAGCTCCCGCGCCGCGAAGCCGAGAAGCATGCACCGACCGCGCGGGCGTCTGCGCCGCGCTCATGGTGCTGAAGATGCGTGCGCGGGCGCAACAAGCATGCATGCATCAGCTATAGATGCTGCATGCTGGGTAGGCACGCACGCCCTAGCTGTTGCTGATGAGGTGCGAACTAATTATCATCAAGCTAGAATTAATCAAGAATTTGACGCGCTGGCTCAACGCAGGCATCGGCAGTACAGTAGCAGTGTCTCGGTCACTTGAATTCGATTCCAGCATGCAGCTGATGCTGCACACACGCGGCGTCGCGGCTGATCCGAGGAAGTAAAAGCGCGAAGGACTGATGGCATCGGGGGGGCGCGGCAGCAGCAGCGGACTACTTGCGCATGACGTGGTCTGAGCTCCAAAAGGCAAGACGTGTACAAGCTCAAGAGGAAAAAAATGAGGGGCGATGACTTCAATTCACATTGACTGACCGCTTGATTGAGTGGGGATTCGCGACGAACGCCTCTCCATCCTGCACATCCATTACAACTCACAATCTGGCCGCCTTCGAAGCAATTGAACCGTCGCTGCTAGCCCACCTCCTTCGGGGGTGAACAATCGTTGGCGCCTCTCATATTCCGTCAAGCACGCCGCTGGACATAGCTAGACTCATCAGAATCTCGACTCTAGCTTCTCCTTGTGTTGAGCTAGGCATCCAATCAACTTGAACATCTCTGCGCCCAGTGCTCTACACAAGGAATGTGCTTTACAAGGGCACATCGAAACTTTTTGCAACGATCACAGCCAATTCTCAGCACATCGCCGCCCTATACAGGATTTCGTTACCACTGAATCCGTCGTCTTAATTGGCGATAGACTTCTTCTCGTGACTGCACGCACGCACGCGCGCTCGGGCCTGGTCCGGTCGACGCCAATCACGTACGCAGCTGCTGAGGGAAGCGGCGACTTTGTCGAGCTCTGCGGCATTGCTGACAGTCAAATTGTCAAATACAAAGTTCTTTGAGGCTACTAGTCCTCTAGAAGGACTCTTCAGCAAGGAGCTGCCTCAATAGAATCCTGATCAGCAGACCTTGAAAGCTGAGCTGCTGGATCTTCACACGTCGAGGTGTTGGCGTGGTCCCCGACACTCTTGACTTTGTGGAAAGGCTGTACTGCATTTATACTTGCTGCAGCTTCAACAAAGCTCCAGACGGCAATCTCAGCTGCAACGATCACCTGGGCGCGCATCGCTGGTACATGATCGCTGTCTCAGCGCGTGCTGTGCGCGCCTTGCGACCGAACACCAGAGTCACCATAAATATCCAGCCACAATGCCGATCTTCAAGCGGAAGAGCACCAAGAGCGGCCGGGGTGGCATCATGATCGCTGCAACTGATGAAGGCCATCATCAGGCGGATAGGACGCAGCGCAACGGGTCGCTCCAGACACTTTCACAACCCCTAGACACGCGAAATCTGCTGGGCAAAGAGGCGGACTACAGTGAGTACGCTCGACCCTGGCAGATGCGCAGTTCATGCTAGATGGCCCCGCTTCTCGCGTGAAGGCGAGAGGTCATCGAGGTAGTGCATCGGTTGAGCTCGATGTGTGCAATCGACGTAATGTGAATGCTGACACAAGTCCGGGCCGGTCTCGAACCACACCGCAATCGTCCTGTCAGGGTGAGCGTCACCGCATAGCAACCCTCGTCCACTTTAAGAGAGCATTCGCTGATCCCGCTTTGCTCTGTCATGTTGCAGAACATCGCTCATCATGCCTCACTTGACTCGGCGCTTTACGCTTCTTCGAGCGCCTGATGGCACTATGGTCACGCCAGATGCAATGCGAGCTCATCTACGAGCGCAGCGTGCCAGGGCAAGAGCAGCCGGCGAGGGAGCCCATTTCCTCACAGAAGCGGAGGAGGACGAGATCATAGACCAGCTGAGGAGGCAGACACATATGGAGCAGAACGTGGGCAGTGTGGGTCGTACTTCGGCATTGCTCAGTCCTGGTGCCGATGGTTTCGGCGGCATCGACACGTTCGCCGACAGTCAGGCCTCTGAGATTCCGCCCACGAACGGCTTTGGAGGGACTGATGGGTTTGGTGACTGGGGAGGAAGTAGCTCGAATGGTCGGAGCTCGTCCACTGTCAACAATACCAAAAGCCTTGCTGAGAGCCTGGGCGACTTTCAACCTTCGCCCAACTCTACCCACTCGTCTTTCTCACGTGGCGAGGGCTCTCTTTTCAGCGGACGAAGTACTGGTCGAGACAACACCTACCTGCGCTCATTGGCAAAGGAGCGTATTGCAGGAAGCGCGATCGCCAATAGTGATGGCTCTGAGCAGCATCCGGACATCATCGAAGAGGAGCGCGAAGAGGATGAGGATCAGGGTGCGACTATAAGCCTTTCTGCGGACCAGTCCAATGATCAGGATGATGCAGTTGGGATGCCGGGCGACTTCACAGCTGCTGATCGTCGCCCTTCAGACACGGTAAAGGCTGTGGCTGCTCCGAGGCAGCAGCAGCATCTCGCAGTACCAGGGGCAATGGGCGCTCTGGAAGGCGGACAGCGTCAATCTCAATTGCTCAATCTATCTCCGGAGGCCTTCAAGCGCGTCAGCACGGCATTGGAAGAGGTTTATGGTATGGTCTCCGGACGTGTCGAGGAGGGCAGTGGAGATGAAGAGCCTACTGAGGAGTCACTTGAAGACGAGGACGATGAGAGGCTCGATCAAGTCTTGGAACAAGGCTTGGAAGCTTACCCGCAAGACGATCCGAACCTCCAAGAATTCGTTCGCAGTCCTAACAGCCGACATGTGTTCATCAACAGAACCGAGCGCAGGTCGGTGGACAGCGACGATCGATCTTTCGCTTCCGCTCACTCCAACGTCGCTGCGTCGGCGATTCATGCAGACACTCAGAATTGGGGTAGAGACGGCGTCGGTCGGCCTGTACACGATTTCTCTGGCGCTTGGACTTCCGATCCGGTGCTGTCTAGGCTGGGACCGGCAGACCTGGCCTCGTCAAGCCGGAGCCAACAGCCTTCGCTTCACGTGGAATCAATCGATCGTCGCGGCGGAACTACCCCTACACCTCGCAGCAACGCGAGCGATCGAGTCAGCGCTGTGTCTGACGCTCGATCATCGGCTTTCAGCGGCCTGGCGTATGACGCAGATGAGCCTGGAGACCTGACACCAGGTCGAACTCGGAGTATACCCAAGGCAGGAAGTTCGAGACTAGACGCCTCGGCATTTCCTCCCGTCGGATCGCGAAGCAGTGGCAATGGATACGTCGACCACAGTGGCTCAGGTCACACCTCTCCGGAACGTCGCAACAACACAGCTTTGACGGGCCGAGAGCGGTCCAACTCCTCTCCTAGCGGGCGAGCTGGCGGCGGCGGAGTCATGAGCTACGCGCCAAATTCGCGCTCCCACGGCAGCAACAATATCAGTATTGACGCTGCCCACGGTCGCGTGAAGGTCAGTCCAAATCAAGCCGGTGCACACAATTATCTCGCAAGGCTGGGCAACGACCCATCTTCGTTGGCATCCCTCACAGGATCGGCGAGGAGCATGAGCCCTGGTCAGCCCTCACGAGAAGGCGCAGATTTTGCCAGCAGTACTGCCGAATTACGCCCCTTATCGCCCCCTCAGATGCCTCCAAGGCTCGCAGACCTTCGCCGGCCTTCGGAAACTTCAGTCGCGACGACCAATGCATCCGGCTCGGGAACGAGCACACCCGTTTTATCTGCCAACGCGATTGCAGCTCGCTCACAGCGCTACTTTCCTCGATCCAACTCATCGGCGCGATCGCACGCCGATGGCTTTCGACCGGCGCCGTCTAGTGTAGCTGCAGTGGTGTCGAGGTCTCCTCTTGCTACAGAGCAGGCCACTAGACAGCGCGCTGGCTCGACGCCCTCTAAAGCTCTTCAGAATATCACGCAAACTCCTGCGCCGCCGTTTGGAGATCAACTTCTACCCCCGCGGCCAGCAGGGGACCGCTTCTGGAGCTCTTCATCCTCCGATGCGGCTAGTGTCGTCAGCACCGCTTCGGAAATGCCACATTTCGATGACGAACCGGATGCCGACCCGGACGATGTCTGGGCGCGCGTCACGCGCAGCGATGGACGTAGGCATGATCGAGATGCTGGTGCAGAAGCTATGAGACCTATCTCTGTTTTGCCTCCTGAAGCAGCTGCAAGCCAACTTGCAGATGCGGGTTTCAATGTCGGTCAACTGGCTGAGCTCCAGCAGAAGTTGGTGAGATCCGCCAGTCAGAAAGAGAGCAAAGGCGTGCAGCGAGCCCCATCACAAGGTGCGGCTAATAACGCTACTCAGGCTGCCCCACCATTGCCGACGTCTACGCCGGCTCGAAACGGCCCTCAGCACAGCACGCCGCCTTCCATGAGCAACGCGTTTGCGCTGAATGGCTACGACAATAAACCTCCCGCGGAGCAAGAGCGAGACTTGTCCCCCTCGATACGGCCACTATCTCCGTCGAGCTCCAATCCGAAGCTGGACAAGGCTCGAGAGCGTGCGCGGATGCTTGCTGAGCGCAACCAAGGTAGTCTGTCCTCTAGGTCTTCTGAACGTGATCTCAGCAAGGCACGAGGCCGACCTAGCGAAGACACTCAAGAGTCAAGCTTCGCTCTAGGGTCGATGCGGAGCGAAGACCGAGGCTTTGCTACGCCCGAGCAAAAGGTGTACAGCAGCAACGACAGGGCTTTGCCGAGTGTGACGCATTCCGGATCTCAGCGCTCATTCAAATCTCAGGTGATGTACGATGTCACGACGAGTCACAGGCCAACCTCACCTCCGCCTCGCACCTCTTTGAGCACTTTACCTACGCTTCAAGATCTTGCACTGAACAATTCCTATTATTCACCGACCTTCCAGCCGATTCCCGCCGTCGTCGATCCCAATCGTCAATCGCTCTCTTTGAGCTCTGTGGTAGAGAACGCAGCAGCGCGTGCTGGTCGTGACTGGCACGGTAGCCAAGACTCTACCTCGAGTTTCCACAAGGGTTACGATGGATTTGCCGGTTTTCCTGGCGCCTCTGCAGCTGCTAGTCTGAATGCTCACGCGCTGGCCATACCTGAGGAAAGCGGAGACCAAGAGTGGGCGTCTGGACACGAGCAGGCCGCAAACGTCTCCTTGCCTGATGGAGATGGCCTCCAATCTCCCGTCTCCCAGGCCTACGAGGTCCCTACGCAGAACGGTCACGCAGCGCCGCACATGCCGGAAGTGCAAGCCAACACCTGGTCCGACACCGGCAACGACTCGGTCACACGCTCGGTGGACAACAATCTCGTGGACGATGTGGAAGCACAAGCACGCGCTGCCACCCTAGCTCTGAAAGGCACCGACGACCCTGGGCCGCGCGTCGCAGTGCCTCAGCGCGCCAAATCGCTGAGCAAACGCAAGAGCAAAAAGCTTGCAAAGTACATCTCGCAGCCGCAGCTCATTCAGACCTCCCAGAAAATGGAACATGCGGCCAGCATTCCTCATCCTGATGCTACTCTTACAAGGGACGCTGGCAACGCATTGGCGACATCTCCCTCCGCCAGCTCAAATGCTCGATCACCGATCCCGGCCTTCAACCGTGAGGAACGAGCGCGCGCTCCACTTTTGTCTCCCGGCGGCACCGACTACAGCCGAGACTCGTTCCTTCGTCAAGAAGCTGCGGGCGGGACCCGTCAGGCCGAGAGCAGCGCAGTCAGTAAGAGCCCCGCGAGCTCATTCGGCAGTCCTGCTGTTCTCCCGACTGGTCCAAAATCAGCACCCGCTACTTCTTCCTCAGCCCAAACACGCATCGGCAGCGCCAGCAACGCGCAGTCCGCTTCGGACCTCTTTGACAACCCCGCGAAGCCTGCGCCGCAGCGCTCTGGTAGCGGATTCAGCAAGCTCATGTCACGAGTCCGTTCACGCAAGCAGTCAACAGGCCCGATGATGACCACCCCTATCGACCCGTACCCCGCTACAACGCCTTCGCCAGGGGTGTCCAGCTCGCAAGGGCCCTCCAAGACAGGGCCTCAATCCGTCGCCAGCCAACCGACGGCAAGCAAGGTCCAATCCGGGGCATCGCCCAAGTCACACAAGGCTCTTGAGCCAGTGCCAAGCAACAAGGCAGAGGATGTGCGCGCGCCACAGACACAGGCAGCTGTTGGCAGCGCCCGTGACATAGCTGTCCAACTTCCAGAGGCATCTGCTCGTAGTGTGGTTGAGCTGACACCTAGACTGGAAGAGACGAAAAGCAGCTCGAGTGCGCTCTCTGAGCGCAAAAAGGCTGGCCTGTTGGGCTCGCCAGCGCATATACAAGATGCTTGGGGCCAGCAGGCCTTTGAGCAGCCAGATGCGCAGCTCTCCGATTTAGCGCAGGCGGTGTTGCAGCAGAGCAATCTTTCGGAACCACAGGATAGCGTCCAGGCCACGCCTCGCAATGACAAGCGCAAGTCCGCCCGGGACACCGTCGTCCGCAGAACGATCATCGTTGCAACCGGTGCAGACCTCTCTCGCTTGTCGGCAGATGAGAGACGTAAAGTGAGTCTGGCATCGGTCTCGCGTTTCAGCTCTTTGCAGTGCACCCTACTGAATTCTTGCCTTTGCCAGTCGATCATTTCGACAGCGTCCCGCCGCAAGTCCCGACGACCCGGCTTTGGAGACGAATCTATTCCCCTGCCGACAGATTGGCAAAACTACGCCGCTGGCTCATCGGAACACTTGCGCGCCTCTGATGACGTGAGCAGCAAAGTTGAGCCCGGTGAGTTGCGCGGCCTGCCATCACCGCTTCCACGCAACAACACCTCCTCGCTACTACCACCGGTCTCGCCCGGCAGAGGGCCGCAGAGCGCTTCTCGTAGCTCTTATCATGGAAGTTTGTACGACATGTACATCGACGACGACGAGACACCACAAGCTGGATCCATACGCTTCCCAGCTTCAGCCGGGCTGCAACCGCCTCCGAGCGCGAACAGCTACGTCGCCGAGCCGCGCGGTGGTCATATAGAAGTGACCGAGCGTGCAGACGGAAGTGTCGTTTGGCAAGTCATTGCTGGCCTCACTGATCGCGCCAGCACGTACAGCGCGATGTCTGGAGGATTTGTTGGTGGGCACAGCCGTGCCGCAAGCGACACCAGCCAGCTTTCTTTCCGGCCACCACGAGACAGCATGGTGGATGACTCTACGCCGGACCCGCAACCACGCACCTTCACTGGCCTTACAAGCGACGACAGTCGCAGCTTCTTCGCTCGTTCGCGAGGCGGCAAAGAGCATCGAAAGAGCTTCTCGTTTGACGCTTCGATTCCATTACCACCGCTGCCCACCACCATGGCGAAGTCCCGCACAGCGCGCTCCAGCACAGATCCGAACAATTCCACTACTGATGAGGCCCTCGAAGGTGGTCCCCACGATATGCCGCCATTACCAGTCCCTGAAGGAGCTGCGCAGCCTCGAGTCTCCACTTCGGCATCGCGTCCCGAGCAGCTGGGTTTCGACATGGCCAACACTGCGCCTGGTGAAGGAGCAACGCGCATCGTCTACACCGACGACGCTGATCTGGCCGCTATCATCGAAGCAATGAGCCGTGGTGGCGATGCCGCTAAATTCGAATTCAGCCGCGTGCCTGGCAGTGCCGCTTTCCAAGGCTTCCTCGATGCGTCCGACCATCCCTCGCGCCCCGTCAGCACATGGACCGGAGCAAGTGCAGATTCTGGTGAAGCCCGCACTCATCGCATGAAGATTGAGGCGGAGATCTTCAACCTCTTGCAAACGGATGGCGATCTGAGAGCCTCTACAGATTGAGCGGTCTATCGCTACGCGCGCCACTCCCCTTCGCCGCCTGCTTTGTTTGAAGCAATAGCTTTTGCAGGCTTTCTTAGAGGCGTTTATGAAATACTTTGGCTTTTTTTGGACGTCACCTGCAATCTAATTTCATTACGATGTGACGATTCCAACCCTCAAATCTGGGAGTCCAGTTGACTAGCTACTATTCCTTGGGTACGCGACGCTGCTGCGGTAATCCCGCTTTGCTTGCTTCTATGGCATCGAGAGCGTAGCCAGTCTCTACGTCTCCTAGCAGGCCGAACACTTGCCTGATACGTTCGATGCGCTTTTCTTCGGTCGCGGCCTCTTCGTGCTCGGTCTTGCCTCCGCCAGCTGGCCTGTGACTGAACCGAGCGCCAAGCAGAGCATGCAACCCGAATGCGTGGCTCGGATAGGGATGTAGATCCGCGTGAATTGGCTCAGGGGACGCGTGCTTGAATTCATTCTCCTGGGCGACGAGATTCAAGGTGAATTGAGAGAGCATCAAGGTTGATACGAAGATGCTTTGCGGACTTTTGGACGTGGCGAAATTAAGCTTCTGCGCATGGCATCGCATGTCGAGCGGCTTTGGTCAGCATAGATTGGGATGAGCTCGCAGAGCCAGCACCAGTGCTCTCACCTCAAAGTCGTTTGGAAAGGTCTCGGTCTGCAAGAACGAGTACTGGGTTTGCCAGTCCGCCTCGCCCTTGGCGTGTTGCAAGTGCCACAATTTGTTAGCCTCCCTCATCTCCTGAAGAAGGACTGGACTTTGAGGTGTGCCAGGGTTGTCCTCGAATGCAGATTCGGGAGGTAGCAGCCTAATGAGTCGATGCCTCTCGCCGAAGCGACCTTCCTCCACATGCCCATCCGATAGTTGCAGGGGTCGCAGTGGACCTTGAGCTCCGTATCCAACATCGACTGCGTACAAATGTTCTTGCGCCTGCTGCGCTTCGTGCAAATGGTTCGGCAACAAGACGAGGATGATCATGTGGCCGAATCCTTCATAATCCCCTTGCGTGCCATCCAGCGCTCGTTCCAAAACTCTTCCGGCCACAGCATAGCTAAAGAGAATCGGTCAGAGCCACACAGAGAAGCGATGTGCCAGAGCCTGCATGCAGCACGCACCATTTGTAGCCTAGGTACCGCAAGATGTTGAGTAGACACACATTGTGCTGCATGCAATAGCCGCCCATGCGTCGGCTGCAAAAACGTTGCAAGACGACGTTTGGGTTGATGCTGACGCTATGACTGCTCTCGTAATGAATGGAGGTATTCTCAAAGGGTATGGTGAGCAGGTGATGCTGTTGTAGCAAGGTCAGCGTGGCTAGCGTAGGCCTTGGAAGGGTAGGCCTCTCTCGATCCTCGTCTTTATCATCGGTAGAGACCTCCGCAAAGCCTGGGAAACGAATGTGCTGGAGATATTGGCGCATCTCGCGCTCGCTGTACAGCGACTCCACCTTTCTGAGCGTCATCTTGCCCAGCCTCAAGCTAGTACGCGTGCTGCTTCTCTTCTGATTTTCTTCGCTCACGTTTGATCGACTTTCATCCATCTGTCAGAACTTCACCAGCTAAGAGTCTTGATTCGAGCGATACAAGAGGATGTGGTGAAGCATCGTGGATGCATGATACGGCGACGCTCCCTTATCACATACAGAAGCGAGCTAAATTGATACTTGCCACATCTCGCTCGTGACTCTTGGCTCAATTCGTGCAGCTCGCCAGACCCTCACATTCGCGTGCGCGCGTGCGCGCACATATTTTCTGGGACCCTGCTGATGCGGAGACTCATGCAACACGCGGGGGTCAGGAGACGGCCGTAGATGACTTCGAGCAACACTCGAGCGAGACACTCATGACTTCAACGTTGACAGGTCGACCTGGCCACCACGAGGTAAGTACAACATGCTCAAATCACATCGTGTGACCACACAAGATTCGCAGACTGCGGCACGTTGAGTGCACAATCAAGTGTCCATTTCTGACGGTGACTAGAGGGCTACGAAGGAGACGAACAACGATGGTCCTCGTCGGCGCTGAATTCTCGAGGCAGAAGGCGAACAGGGGCAAGAACAAGCGCTCTCTCTCGCCTTGAGACCGCACAAGCACTGTCGCTTGCTTCTCTGGAGTAGTGACATGAGATAGGAGCACAAGTACAGAGTGTATGGGTGGGCGGAAGGCGAGGTAAGGCCAAGCACGCCGCGGGTGAGGATGTGAAAGGACGCCAAATGCACCTATCGATCGAGGCGGCGTGCGTCGCCCAGCAGCTCATTCAGCTTCTCTTGGTGGTCACTTCCTAGTGCTGCTATGGTAGCACGTCGACTCGGCGCCAGGATGTGGGCATCTGCCGGTGGGCGGCGTGAGCGGTAGCGTCCGTCCTCTCCGCGATGCTCAAGTCCAAAGGAGGCTTTGGACGGTCGAGTGGATGGCGCCAAGTGTTCCTCGACCGGAGCCGCCTCCTGATCATTGCTAGTCTCACTCTGGCTGGGAAGTTCATCGACGCGAGTCACCTGCTCGGCCGAGAGTGTGGGCGGCAGGTAGGGCAAAGAGTCGCGTGCCCTTGGATCTCTGACCCGACGCTGGCGTCCGGAGTCTGACCCTCCGTTGACTTGGTCGGCAGTTGTCTCGTCCAAAGTCTCCTTTGCACTCTTAGCTCCGCGCTCAGCGGATGAGTGAACGATCGAGGTGTGCGCAATCTCTTGTCGACGTTTCTCGAAAGCCATCAGCTCGGCAACGAAGCCAAGGTTGGGACTAACCGTGCGTCTCCGTGCAACGACGTGGCTGTACGCTTGAGAGAGGGGCCAGCCCAGGTGATGAATCAGATATGCCATGACGACCAGCACTGAACGACTCTTTCCGGCTTTACAGTGAACGTAAGTAGGGGTACCGTAGAGTCTTGCATCGTCGAGAAACGTGCACGCTTCGTCAATGTGACTCTGAACGTCTTCTGCTTCGACCGTGTCCTTCAAGGGGATCTTGCGGTACTTCTCGATACCTAGACGACCTTCGTTCAGAGCGAGATGCTTGCCACCCCCCTCCTCAATCTCCAAAGCACAATTGAGAATGCGTCTGACGCCGAGGTCACTGACCAGGTGCTCCGCTTCCGATGTTGTGGCGATGTCGGGACCAAGGAACAGAAAGCCGGGAAGGATTTCGGACACGACGAACTCTGAGTCTGCTGCTTCACCTGACGACACGGATCGAGAGCGAGCAGCGGCTGGCGTCGCTGGCTCGGGAAGCAGGTCGTTGGTGGTGTCCATCCGAGGACTGTTGAGGCCGCCGACGAGAGGCTCGGAGCCTCGACGCCTCGGCTCGTCTGCAATGACGGGTGCCTCTATGTGGATAGGCGTCCGATCTGAGCCTTCTGCCATGGCATTGACGTCCCGACTGCTGGGCGCAGTCCGCGGAGACAACACAGTGATCTCTCTTTCGTCTGTCGGAATACCGCCGTAATGGTCAGCGAATGTGGCGACCTCGAGTTGGCGACTATGCACCAAGGGCCCATCCAGCGTAGCTGAGCGTACGGGAGACCGCAGGAGACTAGTTCGCGTTTGCAGCTGAAGTCTGGGACTTGTCGCCGAGGCTCGTCTTTGCGGTGCAGCAGCTTGCAGCGTCTTGACACGCTCCGACGTGTCAAGTCGCGCGAGCATGGGTCGACGCGGCGGGCCTGCCGGCCGCATCAGACTCGGTGTTGGTGCGGGAGACCTTTGACCTGTGTTAGCAGAGAAGTCCAATGCCGACGAAAAGATGCCTGCAGTCGGCGGAACGACCAGATAGTGTGGGGTCAGGTCCTGGCTGGGTGCATCTGTTGCCTTAGCATCTGTCGACGGCCGCTCTAAAACAGTCTCGAGCTCCGACTGGTCCGCCTGAACAGGAATAGCGGTGTGTGGATGTCTTGCACTCCCAGGTTGAGCAGCAGACAAGTCCAGACCCTTAGGCTTGCGGCCTGCACCTTTGCTGGGCTTGCGAGCTATTTGGAACGCGGGAGCCGAAGCAGGCGGTGCCCAGCGCTCAGCTGCGGTCAAAGACAGTGCCGAGACATCCACTGCACTCGGCGGTGGACTGTCACGAGACTGGTCTTGTGAGAGCGGGGACACCAGCACTTCGCTTTCACTGGCTCCTTCCAACCAGTCATCCGTGACCGGAGACGGCAGGAAATCGCCTCTCACCAGGAAGACGTTCGCCGGGGTTGATCGTCCATCTTCCAGTCGTACCGGTGATTGCAGACAGCTAAAGAGCTGCGCATACGCATTAGCAGCGGCCTGAGCCCGGAATTCTGAAGAAGGCGGTGTCTTGCTGACATTGGTAGCATCCTCGGGTGTCCGTGGTGACAGGTCTGCCCGATCGGTGCTCACGGCGCTGCTATCGTCCGTTGCTGTGGTCGCATCATCCGAGTCGAAGATACTTACATTGCTAGCCAGGTCCTCGGCGTCGTCGGTAATCAGAACCACGTCCGTAGCACTCCAGAAGCGCTGTTCCTGTTCTGAATTGGACGGCCATGGTCGGGACGATGGGCCAGGTAGGGTATCGTCCAGCTCGAAGGACTGGGTGTTTGGACTCTTGGAAGGGCGCTCTGCTAGATTGAAAATATCTGCGCCACCCACAGTCTCTGCAAAGCGCCGCTTTGCCATGTCAGGCAAGATGCTCGCGATGAAGGCAGCAGCACCCTTCCCTACAGCTCGCGGGAAGGGACGATTCTTCAGATCCAGGTGAAACGAGCCCTTCAACCGGCTGGCGCTGTAGGCTTGCAAGGATCTAGCGTCCAACAGGAGAAGCGGGCGGCGAGAACAAGGATCGAAGCTGACCTTGTCGAACAAGCTTCTAGGTTGGGTCAGCGAAGTCAGCACCTCGCTCTCTGTAAGTCGCTGATCGGTGCTTGGTCGAGATTCAAACGATGATGTGGAAGCGAAAGAGGGATGTGAGGCTGCGTGCGATGCGGTGTCCGAAGAAGCGAGATCAAGATGCTGTGAATGATACAATGATGGGGGTGCCGTCGAAGTTGAGACAAATGCTGGGGGCGAGCTCGCGGAGATAGATTGACGATCATATTGATCACCTCGAGGTCGCGAGCTGGAGGGAGCGGAGTCTAGAACGTCGCGACTCCATGCGGTGCTCGGCGTCCCGTGTTGTAGCGCCGCGTCTGCGCCAAGATCGCAGGTGCTGTGCTGCTGCGTGGCTTGGGTTTCGCCGCGCATGTCGGGCGCGCGCGCAGCTATGACTGCAGAATTGGATAGCAGGGACAAGTCCTGCGGTGCAGACAGCTTCCTCACTTGCAACCGACGTCCCAGGCTCGGGTTGCCATGCGACAGCGTAGTTTCTGCGGTCTTTGCGCTATGCGCATGTTCAGTAAGGTCTGATCGCTCCATCTGCTCTTCCAGCTCTGAAGGCATCGGGGCACCAGCAGCCTGACGGGACGCGCGCTCGCGTGAGGGTGCGTCGAGGGCACCCTGCCGGAAGCCCTGACCTGCATGCCGGGGCGGCGGCGGCGGCGGTGCAGCAGCATGAGCGCGTGCTTGCATTGCGCCTTCTGCTGCTGCAGCCGCGAGGTCGCTGCGAGGCGAGCTCGCCGCGGAGGATTCAGTCATCCTCTCACCCTTGACGAAGCTAGGCATCGATGCAAGATGTTCATCCCTGTCTGCGCGCTGTTCTCGACTGAAGTCCAAGCTTGATGCCTCAACCGTCTGCGAAAGAACTTCGTAACGGTCTTTCTCTTTTTCCCCTGTCACGCCGGCGTCTTTGGTTTCGAATGCGTGCTGCACAGGCGGGCTCGGCGGAGCGGTGGCAGTGCGCGGAACTCCGGGCGCGTGCTGCAATCGGACCGGCAAACTGTGAGCAACGGCAACCGGCCAGCTGCCATCTTGCCCGGCGTTGCTGAGCTCTGTGCGACTTGCGACTTGTCGCCGCGGTCCCAAAGCGTCAGCAGGATCAGGGCTCGCGTTGAACACCGCATCCCGTTCGGACTGCCTTATTGCCAAATCTGCGTCCTCTTGTGAGGCTAACCCCGTCGAGTCCCAGGAGACCAGAGCCCGACGAGAGGGGCCGTCTGCTGCGCGATCGAGGCGGGAAAATGTGGTCCTGCCAGCCGTCGACAACTCTCGAACTGTTCCGCTATCGGTCGCAAATGATCCGCGCGCATCGATAGCGGTTGCATCTGGTGCCATTTGCTCATGCGGACTTCGTCCGCGGGTTTGGTGTACAATAGGTGGTCGGCGCGCATGGGACGTAGCAGCAAAGTCAGCATTTATGCATCGGGCGTCGCGTTGCGAGTGACATTGCAGATTCATTTGGGCTGTTGTGGTCCATTGTCATGGTGTCCAGCACGTAGGAATCACTCACATTGGTGCGTTCGCATGACGACTACGGGTGCTGTCCGGTTTTGAGGGAGATGGGAAGGCCCCTCGGCCGTAGCATGATTGCAAGCGCAGCCACAACAACTCGTGCGGTATGATGCTGGATCGTACTGAAGTGCTCGTCACCCTGGATCGAGTGCGTCCATGCAGAGGTTGTGCGTATCCAAAGATTCCACGACCGTGCTCATTGCTGGCAATGTTACCATCACGTACCGCTGCGCCCATCAGACCTGCTCTTCTCGCGGCGTCTTCTGATTTGGCGAGCGCGGTGAGCCCTCCCTGAGTTGAGCCCCAAGTTACGTCTCCTGCAGGGGTCGGAGGCACACTCGGGTGCAAGACCTCCACAGACACGTCCTCCACGGATTCATCACTGATGGCACTGTGGGCGAAGCTGTTGGCGTACGCCCTCTCCGCAAAAGGAACCCTTGGTGCTACGTGCAGCGAGTGTAATCCATGCGGATCACTGATGGCCGAAGGGAGGTAGGTCGTGTGCGAGGCGGAGGATGACAATGGAGATATGGCGGAGTGCAAACCATTCTTGAGCTGCCAGAGATGAGCTGCGTGATGACTTGAATGTGGACCAGTTGTTGAAGTCGGAAAGCCTTCGTCAGCAGGCTGGTCATTCTGCGTTTGCGGTGGAGCAGACGAGGCTTCTTGATCCAGGGTGGCGGATGGAGCAACAGAGCTACCCTCCGAGTCACGCCGAGGCTCGTTGGAAAGGCGGAGGTCCTGCGATGAGCCGGCGGATGACCGCGCAAATGTCGTGTGGATTGCTGGCAAGGAAGGGCGAGGGCTCGACCCTAGCACAGATGTGCTGGACGCCGAAAGGCTACTTTCCGTGTACATGCCGGGTCGATCGCCATGATCGAAAGCGACTGTCGTTGATGTCGCGTCACTCTCCGCGTTGGGCAAGCTTGAGCCTGCAGAAAGCATCGCACCGGTGAAAGACATAGGCGCCATCATGTTGGATGGGTACGCAGCCGACGTTGGCGATGCGTGTGTGGGTGAGAAGGGGAGTCCCGAGTAGCCAGTGGAGCTTGGCCTCGCTGCCGCAACCGTGTCTCCGCTTCCTGACGCGAAGCCCTTCCTAGGCTTCAGAAAGTCCATTCGCAGCCGCCCACCTGAGCGTTGTGTGTGAAGACGTCGGGCTACCGACTCGCCCACCCCAAGCTTGGATCTGTCCTCTGATCCGCTGCTGCTCCCTGCTGGAGAAGGCCCCTCGCCGGTCTGAGAGTGGCCAGGCATGCTAGCGGCAGACCCGCTGATTTCCATGCCCAGGGATATGATAGCTATATGGGTTCTGTCTCCGCCTCCTTCTGGGACGGGATCGCGGGGCTAGAGCTTCATAGGACTCATGTTGCTGTGTGGACGGGCCCGCTCAAGTGCGGAGGATTCGGTGGGGCAGCTCGAGGTGGGAGGGAAAATCTCGAGGGGCTGAAACTGTTGCAATGCCGAGCGTTGTGCTGTGCAGCGTTTGTGGTCAGCAACGACCAGAGCAAATGATGCTCCTGCTAGTCAATCTGGAGAGTCGTAGCCAAAGGAGCCGTCAGTGACCTTCATCGAGAACCTTAAGCGCTTGGGTTTGATACCAGCGGGTTCCTGGATCTGGCCCACAAACAGAATCAAGAATCGACTTCATCAATTAAAAATCACAAATCAAGCTTTGATGAATATGTAGTCTCGACTCTTGTATGACACTCGCACAAAGCTGCACCATGCATGCATGCATGCAGCTCGGCTCTTGAAACATGCTCAATTTGAACAAAGTCGACTCTTAATTGACTCCAAAACATGTGGGCGTGCGGGCGCGCGTCCTGCTGATGACCTTCGACGTCCGTGGCATCAATAATCAGTCGAGTCGCGCGCATGCATCATGAGCAAATCAGCGCGCGCGTGTCGCGCGGTCTAGCTGCCGCGGCGAGCAGATTCTTGATTAAAAGGCAGCTTTATTACATCACGTGATCGCAAGGCTTCCATGGGCTGCACAAAGGCGCTTTCGATCGCAGTCTTGAGTCAAAAAGTCTTTTCGCGCAGGGAGTCAAGAGTCTGAGTGGAGTTGGCGCGGTGCACGCGTGACGACTCCAGCACCTCGCGTATGCTACGTACCGGTATGCGTGGTCGGCGAGCAGCCTATAGCGGAGACAGCGGGAGCGGCGAGGTCAAGCCTCCCCACGCATGCATGCGCGGCGCAGTGCTGAGGCTGCTGATGCTGCTGCTGGTTCGCATAACCGCGGGTGCTATGGTCGTTTGAGTCGTGATGAGTGCTTGTCGTGTGGGTGCATGCGCGGGCGCGCGACCTTCTGAAGTCACGAGTGATGCATAGCATGCAAACGGATCGAGCGAAGGGCTCGCTCGCGGTCGTTGCGGACTGCAATTGATCAGACATCATTGGTAATGCTTGATCGCTTGTCAAACACCTTCTTCCCTCCCCCATCTCAGACCATAACTGCTTTGCGCATTGGCGAGACGACTCACCTCAGGCCAGAGTGCGACCCAAAGCTGCTCGTTTCTTGATACTTGCGACTCAGTTGGCTCGCTCTTCTCTCTCTCTCTCTCTCTTGGTGTCTTTGTTCGGCTCTCTTCAAGCTCCGAGAGCACCACCAAAAAAGTCTCTCGCACTTGCAGCAATCTCAACGACTCTTCACACGCATCATGTCGACCACCACAGCAAGCAATGGCCATGTGCCCACAGGTCCTCGTCGAGGAGGCTACTCACGTCGCGGTGGAGGGCGACAAGGTGGAGGAGGGGGCGGTGCAGGCAATGCTGCTCAGGTGTTTGCTGACGACACAGACGAGACTCGTGCACTCAGACAGAAATACGGCGATAAGCTAGGCTTGCTCAAAGAACTCTTTGCTGATTGGTCGGATGAGGATCTCCTCTCAGTACTTTCCCAGTCTGGCGGCGAGATCGAGCTCGCCGTCGGTCGTATTAGTGAAGGTGAGTCTGAATCCGTAAAGGGACCGGTGTATGCATCGCAACGACTTCAAGGTCTCGCACTGTCCGTGCCTCATCTGACACGGCTAGTGTATCCGTCATCCTAGGCCACGCGGAACAATTCTCCTCAGTGAAAAGCAAAAACGCGCGCAAGAAGGAGACCTCTGGCCCTGCTATCAGCGGCTCTAACGGAGCCTCTACTCCGGCGGCGCCAGCTGGCAGACACGCAAGCAGAGGAAGTGGGCATGCGTCTAGTGATATCTCGACCCGTGGTTCTCGAGGCGGCTGTGAGTGGACGCGCGAGTTCACAATGCATTTCACAGTTACAAGTAGGCGAAGCGCTGACTCTTCTCATGCGATATTGGTGCCCACTCACGACTCTATAGCTGCTGGACGTGGAGCGAGAGGTGGATCACGTGGCGGCATGCGCGGTGGAGGAAGAGGAGGCGGTCCCGCACCTCAATCGAATGGTCATCTGGCCACATCTTCAACTGACGACTTTCCGACCGCAACGGCTCCCACGAGCACTGGTCCCAGCTGGGCTCAAGCCATCGCTGCGGCACAGAAGAAGCCACCTACTGCCACTGCGGCTCCTACGGTTCTCGAGGAAGTGGCAGAGGGTGCCGCGCAGTCTGCTCCAGAAGCTGTGGTGTCAGAAGCTGCAGCTCCTGCTATCGAAAGCACATCCTGGGACGACGACGTTCCAGAGCAGCCCGTTGCCGTAGTCGTGGAGAAGGATGACGCAAAAGGGGAGGTCGGTGCGATCAGGGCTGGAAGTAAGATCATTCCAAAGGGTTCGAAGATGAGCTGGGCGCAGATCGCAAGGTGAGTCCAGCCTCGCCCAGATCTCTCAGAAACAGATGCCGTCGAGTCCAATGCTCATATGTGATCATCCATCGATCCGCTTGCACCACTTGCACAGGCCTGCCGAGCCACCCAAGCCTAAGCCTGCGCCGGCTCCTGCCCTAGTCGCCGCCGCTGTCTCGGACCCTGTAGAAGCCTCGGAGCCGATTGAAGCTGTGATGAACGGAGAGACGATTCTCCCTACGACTACAGATAGCACCGCAGAGCCGGTAGTCGAGACTATCACGACCACAGTTGTGGAAGAAGCGCCGCTCGAAGAGGTCGCGACCACTTTCGAGCCTGCGAATCACTCAGTCGTCACCACCGAGGTCGTCACGCAAGAGCAGGAACCCGAGATTGCTCCCAGCCAGCCCATTGTTTCCTTGCCGCCAAGTGCGGAACCTGCAGCGCAGCCGGCGGCGGTTGCGGCAAAGCCGGGCTATGGAAGATCTGGATTGAGTCAGCGAGCCATTCAACGGTCCCGGCAAGACGTGCCAGTTGCAGTCTCGGGAGACCGCAAATTGGACAGTCTGGGTATGCAATTCGGCAACATCAGCTTTTTGGGAGCTGATGATGAGGCGGAGGAAGCCCCCGCTCAAGTCGCGGAACCGGCAGCCGCTGCGCCAGTGCAGCAGAGTGACTTTGAGGCTGCTCAACCTAAGCCAGCTGAACTTGACCCGGCGATCGTCGACTCTCGTCTGAGCGCACAAAGGTCTGCACAGGCAACTCAGGCCCCAGCAGCTCCGACTCAGCCCGCTCAAGCGCCACAGCAAACGCAGGCAACTGCTGCACCGCAAGATGCATTCTCCCAGTCTGCCACAAACGCGTATGAAGGCTACAAACCAGACAGCTTTTCGTCACCTGCGCAAGGTTTCAGTCAGGGAGGATTCGCTCAGCAGCAGGCCCCTCAGACTCAACAGCAACAACAGGCTCCACAGCAGCAGCAGGCACCCCAGCAAGCCCAGCAACACGACCCTTACGCGGCGTACGGCGGTCTGGGAGGCCAGCAACAAAGTCAGCAGGCGGGTTACCACAACCAGTATCAAGACTATTACGGTGGCCTCGACTCCCAAAGATTGGCTGTGAGTGTTTCGGTGAATCACTGGCATTTTCGCGTGCACACACCCTGACCTGTCGCATTTCTGCATCAGTCCCTGTACGGTGGCTATGACCAGAACACCGCGAGCAACGCATTCGGCGCGCGACAGAGCGACGACCGAACGCAAAGCACTGCTCAACATCAGTCTGCTCCACAGGCCCAAGCATCGAGCACTGATCAGCAGGGCTCTCAAGCCTCTATTGCGCCGGGCGGTCTGCAGGGCCAGCAGGGTCAGCATGGTCACCAACCCTCTCAAACTCACGGTCAGCAAGCGCCACAACAGCATGCTGCCGGTGGTCCACAGCAACAGCAGCAGCAACATCAACCGCAGCCACAACCCCAACAGCAGTACCCTGGCATCATGCCATACTACTATCCGCATTACTACCTGCCAAATCAATTCCAGCAGCACTACGGGCAACCGACTGCTGCAGGTTACAACCAGTACTTGTATGGTGGAGCAGCGGCCGCACAGCAGCCGCACAAGCCTGGAACGCCCGCTTCGCTGCAATCTCCTTACTCGACTGGACCTGAAAGTGGCTACGGCTCGCAGAGCGGCTACGCGCAATCGCCAGCCACTTCCCTGGCTGGTGCGAGCGCGTACGACAGCCAAGCTGGCGGATTTGGTCAGCGTGGTGTGCCTACTCACGGCGCCAATTCCGACTATTCCAAGATCTACGGTGGAGGTGGTTCCCTGCCCGGCCTTGGCGGCTTTCTAGGCGGACCTCCTTCACAAGGTCTGGGCAACGCCAATGCCAACGGCACCTCTGGTGGCGGTGCTTCAGGAACGCCACATGCTCAGCCCCAACAATCTGCCGGAGCTCAGGGTCAGAACAAGGTGAACGCTGGTCAGTCGAGCGGTCTGGATGCCTACCGCGGCTACGATGGAAAGCCGTCGGGCGGGGCTAGCGCTGCTACGGGTGCCAATGCTGTTGGTCGAGGCCCGCCACCTCATCAGCTGCAGCAGCAACAAGGCCAGCAACACACTCCTCAGCAACAGCACCAGGGAGGCTATTACCAGCAGCAGTACAGCGGTTATGGTCATCAGCCTACTGGCTCTGCCAACTACGGCGGTGGCTACGGCTACGGCAACCGTCAGTACTGGGGCCAGTAGAGCTTGTGGAGGTACGGGCCACGTCCAAGCTGATCGTTGGACGTCGAAGCGGTCGCGCTCCAAGCTTGTGCGTTTCCAAAGTCTGAAACAAGCCCACCTTTAGCAGGCATGTAATAGCTCCCTTTCTTTCTCCCCAAGAAAAAGATTCAAGGAGCAAAAAAATCGCATTAGTCTGCTTGCGCGCAGCGTTTCTTTGCATTTGAACCCCCACAAAATCATGCTTTCTTGACGCCCACCCAGCTCTTATTTTGTGTGCTTGCCTACTTCAGCGTCTGTGAACGAGTAGCAGGGCAGCGTGACACTTCGAGATTCGATGCAGTTGCGACATTGACGTGGCTGTAGTGTTGCTGAGTCGGAGCGCTCGGAATGGCAATGGCAGCGAGAAAGATGTCAAACGTCGGCCAAATCCGAGCCTTTTGGCCCGTATTGCTTTGGTACGTGTCTGGTTACAGCATGCGCTCGTCGAATCGCGCCCATCGATAAAGAAGAGATTCTCTGCCCCCGCCTTGTTGGCACATACACTATATGGGCAAAAGGCTCGCCCCACCTCTCAAAACCATGCTGCCACCATACCTCAGCGTGGCGAGGCCTCCGGGAAAGTATTGACTGACGGGGCGCGACGGCGAGGGCGCGTGGTGCGGATCAGCATTCGCCTTTGTCAAGGAGGCTTCCAAGCTGAACTCTCAGCTACTCACGCCAGATAGGCTAGTAGAGCTACAATTTGAACAACGGCTGCTATGAGTGTTGCTAGTTTCCACCGAGGACCTAGAGCAAAGTAGATGGTGAGGCCCAAAGAGGAAAAGTATCTGTGGCAAGTTGGGACATGAAAGGAGTCTGCAGACTCAACGCAAGGTCGGATCAAGGCGTGAGATGGGAAAAGCACTCACGAAATTGTGAAGGGTAATCTCTCTTTGGAGGTCAAGTGTTTCAGATGCGCTACGGGACCAGTCAAGATGGAGAAGCTGTATGACTCAAAGCGATGAGATTGGGCCTGTTAGATGCTTTGTGGCAGATTACAAAGACTATCCCTGCGATGCGATCGGAACGGACACTCACCCCGCCATGAAGAGCAAGCTACCCAAACTGAAGGCCAAGGGGAATTTGTCGGGTCTTGTGACGAATGTCAAGGGATTGATAAGGTAGAGGAAGGCTAGCAAGAAGCATACTGCACTTCCTGCAAGGCAAGCCAAGAAGCCCAAAAGCCTTACGAGCGAATGGTACATCGAGGTGGGCACGTAGGTCAGCACAAGTGTCGTTGTGGAACAGGTCGCATCGCACGGATTCGGCGCACCCACACCCGCACCCGCACTTCTAGACTTACCGCTCCCATCTGGACAGGCTGAGATAGGCTTCTTCTTCGTTTGTCCTTTCCGCACTTCGCAAGGGCACGTAGCCCGATAGCGCACCAAAAAGGCCAGAGCCGGTACCTGAAGTGGAGCCTGCTGCAGCAGGGGCACTATCATCCGTGCGGCCTTGAGCCCATCGAAAGCCTATCGCAGCGAGCGCAACCAGCAAGGCCACGAAAAAGGGTCAGCTTTGATAAAGTATGCCTGCCGCGAGCCAACGAGGCACTCGACACGCAAAGAGTCGACTCGATCTCCGCTCACTCACCGCTCAATTGATTTCGGAAATTACTTTCTGTCGGATTGGAAGCCATACTGTCCAGCCTGACCTTGTCCAACGTACCTCTGAGCTGCGCTCTCACGCCCACACCCGACGCTTGGTCTGCTGAAAGTGGAGGCGGCGGATCTGTGGAGATGATGTGGGCCGTGTGCAGAGTGACGGCGATGAGTAGCAAGATGGAGATGGGAGGCAATAGTAGCATGTAAACGAGGTAGAGTAGCCTTGTGCGTCGGTTGTCTCCTCCTCCTCTCGTCGAAGTTGCGGCTTGGTGCGTTGCGTTGCTGCTGTACGCCTCTTCGTCGTCCAGTCCAGTCCAGATCGGGACGGGTCGGGTCGAGATGAGAAGGTGTCCACAAGTGTGTGCTTGCAAGGCGAAGCTGGGGTTCGCGAATGGCGAATGCTGGGTGGGATGGGTACAAAGATGAGGCATGTGTGGGCAAGGTCAAGACTCGCATTCTCACTCCACACGCGCACTCATCAAGATTCAAATTGGCAACGAACGGAGTCTGGCCTGCAGTCACCACGAAGTCGTGGGTCAATTGAGTTGTGAAGTCACGAATGCTGAGCCTTGATGCGCGTTTCGACAAACGCGCGCGCGAGGTGGAGCTGCTGCTGCTGCTGCATGCTTCAGCAGCTATTTGATCACAGGTACACCTTGGCTGCACCGCTCGCGCTGCTGAGCGCGCTGGGTGAACCGGTCACGTGCGCAGCTCCGACATCGTGCATGTGCTGATGGCGGCCCCACCACCATCTTCCTCGCGCGATTGTGATTCAAGATTCGTGATTCTGATTGTCCCGCACCGATCAGCTCTACCTGTTGCCCATCCACTTACAAATTTGTACAGCAGCATCCCGACCACGAGGTGCTCTCCGCTCCTTGCAAGTCACAAGAGCACTGTCTCACCACTCGCGCAGGCATTGTGAGTGGCAGGTGTCAAAGGTACGATCTCAAGTTGATATTGGATTTGAGAGGACACCAACAATGTGGAGTCAAGAATTGAGTCATGGGAGCGAGCACCGGGTGGTCTAGGGAACCTCCCTCGTGATGATCAAGTGCGCACATTGGCTAGTGAAGCTGGAGCTGGAGCGGCCGCTCGAGCAGTGTGGCTCCTCTTCACTTTTTGTTGCCAGACGAAGGCGTGTAGGTGGATCCGCCCTGTCCATCGTTGTAGTACCTGCCACAGAGCATCGAGTTCAGAGAGCGTCATGTCAGTATCCGCAGTACTAAAGATGCCCAACCGACCCTGTGATCCCTGTATGCACTTCCGCACACTTGATCATCTGCGATCGTACTTGCCTCTTCCAAAGCAAGTATCCTTGCATGCCGCCACTCAGCTCGTAATCGCGACTCACGTAGATCCGTTGGGGTTGGAGTAGTAATAACTACCGTTCGAGTTGCTGTAGTGGTAGCTGTTCTGGTTGGATGCGGAAGACCCATAAATCACGACTGCAATAGTGATTGCCCTGCGCAGCATCACAATGTCGCAAGCAAATGAAGGAGGTGCACATCAAGTCAACTCGGAGGCTATTTCTATTTCTGCCTCGTCTGGTTGGGGGGCCATCGACGACATTTCAGACTCACTTGACTGTTGGTACCGTGCGAGTTGTACGAGTAGCCGCCTCCGTTACCGGTCTGGCCACCTTGACTAGAAGAACCTTGTCCCTTTGGCATTTTGGAAAGTGGACCGAGTAGATCAGGTAGTGTGAATCAAAGCTGAAGATGCCGAGTGTTTGGCTCAAGACGATGGTGATGAGTGAGAATTGTGCGAGTGAGCGAGTGATGAGGAGGTGAAGGGAGAGAATGGGACAGACAATTGTCGACCTTTTGTACCTTTCCACACCCACCACGGACAGTGACGAGGTCATGCCATGGCATGGCACGAGCGGGGTCGCTGTCGCTTGCTCATCCAGCAGCTTGCACGCACGTCAAGTGCATCCCCCCTCCGCTGCAGACAAGACAGACACGCATCCACGCATCAGCACGCGGCCAGTGCGCATCGCACCATGCAACCACGATCGAATGCCTGCACTTTGTGTGTTCAGTCCAGAGAGGACAAATGGCCATGTCTTGACGGCAGCAACGTCTCGATGAGGCAGTCTTGAGCCATGCAGTCACCGTCATGAGTTTCATTTGACGCACCTGTCTCATCTGCAGCGCGAAACTGAATGACATGCGCGTACTCAACTTCGCATACACCTTCCCCATTTGAGCTCTCAATGGTGCCGCCGTGTCTTCAAAGCAGAATCGCGGAGGCATCCGCCCATGCCCGGCAACGCGCACACGCAACATTCGCATCGTGCTAAAGCGGCCCATGCATCACACCCGTAATGCGCTCTCACCGCGGCAGCTCTGTCCCTTCGTCACCATGCGTCTAACCCGCTCACGCCGACCAACCCACAATTCAAGGCAAGTCTCTCCTTCCATTCTGGAAACGGCATCCTGAAGAAGCCGAGCGAGCAAGACCGTCTTGACTGGAAGCAAATATCAATGCAGGTGTCTCGTCCATCGCAGGGCCCGAAACCTTTTCGAAAGCGCATGTTTTGAGATTGCTGTATTTGAGATCATGACATGATGGCTTGTAGCCGCGACTGGTGGTAAGCGCACATCAGTCGTGCACGAGTGCGACTGTAAGAGTGTAGTACAGCGAAAACTCCGAGATGTGATAACCGCCAGAGTAGACGCAAGGGAGCAAAGGCGGAAGAACGGCTGGCGCGACCAACACGAAGGCCGTTTAGTAGTTGGTGTCGTAAGGCACGGGCGCCAGTGTCTGGGGTGCGTTCTTCTTGGTGCTGACAACGTAGGCCTCACGAGGTTGAGCCGGTTGACGCTTCAAGTTGACCTTCTCTGCAAGTCCGAAACAAGAGCGAGACACCAACTGGTCTCAGCCTACGCTCGAGCGCATCGTGCGCAGACGAGACAATACTCACCGCCCTTCTCCTTGGCCTCCAGCCTCTTGGCAGCGTTTGCCTTGACTCTGTTCAAGAAGTCGTCTCGGCACTTGGAGTGCTTCACGTGCTCAATTCGAACGTTGACGCGCTTCTCGATTTTGCGGTTGCCCACAGTCTTGTAGACGATGACCTGCACTGCACGAGGTTGAACACCAAAGACAACACCAGTTCGGCCGTGGTAGAACTAAAGCGTGGATGATGTAACGGTTCGTGCTTCAGCACCCATGCGCTTCGTACATTCCCTATAATCTCTCGCCGCTCTGGAGCTGCGCCCCCTTGCGCACGATCGGCCTCCCGTCGTATCGTAGACTCACCTTGTGGGGCATACCCTTCTGCTCAGCGGCGTTGGCCTTGATGTCGACAATGTCGCCTACGTGGTAAGAACGCAAGTAGGTGGAGAGCTTGATGGGTCCGTGCTTGCGGAAGTCTCTCTTGAAGAGATCACGCGTACGCGCGCGGTAACCGAATGAGTGAGGCCTGCAAATAAGATGAACGGTCGTTGCGTGAGCCTTCCAACTTAGCGCTTCGAGCTGCACTCTAAGACTTGACTGAAGCACGTATGATCCTGCCCAGTGCCACGCGCCACTTCCAGCGCATCCCGTAGAGGAATCATCTACTGCCTTCCCTTTGATTGAATCCTGCCGCTCTGTTGCAGAACGTTGAACAAGCAAGGGCAGCAGCCGCTGCACCGCTCCTGGCCCTCCGGGCCGTCGCAGCTCCATTCGGCATCCAGCCTATTGAGTCCCGGCGCCTCCGAGCCTTGCCGCATTTCGTTTCTCCTATCTGACGCCCAACTTCCGACCTTCCACGACCACTGCTAAACATTCGATGACCCCCGATCGACGGGTGTGAAGTTGTCGGTACCAGGATCGCAGAGCAGCCATTGACAAGGTTTAGCCTCGCCTCGTGCCCTGCAATCTCCGCCCAACTACCAACGGGTCCCGTCGCTGCTGTGAATGTATGCGCGCAAGCCCAGATGAATCGACCTCAAGCAGTCAGTACTAACATTTTGTGTCGGTCCTTGGGGTTGTCGAATGAGATGGATGATGAAATTAGGAATGTAATGTCGGTGTGTGCACTCGTGAGTGCGAGATCCCGGCTCCAGCGGAAGAAACCAAGGTACCAGCCAAATGCAAGCAGCTGCAGCTCATCTGCCTGCCTGACTGCGTCGCCCGCATCAGCTCAACCTAGGATTTCACCGCAGCGCGTGGCGCGCGCCCGCAGTGGCTGGCCCTTACGGCCACGTGGCGGAACCAAACTTTTGTCGTGCAGCGGCGCCCGGCGTGCGCCCTGACCAAGGTGGGCTTGGGGAGCCAGCAGCCAGGCTGTGAACGCAAGGCATGCGAGTGCCCATGCAGACAAGATACCAACGCGTCTTCCCTCTTACTACCGACACTCGACCACTTCCCATCAACATTCCTCAAGGTGAGTATCGTCGCAAGCGCCTGCCCTTGCCGTCGCTTCGACCCCAACATTCAGCGGGGCGCAGCAGCGCAACCATCGCAGTGTTCCCTGGACAAGCTGTATGGGGGGCGCAACTGGTTGGAGCAAGCGAAGTAATGTTGGAGTGGGAGTAAAGGCGCTCGTGCGCACAGCCGCGATGGCAATGGCGGGTGTGACAGGCTGCATCGCTCACGGAGCTGGACACTCGAGAGAATGGAGGTAGAGGTACTCATCGAGATGATGTGGTCTCGAGGCCAGGGACGCTGCCAAAGGCGGGTGAGGCGGCGCACCGTCGGATCTTGGCATGGTCTGCGCGCAACATTACACCTAGAGTCGAGCAGCAGAATTCAAATGCTGCACAAGCCGCACACTTCCAAACCTTGGTTGCACATGGGTTCTGACTCTTGCTCGTCTACCTTGTCATCTGCAGATGCCGCGTGCTCCTCGTAACCACAGCAAGACCTACAAGGTCCCTCGTCGTCCTTTCGAGTCTGCTCGTCTGGACTCCGAGCTCAAGCTCGCCGGAGAGTACGGACTGCGCAACAAGCGCGAAATTTGGCGCATTGCTGTGAGTGGTCTTCACCCTTGCGCTGCTGCCACGCGGCAAGGCATCTCACACCGCCTCGCTCTTTTGCAGTTGGTCCTGTCCAAGATTCGTCGTGCCGCTCGTGAGCTGCTGAAGCTCGAGGACAAGGACCCCAAGCGTCTTTTCGAAGGCAACGCCATCATTCGTCGTTTGGTCAGAATCGGTGTGCTCGACGAGACCCGCATGAGGTGAGTCGACGTGAAGGGCGCGGTCGACGGGAGTCGTCAGCCACGCGAAGAATGACATTTGCAAGGCTATGGGAGAACGACGTGAGACTCTTAACGTTAACACGCGCCATCTCATCATCGCCAGACTCGATTACGTACTTGCCCTCAAGATTGAGGACTTCTTGGAGCGCCGATTGCAGACTCAAGTCTACAAGACTGGTCTCGCCAAGTCTATCCACCACGCCCGTGTCCTCATCACTCAACGTCACATTCGGGTCGGCAAGCAGATCGTCAACGTCCCCAGCTTTGTCGTTCGTCTCGACAGCCAAAAGCACATTGACTTTGCGCTCACCAGCCCGTACGGTGGTGCACGCGCTGGCCGCGTTAAGCGCAAGCGCGCTGCTGCTGCTGCTGCTAAGGAGGGCGGCGGTGAGGAGGAGGAGGAGGAAGAGTAGATGGTTTTGCGGAAAGGCATGACTAGATTTGCAGAATAGCAAAAAATCCTCATGATTCCCGATTCTGCGACCATTCGACATGTAAAAATACTCTTCTTGGGTCGGGGTTGGCTTGTTAGGCCGACTTAAAAACGTTGAGCGATGCTGGCTGGTGCCACCGCCTTGCTTCCTCGACGGAAGAGGCTGCACATCCACGCACCTCTTTCCATCCTACTCTCATGCACAACGGCTCTCCTTTCTTCACGCTACAAGCCCCACGCAATGACAGCGCTTCATCAGAGATTCTCGCGTGTCCTTATCCTTTCCATCGATCGGGTGTGACCTCGCGCCCAGCGCGGCAGCGACCAAAAAACGGCATGATTCTCACGGGTGATCGGTGTTCCAATTAATGTGACAGTGGCTCGCTGACGTTGTGCGGCCTTGCTCAAGCAGACCTGCGTACGGTGCGAGTGTCCCATCGGCAATGAACGTCACGTCTGAAAGAAGCAATTTTGAATGTGCAGCTATTCACGAATGTGGAATCGTGGGTATGAGCATGGCTTTCGGGGTGTTGGACGGCTTGGCCACCTCGCACCGGTGCTCTTCGCACGGGAAACAGGCCGCAGCCAACGTACAGGACGATCAACGCTCAGAGCACAGGAGGCGACATTTTCTGCCCCGCGTCACAGCTTGACGAGTGTGAGATTCAAATTGGCTAAACGCGGGTGCGACTTGATACTGGGCGACATCAGAGCTGTCGCACCGTTCTATGCGAGCATGCAACCACATTCGGGGACAGCTGCGGCATGATAACGCATAACGATTTGATATGTTGATCATCGATCAATCGCAATTGCGAATAACGAATGTCGAATCATTGGTAGCGCATGCAGCACGTACACCTGTGTTCGGCGCCACCGTTGCAGGCAGGCAGGCACGCCGCACGGATGAGAGCTCGTCTAGCTGAATCAAAGCCAGGAAGACACATTCAGCAAAGTCAAGACTCATGCTCGCGGGTGAAGAGTCAAAAGCGGACCGCGTTGCCAGGGAGCACCTTGACTGTGGATCACCTGAAGGATCATCTGCGCGGCGGTCCGAGGTGCACCCAAGCAAGAATTTAAACAAAAGCTTCGATTTCGTCTTGACTGGAGTTCGTCGGGGTGTGCTGCTTGCCTGCTTGCATGGGAACGTCGAGTGACAAATGCGGCTTTTCCGTCATTCACATTCTGATTAGTGACTTATAATCAAGAATCATGATCCAACAGTTTGGACGCGAAGCTACATGTATGCAGTCACAGTCGTGAGTGTGAGTCACAGTCACACAATCGTAAGTCTTGAGGAGAGGTGTCTCGGGCTGGATGAGGCTGTGCACACCTGAACAATCCGCTGCTTCTTGTGCGCTGCACGTGCAACTGCCGTATTTAGACACGCGCTCAGCAACGAAGTCAAGAACGATAATAAATAATACGTGAACGGTGAATGTGAATGCAGCACAGCACCATCATGAGCCAGTCGCCCGCGTGTGCGCGTGCGCGTGCGCGTGCCTAACGGCCGGGCGCCAATATCGGCCGGTGTGCTGTGGAGCTGGGACGAGGTGCCCGCCTGCCTGCCTGCCTGCCTGCCTGCTCGTTGACTCGTGACTGCAGCTGATGATCATCTCGCCCGCCCTTGGCATGGTCGTGCGACTATTCAAGCAAATAGTCGCGAGTAGTGAGCCGATTCTGACTCACGACTGTCTATCACGGCACAGCCTCTGACTTGACCCCTGACTGCCACCAACAAGATCGCTAGGATCATCTTCTTGACCTCTCCACCACCTACACAGTTATCTTGTCGCTTCGCAGCAACGCCGTCCTCTTGATCTGGAATCAGTCGCTTCGCTCTCCTACTCTGCACGTCCATGGTACGTCTCAACCTGACACCATCACCCAACTGTCCCCGCTGCGGCAAAGCAGTGTATGCAGCGGAGAGCATCATAGGTCCCGCTGGCAAATCTTACCACAAGCCATGTCTGAGCTGCATCGTGTGCAGAAAGAGGCTGGACAGCACGCTGCTATTGGAACACGAAGGCGAAGCCTTTTGTAGGAATTGCCATCGAGCTCATTTGGGACAGGGAAAGGGAGGGTTCGGATTGAGCGTGCCTTTGCAACCCAAGATCCCGCCCAATGGCAGTGCTGGCACTGCAAGCACGAGGACGACTCCGACGGCGCCTGATAGCGCAACCGACCCACAGCCTGTGCCCTCCTTGGAGCCGAATTGGGATCCTTCCATCCCTCGCCTTCGACCTCGCGATGTGAAAGACGAGAAGCGGCACGATGACGGCGTATTGACGCTAGCAGATCATGTGCCCGAAATCCATATCACGTCCAGAGGCAAGGCAGACGATATCATTGGAGTGCAGGCCCGGGATAGTGCGAGGCATGAGATCGCACACGGAGCAAATGGCAATGCCCCTATTTCGGGAACTTCGTCCAATGGCAAATCTCCTCGCTCCATCGATGACATTATCGCTTCTGGCGTGGAAGTACCTACGCCTATCAGTAGGCTCGCGAGCGCTCGTGCTCGCGGTGCGGGTCCGGGTCATCCTACCGCAACTCCAAGCGCTGCCAGCGCACGCAGCGCATCTTCTGCGCTTCAGCATGGTCAGACGTCCACTGCCACAACAGGGACCACTGGCAGCGTGGCCAGCCCAGCTGAAGTGCCGGTCATAGCATCGCAAGCCTCCGCACAACGCTTGGTTACGTCTCCAGCTCCAGCTCCAGCTCCAGCTCCAGCTCCAAAGCCTGCCAATTTGAGCAGCACAGCGAACATGACTATCACAAAGACGGCAGCGATGTCAGCGCGTGGGGAGCCTCAAATCCCGTCGAGCAGTCAATCGATTGACCAGAGTAGCTCGGTCGATGGTCTGCCTGCTCCGAAGCGGGTCGTGCCACCTCGAGCGAGCATCGGAAAGACTGCACCATCGGCAGGTGCTGCACATGCCACGGATGGAGGCGTCAGCGCTGCGAGCATTGCTATTGGTGCGATAGATTTGAGCCCTGGAAGAGGAGTGAGAAATCAGGGACTGGCGAGCAGCGTGAGAGCTGGAACGCCGTTGTGTGCTAGGTGCAGCAAAGCAGTTTGTGAGTTGAGTCCCAGCTGCAGATGCCACGGCTTTAGAGACTGTGCATGGTCAGCTCATGGAATTCATGTCGCGATTTCGACGCGCGCCACATGCCCCTACGTTTGACAGACTTTGCCGAGCAGCTTACTGCGGCTGGAAGGCTGTGGCATAGGGCGTGCTTGCGCTGCGATGGTTGCCGAACGACGCTCGAGCCGTCCAAGCTGGAAGAGGGTCCAATCGGAGCAGAAGAACACGCGGCAGAGGGCGAAAGGGGCTGCAACGTGTGGTGCAGGACTTGCTACAAGAAATTGTTTGGGCCCAAAGGTGAGCGTGAAGTCCTATTACGCTCGTCATGCGAGCATATGCAGCGTCTTGCGATTGATAAGACAAGGCTGAAGTTGTTGCTCTCCTTTACACCCATGCTAGGCATAGGAGTGGCGGGAATGTCTTTGCCTGAAGCTCAAATTTCGCCCCGTCGATAGGCTGTCTGCGATATGGTCCCTCATCACTCTCTTATATCTCCCCTCGTTCCGATCACTGATCCCCGGACCGACATGACGTACTTTCGAACTGCGTTGCGAAATGATGATTGTCACGCACACTTTCACTACTATACCATGCTGTGTACCATCCCCGCAGATACGCGCACCACCACGACGAAGATGACGACGACGATGGGTGGTCTTTAGCTCTCCTTCACGCGACTTCCTTGCTTGTCATGTTACCAGTCGATGCTCAGCTGGATATTTCATGCCAATGAACGAATTCGGTTCATTGCAGATGCGAACACGTGGTGTGATCGTCACCCAATGATGAGTGCGACAGGGGTGCTTTGACAAGTCGGTCATGAAGTGCAATTGCATTCTGCCTCTGGACAGGCCGTTCACGCGACATAATGGCCGTACTGAAGTATCATGGCTGTCAACGAAGAAGCTGACGGGGTAGAAGAACGCAGAGGCCAAAGCAGAGTGAAGCCGTGATGCGCGTCAGCAACGGGGAGCCAGGATGAGCTCAGGCATGAAACTTACAAGCGACGATTAGCGGCACGACGATTCCGGGCAACTTGCTCATCTTCGTCGTCTTGTACACGATGGCTTCGCTAGAGAAGTGCAGGATGGCAATGACGAAGGTGAGGGCGCAGAGGTGATAGACTCTGTGGACGGGGGGTCAGGTGAACACATGAGCCAGACGCACGAAGAATGGGTGGCCAGTAGCTAGCATCAGATCGAGCGTTGTGACTATCGCCTGCCTTGATGAGGCTGGACAAGACGACTCACTCTCGGTTGTGGATATGGTAAGCTGCGTACGTTCGAACAGTGGCGCTGCCCAGATTCCAAATGGCGAAACAACGAGCTTGTAAAGCCGTGCCTTGCGCGCCCGAAGCGTTGTACACTTGACGAGCAAAGCTCGGATTGAGGAAGGTTTGCACACCGTTGATGTAGGCCATGGACGCTACTAGCAGTAGCCATTTGGGAAGGACACCATCGCCGGGGGGAATCACTGTTTGCATTTCCGGAAGGTCAACAATTTGGAACGGGGTTAGCAGGTTTGAACAAGCTCCTCACAACTGCGACACAGTATCGGTTAGCAAGACTTACAGCTTGCAACGTCGAACGACATGCTGTGCACAGTGAGCCACAAAGTAATGTCAGAAGTTGTCCATCAATCTCGAGCTTGGCTTTCGCCCTTATCGAACGAACATGGATGGTTGAGGATGTCGAACAACAGTCAAGAGATCCGATCAGGTTGGGCTGCGCTGCGCTGCGTGGCGATGTGCTTGCTGCACGCTGCGATGTCTGCAGCAAGCATTCGTTGCACGCCTAGACAGATGCTTCAAAGTCAAGGCTCTGCTCCGATCCACTCGGAAGTCGACGTCTGAATCTTGAATCACAATGGTCAACAGCACATCACGTAGGAAAAGTCTGCGGTCAAGAGTCTGAGGGTAGCCAGCAGCTTCACCTGTCAGATCGCCTTCTCATCATGACCATCGCAACAATCACAAGTCTGAAGTCAAGAGACCGGAGAAATCGAAGCCCTGATCAACCATTTGAATCAAGCAAAACACGGAGGCTCGAGCACCCGCTATCAGAGTGTTGAGTGATGAAGAATGAATGAAAATGAGTACTTGCGCGGGTGAGGGATAGACTTGAAATCTTGACCAAGGCCTTGCTGATATTCAAGATTACTCTTGATTCTGATTCAAGATTGATATTTGCGCATGGGTATCACTCAACTGAAAATCGGAACGTATCCCTTGTATAGCGCAGCGCACAAAATCTTCAATGACTCTGAATGAAAATCTAGATGCGCAACCAAAACGTCTTTTCAATGTGGAATTGAAATCAGAACGAAAGTCCGTCATCAAACGCCGCCTGCGAGAATTTATGCACATACTTTGACTTCTGCTTTGACATAACAAGCAAACCAAGAATAAGAACAACAAGAGTAATCACGCACTGTAACCATCGTCGTGATCGATCGAGTAGCTTCTTAATTCAAGATTGCCGCCGCGCGCGTGCCCTGTATACTTGATACAATCACAAACGATAGATACCGGTACGGCCGGTATGTGCGGTGTTGGGTTTGCGATGCGATGCGATGCGGACATGCGATGCGTGATGGATGGATGGCTGCAGATGAGGCTGCTGCATATGCTCACAGCACACGCGGGCTCTGGCTGCCACGGATGCTGCACCATGGCTGCTGCGTGTCAAATCGAGATTTGCGTCGTGACCTGATCCGGCGGCGGGTTAGCGGCCAAGCAAGGGTTTGATGCTATAGAGCTCGATTCGACCCTTCCACTTGACGATTCGCCGCTAGATTCGTGATTGTGTGACTCGAGTCGTCACTCGATCGCAAACCATCCCTATTGCCTCGTATCACAAACAACCCTTCCCGCAACTCCTATCGAACGGGCCTCGCATCTGCTCATCCCTCGATCGTCCTTCCATCGCCCAGACTCTTGAGTTCTGACTGGCACGCAAGCCTCGCCCAGCCGGCCGGACCTATGCGAAGCAGCTAACGCACACTCGTCAGGGGTCAAGCCTTTCAACATTGCAAAAAGTAGGAGTAGTCGCCGAAGCTTACTTTTCGCCAGTACCCCTTCTTGTCCCTTGCGACGACACCTCGGCAACGCTCGTCTGATCGAATCTCACCGAGATACGTAAGCAGACGCTACCTTCACAGTTCCTTCGCAAGCCGCCTGGAGCATCTGAGCCGGGATGGGTCAGAACGCGACCAGGCCAGTGAATTTGGCAGGCGAGGCAGGCTCTTCCAGGGGCGGCCACTCGGGGCAAGGCTCCAGTGGAAGTGCCAGCGGGAGCAGAGATCGAAGCTCAGCCTCTACAGATCCAGCTTCGGTGGCCCATCTGCCTCCCGTCATCGTGGATGGAGGTCACACCATACCTCAGGGAGTCTACCCTGGTGCACCTCAAGATTTTCATCATCAAATTGTCAGATCGCTCATTATTGCTCGCAAGCTCTGTCCCTTCTACCCCACGGTCGACGATGACGATGAAGGACAAGATGGGAATGGTGACTTTGCGACGGAAGAGGATACAGTCGGGAGACCCGCCACGGAATGTCCAATCTGCTTTTTGGTGAGTGTGCCTCATCTACTCTAGCTCGAGACTCGAGTGCCAACCTCTGACGTCCTGTTGTGTCTCCTCCCAGACCTTTCCCGCATCACTGAACAGAACGAGGTGCTGCGGGCAACCAATCTGCACGGAATGTTTCGTTCAAATAAAGAGAGCAGATGCCAACCATACCAATCCACCATCTTCAGAGCCGGCCAGTTGTCCCTACTGCATGACCAACGAATTTGGAGTGGTATACTCGCCTCGCAGCAAGCAGAGCTTGCCTACCAGTCCTTCGTCTCCTGGATCCAGCGGCATTCAGGGCTTCTCGGGCACAGAAGGTGCAGCCGGCTTGGCGGAGCTGGCGGCCGGTGGGAGCAGGGTCCCTACGCGAAGACGAAGTGCCAAGGCGACGGATGCGGACGTCGTAACAGTGGGTGAGTACAGAGACGCGGTTTGATGCCACGCACGACGTACACACAGATTTGAGAGTGACAGCGTCACGCGTTGGCCAGCCTAACATGCACATGAAGCTCTTGCTGATTTGGCTACTTACCTCTCTGGACCCCACTTTCAGACATGGTCCGACCGGACTGGGAGGAAAAGCTGCAGTCAGCGCTCGCTGCGATTGCTAGGAGGGCAAATCGACGAATCATCATGCGTCAAGTGGGCGACCGATTGATTCCCATCGGCGTCTCTTCCTCTCGTATGGGCGCCGAGTTGCCAGTTGGAGATGGACCTGGAGGGGCCATCATTCTTCGCGAGGGCGAAAATTGGGGTCAACAAGCGGGCACTCCGGGCATGGAGAGGAGCAGCCGCAGAAGGAGGGGTCCATTCGGACTGCCCGGTGATGGGCCCGATATGGAAGAGGTGAGCAAGAGTCGACTAGACGTCGTTCCGCGGCGTTTTGAGCCACCTGACTCACCTTCGCTGCATACGATCCCTCAGCTGATGATGGCAGAAGCCATGCGTCTAAGTTTGTTAGAGCACGAAGAACAACAAAGACGCCAAGCTGCCAGTTCTGTCGCAAGCACCTCTGCGGCACCTGCCTCGGCACCTGCAGCTTCAACTGCTTTCTCGAATACGTCCGAAAGGACCGTTTCAGCTTTGCCAGCCTTACCCAGCTCTGCCAGTGTCCTCCACACGGATTCTCCGCCGCGAACACAAACTGCCAGCAGCAGCTCGACACCTGCCACCATACCCGCGCGAAGTCGTGCTGCTGGTGGTTCGAGTTTCTCTGAAGACGCGACGCCCTCCCCCGGCCCGGCTGCAAGGGTGACAACAAGTAGCTCGCCTTTATCGACCAGCGCTGCTCTGAGCACGTCGACGAGCCGACCTGTGGACTTTGGCCTCACGCCTGGGATGATGGCGGAATTGTCGGAACTCGTCGAGGGTGGAGACTCGATCAGAACCCCCAGAATCGAAGAGCGCCACAGCGATGGCCAGCTGGACCCGCTGGCGCAAGAAATTGAAGCTGCGATCTCGCCTGGACCTTCCACGCCGGCGCAAAGCTCTCCAAGCCGGACGCGGAAAGCTTCAGCAGCAAATTCTGCTGCTTCGCCTCCAAGGACTACAGCTCCTTTGAGCGGTGCCGTCACGCACACACATGCTGAAGGTAGTCTGCAGCGAGCAGCACCAATCGCAGCAGCTGCTCGCAACGCTGCGCATTCGCGCAATCCATCCGCCATCTCCGCCCCTGGCTCACAGCCGGGCTCCTATGGCGCAAACAGTGCTGGCAGTACTCCCGCGCATGGATCACCATCAAGACCACTCAACCCTAACAATCCCTTCAGGCAAGCTCATAGCCGCACATCGTCCTCCAACCCAGCACAAGGTAGTCCACGATGAGCGTCACGTTCGTTGGCGTCGTCACAAACGTAGTCCCGCTCCGCTTGGCTTAGCTGCGCGCTTCGCACAGGCATTGTGTGCAAAGCGGCTCGTCGATCTCATCATCTCCATCTCAATGCGCACCGAGGTGCTTCGCTTCTATTCCTTGTTCGCGAATTACCCTCCCCCTTTCCTCTCGTCTCTCTACACTTGCTATATCAGTATCGGCCGTCACCTGTTCTCTTTGCCACAACCCTAACCATTGCTGAGAGATCGAGAATGCACTTCTTTCTGACATCGAGATCGCACTTTTATCACCCTGGAACTCATCGCATGGCGGCATTGGTCTTGCGAGGTGCTGCGTTGTATCGCAACTCCACTTTCACAGACTGATTGGGCGTAACGCGAACGCTCCCCAGATGCTATGCAGACAAATGCGCCGCTCTAAAAGCCAGATCCTATGACATTACTGCTCGGTACCGAGTCCGATGAAGCGAGGGCGGTTGCGATTCACTGTAGTAGCGCTCGACTCTCTCTAGTGGTGTTCCTTGACGACGGGCTTCTTGGCCTCCTCGAGCCACGCATTCACGTCCTCGTGGCTCTCGAGCAAGCTGCCAGAGGAGGAGGAAGAAGCAGAAGCTTCGGCCACGTCGGGCTCGGATTTGGAGTAGGCGTCCAACTCGGAGGAAATGTCAGAGGTGCTGACGCTGGGAGCTTGTGGCGCTTTGGGAGCGTGAAAGTCTCGCACTTGACCCTTGTGGGCATCGGCAGACTGTGCGGGAGGAGAGTGCGGCAGTCAGTGCTCGCTCGCCGGTTCTTTGAGATCGCAAGGAAAAGCTGAGCTTTGTGCGCTGCAAAAGGTGGCCGTACAGTGACGACCTCTGCACGCAAGTCCAAAGCCAAGCTCTTCCCTTCGACCTGAATGTTCGCCGGCAAAATATCAAGCCGTCCCATGCAGGACTACTGTGATCCTTGACTTTTCCCTTGCCTTCTTTTCCTGCTTACTCCACCAATCAAAACACGCGCGCCACCATCCCTGCTCCGCAATCCTCGGCATTCCAAGCTCTAAGCTCAGGACTGAGCAGTACGAAACTGCGAGCGACTCCCGCATCTCCTCTGCGATGCTCACCTTGGCAGGTGCCTTGTAAGCCTTGAGCTCCTTGATGTAGATCTCCTGCACAAAGTCTGATGCGCCAGCCAAAGCGCGCGAAGTATCGGGAAAGGGCATTGCACGTCAGATGACAATCCGAAACGCGCGAACGGGTGCATGGAGTTGAGATGAGAAGAGACGTACCTTTGCTGGCGATGGCAGAGCTGCTGATGGAGCGAACAGTCATGGGAGCTCTAGAGCGGGTCTGGAGAAGGAGATTGGATGTACGTATCAGCATTTGGGTGTCGGTGACTTGGCTCGTCACGAGCACCTCTTCGAATCTCAACGCCTCTTGGTCGCCTGTGCGCGAAGAGAGGCTGGCATACTCACAGCGCTCAGAGCAGCGTTGGAGAAGGCGGACAGCATTGTGCAAGTAGAAGTGTGAGTCCTAAGTCGATCAAGTGACGTTGGTGGGAGTGTATTGGCTCGAGGTGCACTCTGTCAGTGCGCCTTGGGGAATCAGATGTTCCAGCCGAACCCGACGACAGCGCTGTCGTCGATGACGGCCACGCCGTTCGACTGTGCTCTTGTGTCTTGGCTCTGGCTGCACCAGTGAAGCCTTGCCACGTGGCTTGTGCATCACAGACGCGACCCTCGCCCCGACAGAGCCCGGCTGCGCGCGCATCAGCCGCGATGCGGCAAGTGTGGGCGCTTCAACCATCTGCAAGTTTGAGTGCTTCAAAAGCTCACACGGCTGGTCCGAGCGCACTCGCTGACGTTCCGCGAGCAGCGCACGCATGCGTCGTGGCTGCTGCTGGCTATGCTGCACAAGATCGAAGGGTTCGGTGGTTGCGTGCATGGATGGGATGTCATGGTGAGCTCATACATGCACTCGTGACTCACGACTACCCAACGCAGCCAGCAAGAAGCACATCACCTCAACAATCTTGAATGCAGCGAGCACGGGTGTGTCTTGCCGTCGGATTTCTTGACCTCGACAACCGTTTGAGCCATCGCGTTCAGTACAATACAAGCCAAGCACCAATCCGTTGACGAACCATGTCTCTCTCTCAACTTCGTCTGGCAGCCAGCCGCAACCTGAGCTCCGCAGTCACAGTGGCATCCAGCTTCCCAGCTCGTCGCACTTTCGCAGTATCTGCTAGGAGCATGTCGGACGAGAATCCAGAATTCAAAGAGCCTCACAAGGCCAACCCTGGCAAAGGCTTGTCCGGAAGAGGCCAGAGCAACGAGGATGAGTGAGTTTCTGTCATTCCCATTGAGAGCACAATCTGACGGGCCCAATGAGGTGTTTGGTCTGCCATTCGCACATCGGTCGAACTTCGCTAACACTGGTCCGCTGTTCTTTGCAGCTACGTACGTCGTCACGAGCAAGAGCTCAAGAAGTGTGAGTAGCTGGGAATATGGATGGCCTGCGGTCAAGATGGAAAGCAGAGCGAGGACATTATTCGAGCGTCGGTGCTGCGCCCAATATTGCCAGCGCATCTTTTTCCCCGCATGGGGGGGAGGTTCCAAGCGAAAAGTATACCACTTGCACGAAGCCGCTTCGCTTAGCACGCTGCTTTCGGAATATGCGAGAGCAGCACACAGGCATATGCGAGCGACGTTGGAACGTGGCCTCGAGCGCTCGCTTGGCCAAGTCCTCCATGCTAAATCGACTACCCACGCTTCTGCCCGCCACAGTGCGCGACCGCAACGAGCAACTCGAGAAGGATCTCGCCGAGGCCAAGGTGCGTCGGCCTCGTCATGCTCTGGCTTTGGAAGCTGAGCTGCCTGTGCGCTGACCTTCTGACTCATTTCGCAGGCCAAGAAGTAAAGCAGATCACAAAGCGTCTGGAAGCCACTCGTCGCTCATCCTTGCATTGCGCGAGGCTGGATGGCGTAGCTGAGAGCACAAATATTCGCATTCAGCGACACTCTGACCGAGAATGTCAAATTAGGGCACTGTGGGAGTCAATGCAATAAACATTACTCCGCTCTCGCTTTTCCTTTGCCTTTAGTCGTCTTGCGAGGAGCGGCATGTCCCATCGCATCGCCAGATTTGAAATCGTTCTGCTGCTCGCCTGCGGTTTCGATCGCCACACTACCTGTAGCACTCCCTTCGTTGGGATGCGCCTGGTGCCCATTGCTTCCATTTTGCATGGGCGGGGCTAGCTCACCGTGCTCATTGCTCGCATCGACACCTAATTGCCGCAGAGCACGCACCAGATCATCGTCAGTGCGACCAGAAGCCTTGCCATTGGGCGCTGGCAGTCCGGCGTGTTGCTTTTCCTCCGCATCCCTTTCCTCGGGCGGCTTGCTGAATTTTGCTTGGACCTCGCGGTAGTGTGCCATTTCCGCTTCGCTAACGGAAGGGCTCAGCTCTCTGAGTGCCGCCTCGAAGTCGACGCGCGAGACGCGGACCTCTACATCCGAAGCTGAAGCCCTTTCGGCCAGGTAGTATTGTGGCGTCATAGGATGCGGGAAGTCGTAGGGCGGAGGTTGCGCGTTGAGCTCCGCTGAAAGCGATAAAGATTGTTCCAAGGTCAGCAAGACGTATGAGGAGACTTGTGAGACACGTGTTCCGCTCACCTATCTTGCCATCGACTTCGCTCGCTTTACGCGTCATGGCTTTGAGCATCGCATCGCTGCACAGCGCGTAGAAGTCTGCTCCTGTCAAGTTGAAGGGGCACTGCTCGGCAATGTCCCCTAGTGAAAGCTCTGCGTCCAATTTGAACTTCCGGGTGAGGGCTTGAAGGATGTTGAGCTGAGCAGCGTGCGTCTCTGACACCGAGAGGTACAGCAGCCGATCAAAGCTGGATCGAGTAGTAACTCGAGAACGTCAGCATCGAGATCACTGCTCTGGGAGTTGGATCCCAGCGGCACTCACCGTCCAGGGCGCAGCAAAGCAGGGTCCAACAAGTCGGGGCGATTCGTCGCGCCAATGACGAACACATCGCTGCCCTCCGAACTTCCAGACATGCCGTCGAGCTCCGCAAGCAATTGCGAAACGATTCTGTCCATTACGCCACCCGAGTCTCCCTGATTCCCTCTCTTGGGCGCAACGCTGTCCAACTCGTCAAAAAAGATGACACAAGGCTTGGCGTCCCTCGCACGCTGAAAGACGCGTCGCACGTTGGCTTCCGACTCTCCAATGTACATATTCAGTAGCTCTGGACCTTTGACGCTGAAAAAATTGAGCGAGCACGACGTCGCTACAGCTTTGGCAAGCAAGGTCTTGCCCGTTCCGGGCGGACCATACAAGAGGATGCCTGAGGGCGTGTGGGGTGCACAGGTCAGCGACGGTGGGGGCAGACAGCAATGCATGGCACTCACCACTGCGCTTCTTGAGCCCGTCACTGAACAGCTCGGGATGATCGAGCGGCAGCTGTATCGTATCGAGGATATCGTCCTTTACGCTTGCGAGACCACCGACGTCGTCCCAAGTAACGTTTGGAATCTTTGGAGCGCCGATGCTCTCGCTGTAATTAGCGCGCGCTTTACTAAGAGCAGCTTCAAAATCCGCACCATTGAGCGCAAGGCCAGCCAGAACAATGTCACGATCTGCCGCCTTCGCTGCGTGCCACGTGCTACGCGCGCGGCCGAAAGGTAGCGTCAGTAGAGCTGTCCGGCAGAGAGTCCAATGGATTGACCGTCGAGCGACTCACGGGGTACCAATGGCGCGTTGGACTGCAGCCTCACGAGCTCGTTCAGCCAGGTCGACCAGATCCGCAGCGACAAGCGCCGCGGTCTGGGTGGCAATGGATTGTAGACTGGCGTCTGGTCCAAGCACGGATTTTTGCAACGTCGACTGCAAGATTGACAGACGCTCGTCCTCGGACGGTGCCTGGGTGAGGTAAATGCATCAGGAATCTTGTGCTGCTGCCCTGCCATAGCACCCGGGAAAGGTGACAGACGGGTCAGATATACTCACCGAAATCTCCACCTCGTGCTTGAAGCAGGCCAAGACGCCTGTGGGGCACTTTTCAGGCTCGCTGGTCGTCGCAAAAACAGAGACCGGCCAAGTAGGCGTGCCTCGTGTCGAGCTGGTCGACCGCTTGAGCTGCTCCATACAGTCTCGGAGAGCGCCCACCATTGCGGGCTCCTGTCCCGATTCCATAGCTTGGCTTTTGCGTGCTAAAGCTTCCACATTCCGCAGCAACAGAATAGCTGGTCCGCAAGAAGCCGCCTGCTCGAAACGAGCCCTCAGCATTCCTTCCGTCCTGGCGTCCGTGTCCGCAACCAGCTCGTAGCAGCTGAGTTCCAAAAGCGGCACTCCCGTACCTCGAGCTACCCAGTGTGCCAGTGTTCGTTTGCCAGTGCCGCGAGCACCCTTGATGATGGCGCTCAAATGCAGGTCGTAGCTAGTCGTGCGCGGACTCAACGTCGCTTGCACAAGATCCGTCAATTGGCGATACGCACTCTTGGCGCTTTGCAGCGCCGCATTGTGCAAAGGAGGAGGCGGCACGCGGCTGTTGATGGAGAGCCAGCCGTACGCATCTGCAACTCTAGACTTGTCCACGCCGGTCTGGATCATCTTGCTCAGCGTTGGTTCCACGACGCATCCAATTTCGCCATTCTGTGCCGCTAAGCGGATGGACGCTTCTGCTTCGTTGATCGAGGCCGCATCGGCTCCTGGCGGTCTGAAAAGCTCGGGAGTGAGGCTGGCTATCCTGAAGTACACTATCGCAGTGTCTTCGGCAGGCTCAGTGATCGTCGGCAGACTAGAATGGAGGTGAGGCTGTAGGTGAGCCACGGCGCATAGCGTAGCGCGGCATCAAGCGGCGGTCCAACTCACTCAAAGTCGGGGGCTTTGTCGTCTTCCTGATCGCCTTCCGGCCCCTTGTCCTCTGCTTCATCAGACGTTTTTGTTTTGGTGTTGACCCATCGCACACGCCCCTCGTCTATCCCTACAGCGATGATGTCACCTAATCGCACAACTCGAGATCTCCCCTCGAAATACCTTCTTAGGGCATCGAGAAAGATGGGCTGATATGCCCTATTGATACTGAGCGGGCCAGCAATGCGCGAGATGGTGAGAGCGTCGGCAAAAGGGAGAGGCAGAGGACACGATAGTGGCATGTTGTGTGTTTTCGAGTCTCTCAGACTGGATCTGGGCGGAGAGGGACAAGGCCGCAGCAAGAGAACGCGCGAAGCAAGTCGAGCAGGATCAAAATGGGCTGGTCGGTGCAGATTCTGCAAGAACATTGGAGGAAGCAGTGCCAGGGCGCCAAGCGTCGTCGCCGTGCTCGTACTGGCTTCGTCTGGATCTGCGACAGGTGGCGGTGGGATGGGTCGGGGGGATGCAAAGAGGCGAGCAATCCGTGTGACACCTTGTCCTTCGAGCTCCGCGACCGCCCAGTCTCCATCGAATGCACCAACGGAAGCCAGCGTCTGCTCGTCCAACAAAACTGCTAGCTCCTCATCCACATCTTCTCCTCGCTCGTCCTCGGGCAAGCGTTCTCGCCAGGATGATATGGCTTGCAGTGTTGTCGATCGATCGTGCTGAATGAGGGGCTGTAACCGAGAAGAGCTAGCAAACAAGCTGGAAGAGGCGCCTGGTTCGCCTTCAGCAGGTGCACCTCTCAGACGGCGATCGATGCCGTTTGCACGACCGGCGGGCGCTGCGTCTGAGCCGTCCCCAAACTCATCGTCGCTGTCGAAATCGTCCAAGACTGAATTTGCTAGGAAGCGCTCATCAATCAAGAGGTGGTCCTCTTGAGGACGAGACTGTTGGTAAAGCCGAGACTGATCAGTCGCTACAGGGCGCTGGCTCGCCTGCTCGTTCTTCGCGCTGCCACCGGACGTATGCCGGGAGTCTTGATCGTACGTGAGGAGCAGCTCCGTTGAGCGTCTCTCGTCCTGCGTCGTCGTGAAGCGGGTGAAGATGGCCCCTTGGAGCACGGGCTCGGCCATGACCACATTCAGCGCAAGAGCGCCACCACCCTCGACCTGAACATGCAGCGTTTCTCCCTGCCTCGCAATAGACCCGTGCAAAGCGTCGTGGAGCAGCTGGGAAGATTGGCTTGCAGTTTCGAAAGTCTGATCATCTGAAATGCAGAGGAGGACGCGAGAGAGGATGATTGCGGAGGTTGACTGGACGAGCACATGGGACGTTGTGCTGATCGAAGAGAGATGCTGGACAGCCAAGGATTCCGGGATGGAGATGGCGAGCTGGAGCGGTACGAGCAGTGGGAACGCAAGCGTCAGCACGGCGCACTGCTCTCAGCATTGTGCGCTTCGCCACTCACATCTTCCGCACTCTCCTCATCTCCTTCGATTGCGCGCTCAGCGAGCACCACTAGCGAGCGCAGATCGAAGGCGGAGGAGCCTTCGTGGAAGGAAACAGATGCAGCGACGGCCTTGAGCGCTTGCTGCGATTCGCGCTCTGCTTGATGCCCATTGACAGCCGCGTGATCGCCCGGCTGCGCATCCTCTTTGCTCGCATCCCTCTTACGTGGCTCGTCCAACCCAGCCGCTCGCAAAAGATCGTAGAGACGCTTCGAGACGAGCACCGAGCCGGTGTGGCTGTGTACACGTAGCTCGGCTGTCCAAACGCTCTTGCCTGCCGCTTCCGCTTCGTCGGTGCGAGTCGGCATGTTGACGTTTTGACGATCTCAGGGATAAATGATCTCAGACCGCGGACCCAGAGCCGCTGAGCGCGACCAAGATGGAGTTCATGATGGTACGAAGATTGGCGCGATGTCACAAGTGACAAGTAAACATGCAAAGTCGTCGGGTCAAGTAGACCGCACATGTACATGTACAGCGTGTGAGTATATCGGTGCCGAGATATTCACTAAGATGCGCGTGCCAAGTTGCATCCGGAGCTTCGTGAAAATCGCGAGCTGTACGGTATTTGAGCGCAGCTAGCTCAGTCGCGCTCTCGCGTCCCACTCAGTCACGAAGCCTGAATGCGCAATCCCGCCGTGCGCATCGGTTGAGCCGAGAGGCCAATGCCGGCGGGCTGTGACCCTCGCGTGACGCGCCAAACAGCACTCAGAACTCGTGCATCCCCCATCTTTTACGACTACCACTAAAGCGTCAAGTCCTGCCAGCCGAGGAACAAAGGCGCTACGCTACATCGCTTGGGCTTGTAAATAGGCTGTCATTGTCGGCTCATCAACGAACGGTATCATGCAAAGTCTGCCGAGATCACATCCCAGAGGATTTCTTGCTACTCCTCCGTCAGGTTCCCTGCGTCGTTTTGATCCTCGCGAGCAGTCCCCGTCCTATCGATGTAGGAAACAGGACGAGGAGTCGCGCCTCCCGAGTCGCCCGAAGTCCTTCTCGAAGCGCCTTGTTCAGCAGCAGAGCTCGTCGAATCTCTCGCAGCGAGGCCGTTGATAGCATGCGGGCCGAGAGAATTTCGAGCGCTGCGACTTCTGGTGGGAGTGCTAGGCTGGCTCAGACTACGTGACCTTCTGGGTCTCGCCGTGCTGGGTGCCTGGCGCGCTTGGGCAAGCCCTGCTGCGCTTGGCGAGGTGCCCGCTGCCAACAAGAGGTAGGTGCCTTGGCTCAGAGACGCAGACGCCGGGGCCAGCCCGACGATGCTCCGCCTAGGCGTTCGAGCAGCGTTCCCGGCCAGACCGCCAGATATGGAGGTGAAACTGGTTCCGAATAACCCAGCAGAACTCGAGACGGCAGGTATATTGGTGCCAGTGGTGGCCGCGCCGACCAAGCTGGGACGAACAGGCCTGCCACGAGCTGCCGCGAGGGGAGTGGCGTACTGCACGTGGGCAGGACGCTCCGCATCATCTCCATCCTCCTGCACCGTGGGTAGCAGCACCGCGGCCTGATCTGGCGCAACAGGGGTGGCAAAAGTGGGCTGGTCGCCTGCATGCTGCTGCTCGGATTGCCCCTCTTCGTCCGTCTGTTGCGCGTCGGAAGATTGCCGAGTAAGAAGGAATACCCCACTGAAGAGGCAGAGAACTCCGAACAAGAAGTTGATGAGTCTGTGCGCGTCGACGTCTTCAAAATCCCTGAAGAGGATCGCTGCTCCAGTGATGGCTGACAGCGTAAAGAGCACGTATTGTGAAGGCTGTGAAGGTTGTCGAGCAGATTGGGCGTGAGCTTGGGCCGCGCTAGAACGCAATGGATGCACTCACAATGACTTCTCGCGAATCAAAGCGTTGCAACGCCCGATTCAGATACGTCAGCTGCAGAACCGCTGTGCCCGCTAGCACCGCGATGAGCCCGTAAGTGATGGGGTACTTGAGCAGCTCGAACGGAGGTCCGCCAGAGAGCAGCCCGGATAGTGACTTTGTACTGAGCACCGTAAAGCCGCCTGCATTGCGAAAGGGCTCAAGCAGGAGTGAGCGTGCGTGCGCCTCGACTGTAGTTTGGAAGGCTCGGACACCGCAAGCCGCTCACCGAATATGGCGCAGACACCAACGTCGATCAAGACCAATTCGTCTGCCCATTGAGTGGTGCTCAGCCAAGCTAGAAGCGCGCCAGATCCACACGCGATCGCAGAGTAGATGACAAATTCCAAGCGCTTCATGGCGTCCCAAAGCTGACCTGGGCCTAGCCGCACATCCCTGTCTTTCGATGCAAACACGACGGTGACACTGCCCAGAATTGCAAAGGCGATACCGATCAGGTCACTCGGTCTGAACCGTTCATGCAACAAGATTGGCGAAACGATGACGTTCGAAAGCAGCGCGACAGCTCCGAGAGGCGCCACCAAAGATGCTGGAGCAAAACCGTACGCTGATGGATGCGGACATTGCCAGTCGTCAGCAGCATGCAAACGCGTGCGATGAGAATGGTACCCAGCACCGTGGCAGGACAAGAAGCGGGAGCGCTTGAAACTCACACAAGAAGTTGCCGCTCTCTCCCAGAACCATCAGCCCCATACCTAGCCACCAAAGTTTGCTGCGCAGATAGTCTGTGGTGGGACCTTGCTGATCATGATCGTGCTCAGAATGGGGATGAGCATCAACGTCACTCGAGTCTGAGCGGCGGTTCTTTCTGGGCTTTGTCGGTGAAGCTGATGAGCGCGATCTGCTCTCATTCGGCGAGGAACGCTCGCAGCTTGTCTGGGTCCCACCTTGTGACCCGCTGCTGCCATAGTCCAGCGTGCCTGACCCGTTCGCCGCGTTGGTCGGGGCCAAGAGCGGAAGGTGCTCGCGCTGAGCAGTCTGCTTTGCTCTTTCTCTTTCCATCACCACCACTACACCCAGCACATCCCGAGCGCCCCCTTCTCCTCCGTTCTCGAGCTCAGAGTCTGATGCATGTTCCGTGCCTTGCCTTGACCTGGAGAAAGTTTCGCCCTGGTCCGCATCGTGTTCGCCATCCTGCTGAATCCTGACGTGGGCCAGCTTCTGACAGTTGAGTGCAAGCGAGATGACGACATTTGCGCACAGACAGATGGCGACGCCGATAAAGGTGGACTGAGCATCCGACTCTGGCATGTTGCGTCAGGTGTCGATAGGCTCAACATGTGCCCGAAGCTGGTAACCAAAGGCCTCGCGCTGTTGAGCCCTTTCGGCAGACTATCTCAGGATGACTCGTGCTCAGACCTAGCCCGGCCAGCCAATTGCGAGACGCGCGGATGAGAGCTTGCGTGCGTGCTGATGAAAGTCACGAGTGTCGAGACCGACCATTCGACCGTTCGGTCTGACACGAGGCTGCGCGCTATAGATGGATGGGTAGCAAGGAGCTCGATCACGAATGATGCTGAATTTACAGGCTGTTGAATGGAGCGCAACGCGCAGGCCGGACCTGGATCGTTTGCCTGCTGTGGCGGTACGTGCGCACGGCCTTCGCGTCACGTACTCGATCGTGCCTCGCTCTCTGATTCATCGCGTGCGCGTGACGCGGTGTGCGCACGGTGCACGAACGGTTCGAAGACGCCGTACGTTGTCTACATCCATCATCCATCCATCCAAAACACATCACATGCCGCGAGTGAGGCAAGCTTCACAATCGCAAGGTCCTCCAGCACGAACAGCACCTGGAGTGTGAGCTCCGACAGGCGATTGGAAGACAACGCGCGCTTCAAGCAAGAATAGGAACATGCATTGCATACATCAGACTGGAGCAACCATATCGAATGACGAGGGCACCGCCTTCGCGGCTTCACCATTCAATCCAGCACATTTGATTGTGATTGCCGCGCGTCGTGCTTGCTCATCTCTGCTGGTATACCGTGCACGCGTACGTGTGCCGTGGACGTGCTGCTGCTTCGTGTTTCAGGTGAGACAAATTGGGAACTGCATTTGCTGACGTATATATGTGTGCATACGCACTCTCTCGATCCTGCCAGCAGCACCGCTCGCGCGCGCGACCAGCGATACCATCAGCAGCATCAGGCGGCGCCCACGCGCAGATGAATGGTGAATGTGAAGAGGATGGGCGATGCATCATGCTGGTCGCGGGTGCCATGGTGGCAGCATCGTGCATGGCTGTGGTCGTCGAGCCAGCTAGCTGGATTATATAGCAAGAGCGTCCAAAGCAAAAGCTCTGGCCAGGTATCAACCGCCAGCGAGCATCTGTACAGTCTTGAGTCGTACGCTTAAGAAAACAATCACGAATCGGCAGTACGCAGTGGGATCGAATCGCCCTGTGGTAATCAAAGTCGGGGAGGCAGAGCATGCAGAGACGACGCCTCGCCGTTGATCGCATCTGCTCCTTGTCAGCTCATACCCGTCCCAGCAGTACCGCAGCCTCGTGCCCTACTTCCTTCAGATCACCTCTCCTCACACCATCGCTCGGCTCAGCAGTGCGAGCTCTGCCTCTTTCGCATCGAGCCGCAGTGATACAAGCTGACCTTGTCCAACATGCCGACGCACATCTCGAACCGCGAGGCCGGGTCTTCACATCATGCTGGTCATCGTGTCGGGAAAGAGCAGGAGGCGAAGCCTACATTGGAACAACTGTTTTGCCACGTCAGTTCTCGATCATCTTCTACCCATTTTTCCAGGCTGATCAGTGTCCTCTTTCTGTGACTGCAAAAGAATGAACGCTTTAGCTACAATGAGACGCAGAGTGATGCACTCGCCAGGTGAGAGCAAATCTGTGCGTCAAGAGTAGGCTTGCATGCTCGAACTGATCGACCATGCGTGCGCAGATCCATCACAGAGCACGACAGCATGGGCGAAGTCTTCAAGATTGCAGACGCTGCCGCAAAGATTGTGGTGAGCACGATTCATGCGAGCTGTCTTGTCCTCTGACTGCAGTATGAATGCTTATCCCGTGGCATCCAGCTGAGTGGCGGATCAATCGCTGCAGCCGTCGGCCGGCTCAAAGATTCGGAGGGCAATTTCATCGACGCTTTCGAGCTTGCCAAAAGTACAATGACAGGGCCCGAAGTCTTGATGTATAATGCGTGGCGTCGAGGCTCCAAACCGCCAAAGATGCGCTGGCACAGTCGTCCAGAAAGTCAGCACGGCCAGACGATGGCGCCGGTAGGAGACGGAGGTGCACCTGAGCAACGCGTGCGATCTCAAGCAGGGCACCATCGACCTCGATCGCCTCACGACAGTGAGCATATCGCTGGCATTCACGTGGCTTTGCTTCGGCAGGCGCTCCGCGACATCTACATGCTGCACGACGTATCGGCGGCAGAAAATGTTGTAGACGAAGACGTCGACGCGTTTTTGCACCAGTTTCCACTCTTGTTGCCGCTCGTCACTGCTCATGCCAAGATCATCGCGGTGCGCGACGATAGTCAATTGTCTGACACCCTGCAAAACGCTCGCAAGCATGTCGAATTCAAGGCCGCGAGTCGATACGCTGATCTTCTTGAGGCGCGTCTGTTCGAGTTCGAGGCCTACACCACCACTATGGTAAGCAATCTCACGTCCAACATTCAGGTGCTCAGAGCTCGCGCGAAGGCTTGTGAGCCGATGAGCACGATCGGCGACAGCTCCGGGCATCAGCTCTTCAGCATACAAACAGCTCTAGACCGCAATGGGAATCACTTGGCACAAAAAGGACCAACGCAAGGCACGTACCACGACCATGCGATTGGCTCGGCGTCTCAATACAACATCATGCATGGCGATGACTTTGAGCAGGACAAACTTCAGATTCCTTGGCAAGTCAACCAAGTGCACGACCAAATGCGCTCTCCTGGCGGTCAACGCCTGCCTATGGAGCCGAGGTCTCAAAAGGACGGTGACGCGCACGGACAACGGCAGCGAAAGCGCGCGACTACGGCCAACCGTCGCGGGTCGGGGAAGAGCAACATTCCCAAGCGTCGTCGTGGAGCCTCTGGTGCAGCCTCTCGAGGCACCTCGCATAAAGACGCTGTCACAGATGCGCGCAAAGCCGGCGGAGGAAACACTCAGCCAAAGCCCAACTCCACACCTGCAAATCCTCGTCTTGTGCGCCAAGACGACGAAGCGTTCCAAGAGCAAGAGGGGGATCCTATGGACGTAGAGGAAGCGGACGACGAGCTCGAAGGAGAGCACCGATCAGAGTCCGAAGCTCGCTCAGAGGAGGACGAAGCACCCTCGGGTTCAGAGACGAGCAGCTATCATCCAGAGGATCCTGCTTCACCTTATGCAGACAAACTTCAGAACAGCGTGAGCACCCACCCCGGGCACTCCGCCAAGATCGCCCAACAGGCAACCTCCAGCCGCTCTATGGCTCCTTCTGACACTGAGCGTGAAGCAGGCGAATCTGCGATGCGCGAGCAAGAGACACACCAACAAAGTGGATCGGGCGGCGACCATCCGGCAACCAATGCCACTACAGGTCCAGGGAGCATCGAAGCGGCGGTGCTCAAAGGGGCCTTGAGGCAGACGTTGTTGCCTGGTAAACCGCATCCTCGCGACGCATCGTCAAATCAAAATACAGGATCTGGTCAACTCTGGGCGCAGCCCAGCCAAAATTCGCCGCGTCAGGCACCTCTAGACTCCCAGTCCTCTTCGGCGCCGATGTCGCCTCCGCGTAACCGAAACACCGTGCAGACGGGCTTGCAAAGCGAGCCGCAAAATGAGGCAATCAAGTCCAACATCAAACGCTTTCCCATGACAGGGCTAGGAATTTCAAGAAGCGCCTGAGTAGGAGATGAAGTCAAAACTCACATTTGTGAGGCTGGCAGCAACCACACCAAACGTCTAGCTTGGCTTGAGCTGCATCACCGCTCAGCATGGACTGTAATACGAGTGCGAATCGCGCTTTCAACATCGATGATTGTGACAATAAATACACTCTGTCGACCGCCGGGAGCAATGTGCGATGTTGTAGCAACTGTGAATGACAGCCCGGGCCGTGAGAAGGGTTGTGCGAATCGTTCTGAAAATCGGTGACGCGAACCGTGGCTGGTACAGGTGCCTGGCGATCACCCTCGAGTATGCTCTCCAAGTAAAGCGCGCGCTTTATCAGCCTCAGACAAATCGCGCACCATCAGGGCCGGCAAGTCCGCGCTGCGGTTCCGACGGTGTGCGCCTTGGCTCGGGCTAGAGGCCGCGCGACTTGACTTGCTAGACTTGTTCGTATTGGATCTGCGTAGTTGGCTGTTTGCAACTTCGTCCGTAGTAAGTCGTTGACTCTGGCCCTGCATGCCCGAGAAAATGGAGGATGAGGCACTTGCGAGAGACGATGCAGACGAATCGTACCTGCCGCGATAAGGGCCAGATGGCTGTGTAAACGCCGGAAGACTGTCGAACGAATCCATCGAATCACGAGTTCGCCCGTTCGTTTGTGGTTCCAGCGCTGACGCAGTGGTGTCTAGAGGAGCTAGGGCTGACTTTGTGCGACGACGAACTGGTTCTCGATCGAAAGTGTCGAGCAGCTCCTCCTCGTACTCTTCCATGTGGGAACGAGCTGACTGCGACCCTTGGCTGACGCTGCGTTGCATTGGTGCGCCCCCGTTATCTTCAGAAAGCTGCTCTCGATTGGAGACCCTTTTGGAGGATGGTGAGCGGCGCTGTTGCAGTCTTTTGGGGATCAGCCTCGCCAGGCGACCGGGGCTGTCCGCGTTCGCAACAGTCCTGGCGGGCGAGTGGTGAGCGTCGTGATTGTCATCCTGGGTACCTTGAGTCAAGACAATGGAGCTTGCGTCGTCGTCATTACCATCATCTCTGCCTTTAGAATGGGCTCGCGTCTCGACATCCGGAGCGGGCGGCTCGACGCTCAAGTGAAGCGAGCTGGAGGCGCCGATTAGCCGTGCGGGAAGATGTGCTCGAATGGAAGGTTTGCGTGGTCGGGCATTGAGTACTCCTCGCAGGATGCTGGTCTTCTGACCCCACGCAGCGCGGATGATGTCGCGCTTGAAATGGTTTGCTAAGTCGACGAAGCCCCAGGTGCGATTGCGATACTCGACACTTGGGGTGTGAAAGACGAGATCGAACAGATCCGTGATCGACTTCTCCTTGTCGCCCTTGAAGGAGAGGTTAAAGACTGTCTCGGGGATCTTGACGTACACGAATGTCCGATTTGTAGCTGCGCGGCCGCGCATTTCAGCAGCATTGCGCATAACGATGCCATGCTGATGGAGGCCATTCTCTTCATCATCGCTATCGCTGTCTCGGCCAGATTGATGCCGACTCGAAGCAGCAGGGGTACTTGGGCGGGAAATGAGATCGCGGGAAGATTGAGACTGCGAAGGGCGCGTGCCCCGGTCCGTGCTTCCGCGCGCGCTGCTTGCGCCTGGTGTGCCAACCCTTCTTGGGGCCTCTGAGCGATTGTCATCTTTGTCAATCTCGTCCTGGCTGTGGAGCAGGTTGCGTGTGAAACGCGCAAGGCGACCGCGGCGCTTTGAAATACCTGCTGACTCTCTTCTCTCTTCCTCCATAGCGCGTTGTTCTCGATCTTTTCGCTCGCGTTCACGCTTGGAGCCAAACACGTAGTCCATGATCTTCCGACCAACCTTCAGCTCCAGTTGAATGCGCAAAGGATGAAGGTTGAACTCGAATTGCTCCATGATCTGAATGCCGCCGACTGGTGCCAAAACGGACCACATTGCATCCAGAAAGCGCCCTTGTTGTGCCATCGGATGGTCCTGCGCTTTGTTGTACTTGGCGATGATTTCTGGGAAGAAAGCATCAGGGTGTACATTGACAGCGGCCATATCCGCAATGGACAGTGTATTGGCAGCAGAATTGTCGGTCTGCAGCGTGCACAATGCTGAATCAGCTTTATGGGTCTTTACAGTGACAGTGACACTTGACTTACTTTGTTCAGCCAGGTGAAGCTTGCTCCCTTGACAGAGAGTTTCGCCAAGAGCTGCCCCTCTTGCTCTCCCATCATACTCCACGTGATATCCTGTGCCATAGCTTCAAGCCTGAGTGCTGACTTCTTGTCCTGGTCGGAACCGCCTCCTTGGTCTTCACTCGCCGCGATAGCTTCCATGATGAGAGTCAATTCATCTATCAGGTCCTGCGTTTCCGTTTTCAGAGTCAAGAAATCCAGCCGACCTTGTTCGTTGAGATGCTCGAAGTGCATGAGATATTGGGCGTGCAGTTCCATTGCGTGCCTGACCCGAACCTGAAGTGCAGAAACCAACTCCGCGAGACCCGACACGTTGGAGAAGTCATGGCTGAACAGCATGGCCTCGAGCCGTTTGGAGTGCTCTCGGTATGCAGGGTCGCGATGCAATAAGAGATCTGTCACAACGTTGTAGAGGGCACCGAACTGTGCCGAATTCGCCAGTACAGCGAAACGCGGGCACTTAACGCGCATCAAGTCCATGTGGTGGATCAAGTGGTCCGTTGCGGAACCAGGCGAGTCTGGATCAGATGCCACGGGATGAGCGGAGTCGTTCAGGCGAAGCTTTGATCGGTGACAGGCAACGGTCAGCGAAGGTAATCGTGTGCTGCAGGGCACTCATAGTCAAGCTACTCACCTTGTTGAATTTGTCGTACTGCACACTTGCATCTGTGCTCGGAGCAACCCGCGCAAAGTCGCTGGTCTCGTACTGTGGGAGGCAAGATGGATCAGGACACAAGAAAGCGACGTCACGCCTCGCCCCGCGTGCCAACACACCTTGAGATCCAGCAGTGTTTCGAGAGGCACAGTTGCAGATTGGGATGCAAAGTTCTCGCTCGTTGGGGAGGCACACATCTTAGAGGGATGAAATGCTTGGAGCCCATCCAGAGAGGCGAAATTGCGATAGAGCGCTCGCTCATTGACCGAATCCTCCTCGCACGTAGGGTCTATGACAGAGAAATTCTGCAAACGCAAGCGCACGGCAGTCAAGATGAGCGAAGACTTGTCGTCGACTTCAGATTTGAGGACGATCTGCGGCTTGATCAAGACGCAGACGTTGCTTCGGCGAACTTCGAAGAAGTCCGAGATACCTTCTCCTGGATTGACATCGTCGTCAAGCAGCGAGGGCGCGCTTGGCCCGTCCTCGTTGGTAGGGCTGTCGACAATGACGTGCTGAGTGGTCTCACTGAGCAGGTCACGCAGGAGGCCCCTACCTCGTTGAGTAGCTTTTGTGCCATTCTTGAGACGTGATGCAGTAGATTGTCGCTTCGAGCCTGGCCGTGGCTTGACAGTCTCTGCCCGTGCTCGGTTGGATCGCTGATGAGCTGCGCGGTGCGCATGGGTCGAAGGTCCGTGTTGCTGATTGCGATCCTGCTCGTCGCCATCTTCATGCTCCTTTTCGTCTGATTCTGAGCCTTCATCGTCCCCTTCATCTGGCTCATGGTGATCGTCCGCGTTTCGCGACAAACCGCGAATGTACCGCACTGCTCGTGCCGTCAAGTGATGCACGATGGCGCGACGCGCGCGTGAACTCAAGTAATACTTGAGGAGGACGTCTCGGGTCTCATTGCTGAAGTAGATGGTGGGATTGTGGACGAGGAAGCGGTTGTTGAATGATTCCCAATCAGAGTAAAGATGTGGCAGTGCTCCTGAGCTGTCCGCCGTAGATTCTTGCATGTAGCCAAATGGCGTCAGAGGAGAGCGATCCCTCGGTCTACCCTGCGGACTGAAAGCGTTCACGTAGTTCGAGATGAGATCTACTTTCTTGCGAAGATCCTTCACTTTGAGATCTGGATCCTCAGCCAGAGTCTTCCTCTCGTCCGTCTCGAGAGCTGCAAGCTTCTGCGCAATATCCAACTCTTTCTGAAGGTGTTGCAGCCGTTGGTGGCACAAGTCTCGTTGTACTTCGTCAGGATGCAAAGCCCGACCAACGAGACAGCAGTGGCTCGACTCGCGCCCGAACTTGGTGTATTCCAATCTGGATATGTCCTCTTCCTCCTGCTCCTGGTCTTCATTGTGCGTGGCATCCCCGGCACTTGTGCCAGTGCTAGACCGCGTCGGGTCCTTAAACTTGCTGCCTGTGCGATGCCTACGTTCGCGTTTGGATTCCAATCGGCGATAGTAGTTGAAGTGAGGGCAAGCCAGTGCTTGACTGAGCTTGATGCGAGGCTCCGTCTCCTCCGGAGGAGACCAGTCTACCTCAACGAAGTCGCGCAAGTCCCACCACTCAAGATCTTCATCCGGGAACGAATAATCCGCAAACATACCGTCAGGCCCTTCGGCCTCTGAATCATATTCGTCCCCTTCCGAGGCATACAATCTTTTATCAGGCTCCCTATACAGGAACGGAGAAGATGAACGACGACGAAGGGTTTCAATCAATACTATCATTCTGTGAATGACTGACTCCGGGACTGGACTTACGTGAATTGGCCGCACAAGGTCCGGAGATCGATGCGATCGAGGTCTACCTCTGCTTCGTAGAAAGGCTTGTGAAACACTTTCTTTCGCTCCCCGAGTCTTGGTCGCTCTTTCAGCATTTCCTGCTGACGTTGATGCATATCGAGGTGGAAAGTTGCAATGCGCGATTTGATGCCGTACAGTGTAGTCTTACCCTTTGCCCAATCTTTGCGGATATTTTGCGGATACAAGTGGGTGATGAAAAGTGGTGACAAGTCGAAACGGTACTTGAGAGTTGCTAAGTGTCGGCCAAACTTCGGAGATTGTGCTTGGGCTTCGGGAAACAAAGAGCCTTGTCGAATCGGTAGCCCAAGCGCACCATTGAAGAGGCGCATCCACGCCCAGAAATGCTCCCACGCCAGTGGTGTGAAATAGAAATTATTTGAATCTTGACCTGCCCTACCCATACTGCGACTGCGCTGCAGGTCGGGATGACCACGATTGTCGCCTTGAAGTGGAGGTGCTGGGGAGATGATGGACATTGAGAAGTGGACGTGATCTGTGCGATAAGCCGCGTATGAATCCGTCTGAAAGTACGCGCGGGATACAAATGTTAGCAACCGATGGAGCACGTCAGGAAGATTTGAATCAAAGCTCACCCTTTGATTCTCCGGTAGCGTCTCCATGTATTCCCTCGAGCGCGTGTGAACTTCCCAATGTGGTTTGGCGTCAAAGAATCGACATTCTCGGTAGAAAGAGGACCCAGTGCACTTAGGACGACGGGGACAAGTGTCCGGCCTGCAGGTGCGCTCGCATACGATTCCCAAGCCCCACCGAACGCCATCAGTAAGTTTGAGCACGATCTTGCGGAAGTCAATAGCGTCCTTGTAGCGATGCTGAGACGACAGGGTTGCTTCGCCGGATTTGTGGAACGTCTCGTCTTCTCCCGCATTGGCGTCGGAACCTGCACCAGTTGCGGCCTGATCGATATAGCTTCGCAAGTCCGGAATAGCGAGCAAGAACTCCTCACTGCGAATCTGAAAGAATTCGCCTTGCGGATTGTCGGCTCCCAGTCGCCAATCTACATTGCCTCTCCAGCACATCACCCAGCCCGAGCCGTGACCGAGAATGCTGTACGGGTCTCGACTACCTTTCAAGTAAAAGTGCAATTCGCCATCCTTTATGAAGTTGATCCTAAAGCGGCCATGCACGATCAAGGGCAGCTTGTCCCAGAATCCGATACGAGGCGAAGGGTCGTGAGGCGGACTTGTGACACTATCGAACACTCGCGTGACGTCGTGGATAGCCGGCTGCATAGATTGGCCCCATCCAGCTCTTGTAGGATAGGAGGTATTTATGTTCACGGTTGGCGATCCGTAGAATTTGACAGGCATCGCCATCTTTGGTACCGAGATTCCGTATTCCTTTGCCTCCGCATGGCCTGTGGCTGCAGGCACAACCACAGCAGGGACGTGTCGAATCGACTCTTCGCCTCCCAGGTGCTCTGCGAGTACGATGTCGGATTCAAAGTCCCAGGCTCGCCCTCGCAGGTGAGCAGGCTGGTCATGGTGGACAGGTGGCACGTGTAAGAGCGGAATGGGATAGTCTCTCAGCTCAAATCTCCACTCTGCCATGCGCCATATAAGGTGCATAGGCAAAAGCAGCGAATACTCCAGGTCCTCGGGGACGCCTTTCCCTTGATCATGGATGAAGCGCTTCAATTGACTCTCTGGGAACGTGGGCGGGCTGACTTGCAGTGAAATTCGGCTCATGCTTGACCGAAAGAGCGGTGCACATTTAGCAACAGGCGCCATCTTGATGGGCAACTCAAGGTTCTGACGCTTTGGAGGATATCTGCCGTAGATCCGCCTCGAGACAACTTCTTCGCGACGTGCTTGCTCCGCTTTCGCATTTGTGCATCGACGAATCCAGCTAGAGGCATTGAAAGCGTCTAGTCGTGCGCGTGCTTCTTCAATCTCCAGGCGCTGCTTTGACGAAGCAGCTCGTCTCTGATCTGCGAAGCTTGCCGGAGGGTCCGAATCTTCTGTTGAAATCACGTCTGTGAGACTCGAATCGTCGGTGCTGGTCATACTATCAGCATTGAAGGAGAGAGTGGAAGCTGCGTCGCCTTTGTTGGCCGCGTTTGCTTTCTGCAAACCTGCGACCCTCTCGGAAAAGGCAACATCACGTTCCATCCTGGCTTGATTCTCGTCCCCACCGGCACGCCAGATCATGTTGAGGCGCGTCTCAATAGGATCGTCCTGGGCCTCTATGGTTAAAATGCGAATGTTGACAGAAATGTACGGCAAGCGTTTTGGCCCCTCTGCCACTGGAAAGATGACGGACTCCTTCTTGTCCTGAAGAAACTGTGCGATAAGCTGTTTCGTTGCTTTGACAGATACTGTTGTGTTATCGATGATAGGATGGACTGCATAGTCAAACGGAATCCGCAGCGAAGCAGCGTCACCGTTCAAGACAATCTCGTGCGCGCTCTGTCCATGCCCATCGCTGTCTTCCTTCCGGGGCGCATCCGGTTGATGCTTGCGGAATGCAACTTTCCAGTCACGAAGTCGGACAGCTTCTTCCCACAGACCAGTCCTTGGCTGTTTCGGGCTCTCGACGGCGCCCATCAACGACTCCCATGCCAGAGAAGCACCGTCTGCATTCGTGTAGCGGAAGTCCAGTCGACGCAAGCTCAAGAACAGATTGACATCGCTCGGCAGTGCGACCGAGACGTGGATGTCCGTAATGTCAAAAGTGACATGCACTGACGGCAACGTGTTCGAATCGCCTTCTAGCTCTTGCCCTGGTCTGCTTGATTGCTTCTGCTCTCGCATTTCGTGGGACTTCTTAGGCTTCTCTGGTATCAACTGTCTAAGCGAATGTAGTGCCACAAGCAGACAGTACGTGTGAAGTAGCTCGATCTTGAACGCCAAGAGTCGCGTGCCTTCAGAGCAGATCGTGAGCTCATCAACATGCTTGCCAATCTTTGTCGACACTGCTCCCGGTGGTCTCAAGAAGATCTTCGTGGCCGAGAACGGCATCCAAAAGATGAAGTTTGACCGGTCTTGCTGGCGAAACTTTGGCTTGCTTCGCTCTGCATGGGTCAATTGAGGTTTGCGCTTTTGAAAATCCCACACGGCCGGGGCGAAGATGGAGGGCGAATTGACCATCGAGCCTCCTTGACCCTGCGGCTTGGTCTCTGTCGATGCTTCTCGAAACCCTCTTCTTCTTGGGCGATGTTGCTGCTCAGGGTCCATATGCTGTGCTAATGCAGCAGCCGCATCAAGCAAGGGAAAGAGGCCTATCTCGAACAAGCTGAGCTTGAAAGCTGCTGCGCGACCGTGACGTGCGGCGAGCGCATTGACGCTCATGGTGAGATCTTCGGGCAACTGCAGCGCAGATCTGGCGCCCCAATCGCCACCTCCCAGCTCGGCACGGACTGGATCGTGGCGACCTCCCAGCGCTTCAAACACAACACGCTTCGCCTCGAAGCCTACTCCCCGCGACATGTGGGGATCACAGTTAGGATCGCTTCCACCCATATGCGCGATGATCGTGCCAATGGATACGTAAATCCCACAGCTCGCTGGCACCCGCTCGACGAGAGCAACTCGGCCGGTCCCTGCTGGAGCTGTCTGAGCTGTCTCACCATCACTTGCATGATGCCTAGCCTGATCAGGCACGTTCGGCACAGCGTCGGAAAAAGCTTGCGAAAGCCTACGAATCGTAGACAAGACGGTAGGCTGCCACAGGTCGACGTCGAGTTCCTCTAGCGCGCATCGCAGCTCCATAGCGAGACCGCTTGACGAGAGGTCGACTTCACCGGAGGGATGCTCAAAGCCGTTGATGCCGCCGCTTGCATTGACGTCTGTGGCACTCAACATCACCAGATGATGACGCGTGATCCCGAAATTGGGCAGGTGTCGCCCAGCAAAAGGGGTGCCATGACGTCGTCGTGAGCTCCAGCCTTCGCCGCCCACTACCAGAAAGGCCTCTACAGGCTCCAATGCAAAGCTTGCGTCGAAGACGTAACGTACGTTCGGATGCGACAGGTTTGAGCTAGCTCGACTCCTTCTCGCAGAAGAAGAGGATCGGCGTCTCGCCCGGGCGGGCTCCTGTTGTGCTGCATACAGATCTGTTCCATCTTGCTCTGCTGCCTGTATGCGCCGCATTTGAGCAAGGGCTTCCTCCATCGTCATGCCTTTACCTTCCTTTGCATCATCCTCTGATGCCTGGACGAACGTGGCGGAGTCTGGCTTCATGGAAGCCGACGAGGATCGCCTCTCTCGAGCAGCCGAACTAGCCTCCTCTACAAATGTCGGCACGCCATCAGCCCCACGCTGCCGCTTGAAGTGAGCTTTCCACGCCGCTCGACGTTCGGGCTCTGTCCGTGGGACTTGTTGATCTACATAGCTGGCTTGTAGGGTGAAAAGCAATCTTGGAGTCGAGCAAATCAGACCAGAGTCGATGGCGTGTCTTTCCTTGGAGGCGACCTCCGAGTACGGGGCATCCAGATGGAAAGAGACGTCGTTGACCTCTACTCCCACAATCAGCCGAGGGGGTCGGATGTGCACCCCCTTCGGAGCGTCAGGTCGCTTTGCGTTGAGACCGTGCTTCTTGCGTGCTTGCTTTCGCTCCAGGGTGCGAAGCACAGCCGTCGACGTCAACGCAGTTGCGTGCGTCAAGCTAAGCCCGCCGTTTACGCGACCCAAAGAAGCTTCTACGACGCAGGTTTGTTCGTTCAAGTCCCCCTGGAAGTAGCGATATGACCCTGCACCTGCATCGTCATTGTCTGGGCTCTTCGGCACGAGACCAAAGGGAGTCCAGCTCGATTGAGCTGCGACGATAGCGTCTTGCAGGTACAGGACCTGCGAAGCATTGACCGCTGGCTGGCCATCGATTCCAACAAGCGCCTCAAAGCTGGTCATCGATGCTTCCACACTGAAAGCGCGACGGTGCTCAACATAACGCACGCGCGCACGATTCGCAGCCCACCTGAAACGGTCCCCCAAACCTTTTCTGATCGCCCCAACGCCCGCCGAGGGGTTCCAGGAGATTGGGGCGGGCGCCTTTCCAAGCACTCCGCACGAACCCAGCCAGTGCCTATGTCGAGGATCTCGCGTTTGACTGGTTCGAATGCGGAAGGAGAGTCCGCACATTGTGGCGCAGAGCTGCAATGAAGGCGGCGCGTTGCCTGCCGCAGACCTCTGTTGACCTTTGAGCACGTCCGAACTTGTTGGGTGGAGGTTTGCGAGCATGCGAATGCGAGGCACAGCTATAGAAGCGGAGCCGAGCGCGCGAATGAAATGCATCATGGGCGCAGCTCGCTGCTGAGCGATGTGCTTGGAGGTCTGCGAGCGCGTCCTGCGAGGGAACGTGGGACTGGGCGTCAACTTTCCACGCGACCAAGCCGCATGGCGCTGCCGAAGCAGCACCGGACTGGGACTCACCCGTGCGCTCCTTCTGACGTTGGACTTGGACCTCGCCGTACCGCTTTTCTGCTTTCCAGGATCCCAAGCACCCGACTCAAGGCATCGATGCCAATGGTCATCTCCGCGACATCGAGCTTCACATGCACCGAGTCTGGCGATGTAAGGTCGAGGTTCGGCGCTAGTGTGAGGCCCAACTCTACGGCAGTGACCCCGGGTAGGGCGATAAGTCGAGCGGACTCAGGAATAGCCTGGCCTAGCGCACCATCTCTTGCCCAACCAGTGTCGGACGAAAAATCAGAGCTGGGAAAAGGTTCCAAAGCCCAGTCAGCCCAGCGATCCGTCCAGCCACTCAAAGAAGTGCTCGCCATGGTCGCGATTTTGGAGGCGCTCTTGGAGCGCAGCAAAGGTGGCGCCATCGAAGGAGAGGTGGCGCTGAACGATAGCCACTCTACGCTTGGTGCATTCTCAATGGATGACATGCGCTGCTTGTTGCGCTTCTCGCGCGGGCTTTCCGACTGTGACCCGACGATACTGGAATTGCTCCTCGACAGCGGTGTCCGACTAAGGGATGGAGATGTAAGAGGCGTAGTCCGAGAATCGCTACGGCCGAGGGAACGTTGGTAATCGGCAAAGATTGAAGATGTTGGAGCGTCTGCGTTGGCCGAGTGCATGGTTCGAGTAGCTGTAGGCTCAGAGGCTGGCGAATGTCTAGCCTCAAACATCTGCACAGCCTCGAGGCTGAGCTGCAAGCTACCTCGACCAGCCGGGATCCCTGCGGTGATGTAGGAAGCCGCACCTTTGGCTCTGCTTCCGATCCGTTGTGGCACAGAGTTCAGCACTGCGAACACTTGCTCTGGGAAACCTGCTGAGCTGCTCCTCCGGCTGTCCGAGCCGCGTCCTCTCCGCGTGTCTTCCGCTTCCGAGCTCAACTCTGTGTTGACGAGTGACATGTTGAGCTTCGCGCCGATGCGTCCCACCCGTAGCACAGCTTCAGCATCTTGGGCATACACCTCCACTCTCTGAATGTCGATGTCCACGAAGGACGTAATTGCTGGCAGCGCTGAGAAGAGGATGTAGACAAGCGCACGGAGGATATCGAGCAATCTTCTTCGTAGAAAGGGAAGCAGACACGTCTGCAACCAGGACATGAGCAGCTGGAAGGCGGTCGGCTGTCGCTGTGCCACGTGCAAAGTGGCCTCGTCTTCCTCTCCTTTGACCTCGCCCTCATCTTCCGAGCTCTGAAAGGTGCTTCTGACTAGCCAATCTAGCCTTTGAGCCGCTTCCTGTTCTCTTTTGGCTGTTTCAGCTTCCCGCGCCGCGGCCTTCGCACGTGCTTGCTCCTCCTTCCTCCTCGCTGAGTGCTCGTCTCGCTCCGACTCTGGCATCCTCACACCGACGCCTTGCACTCGTATAGTGATCCATGCAGATGTTGACCGTCGACTAGGAGAAGCTTGCCGCTCGCTCGGGCTTAGCGTCGCGTCACCTGTGTGCTGCGCCGCAGAGCTGGAAGCGCGAGGCCTGTTCGACGCATCCTCGTGTGAGTGCGCTCCCGAGTCGTTGGTGCTCGCATCTGCCGAGGATGTTCCAGACCAGCCATGAAAGACGACGTATATGTGCTGCACACGCACCACCAATCCTTCCGACGCTGCTTCCGCAGCTTGTCCATTGATCTGCCGCCTATTCTTGAATCCGTTCGACCTCCACTCGATGCCACGCACACCTCGAAGGCCCAGCCTCTTGACGCGTAATCGGCCCCTCAGCACGAGCCTGGGAAGACGTGGCAAGATGGAACGAAAGAACACGCCAATGAGGATGCAAAGCAGCAGCGACAAGATGAAAAGCGATCGTCTGTTGGTCGTAATGTGCTCCTCCTCTGGCACGGCGCCGTCCATCGCGCTTGTCGCTGTGGTCGCCTCGCGCGCAAAGACTTGTGCGGAGGGTGACGCCATGATGGCCAAGATCCGTTTGGCAGCCGAGTTGTTAGGAAGCGGTGTGTGCAGGTAGGGCTGCAAACCGGCTTGGGTTTGTATCAGCAAGCAAGTCCTGAATGCGTCTATGTGCGGGTGACGCTCGAGCTTGCTACTTGGTTATTCATGATTCTGGCGTGTTTGCACCGAAGTTTGAGAAGCACGAGGTACACCGCAATGGCTGTGCTGCTGGTTTGATGGCAGATTGGCGTGGTGAGAATGCCGAAGTGAGCCTCTGGGTTTTGAGAGACACAATTATACAGTCGTCAATGAACGCGCCCGAGCCACAATTTCTTCTTTTTTTGGGGGCCGGCCGAAGTGCAAGGGACAGCAGGTCGGATGTTCCACATCCGTCGCAGCTGAGACATGTATAGCGAGGATGGAGCTGCTTAATTCATGATTGTAATCAAAATGGCAGGTGTCCATGCACGTACAGTATACCGTATACGAGGAGCACCATCATCCAAACCGTAGCGTCATCTCGAGCAGCGTCGCATACCAGCAGCAAGCGTGCGTGCATCAAATTGGCTTGCCTCATCGTAAGTCCGTCCGTACCCTGTCTGCTGCTGCAAGATGAGCGATCGTAGCTGCTTGCTCTGCGCGTGGACCCTGATTTTGCTGGCCGAGCGTCATGCTGTCTGCTGCACGATCACTCCGCATCCACATGCAGTGATGAGTGCATATATGCCGTATGTGCGCTCGCTCACTCGATCAAGACTTGACGGTGGCTTCTGCTGCTATACATGCATGAGGCGACTTTTGTATGGCAGCCCGTCTGTCATCAATGAGCGAATCACGAATGAACCATGGCGTCTATCACATGAATTGATCCCATGACGCGCGCAAACAGGATGTGTGCGCATCGTGCAACGCGAATCAAATCAAGTGATCGCGCACACATACTCCTGAGATGAGATCTCGCTTTTCGCGATTTGAACGGCAGCAGCTTCATGCGCGCGTGCCTGCATCGCGGCTGCCATGCAACGGCCGTTAGATCTCGCGGCTCACGTGACTGCGGTCTTCACTTCGACTCGGTCGTGAACCTTGAATCAACAAATTGACGGCTGGCGTCTCACCGTGAGGAGCAGCGATTAGGTGGCCACCCGTCACGAGAACCTTGAGTAGGACTGCGTAGGACTCAAGACTTGAGCTGCTAGATTTGAGCCCCAAATACAGCGTTGCGATGGCGTGATGCGCGAGTCCCTCGAAAATGAGCTCCAGGCTGATGGGTGGGGCACAAGCGACATGGGTGGAGCGGTGGGCATCTCCAAGCTCGATTTGCTGGACATGGGGAGGACGTGTGATTCGTGTTCGAGACTACAGTCAAGAATGTGCATTGGAATAACTTTGAAAATCAAAGTGGACGTCAGGACTGCCCGAGCGCGTCTGGGAATAATACTGTCACCCGAAAGTATACCCAAGACTTATGGTCAACCGCAAAATCGCGTGAATAGCGGAGGGCACGGCGGGTGCGACGATGGTCGTCGAGAGGAGAGAGACGCGCAATGCTTGGTCGGCCGATGCTCGCCGATGCACGTCCTCGCGTCACGCACAGCACGCGTGCTTTTTATATACTCGAGAACTCACGACTATGTTCAGCTTGCATGCAAACATACAAGAAAGGTCTTTGCTCTCGACTCCATTGACCTTGTGCGATGGATTAGCAAGCTTTGAGATCCCTGAAGTCGTCAAGTGTATGAGATCAGGAGGCGTATAGGCACAGCCAACCATCGAGGGAGGCTATATGCGGAGGGCGTCATCCGTGGCAAAGGATCTAGCCGGAAGACAAGCTTCTGCGTTCACGTTTGCGCTCTCATTCTCGAGAAGAAATCATTTCATGTGATGATGTGGGGCACCACTCGTCCAAGGGCGATAACGTTTCAGCTGCAACCGATCAAACGGCTCGTCAGAAGCGATCAGCGAGCTTCAGCACCGATCCGGTCTCATCGCCACATCACGCAGCAAGCTTCACCTGCTCAGGAGACGGAAAATGTCAGGCTCATGTTGAAGCTGGCCGCGACCATTCGGCAGCGCAACCCAACTCCCGCCAAGCCGCGGATGCCAAGTGCGTCGAGTGGAAGACATACGTTGACCGCTTGCAGTTTTTAATGACCGCTGCGCCTGCTAATTGCTGTGGCCAACACTTCCGTGCAACAGCTCGTCTGATGACGCGCAGCTGGGCCGAAGAAGCCCAAGCCCGGGCAGAAGCTGCTACGTCGGGATCTTCAAGCGAGCGGTCTGATACGGAAATGCTGTCTGACATCGACGATGCGACCGAAGAGCGCCTGCTGCGACCGAAGCGTATGCACGAATCCTTAGTGGAGTTGAGCTTGCCGTTTGCCAGTCAGGCGAGTATACCAGCGTGCCTTTCGATCTGCCAACGGGGAGGCCGCGCTGAGACTGCCTCACACCTGCTTGCAGCCCGAAATTTTAGAGCGGTACATCGCCACATCTGGTCTCATCCGGCTGGGCAAGATCTTCGAAGGTGAGACGAAGAGGCGCAACTGCTGGCTCTCTGGCGCGCCCGATAGCCCTAATTCCGACCATTCGCATCATCCCGTCAAGACCTGGACAATCTCGCAGGAGACATAAGCTACACGCACGTCCTTCAAGGTCGACCAAAAGCAGGCGAGCAGTCTCGCATTCCCATCTTTATCGTGACGGCCTCTGTCGACAGGCTGGACTTGTTGCAGCCGCTGCGTGCAGATCGAGATTACAGGCTGCGGGGCGGAGTGATCTACGTAGGATCCTCTGCCATGGAGGTGCTTGTGACTGTTGTTGAGCTTGGTAACTCTGGCTCCGAAACCATTTGCCTGACTGGCAGATTCACCATGGCCACTCGCAATGCCAAGACTGGCAGATCACAGCGCATTGCCCCGTTACTGCTCGAGACGGAAGAGGAGCAGAAGTTGTTTCAAATGGGAGAAGGTGAGAGACAGCCTTTCGCGATCGAGCAGCCAGCTAGCCAGAAACATTTCCACCACATGTCTGTCGCTGATTGGTGGTATGTCTACCTCCTTGAAGATCACAAGAAGCGAAAGCGCGCCTTTAGCGAGACTTCGCTGGACCGTGTGCCGCCCACGCGAGAGGAAGTCGCTCTGCTTCACACGCAATGGCTTCAGGCTTCGAAGGTGCAAAATGACACTGACCTTCAGCACGTCAGAAATACTGCCTTGACATCGACTCAGCACATGCATCCGCAACAGCGCAACGGCGAGTAGACAAAACGTAGCCAGTCATTCAGTATGTCCACACTGACGGATCGTTTTGTGGTGCTGTTCGCAGTCCACATGAAGTGAGTGCCTCGGATGACATACGCAAATTTTCAGCAAGTCCCCACTCACAAACCGCTGCTCGTGCCGACGCAGAGTGTTTGGTGGCTACCTAATGAGGGCAGCGTACGAACTGGCGTGGATGACAGCAGCTTCTTTTGTCAATGCTCCGGTCTCCTTCTTAGCACTAGACGCACTGTCGTTCCATGCTCCGGTGCCTATCGGTGCAGTGCTGAGCCTGTCTTCCAACGTCGTGTATACGCACACACCGGAATCTCAGCATTCTGCCCGGCCACCCGAGCAAGCTGGATTGGAAGAAAGTCTGGCAGCTGTCACGGTCTTGGCCGAAGTCGTGGATCTCAAGACCGCTGTTCGCACAAAGAGCAATACGGTGCGCTCGCCGAACACATCATCTCTGCATTTTCTCTTTCTGCACGACTCTGCTGACATTCAGACCATCCTTCGTCTGACCCCTGCCACGCAGTTCACATTCACCTTCTCGCTCGCAAATTCGAGCAAGCACGTCGTGCCAGGTACGTCGACGAGTCTGAGCTAAGCGCTGCTGCCAACACCACACTGACCTCAGCCGTCTGGCCCTGATGCGCACAATGTAGACTCTTACAGTGAGGCGATGGCTTGGATCGAAGGCAAGGTGAGCAGAGCTCGACTCGAGGGTCAGGTCACTTGCTGACGGGCCTGAATTGAGACCGCTTCCTTACCTGACTCTCTCATTTTGCCTGTCAAGCGACGCGTGGACTTGGGCCAGGAACTTCGATCTCTGTACGCCTCAGAACGAGCGAGGAGCAAGGCAAATTAGACAGGAAGACCATGAATGGACGTTGCACCGCAGTCACATGCGGCAAGCGCATTTGCAATCATTCATTCCAATGAGAAGTCGAGCAATAAGTTATCGATCAGTCTCGTCTTCTGTCCATCTTTGCCCTCTGATATCATTGCAGCTCCGCTCAAGATTGCGCCGCTGAGCTGTGATCTGTCCTGCGAGTCCCAAATGGTCTCGAGGGTATGCGGATCGTTCAGGCTAATGTATAGAAGCTCAATGTGGACGTTTTCCCGCGCCGAAAGTCTGGCTGCGTGAGCAACGTGCGAGCGTGCGGTCTCGAGAACCTTTGCAGGAGGCGAGCCGCCTGCCCAAGCATCCTGACCTCTTTGCAACGCATCATGCAAGGCCGTCGCGTGCTTTCGCGAAGCTGGAGTGAGGTAGGCGTTGCGCGACGAAAGGGCAAGTCCATCTTCCGCTCGCGACGTGGGCAACACTCGGACGGCAGAGGGACCAGGAGGATGGGGGAATAGCAGATCGGAAACCATTCGTCGAAGCAGGATTGCTTGTTGAATGTCCTTTTGGCCAAAGTAAGCTAGATCAGGCTTGACCAGCAGAGAAGAGGTGGGAGCATGCTCTTAGACTCTAAGTGTATGTCTGTGACACTAGATCCACTCGCGCACGAAGCTCACCTGCACGGCATTGAACAATTTGGTGACAACGGTGGCTACTCCTCGAAAAAAAGTGGGCCTGCTAGCGCCTTCCATTCGATCTTGCAGACCAGCGACTTCCACAAAAGCTCCACGCTGCTTCGACTTGTCGCGTTCGATGCCGTTGGGGTACAATTGATCCGTGGTGGGTGCGAAGATGGCCGAAACCAGCTTTGATCGGGCCGGTGCTGTTGACGCGTCGTCTGCGCTCGTCGTCAAGGACACGAGAGCTTGGATATCTGTCGGCAGTGTTCTTGGGTACGATCCAAAGTCTTCGTGAGGAGCAAATTGAGCGGGATTCACGTAGACCGAGACGATCGTCTCATCCGTTTCTGCAAGGGATGCCCGCACTGAGGGCCGCTCGATGCGCGTCAGTACTCATGAAAGAACAGTTGTCCAACCCTGCATACACGTCAGGAGGGCCAAAGACCCGTTGTTGCTCACCAAGATTCAGATGACCAGAGTGAAGCGCGCCCATTGTGGGCACAAAACCTACAGTAGCTCCCCGAGCGAATAGCGCACGTCGCCATTCCCGAAGCTCGGCCAGCGTGCGCAGGATTGGAATCGGAGAGTTCAAACTTGCAGCGTCTCCTTTGCTCGTCATGGTGGAGTATGCGCTCCTGTGCGACCCCGAAGTCATAGACAAAGCTGACGCGGGGCGCTGGACTAGATTGCGAAGCAGGCACCTCGTAGTCTTCATGAGGGCTAATTTCGGTTCTTCTTGCTGGAAGGAGAACGAATCAGTTCAAAGGTCTCCTGAAGATGAAATCGCTTCGCGTCCGCCCTGATCTCCTCTGCATCCGCCCGTTTCACATTCGACTTCAGCAATCGTGAATCAGCCATCCGTGTGCGTGCGCACATGTAGACGCTTTCACCATGCAGTTTAGCGGTTTGAGTGATGAGTGATCTAGAAGCTGCCGCCGATCACGAATTCAAGAAGGATCGTGAATGATTGGTTCATCAGCACGAGAGCCATGAAGACGGCCTGCTCTGAAGGAACAAATCACGAATCACGTGAATGGCACGAACTTGGCGTGTGCGCCGCACGCTCTCGTACGAGCCGTGCCCGGTCAAGCGCTACAATCGGCTTTGCGCGCTTCACTCACACTCACGACTGTGTTGACGAATTGGCCCAGCTAGTCAATCAAAAATCAGAGAGTCAAAGTACTTAATCACCTTCTGAGTGGGGGCTTTTGCCCTTGACCAGGAAATGCTTGGCACATTTATCCTCAAAAAGTGGTGCAAGGCGCTCGAGTGGAATCTGATGTTGGGAAGACTGACTGCGTGGCCCAGCGCCAGTGGAGAGCATAGCCCTGTGTACCTGAACTCGTGACTGGTGGGGACGAACTTCGCAGCTTGGTGCACACAGCAGCATCCACGGTACGGTATAATCAAGAATCACGAATCATCAGTTGAGTCAAAGTGCATACCGCGTACGTGTTGTGTTGTCAAAGATCGAAGTCACGAGTGCGGCCCCGCCGCGCGCGTCTTTGCGCGTCTCACGCTCGACTTTGCCGCGAGTAGCGACTGGCAGGCAGGCAGGCGAGTGATGCGGCAGGTCATCACAATCAGGCTACAGCTAGCTGATGCATGTATGGCATCGACTCGATTCATTTGCAACAGCTAGAAGCGGGCGACCGAGCGAACGCTTAATCAAACGCACAACGCTGGAGGCCGTGCTGCCAGTATACACCTGATGGACTCCAGACTCGCAGGCGTACTGCACGGTCTGTCCTGGGGAGCTATACAGTACGCAGCAGCTAGCAGGTCAGGCAGGGATGGCTGGCTGGCGCGCGCGCAAGTTGGCCTGTCCGCACACACGCCAGGCGCCAGCCCGTCGACGGTACGGTATACGCATATAGCGGTGACGCAGCTATAGCAAGCACCCCATGCACCGCGACTGCTGTGCGGTATACATGCGACTACGCGCAACTGCGCTGGGCGCACACGCAAGCAGCGCACCGCCCAGCAGCGGGCGCTTCAGCGCTGCTGCTGTATATAGCGCGTACCGTGCGGTGTGTATAGCGCTGCTAGGCCGGTGCGGTGGACAGTTTATACGCGCGCGTGAGGCCCAAGAGCGCGCGCCGCCATGGCCCAGTTACATAGCGCTCGCACACACAGCACGCGTGCTGCTTTGCTTGACTGTGATCAAGCTTGCAGGCGCACGGTCAGGCGGCCATCAGGCGCGGGCGGCGCGTGCTGCGCTGCGCGCGCGCGTGTGCGAAAGCGAGCCGCCGCGTTCGCCTTGGACTGCCCTGCGCTGCCCAGGCAGTGCACAGCGCCTGCCAAACTCGATTTGGCAGAGGGCTGGCTTGACCCAGGGCGAGCGACTAGACGCGCTCAAGCTTGCACGCCCGCCCAAATCACCCACCCAACCCAAATCACAAGCCCGCACGCACGCGCTCACCCAGACTCTCACCTTCTACACAAGCTGTCCCTTCACCTCTTTCAGCTCGTTCATCACCATCAACTACAATCAAACATCACTTTTTACACTGCGACAAGCTTCTACATCATGGCTCCCAAAGCAAGTTCCAAGGCTGCATCCTCCGCTGCTCCCGCCAAGAAGGGAAAGGCCGGCAAGAAGGAAGGCCCTAAGCGCCCACTTTCGTGCGTATATGCTCACATACACACACACACTCCACGCGCGTTGCATCACCGCCTTTCCTGGGTGACAGCGCTCGCAAGCTGGCGAGCCGCATCACCCAGGAATGCGCGCGTCGCGCACCATCCCCATTCCTTCGCGTTGATCGCCGTCGTTCACAAGACTGACCCCCGATCCTCTTTTTGCCCACCATCGTTTGCTGTTGACAGCGCATACATGTTCATGTCCCAGGACTGGCGTGAGCGTATCAAGGCCGCCAACCCAGACGCCTCTTTTGGTGAGTCGCAGCCTCTATGTTATCCACACCGCCAGAGACCGTCATGGGTGTGGCATCTCGAGTCATTGAGATCGTCGGCATCGTCGAGCAGCAGGACACAAGTCAGGAGCATGAGATCCGAACTTTTGACGCGCTTTGACGCGTCTTTGGACGCGTCTCGCTCGTGTCAGTGGCCAGCCAGCCAGCGCTACGCATGCCTCCGTCTCGCAACGGACAAACACGGTCAGCGTCAACAGCGGTCAGCGTGGCTCAAAGTCGTGCACATGTCACGCCCCTGGCCGAGGCAAGCCTGGGAGAGTGTTCGCTCTTCAATCTCAGAGTAGTCGCATGAGGTCAGCACCTTGAGGCTTGTCCTGTTGCAGCTGCCCTCTCACCGACGCGTCCGCAGCGCATGCTTGGCCCTACTGCGTGATCTTCGCTGCTGACGCTCTTGACATTGTCGCAAACAAACATCGCAGGCGAGGTTGGCAGGCTGCTTGGTGCCAAGTGGCAAGAGATGTCTGAGGCTCAGAAGAAGGTGAGAATTATGGCTTCTTTCCAGCACGCTCTCGACATGCAGCTGACAGCCCCCATCATGCACGCTCTGCGCAGCCTTACCTCGACATGGCCGAGCGCGACAAAGTCCGCGCTGCCAACGAGAAGGCCGCTTTCGTGAGTAGCGCGACGCTGCCTTTGTCCTGAGCGACTTGGCCTGACGTCCTTGTCTCGTGACGTACACATTTGCAGGAGAAGAAGAGCGGTGGAGGAAAGGGCAGCAAGAAGCAGCAAGCTTACGAAGAGGACAGCGATTAAACCCGAATCGACGCGTCATGATCCGTCTTCTCGCCTTGCTCTCGTCGCTCGTCTCAATCTAGTCTCGCTCCTCGCATCTATGCTCCAAGCCCGACCCTTTGTGCTCTCTCTGAATGTGTGCAAGAGAGGGGGGAGGCCCTGCTTGCGCTTGAGCGGCTGGCTCAACTCTACGCTCGATCATACGTAATCTTGTCAAGCCCTCATCGTATTTTCAGCCGCCTCTCGAAAGGACTTCTCTGCTCCCGATACCGATGTACAAGGGCTTCTTTCCCCCCCCTTTTTCCGCAACAACTCTTGAGCTCTTGCCTTGAGGTGCTGTGTACTCGCACGTGTAACATTGATCCCCATTGACCCGCCTCGTCTCACGCCTGATTTTCTTGCGCGCGCGCGACCTCGTCCAAAGCTCGTGTGCTGAAATTGTTTGTGGATGATGAATTACTCGGCATGGTGATAAAGTCCCTTTCACTGCAGGTGCTTGCTAGAGATTGCTGCCAAGCTGACAGCCCCCCAATCTGGCCCTCGGCTCTTTCCATCCCCGTCTGCCGAGCCGACGAGCGCCAAAGCTGCTTCCTTGCGAGTCTTGATGTGAACGAGCTGCGCTCGGAAATGTCGATGGCATGCTTCTGGGCCCGACACGCCTTCGATGAAACCAGTGGCTGAGGAGGTGGGATGCAAGTCCTCCCGCGCTAGAGACTCCAATCCGTTCGAGATGAGCTCCACAAGAGAGTTGATGTACTTTGGAGTGATGGCCTCGACTTGCCTCTCGAACTGGGAAATGGCGAGCGATGAGCACCTTGCGCGTGCGCCAGCTCACAAATCCGCGACACTCACGTAATAGAGATATTGGTCCAAAGCGCTGCAGAAAATTTCCACTGTGCTGCGCTCATCCACACAGCTGTTTGCGATCCTAAGCGCCTTTTGCAAGCACTCCAAAACGCGCTTGCCATCCCTCAGCAAAGGCTGAACAAGAAATGCATCAATGTAAGGCCGTCGTCAGATCAGCGACGTCTCGGCGTGACGGGACGCCCGTTACTCACCTTTTCCTCGGTGCTTGGTCTGCCTGCTACTTCGACCTGCCACCACAAGTGGCTGGCCATCAGCACTGCTGCAGCTTGATGAGGCTTTTTGAGCAGCTTGGCTCCATGCAGCGTAGCTTTGGTGATCAAGGTGTCGTAGTTGTCTGTCGAGAAGACTCGTGCTGTCTGCAAGGTGGATATGACAAGTCCGATCGCTTGCAGTTGCGCTCTGCTTTCCGAGATCGATTCCTCGTAGATGGTAAAAGCTTGCACGTAGAACTCGTAGCTGAGCTCTTCGAACTCAGTCTCGTCGGCTGATTGTGCAGCGAGCAAGAACAAGCGAAGGCAGGAGTCCGAGGACTCCACCTTGTTGTAGAGCGTGGAGATGATCTGGTGGACAAATTTGTACAAGGTGAGCATCTTGCTCTCCCAGTCTTCCTCCTGTGCAGGGAAGGAGAGGAGAGGATTCATCGGTGAGTCAATTTGCAGGCCGTTGGCTAAGTACACAGTAGCAGGTGCTCACAATCTCTTCTCGCAACTTGTATCGCCTCGCCAGCTTCATCGCAGAGACGCTGAGCGGCGGCAGAGTATACCTGATGCGCTCGCCGCCGGCGATAAAGTGCTTCCTGGCCGTTTGTAGCAAGCTGAACTGTGTTTCAAGATCGTCGGACCTGAACAGGTGGACCATCCTGGCTAGCCAGCCTTGCTCTTCCGCCATCTCTTCCAGGTCGTACTGAGCCATATGATGCCTGGAATTCATGGCTCTGCCCATGCCTCCTCCATACAAAGGAGTCCCGCCTTGGTGATGCCCATTATAGCGAGGGTCCTGACTATGCAGATGCTGAGCGGCGTACGGGTTGCCACCCTGTGCATATGCAGCGTGCTGAGCATGGTGAGCTGTCCCATCTCGTTGGTCCAGAACGAGGATGCTGCACAAGTCTAGAACTCCATCAACGTCCTCTGGAGTGGACATGACAGTCTCATTTCTCAAGACGCTGTTGACGACAGCGTGCGCGATGCTCTTGCGAGTGGAGTATGGCTGCGCCAGGAGAAGCGCCTTGTAATTCGGCAGTGCCAAGAGCGTCAACACTGTGAGGTACGAATTGATGGGCGAAAGCAACAAAGCATTGAGGTTACCCATCGTTGTTTGCGAGTGGAGCTCAGCAGTCTGTTCGGCTTCAGCCACTTTCTCTCTTGCGAAGCCGAGAACCTGGTCTACATACTCCAGCTGGTCCGGATAGCAACTCAGCGAGAGGTTGATAAGAGAGACGAGCAGTGCAGTGATGTCCATGATGGACAGATCTGGTCTCGCTCTGATAAGCTGCACCACTTGGGCCCAAAATACCTCGAATAATTTGACATCCTCCGGAATTCCTCGGAACTTCCGAGGCGGTGCCGGTGGCGGTGCCGATGGCACGGGCTCGGCTGCTTGCGGTCGGGAAGCAGCTTCAGCGCCTTCGACTGGCTGATTCCCCTTTGCGGTCGGTGCGTCTCCGTCGACTTGCACCGGCTGCGCACCGTCATCCTCTTGCGCATCTCCGCTCGCTGGCAAGGACTTTGACGGGAACATGTCTGACCGCATCTCCTGCCCTCCGGTCCCATTCTCATCGGGGTCTTCGGATGTCGCATCAGTGCTAGGTCCTGTTTCGTTCGAGTGCAAGTCGTCCGAGGTCGACGCTGAAGCACCGCCCCATGGATCGGTGCTTCCTCTCTGCTCTCCCCATGCGTTGTCGTTGAGCTCGTCTGGAACGGACGAGAAGCGAGCTTCGGTCGAGCTGTGCGTCGCTACGTTTGGAGCAGCGGCATCGTTGGGGTCGACTGCAAAGCCAGACGGTTCCACAGGAGGAGCATCCGCAACGGGTGCAACCGGCGGCTGGGCAGCGGAGCGAGCCTCTGTGTGAGGCCCGTCCAGTAGTTCCTGCTGAGCTGCGCTTGCAGGGGCGCCCGACCTGACCTCTCCTTCCGCCTTGACTTCGTCCCAGACGCTACTGGGCCCTGCAGACTGACCGGTCAAGCGCATCTCTCGGGTCTTCTCCGCTAATCGACGCCCGGCCTCCTCCTCTTGCCTGCGTATCTCCTCAGGACTATCGTTTTCGGCCTCTCTGGCTGCATATGCAGCAAGCCGATCAATCAATGAGATGACAATCTGCTTGATGTTGACCTTTGGGTGCAGCTGAGCGCAGGCGGAGAGGAATGGACCAAGGGTTCGCAAGTGGAATTCGTCAGGGAAGACTTGAATGACGACTTCCATGAGGTACTCTTGCGCGATGACGTCTTTACAATTGACAACTTGCTCCAAGATCGATGGCAAGATGATTCGCCTGTACATCTCCAGATCCACGCCGTCCAATTGACTAAGCCTGACCAAGTTGGTGCCAACAAGAATGCGCAGCTCTTTTCGCTCCATCTCCCTCTTCTCCCTATCTCTCGAGTGTCCCTGATGCTGCAAGCGCACCCATAGCTTGTTCATCTCAATGAAGTTGGTCAAGACAAAGCCGATGGAGTCCTGCAAGTTGCCGCCAGATCTGTTGATGCGCGCAACGATCGAGGAGAGCACATCAGTACAGCCTTCTTGCCCAAAGAGCATGTAGCAGACCCCAGCTGCACGTACCCCATATCACTCCCTACTGGCAAATAGTCTCTCGTCGCTCCGCTCATGTAGTGGCGCAGGAAGAGGCCGCGAGTGGGGTGCTGCACGCCTCTGCTCATCTCCATGATGTCTTTCATGATCTCCTTGATGGGAGCATCGGGCACAGACATGTAGACGCTGCCTACCGTGATCATCAAGTAAAGCTGCCCGCGCAAGGTTTGGAGTCGGAGCGGCGTTTGCATCTATTGAGCAAGGGGATGGGGCTGACGGCTCGGCTGACGAGACTAGTCAACTCACTCTTGGAACAATGTTGCCGCAGTATTGCACCAATTCGTACAGATCGGCGAGGTGATGCTTGCTGGTGGTGTGCGCATCGTACAGATAGATGGAGAGGTGGCGCAAAGCATCAAACACGGCCATGTCTGGGGGGGGGAAAAGGGAGTGGGACCTCTCAACGCCTGCAAAGTCACTCTAGCTTGAATCCACGCCCAGCTTCATGCACCACTGCTTCAATGCAAAGAGCCACGCAGCACTTACAAAGCTCGTAGTAGTTCTTGGGCGACAGGGAGGAAGTCCTGAGCTCGGAGAGCATGGTAGACGCAGCTTTGAGAGCGTCCATGAGAAGCTCCGAGTCGAGGCACCTCTTCATCTGCACAAGCTGCACCTTGACAGAGGACAGCGCCTCATTGAGGACCTTGACGGAGTCATCCATAGCGTGAGCTGAATCGCTTCGGCGACACTGGTGACCGTAAGTGTTTGAGGTGCGGCTGGCCGTGTTGGGTGCGGCAACGTCACTTGCCCCCCCCCCCTGGTCGACGACTTTGCGCAGCAAGGCACTGATCGAGTGCCGGAATTGGCCTCGGGTGGGCCCCTTTAGCGTGTGCTGCACAAGGAGATTCGCTTCGGCAGCCTTTCTGACCAGCGATCACAGACTGTTAGAGATCCTAGGGTAGCCCCAAGGCCATTCGGCAGGGAAGCAGCTGAGCGCAAGAACCAGCAGCGACTCGGCACGACACTTTTTGTGGGCCGAGGATTTGTGCGCCAGTTGAGCTGAAGTGGATGCGGCAAAGCTCAACTGAAAGCGAGTGCGACAGTCCAGTGTGACAGTAGAGTCACAAGTGTAGAGCGTGAGCTAGCCGATGAGAGCGCACGCACAGAGCGCTCCGCGAGCCCAACAACGCATCAGCCGCATATCGCACTCGTGACTCTTGACTTACACACGCAATCAGCTGCAGCGCAGATCAACTCACGACTTATTGACCTCTCGTGCATCCCAGACCGTGCGCACGCGCGGCTTCTCCCGCTCATGCTGATGCGCGCTCACCACCCACGCTTTCGTGGCCGGGCTGTCTTCCGAACTGTCAACATTCACGATTCGATCGCGGTCTGGACCTGAGAGTTCAGGTCGCAGCATAAGTCCGATTTCAGGGTAGAATGCATGCGCAGCGATGTGTAATTGTGGCCCCTACCTAGGCTTTCCTTCAGAGGCGCACGAAAGGTGTCCCTACAATAAATAGGTCTGGTCTTGGGGCATATGGCGCCACACCTCAGCACGGCCACTCAATCGCTCAGCTCTCGTTGCGTGTACCATAGAATGACGACGATGTGGGATGAGCGGGATCATGCACTTGCCACGTCTGATGACTTGTGGCTGACTTGACTTAACTTCAGCCCGGGTGCGCTCCCGCAGACGAGACGCTATCCTAGCGTGATGCAAAGTGTTTGCCACTGCAACACCCTAATTCAAGACGACTCATTATTTGGACAAGACAAGATTGGGAGGTGGCAAGTAGGTCGACAATGCGAGCTCTTCTTGTATGTGTGCGATGCATCTGAACGCATCTATGCGCGAGGAATGCTGATATCAGGAGATGCTTGGGGTGCTGCACGTACGAGCAAGTCGTAATGGCCGGGACGGAAGAGAAGCGTACCCTGTGATCGCAGCGGCAAGAGATGCTGAGTGCGCATGAATACATGCTGACAGTGCTGCGAGAAGCGCTACTCACAATGTCCATGCCGACGCCAATCGTCGAGGGTACCTCAAACTCAACCAGGTCCACGCGATGCGGATCGTTCGCAGCTTCCCTCTTGATCGCAGCCGCCTCTCCGGGTACCGCCACGCCGCCGGCAAATGCCTCTCCCATCTTCTTCTCCAAAGCTGGGGTCTCCGGGGGGGCACCTGAAGCTGTCAAGTAGGCGACGTGGAGCGACACCTTCAAGCAGCTGCTAAGCGCCGCGATCTGGACGTGATCCGCTTCCTTGCCAATAGCCTCGACCTGATTGGCGCAAAAGTCATCAAGCGTTGGGGCTTTACCCCCAAACTCGTCCTCTAGAGTGAAGAGGAAAGGTGTGAAGTCCTCCGCGTTGTCCTGCAATCGAAGATCGAGACTCGCCCATCGCCGTCAACGTGAGAGCGGGAGAAGCAGAATCCATCTCGGACTCACCTTTAGGTATGCGCTTGTCACCAGCCGCAAGTAGGCAACAATTGAGTTTACAATGTACGCATCGTTGAAAGCTTGTTGCAAGCGTTGATCATTGAGCTCTACGACTTCCGGATCGGTGCTGTGCATCCGATTCAACAGCTTCTTGAATGGCTCCCAGAACTCGAGGCTGCACGTAAAGGGCAAGCGATCGGTAAACTGTATGCTACTTCGCACCTATCGATGTATGCGCAAGCCTGACACATACTAGATTGATTCGTCGAAGCCTGTCTTCTTGAGAAGGCTGCGGAGAAAGGGGCGTGCGTCGCGTTCAGCATTATGAATAACACCAGAGCAGCAATGCCACCAGCAAGTGGAGACAATGCTCACGCCAATGTCCCTTCCAAGTGCTTCACCATGAAATGGTGCATCGGCCTGTCGTTGAAATGCAGCAGCTTCTGCACCACGGCGAAAGCGAAAGCAGCGTAGAAGCAATTGCCTGTTCACATCAGGTGGCGAGTAGAGGAGCCTATCAATGCTGGACCAGCCCGCGCTGCAGAGCTGTACGGCACTCACCATCACCGCGCACCCTGCGCATACCTGATGGAAGCGAGTAGAGTGTCTTGTATTAGCTGGAGTGCTGATCTTCCCGACACTCGCTCTGGCCGGCAGCATTGAGAGTTCAATGACGGTACCAAATGCCCACCGCCGGCACCGCAGCATTGCATAAGCTACTTCCAAGCTTATAAGCGAGTCGAGATGCCCCTACAATGCCGACAAATTCGCATCAAAATCTCCCCTCAACTCACCAATGAAGTCTCCCTTCTCTCTCAACCACTTGACCTTATCGGCAAACTCCGCATAGTTCCCCTTCCTGTACTCCTCCTCTAATCCGTCCAAAGTCTCTTGGGGTCCCAGAAGAGCCTGACCCGAGAAGCTTTCTTCCTTGGCTCTCTGTCCAAGCTCTGCTCTCTGGGCATCTGTGAGGTCAGAGAGCCTGAGTGGCGGTGGTGGAAGAGATGTCAGGCACTTAGCTCATCAGTGACGCTGTGAACGTAGTGAATACGGTCGCACGCTCACTTTGTGTCCTTTGTGACTTCTGCAGCGGACATTGTGGGCGGGTGGGAGTATGATGCCAGCGGGCGGGGGTAAAGCTCGCACCAGTATCGATCGTAATTAAGAAGCCGACTCAGACTTGTGACTTGACCTTGGCCTGCTGTGATGCAGGCGGCAAAAGTGCGTCTGGGATGCCAAAGGTCGGAGCAGTACAGTCGCTTACCCGAACAGTCGAGTGGAGACCTTCTTGCGCTTTGTTGATCGCGCAAGCCGTGCTAAGTGAATGCGTGCTCGGGTATCAAGTCTGATGAGTGCGAAGTGAAGGTGATGTTCAGAACGAGGCAGACGTCGTCACGCACGACAGGCGCACCTTCCGGCTCGCGACTGCACGGTGTCCTGCCTGCTGCTGTTCCCTGGCATGCGGGCAACTGATGACGGCGGCCCAGGCTAGCTGCTGCTGTGGCGTGGCTCGAGCAACCGCGCGTGTGAATCGCGATCGCAGTCTGCGAGAGGCTGCCATCCAGTGGTCACGTGTTTGGGCGTACAGAGCGGTCATGAAGCTCAAGACCATTTGACTCAAAGCGGCTTGGCTCCTACCACGGCAGTGAATCTGAGAACGCAATTAATATGCCACGGCCGGCTACCTTCTTGGGCGGAGGATCAACTCTGAGAAACTTACATCCAACTGGCACTTGTGCTGCGCAGCAGGATAGGCTGCTTCATATGTGGCGCTCATTCGTTGCCACCGCCTCAGAGGAGCTTGACCAGAGGGGGCCTTCGCTATTTTGCGTGTCAGTAAGCAGGGCCGCCGTAGCAAAGTCAAGGGCCGAGGTCATGCATACTGAAGTCCAAGAGAGTACAGTGAAGGAAGCAATCAAGAGACAGCAAGAGGAGAGTGAATACAGAAGAGATGCAAAGTCTGCAAACCTCGAGTGGAAAAGCGAAGCCAGACACCCTAGGCGTATTGGTCAGCGCGGAGCAGACGATCCGTGCTCAGTCTCTGATTGGCCCAGAGCGACCCAACTGTGACCCAGTGGGCTATCGATGCCTGAGCGGGTTCCCTGATGCGGATCCAAGTGCGGACTGGGAGCCTCCCTGCTCGGTGGACCCATCCAAGGTCCCTCTTCTGCATGAGCTGCACCGTGCCTGCTTGACGCTTCGCTAGGCAAATGGAACCCCGACGATGAAGCCACCCTGCTGGCGCTAGGTGTCGTGCCTGCGTAGTCTTCAAAGACAGAGCTTTCGGAAGCGTCTGCATTGCTAGCACTCGCCGGAACCCAGTGCGGGCTGTTAGGACCTCGCGAGCTCAGCGTTGGACTTTCGACGCCCTGAGTGCTGAGGTGGTCTCCGTCACCAAAAGCGCTACTGGGAACGCTGCTCAAGAGTCCGGAGCTTTCCATGCCCGCCGCTCCATTGCTGCTGGACGGTCCATTGGAATCCTCCTCGCTGCTCGCAGTGGCGCTGTGGGTGGACGCTGGCCTGGCCGTCTTGCGTGCTCCAGACGAGCTGTGAGAGCGCCCTCTACCGCTTGAGGTGCTTCCGCTCGCTGCACCAGACGCGGGCCCTGCACGACCTATGGACGTTCGGCTATGCGAATTGCTTACAGGACCTGGTCCAGGACCGAAAGCGGGCTGCCGTCTTGGTGTGCCGCCTCCGAAGCCCAGCCGAGGGCCAAGCTGCCGCAAAGCGGATATCCAGCGCGCGGAGACAGCAACCGAGTGATTCCAGATTGTGCCCGGTGCACCGACGAGCACATGGCGCAGCCAGTGCAACGTATGCTCAGGGGCGCGTGAAGTCAAGAAGCTCGTCATTCTCGTGCGCAGCGCTGGACCGACAACGTAGAAGGACTTCCAGCGTGTTGAGGTGGGTAACAAGAGGAGACGTGCCGTAGTCTTGGACAGAATGGACAGATCGTCGTTTGGGTCTGCCAGCACCTGTGATGTCTTGGTGGAGGGTATGGTCTCTCCACGCGGGTTGATGGTCGTACGTTTGGGTGCGCGAGATGTGCCGCTTGATTCGGACGTAGAACGAAGCGGCGCGATCTGGAGCGTCGCGCACCGAATCACACGGGACTGCGTGCCGTGGGATTTTGCGCAAGCGTGAGCTAGCGAGCGCATGGACTCGAGAGCAGCTGCCCTTGTGACGGAGGCTGCACCAGGCGTAGAAAGCTTTGGCGCCACCAAGGTGAGAACCGTTGCAGGGTGCTCAGCCCATCGGCCATCCACCGGACTTCGCAGTGTCGATACGAGGGCGTGAAGGGCAGCAAAGGGAAGCGAGACATACTGTTCGATTTGAGGGGCAAGCTGGCGTCCATTGTCGTCGCTAGGACCTCGCTCGTCCCAGCTTAGGGCATTGATGACGCCTGAGAGCCTGACACGCTCTCCGGCCCTGGCGAAGGGATCGCCTGCTCCTGTCAAAGGCCATTTGAGCTCCAAAGCGCTCTTGAGAGCGGTTTTCATAGTTTCGACGGTGCCAGTATGATCCCGCGACGAGGTGTCGAGTAATAAAGGCTTAACGTACCCCTGCGAAGAGGGTCGCACCTGCCGCGTGAAGGCCGCTTGGGAGGCGCTGGAAGCGAGCGTCGGCAAGACGATGAAGCCCTGGGCTGAAAGAGTGATCGTGAGCTGCTCCCCGAGAGGCGTATCACCTCCCAGTACCACTGAATATTCGAGATGTGCATGTTAGTGTGAAATCTACGAGGCGGCGCATATTGCCTCGCTAGACCAACTCCGATGTGCGAGACTCACCCACGGCCTCTGCGCGTCTGCCATTCCTGATCTCTGGGCCTCGAACCGGCCCATCACTTCTTGCGTAAAAGGCGTATCCAGCAGCGGCGCTCAACCCTACACCTGCGCCCACGCTAAGCAGCACGATAGCATGGGGATGATCGCTCCACCATCGCGCCAGGCGATCCGTGATGGACTGTGGAGGCGGTGGAGGTGCAGGCTTGGAAGGACCAGCTACGAAGTCAGGTAGACTGGGAAGCGACGGGATGTTGGGCAGCGATGGTGGACCGTATTGGGTCAATGAAGTGTAGAGAATCGTGGTATATTCGTGAATCGAGTTGGTAACCTTCTGTGGCAAGGCGTGCTGCGGACAGAGCGTAGTGTGGGGATTAAGCTAGAGCCTCAAATGGTACTCCTCGACAGTGACCTGAAGACGGACGAGCGCCAGACTCACCACATTTGGCAGGTTGCTACTGAGCCATTCGTCCAACTCGTGGAGAGACTGCATACCCAGTGCATGCTCGTTCGACGTGGATGTCATGGCGCCAGTGCTAGAGAGCAAGGTGTAAGGGATTGGATTAGCTCCGGAGACTGATGACTCTGGCCGTCGTGCAGGACAGGGCTGCCATTTGGAGCAAGGCGGCCAGTCTGAAAGAAAGGTTGCGAGTGTTGGGTCTCAAGGATTGGCCCCCGTCGTGTTTCTCTGGATAGCTGCTGCGTAGAGTCGCGAGTCGAGTCTTGAGTAGTGCGCTGTTGTCACGACTCAGGACTTGACAAGGTGGAGTCCTCGCCTTTGCTGGCGCGCACTCGTGACCGCGACCGCTGCTCGCGCGCAACGATGTCGTGAGGCGCACCTTGCGTTATCGATCAATCAGCCGATGCACCCGGCCACGCACAATTAATAAACAGCAGCGCGCGTGTATGCTATAGCTGCGCATGTGGGGCGCGCGCTGCCGGCTGCGCAATGCTGCATCTGATTCAAGCTCCACGCCACGCATTCACCGCACCGGTCTCCAGCTCCAGGTAACACAGCACCCATCAGCCACCTCTGCGCACCCTCGGCTCGCGCTGAGCAACCATGCAAGACGTCAGCGCCCTATCACGCGCCAGGTGGTGGCCCATGCAGTATGGTCACGTGCGGGCGCCATGCACCCGCGTCGGGATCGCCCGCGGCGCCTGTTGAACCTCGGACTCCAGACTGGCGCGCCTTTCACAACATAAAGGCAAAAATCAGAAATTCGCGTGTGTGCTCCAAGAGCGGAAGCTTGCCTTGCATCGCCATCCTAGCATCCATCCGCCCTCCTCCTCGTGCACCGTCTCGGCCTATACCCTTGACGCGCCCTCCTCCTCCACTTTGCATCCGCTCGCAGGCCAGTGACCCCGTCAGCTTGTCTCTTCCAACCGCAGTCGAGTCTGTGTCTGCCAAACCGTCGCCTTGCAAATCGCTTTGTCCCTCCTTTGCAGCTTTGAACTACATTAGTGGTTCTCGTCTGGCTATGTCGACTCCACAGCCCAAATCCCTGCCCCTGGAGGCCACGACCGGAAAAGTTCGCGACGACGATGAGCAATCCTTCGACGAGCCACCTCTGATCCCACTACTGCCCCGTCTCCTGCGCAGCGTAGGTCTCCTAGCGCTTTTGGCAGCCATGTGGTACGCCCACAGCGCCTCTCGGTCGCCAAGTACTCCAGCAAGGGACAGCATTCTCGCTCCATTTAAGATCGTATTGGATGGCGTTGACTCGGCCATTCACGCCGTAGCGCCTTCGCCTTGGCCACGTGATCTCAGCGGAGTGGATCCCAAGGCTGGGTACGCCGTTTGCAGCCCTGGTGCTGCTCCACTTCCTCCATATGACTCGGAGACGGACGGAGTGGGAAGCAAGGTGCTGCGATCTTGGAGATCCTTCCGCCCAGCACCTCGTCCAGCCATCTACACTTCTCCCTCCAGCGCGAATACGAAGGATGCGCAGGCCGAAGCCCATCTCTGTGTGGTTGTGGAGAAGGGAAAGATAGCTCGAGTAGGCTCAGCAACAGACGTGGACACTTGGTGCGAAGGCAAGAGGCGAGCTCGAAAGCCTTGCGATATCAGAGAGCTGGGGGTGAGTCTTGGCGCAGCGAGTCATGGTGCTTGCCTGCAAAAGGCGGGGCGAGAATGGCTGGTCAAGCCTGGCCAGTGCTAGGCTCGTCAGGAAGTGCCGTGAGTCATCGGCATTGTCGGGCATCCGCAAGTGAGAGCATAGCAAGCTGACCTCCCCTCTCTTTTCGCGATAGCCCAATCAATGCATGCTGCCAGGGCTTCAGGATGCTCATGGCCATGTACTCGAGCTTGGCTGGTCCATCTCGTCTGTCAATCTCGTGGGAGCATCCTCAGTGCAGGGTGAGGAATCGACCTCGCAACGAAATCGCATGCATGCGTGGCATACGCTTACATCTGCGAACTTCATTCGGGATAGAAATCATTGAACGGGTCGAGAATTACGTTGAGGCTCGACCTGACGTGCTAGCTGATGAGGATTTGTGGATTGAAGGTCTTGGATGGGATCAAACCCGGTGGTCGCCACCCATCTTTCCAGCTGCGGTGAGTAGTTCAAGTAGAGCGCTACAAATTTTCCGAGTAGCGATGTTCATGTCAAGCCATGCGTCCTTTTCTGCTACCGCAGTCCGATTTGGCCTCCTCGCGCCTGTTGGCAAATCGTCGGATCAGCCTGAGACGTGTCGACGTGCACGCGCTCTGGTTATCGCCTCGCGCCCTTGCAGATGTTGAAAGAGGTGCTCGGTTCCCCCGACCCGACCAGGACGTGCCAGGAGGTCTGGTGGTGCGTGCGCCAGACGGCTCACCTACGGGCATACTGATCGACCGCGCTATGGAATTTGCCTGTGAGCATGATGCTCGGGTACTTTTTCGATCGCGAGCCGCAAGTCACACAGCTGACACTTTTCGCGACCACTAGACGCCGTCATTCCTTCTTGGACAGATGAGGACAGATCTCGGTACCTGAGCGCCGCTCAGCGCTCTCTTCTCGAAGTTGGCATCACTTCAGTCGGCGACGCGGCTGCGGATCTGGATACCTTGGACTTTTTGCGGAAAAGAGACGCTCAGGGCAGCCTCGCGGTGCGAATCTACGGCATGCTGGCTTGTCCTGCGAACAGTGCGAGATGCAGCGACGAAGCTGCACGTCGTGGTTTCCCTCTATTGCCGTCGCCGAGCGCCTCAAATCGTCTGACCGTGCGAACCGTCAAGCTGTTCGCAGATGGCGCGCTTGGATCTTGGGGCTCCGCAATGTGGGACCCCTACGCTGATCGGCCGGCCTCGAACGGTTTGCTCTTAATACCCGAGGCTGATGTACAACCTCTGATTCAGCATTGGGTGGATGCAGCTTGGCAAGTCGCAACGCACGCGATCGGTGATCGTGCAAACTCCATCGTGCTCGACGCGTACGAGGCAGTCCTCACTTCATCGGCGCACGAGGGCAAAGATCTGAGACCGCGAGTCGAGCACGCTCAACTGTTGCGCTTGAACGACACGGCTCGCTTTGGTTCGCTCGGAGTCATTGCTAGCATGCAGCCGACGCATTGCACCTCCGACATGGGCTATGTGGAGCATCGCATTGGTCTAGAGAGGTCCAGAGGCGCATATGCGTGGCAGTCTGTACTCAGGTGAGCCTGATTGACCGAGCTGCCCTCCGTAACGCATGTTGCGAGTGTATGCTCATTGATGCCTTGTTCTTCTTGCAGTGCCGGCGGGCTACTCGCGCTGGGCTCTGACTTTCCCGTCGAGCTTCCTAATCCTATGCACGGCTTGTACTCTGCCATCACACGCCTCGACTCGCAGGGCCACTCTCCGCACGGCTCAAAAGGGTGGTGAGCGAGAGTGTGGGCCCTGTTCCTCAAACGCCTTCTGGCGCTGAAGGCTGACCTCGTTCCTTCGCCTTCAACAGGTTTCCGAAGGAGCGACTCACTCGCGCCCAAGCTTTGCACGGCTTCACGAGAGCAGCGGCACATGCGCAATTTGAGGAACACATCAGCGGCGCTATACATCCCAATTTTCGGGCTGATCTGGTCGTGTTTGATAGAGATGTCATGGATGAGGGCAGGACGTCGCCAAGTCAGCTGCGGGCCGCTCAGGTGCTCTATACGCTAGTAGATGGCCACGTGGTCTACGCTTCAACTCAGCGGTAGCTTCACATTTGCAATGCACCACATCACAATCGGGGCGCTTGCTGGGGTTGTTTTAAACTTGCATTCGTCGTCATGCAAAAGTTAAGACTTGCCAAATGATATCAGAGTCCTCTAAGCCTTGTAGCCGTCTACGTCGGTATTCAACGTGTAGTGCTCCCACTTCTTGGCGCGCTCCGAGTCCACCTTGTGCTTGTTGGTCAACGCAGCATGGGCGTCGCTACCAAGGATGACTCGCAAAGGAGGCTCCTTTTCGAGTGCCAAGTTGTAGAATGCGATGGCACCCTTGACTGGATCACCAGGTTGCTTTCCGTGCCTCTTGCTGGCATTCTCTTTGCTATTGACATGGCTGTAATCCGAGTGCTTGGCTTGCTGATCGTTGAACTTCATGTTCTTACCAGCCCACTCGGTCCTACAAGCGAGGAAGAGTTGAAGAATGAACATGAGCACTTCAGACACGCTCGACCTGAAGGGCGCATACCCACCTGAATCCTCCAGGTTCGATGAGAGTGTACTTGATGCCCCATTCAGGCTTCTGATCCGTCTCCTTTGCCAACGACTCGATGAAACCTTCGCATGCCCACTTGGAAGCGGTGTACGCAGTGTAGGTGGGCACGCCAATCTGCCCACCGATGGAAGTGACGACCTGAATGACGCCTCCGGCAGGTTTTTGTTGCCTCAAGATCGGCAACGTTTCCCTGACGGTCTTTGTGACGCCGAAAAAGTTGACATCGAACTGCTCTTGCACTTGCTCCTCCGTCAAGCTCTCAAACTCTCCCGACAGACCGTAGCCGCTGTTGGCGCACACCACATCCAGCCTGCCAAACTTGTCCAGGGAAGCCTTGAAAGCAGCTTTGGTGCTTGGCGTGCTCGTCACATCCACATCCACGCCCAAAAAATTGTCCGCTGTAGCTCCGGGAAAGGTGAGCTTGGATCCCGTTCGACCCGCTGCCACCACTTTGTGGCCATTTGCAAGCGCGTGGATGACGTATTCCTATGCGTAGAAGAGCGCGAGAGTTTGATCAGGAACCGACAGGGTTAGAGCAAAGAGTGGCAGCAGCGCTTTGAGACGCTCACCTTGCCAAAACCGCTGGAAACTCCGGTGATGAAAAAGACTTTGCTTGGTGCGGTCTGGGAGGAGCAAGAGGAGGAGCGGGTCAGACAAACGGCAATACTACCACTCTTCGCATCTCGAAAGCTTAGCCCGGTGAAGCCTTACCATGGTGTGGATGAGGTCGGGTCTAGAAGTGTCAAAGGTGTGTAGTGGTGTATTGCGTACAGAAAAGCTGTGATATGTGGGGGCCAGCATGATTTGAGATGGTTTCAAGCCTTCTTATGTGCGGTTGATTCATGCTGTGCTCGATTCGCCAACACCTGCGAAAGCGCGTGGATGTGGTCATCCTACCGGTGAGGTGCACCTAACTAGCGTCCCTCCCTCCACATCGCAGCGCACTTCCATCACACACAGTCAGTCATGAGTACGCACATCAATGCACGCTATCTGGGCCGGCGTTCCAGGGCCGCACAACACATCTATCCTAGCAGGGCGAAGGTCGGTGATGGCGCTTTGTTTGGACGAAGTCGGCCTGATCAAGACTAAGTGGAGGTTGTTAATCTCCGATCGAGCTGTGCCGTACGTGCCGCACGTGTTTTGAAATGTCTGAATTCGAACCGTCATATTCACAATTTGAATTTTCCGCGAATCTACACACACGTAAGCCGCCCGTCGCCGCATGTCGCATCGCGTTAGTGATCTGAACCAAGTTCGCCGCGGCTGCCATAGATGTCCGCGCTGCTGATGTCGTATTTGCGCGTCCATGCCGAGAAGCCTTGCTGCTCGTGACTCGCATGTGTTCTGCATGGTATGTTAGGTACTCGATCACTACGCACATCGCACTTTCATCGTGTCAATTTGAATTATAGGCAGCTGTAGACTCACTCACGACTTGCGATTCACCAAGCACGCCCGTGCCTGCCTGCCTCCTAGCGTGGCCGCGTACGCTTCGATCTGCAATCGTGAATTCACCTTTGCTCCTTCTTCAGTCAAGTCTCATCTACGGACGCTCAGGGTCTCCCACCTCATCGGCGAAACCGGGATCAAAGACAAGCAGCGCCCGGCTGTGCGTGCGGGTCTCGCTCGAGTAAGAATCCACGAACAAGCACAAAGTTGGGCGCACGTATCACGTTCGAACAGCATCCTCCCCTCTGAAACGCGCACACGGTGCGATCGGAACCGAACGCTGTGTCAGCCAGCCAGCAGTCGGTGTCGGACACGGCATAGCAAGGACAGCTCAAAAGCGTCGCAGCAGCTAGCTATACCATAGCCCTGCAACATCCACGCGCGCTCCACACAGCATCATGCCAGGTGCTGCTGCTGGGCCCCATCATCGTTCCCAAAGAGCGCAGCAGCAGCCTACCGGTTCAGGTGGCATCAAGATGCCTCCGCCTCGCACGCCTCCCAAACAACTCTGGAGCAATCGCACCTTGCTCTTCCTAACCACGTGTGTGGGCGGCGTGTGAGTCGTGCGTTTCGCCTTGCCCCCTCCTCTGCTGCGCGGGCGTGCGCGAGGCTAGCACCCATAAGGCTACCGCGAAAGCATGGCTCATATGTTTGACTGACCACCAGACTTCGTGATTGCGCAGCACATATGTGTTAGGTATCAATACCGGCTACGAAGCTGGCAAGAAGAAGGCATTTGAGGACTTGACGGGCGGACAGCGTAAGCCCTCGGCACCGCTTGGCGAGCCTGTTTCGCCTCCTTCTCAGTCGCAAGTGCCTCAAAGCGGCGCAGCTAGCCGGCCGCCTCCTTTGAGATGATCGTAGCTGGAAAGTGAGCACCACGGCTGGGCTCAGCCAGTCTCGATGGCAGCGCCGTGGTTCGGCACCGAGACCGCAAGCCGGGCTCATTGTAATTCAAAAATGTACATTGCATCGTCATTACACGTGAAGACCTGCGCGGAATTCGAACATGTGCAAATCCATGCAGTGCAGGAAAAGAGATGGCTAATGTTCCAATCGCAAACAATCAAAAGGTGGAGGGCAAAGAGATCGCAAAAGGTCACGCGGACGTGCGGGGTTTCCGTCAAACGCCCACACTAAGCCAGGACCATTGCCATTCCGGCCACGGCGCCAATGACCAGAGCGCCGAGGGTCGCACTGGTGGCAGTGCGTGAGCCGGCACCGTTTCCGCTGCCTCCGCCGCTGGACACGTTGCTGCCAGAGATCAAGCTGGCCGAGCCGGTTGGGGAAGCGGAGCCGGCAACAGGCGTGGGCAGACCGGAGCCGCCAACGATGCCAGTGATGGAGTTGGTCTGGGTGGGTAGATCTCCTGCAGGCGCACCCGTTGCGCTCGACGTGGCCGAAGCTCGAGGAACGGTAGCGGCGGCCGCGCCCGCGGACTGGATTGCTCCGGATGTCGTGGCGACAGCCTGGGCATTGTCACCTCGCAGCGCTGCAAAACCGACGCGTGCTGGGTTGGACTCAAAGACGGAAAAGACGTTCTTCAGGAAAGCATCGCCGACAATCCATTGAGGACCTTGTCCACCGAGGTCTGTGGCAAAGAAGGCTCCGAGGCAGTATTGCGTAGATCCACCTGTGGCGCAGAGGAGAGGGAGCAAAGCGTCAATGAACGCAATCCCAGCCGTTCACACCCCCTGCTACTCACGGTTGCCGTACAGGCCATAGTTGAAGTCGAGCGGATTGATGTTCCACGTTTTGCCGCCAAAGGTCAGAGCAGCGCTGACATCGGTGTTGCATGGGTACACCCAGTACAACGAGTCGCCACCACCATCCATCTGCACGGCCTGCGAGTTGGGAATTTGGTTGTAAAGAGCACGAATGGCGGAGACGGGTCCAGCAATCAGAGTTGTTCCGGTGTCGATGGCAGCGGTGTTGGAGCCGCTGGAGACCGAGGTCGTCTGACCGTTCACGTTGAACGAATCGATGGGGATGGTCCAGTAAGCTGGAGAGGTGAGGGAAGTGTATGTAATGTCGCCAGTGTATTGGTTGCTGTCAAGCTCGCCCAATGTAAAGACGCCACCAGGCTGCAACTGGCTTGCAAGAGTGGTGCCACTAATCACAGTCGGGTTGTTGTTGTTGCGACGCAGCTGGAAAGTGAACAAAGGCTGACTGAGCTTGTTGGATTGTGCCAAAACCTCCCAAAATGGTGTGGCTGCGCTCGAAGCCAAGGTCTCGAAGCCCATGCCCATCAAAGCCGAAGCTGGAGCGTTGAGGGTACCCTCAGCAAGCTGATCAATGATAGCAAATGTTTGGTCTTGAACGACGTAGCCGGCCAGCGAGACCGTGTCTGCAGCCAGCGTGCCGCGCACGGCGCCGATGCCGTACTGAATCTGAAAGGCTGTGTCGCTGCCACGATAAGTGCTGCTGGCTGCGGTATTGAAGAGCGCGGATCCTTGACATTGCTGGTTAGTGCACTCCGAGTCTGCAACCCAAAAGTCCGCCGACCCGGTATCCAAAATCGTCACGAAGTTTTGGGGAGGCGTGCCGATGGAAACTTGAGCATAGTAGGAGCTAGAATAGGTACGGAGTGGCGCAAACCGGACGGCGTGAGTGACGAGTGGCAATGGGCCAAGCGGCAACCGTTGCGCGCCGGACACTCACACATCAGCGCTGTAGCCGGTCAAACCGATGGTCTGTCTCTTGCCCAGCTTTTCGCGTTCTTCTTGCTCCTCAGCAGTGTACTTGGCCCACTTCTTGCGAACAAGCTCGCCCTGAGCAATGGCAAACTTCTTCGTCTCTTCCACATTGTTCCTGTCGCGCTTGTTGTGCGTGTACAGGGGCAGCTTGACGCTCCCGCCCGGAGCATCGCGGATGACGTGTGCCTGAGAAGACTTGTTGGGCAGCTTGCCAAACAGGGGTTGCCCTTCGAAGCTTCCACCCGGCACGACGTATGCTGCCGTGGATGAGACACCAGCAGCGAATGCCGCTGCGGCGGTGGCGATGCCTACTGCCTTCATTGTGTGAGAAGAGATTTGATAGGATGGGACGAAGCAGGTATCGCAGGCAGACAGGGAACCGTGCGAATGCGAGATGGGGATGAAGTGTGTGGTGTAAGAGATGGATGCGAGTGAGGAGAATAATGACTTGGAATTGACTTTCTCGAATTATTAGCTGAGGCACAGCTGGAGCTCGCGATCGCCATCATCGTCTGCGTTTGATCCCTGTAGAAGCCATTCACAGTCAGCTCTCTACATCGCCACTGCGCGCTGACACCATACGCAAGCTGTGCCGTGCATGCATGCACGCACTAGGTCCCAGCTTTCGCAGCTGAAGCGTTGCCGATCATTCGCATTGGCGCGACGATGCAGCTGCCTCTCCACTCGAGGCCGCATCGAGCGCGGCCAGGCCAGCCGTGCTCGTCAAGTGTGGACCCCATGAGGGACCTGTTCTGCCAATGCACGAGAGGAAGCAAGGCTGTGCCTGTGCGCGCTTCACGGTGACTGCACGCACACACACGGCACGATGGGGAAGCAAGAGCTACTGCGGGCGCACGTCTTCCAAGCATGGCATCGGCTTGTCGGAGTTGATCGCGCGATCGAGCGAGCAGCAGTACAGTACGCAAGCAGCTAGGCAGCAGGCAAAGGGTCCCGAAGGCCGGGCTGGCTGGCTGTATGTACCGGTGTAGCTGTCTCGACATTCAAGCGAGCGAGCAATCAATTTCTCCGAGCTCCATGCCCATCGCCTGCGTGCTACTCGCGAGTGTGCTTGCTCTTGTCACTGGACGGACGTCCTTCAGGGGTCCGGCTGAATGGACCCGACCCCGACTTGCTGCATCGAGCCATGGTGCCGACAATCACGAATGACGAATCGAGCAGCAAGCTGGCAGCATGATGTTTGCAGGCAGGCAGGCAGGCAGGCAGGCATGTTTGCGCGAGTAAAAGCAGCTGCACGCGCACTTCTTTGCCGATTTGGGACTCCGCATTCAATTGACGTTCCGCTTGCGCCTTCGAAGCGAGCTAATGGTGAGTTGACAATCAAATGCTGATCGAGATGAGAAGAGATCCATCTCATAACGTTCACGTGATTGCCACTAAGCGGTGACGGGCGAATTGCAATTGAATTGTAGACCTGAAGAGCAACGATATGGTTGTGTGTTTGTGAGCATCTTGATCATTCAGATGATTGGTGCAAGGCAAGTCTCAATCGTGGCGGATGAGTCCCGCGCTCAAGCGCAGCCGCGAAGACCATCAGAACACGATGCCTGCGCGCTGAAGAAGTTGAACAACGCAGCTAAGGTGCTATGTTTGACTCACTGCTCACTGTAGGTGGAGGCGGCTGATATTGGACTTGTGCTGTCCTGTGCCGTGCATCATCGAGCCGCTTGCTCCGCGCGCACCTGCCTCGACCAGGCGTGCGGCGGTGCAAAAGCCCACAAGGCAAATGGCGAGCAAAAGGGAGCGAGCGCATCATGCCGCGGCACTCACGACTTGCGCTGCAGAAGCCTCGAAGGCTACACTGACGTGCGACTCCACATCCTTCCCTATATGCAGCCAGCACACGCCGTGCATCGATTTGCGGCACGTGCTCAGTGCAAGAACAGCCAAGAGAAAACGTTGCCCAGGTGTCCCCCGCGCTAGGCTGGCTGGCTGGCGGTTGACGCTATCCCCCCCCCCCCACACACATATCCCCTGCTGAACGGGCAGAGTTTTGAGTTGGTGCGATGATAGACCGTCGTTGAGCGGTCGGTCACTCGTTCATGATGGCAATCAACAAACACATCATCGCCGCTGGTCGTTGTTGTGTTCTTGCGGGCGCAAGCGTCCGAGCGTCCAGTGCATCCGCGTGCACCTTCCTCATCGCCTCGTCGGCATCGAGGGAGGGAGGGTATGTACGCTGTAGACCTCTCTGGATGTTCCACATGTCCCACGTTCACACACACGACTCGCGTCTCATTTCAACAGCATAGAAGACGGCGAGTGTGTTGCATGGATTCGATGGTCAGCACGACGTGGACGCGCTCATGACCCGTTCACCGTTGCGTTGTCGTGCGGCTAGAACACAGCCTTCTACCTGCGCTAGCGCACGCACCTGGGCGTACAGTACCGTACAGTAGCCGTGATGTCGCAGCGGAAGAGAAACCAGTCGCAGCTACAGGTTGAGTCAAGAGTCGAGGATTTAGCTGTGCAGGAATTCGGATCACAAATCAAATTGTTCGACGATGATGTGTCAGGGCGATACACGCAACAACGACCTACAGGACATTCAAAATTCATGCTTTGACTTGCTCTTAACGACGGAAGCGTGGGCAGATTTGGTTGCTTGCTTGCGCGCGACGGCCTACACACCGAGCTGCATGTTCAGCAGTCAGTGCGTGACAGTAATACTAGAAGCCCTATATCCCCTTTGGCTGGACGTGTGACTGCGCCATGCCAAGTCTTTCCCCCCAAACAGGAAAAAGCGGGGGTTCTCCAAGTGCACGTCGGATGTGCTCTTGGCGCCTCTTGCCAACCGCGTGGGGTGCAGCATGGTGCGCTTGGGTCGAGAAGCGCGCTTTCCAGGCTGAATCGGAATCAAAAGTCATCAGTCGAGAAGCGGATCGTACCGTGGGTGATGGATGGTGGGCAAGGCTGCGCTCAGATTTCTGACGACAATGATGGGGCACATGGCAAAATTGTGTCTCCGGCTGAATCATGGTCGCACGTTGTCCCAAGGGGATGCGTTCAAAAGTCTCAATCGTCTTTCATCATCATGCTGATTGCCATCACTAGCGTCAGAAGAAGCATTGCGTGAAGGCTTCAAAGTGCGCTCATTGAACTTGCCGTTGCTTGCATTCCTAAAATTCATCGCTCAAAGTTTGGCGTCGCTTTTTGAAAGAAATGGTTGCGAGCGTTTCTGCTGCACCTTCCCTCGCGTTCGCTGGCACCAGATGAGACATCAAGGTCTCATGGGCCAACCAAGATGAGCTAAAGTGTGATTCAGGAGTTACCTTCACTCTGACTCAAGACTCGACTGGACGTTCCGGAGAAACTCAAAAAGTCTTGTGTCGAGCGGATCACGTGACCCACGTCGCCAGCAGGCCTTTCAGCGAACGAAAAGCGACGCATCGCAAGTCCCGCGGTTGTGTCTGCTCGCGTGCCCCAGGAAGGCGGTCGATCGCGATCGGGTGCGGGGAAGGCGCGCAGCCGTGCTCTCGTGACCGCTCCACAGCAGCAAACGCACCCATCGGCATCCGCAAACAGAGCTTCGCCAGCTTGCCAGCCAGCCAGCCATCTAGACTCACCATTTGACCTCAGCCTTCCATCATCTCCCAGGAGATTCATGAACATACACTTTCCGCGGTCTCACACACGCGACGAAGCCTCCTCGGCTTGTCATTCGCTGGAGGAAACAGTCTAGTGCGAGTCTTTGAGCTCCCTCCCGCACCCACCATGTCGTCGGCATTGCGAGTGCAAATTGGCACCTTCAACTACAATCTCCAGGGAACATCAGCCTACGCACCAGACCTCTCGCCATGGTTGGTACCGACGCTGTCTGAAAGGTCGTCGCAGTACAATGCGAGCAATCCATCCGAAGGCAGACCTGCGCCCGACTTCTACGCAGTCGGCTTCCAGGAGCTATTGCCGTTAGATTTGGGCTTTGCTGGAAAGGCGACGCAGGCGCTGTCGTCTACCGATACTGCCATTCGACGTGCTATTCGCCCGCAGAGCGCCACGACTCGGAGTGACGGCAAGTATCCTCCCGGGGGTGGACCCGAGAACTACGCCCTCGTAGCTCGCGTTCAGCTTGTCAGCATTGTTCTCTACGTGTATGCGCGCGAACGAGTCGATGCGGGCTCGCATGCCCCCAGTATCGCCCAGCGCGTCAAGGAAGTGAGGACGAGCACAGCAGCTTTTGGGTTGCTGGGTCTCATGGGCAACAAGGGAGCGACTGGAGTGCGCGTGGTTCTAGCAGGGGCGACACCGGGTTCACCGGACGAGGTGCTCACCTTTGTGTGCGCCCATCTTACCGCTCACGATCACAACGTTGCCAAAAGGAACGCGGACTGGCGGAACATCGTCCAGCGACTGGTCTTTGCTCCAGACGCCGTCCAAGGTCTACCGTCCAGCTCACCCAGCGGTCCGCAAGGAGGTGGAAGAGCGGGAGATGCCAATCCTGACGTTGATGCTCTCTCCAAGCAGTATCAAGCGGAGAAGGAGAGCAGCGCCAAGAGGAGCGCCGAAAAGGCCACAGCGCTTGATCAGCAAGATCACAGCATCTACGACACTTCTCATCTCTTCGTGTTCGGTGATCTGAACTATCGCATCGCATTCAACACAAAGCCTGCCGCCCACTTGAAGGCGGACGGCGAGGCTTTGAAGAAGAGCGACATCAAGCGCAAAGTCCAGCAAGCCGATTGGCGCACTCTGGCAGCGTACGATCAGCTCTCTCTCGAGCACCGACACCCTAGTGGATCTCGCGTCTTTCAAGGACTCGTGGAGCCTCACCTTCCCACTGCTGGCTTTGGTCCCACGTACAAATTCAAAGTGGACAAGAGCAAACGCGGCAAGAATGCTGCGCAAGGTGACATCGATGCCGACGAGAAGAGCTCGCAAGGCGCAGCTGCTCAGCCTGCTCAGCCGCAAGAGCTGAGCGGCAAGCGCGTTCCCGGCTGGACTGATCGCATCCTTTGGCTCAGCTTGGGTACCGCAGCGGACGAGAAGACGAGCGATGCGAGCTCCCTTCACGGCGTACAGACCGAGCTGTACAGGAGTATCATGAGCTACACTGTGAGTCTGACAACTGCTCTTCATGATATGAGTCCGTAAAGACAGGGTACTGACACTGTCCGCGTTGCTTTAGCACTCCGACCACAAACCGGTCACCGCAATCCTGCGATTGCCATCGCCTTCGCGGCTAGCACCAGGAGGCGAGGCAGCTCTGCAGCCGCTCAAAGCGCCTTACCCCATCGACGGTGCATGGCGGACAAAGAGGCTGATCGGACAGACGCTGGACTCCTTGCTCGGTCTCGTTTGGTCCTCGCTCATTGCCGCGGGAGCCGGAAGCCTCGTCACGGGGCTCTTAGAGCTGGCCGTCATCGTTGCGTTGTCCGCTTACTGGTTGTCTGCTGGCGGAGGATCACGCGGAGATTTGGGTTGGATACTGGGAGGCTTCGCAAAGTGACGAAAAGGGCGGAAAGCAGACGTCGCGCGAATACATCCTTATCGAAACAGATGAAAGCGTGAAGGACAAAGTTCGAGATGGTATGTGATTAGGTGAGGAATGCATGGTTGGAGGAATCACATGAGGTGCCAAGTCTGATCTAGCAGACTCTTTTGAGAGGTCGAACGAAGAAGCATCCACGACCAAGCCACGACCGCATTTAGTAGTCGCACTGAGAGAAGGAGTTGTCAGAGCTAGCGTGGTAGATGGCTGCAGGCGGACAAATCGATAGAGGATTCGATTAGACAGCGCTCGAGCAAGACTGTCGGAGGCGGAGACTTACCTCCGCAGAAGTTGCCAGTGTTGGTGCCGTAGATGACACGGTAAGCACCGGGAGAACCGCCAGTGTAGCCGCCGCTCTTGGTGACGCTGCGGAATGCCAAGGTGGCGTGGTGAATTTCTAGCTGCACAGCAGACCACAGCACGGCAGCGTCACACTACTTACAGAGGGAACTCTTGGTAGCTTCTGTCAGAGCACTCGCCGCTGAAGTCGAAGCCCTCTGCGTTGACAAAGAAGAGATTGAGAGACGAGATTAGGCGCGATGGAAATGTCGGCCATTCCAGAGCGCTCTCGTTGCAGACTCACCGTAGTTGTTGTAACTGAAGTGGGAACGAGTCGAGTTGGACAGCATGGCAGAAGTGTCAGATCATGCTCTCCAGTACAAGCAACGGTGGCGTGCAACCTGTTCACGCTGTATGTTGGCGCACTACTCACGTGTGAGGGTAGCTAGACGAAGAAGCGCGGTCGTTGACACCGTTGCTGATGGCCTGGTTGACGTTGGTGTTGGAGAAGGACTTGCCGCCGCAGTTGGGCGTGACGCGCTTCTCGAGAGGAGCAGCGGCGGCGACAGCGGCGAGAGCAACGAGAGCGAATGCGAACTTCATCGTGACGAAGAGGTGAGAGGTTGAGGATTGGGAGAAGGGCTAGAAGGTAGGGAGACGGTCAGAGTCGAGATGCGATGGGAGGGGGCTTGTAGGGTGATATCGGTTCGATCTTCCAAAGAATTGGGCTCTCTTTATACTTTGCGATGCTCTTTGCACAGTCCAATACTGAACGCTAGAGCAAGCCAATGAACAAAGCAACATGACACAGGCACACAGGCACACAGGCACACACACGCACCACGTTGTACGGCAAAAGCGCCTGGCCGAAGCCGAGCCTAAATGTCGCAGCATTGATGTTCAGCCTACTCGAAGCCGCGAGCAAACGCTCCTTGAGGTTATTATGCCGATTGGGCGTTCTTCTCGGCGCTAGCAGATGCTCCTTTGAACTCAGGGCCCTGCCTCATTCCGCTGCGAACCTGCGCTAGCTCTCGTTGTCCAGGAAAGCGATACAGGCTCAGGGCATCTGGGGAGAAGAAGCAATGGTCTTGTTGCTCTTCAGTCGCATTTGGTTGTGCGCCCTTTGCGCGCTAAGTTGCTCGCAGCAGCGTGTACATGAGAACGTGCGGATAAGAGAAGATGTGGTTGGTGACGGCCGCTTCGCCGGCCAAGATTGGCGCTAATCAGAGCCAGTTGAAGCGCCGCTCGCACCGCTTCTCGCTAGCGCATCCGAAACTGCTGCACGCTGCAGGGAGACTTGGAAGGAAAGCGCGTCGAGCAAGTTCTTGTATGAGCTTCGTGCATGTGCAGGCTGATACAATGGGAGCACGATCACAAGTTCTGCCCTCTTCGCGATCATGATGAATGATACCACCCCATGCCAGTCAAGCCTGAGATGTCCGCGTCTACGCAGCTCGATCAAGACGGTCGACGAAGGGCGCTTTTCTTGACACGGGTGACTTTCTCGTCATTAGTGTGGACAGAGAGGAACATTCAAGCGCGGCTACTTTAGCGAACGTGTACCTGCTGGGCCGCTGCAAACCTTGATTGATCTCTTGATTGATCTTGTGCAGGTGCGAAGTGCGGGGGTTGAGCCGAAAATAGCGCTGCCTTACTCCTCCATCTGGTGACAGCAAGATGCGGACGCCAAATTCGGGGTGCGCAATTTGGTTTGTAAGAAGCACGAAAGGCTGAGGAATTCTCGGCTCGTCAATACACACCGTGCTGCCAAGGATGGCCTTGTAGTGCTCTAGCACAGCAGCTCCGTCGATTACAGCCTGGCAAGAGAGGATTTCAGCAAGCGTGAGGGTGATTGCTTGGACACGGATGCACGTGCAGGCTCGTTCGCTGCACAACATGTAGGGCGTCTCACCTGTTGCTGAGCAGAGCGCGAGGTCTGCTTGTTGCGATGCTCTCGGACAAGCTCGCGACGCCAGCGGACCATCATTTTTGGGCGCTCCTCGTCTGGATAGGTTTGACAATGTGGAGCGATGCGCATCAAGTCCGGCAACGTTCCCGCAAGGTCACGCTAGACGTACACATGCTTCGAGCGGCCTGGAGTTCGGTCGATTGCTGTGCGCGTTGAAGCTCGTCGGCGATGTGCGCGATTCCTTGATACTTGTGCTCTAGCTCCTGTGAAGGTGAGCTCCCATCAATATCGGATCTCGTGGGCATGATGACACGGACCACCAGCTACTCACTTGCTGAACCTCTTCAAACATGCGCATATATTCGCCCATTTCACTTTGCTCGGTGGCGTCCAAGGATGCCTGGACATCGGCGAGTGCATCATCACTGGAAAGTGCACAATGATTGGTCATTGAAGGCTAGAGAGGCTACCTTTAGCATACACACCGCTTGCTTGTTGCTTTGCGCTCTAGAGCGTCCGTGCGACTGTTGCACTCCTGAAAGACTTTGCTGATTTGGCGCTTGCATGCCTCCGCTTCTTTGGCTGACTTGACGGCGTATGCTTGCATGAATCCATTGAGGATGATTTGCCTGCGGTTCTCAATGTCCTGAGTATCAGGACTGGTGCGAGGCCGCACGCGAAGGTAAGCACATGCAGCCAAGGAGTGTGTGATGATGTGTGATTAGTGCTCGACGTCAGTGGTCAGGTGTGAGCTGGACTGACAGCTCGTGGCATTGCTCATGTCGGTACCTCGCTACCTCAGCGAAGCTTGAGACACTCCGTCCGGGCTATCGCCATATGCTCACTCGAAACTCAACGAAAGGCCCTCTTGCGAGGGTCCGACACTCCCGAGGGAGCTGTTGCTTTCGTGGCGAGGCATGGCTGACGCTTGCGAGGTGCAAAAATGCTCTTGAAAGTCTTTACAGCTGGGGGCGGTGGATGTGCAATCAGGCTAGTGAGGTGGACTGGTCGTGTAGAGGATCCTGGCACAGAACGCATTCATGCAGCAGAAGAGCGTGGTGAGCCCAAGGGGGGGAAGAGAGGGGGGGGGAGGGGGAGGCGGAAGAGAGAGAGAGACTCACTCGCGACTTCAATAGTCGCAGCTGCTGGTCACGAATGATGTTTCTGACAGCCGCGGGTCACTGAGTAGTGTCCGTCTATAAGATCGAATCAATGAGGCAAAGCGCAGCTCTCTGCTTCGGTTGCCATCAGCCAGCATCGAGCCAGGGCTGAGTATATATATGCGGACTGCTGAAGACCCAGATCTCCCCTTTGCTTATCTGTTTGCGACTCTACTCACCAATTCCTCTTCATCATTCTGATTCGTGATTGCCTCGTGCTCATGCAGCAGCTCGGCTTCGATCAGAATGCTCACGAGCCATCTTGAAAGAGGATCGGATGAATCAATACAAAGTCTTTCTAATTCAAATTGGGAACCAAAACATCTCTGGAGAGACATGATTGATAATCACAATCGATGGCGTCACCAGCGCGCGGCAGTCTTGAGTCAAGGGGATCTGGAACTGATGAGGATTCCGCACCCGCACGCAATTCTGTTTCGCCGCAGCGACATATTTGTGTCAGCTAGTCGGAGTGATGATACCTGAATGTGCTGGATCAGCTGCACCTGTGCCGGCGTTGCATGTCTGACGCACGGTCCGTGAGAGTTGTTTACGTATCATGACTCAAGACTCGTGATCACGATGCATCCCTGGTGTCGCTCATCGTGCTTCAGACACGGATCGAGAGAGTGGATGCCTCCGATACAAGTCTCTGCATCGCGCTCTCTAGCTGAGGTCACCGCTGCTCATGGAAGCCACACGGTCACGTCTTGAGCGTGCAACGCCTGGATTGGTCAATTAAGGTGGCGGGCTCATCGCCAGCAGGGACTATTAGCACTCAAGACTTGTAATGCTCTGGACAGCCAGCACGCTACAGAGCTGGACTGAATCATAACAATCGTGTATCACAATCTGACTCAAGAATCACGGATGGCTGCGACTGCATATCCGCCATCACCGCGAGTGATGTCGCGATATCGAGCATCGGAGTTCCATGCATCTAGCCGCGGCGACACACGGCAACGCGCGGCAGCGCCCCTGCATGCATCTGCGCGCCTCCACACGCACTCGCCGAACCATCATGTTCCACGGCGCCGTGTCCATTACTGTACTGCCTGATGCATCAAGCCCGCAAGTGCACCACCATTTCCATACCTCTTGCTGTGCCAAATCCACGCCTATCGCGCTGAGCTATCGTCAAACCGCACACCTTTCGAAAGCACACCCCTTCTTTAGCTCGCAGAGATGGGTCACGAGACGCAAGCTGGAGTGCACGCTCCAATCGAAGGAGAGCAGGAGTCGCTGGTATCTGCTCTCGAAGGACTCGTCTCCAACACTGCACAGCACTCCAGCTCTGATAAGCTCGGCAGCAGCGCTCATAATGGCCCTTACACACCAGCACCGACTTCGAAAAATGAGCACAAGAGCTGGTGGAGCAAGCTGGCATCTGTCGAAGGCTTGGCTCAGAGCAGGCTAGACGATCTCTTTGCTGAGCATCATCTGGGCAATTGGATCGCCATCAGAGGCACGAACGAAAAGATCTTTGAGTCGATGCCAATAGCTGTGCGCCTGGGCATGCACCTCCTCTTCTTCGGATCAAAGGCCACGAGCCTGCTCCGCTACAATTCTGTCGAGGACGTCTTGGAGAGCATGTCTGCCAGGCAAGGACGTATTTACGATGACGCCTCGGATCCCGAAGCTGTGCTCCAGCACGTCAAGAACTTCATCGAGACCTACAGCATCAACCTTTCCGAGCTAGCCGAGCCCGACCCGACCAAATACCGCACAATGAACGACTTCTTCTATCGCAAGCTCAAATCGGATGCGAGGCCCATCGCGGATGCTGACAACAGCCGCATCGTTTCGAGCGCAGCTGACTGTCGCATCACAGTGTTTGACAATGTTGAGAGTGCCACAAAGGTGTGGATCAAGGGGAAAAAATTCTCTCTGGCCCACCTCGTGGGCGATGCGAATCTGGCAGACCGCTGCTTCCCTCCAGGCAGCGCCTTGGCGATTTTCCGCTTGGCACCGGCAGACTACCACAGGTATCATCATCCAGTTGGTCCAGCTACAGTCGGCCCTATCAGGCACGAAAAAGGCGAGTACTACACCGTCAACCCTCAAGCGGTCAATCAGAACTTTGATGTGTTCACGGCCAACAGGAGGGATGTGTTGCTACTCGATTGGAAGCCTAGCGGTGCACAGAGCTACACTGTAGCCTTTGTAGCGATCGGTGCCCTTCTCGTCGGCTCGATCGGCTGGAGCGCCGCCACTCAGGGCTCTGCCGTGACTCGAGGAGAAGAGGCTGGTTGGTTCGCGTATGGCGGAAGCACCATCGTAGCCGTTTTCCCTCCCGAAGCCAAAGTCAAATTCGACCAAGATTTGATTCACAACTCGCAAAATGCTGTGAGTTTTGCAGCATCGATTCCCACTCGCTGCCTGTGTGCTGACCTTGCTGCGCTTCGTTGTGCGCAGCTCGAGACGATGGTGCGCGTTGGGGACCGCATCGGCATCAGTGAAGCTTGAAGGAAGAGGGCACCTCGTACTTTGCTGCAGAACAAATGCTTGCCCACTCCAGCTACCAGTCAGACTGCGGGCGCTCGACTCGCCTTTCACTTATATACCATGAATTTGTACCGCGGCTCGCAATCCTGCACTCGTCGACTGAGACTGGCAGATAGGTCGAGGTCTCAAAGGTCTTGCTGTCAGGTGTACTTCACGAGCGAGGCGCTTTCCGGAACCCGCGTCAGCCCTGGTTGTCGTCCGCGGGTCGAGTGATGAATGTGAGCGCCCGAACAGGTATCATTTCAGACACACCTGAGTTTTCCTCCGAAGCATTCTGGTCATCGAGACCCATGCATTCACCACCTGCGTGCTTTTGTACCTTTGCATGCAGTGATTACACGGCCAGGTCGAGAGTTGAGGAGGCGCGCGTACGCGAGGCCTTCCATTCACGCATTCTGACCTCTGACACTCGCACCCAGACAGCAATCTGTCCGGCTCAAACACAATCACCATCGTGACTCATTCAGCCACGATAAGAGAGAGCACATATACAACAGTATATATGCGCTGCTGAAATCCATGCGCGGAGCCGCGGAGAAACCTCCGGCTCGTCCAAAAGCGCGTGGGCGCCCAGACGACGCGTCACGCGCGCCGCGACAGGCAGGCCGCCTGTACCGTATATCCATGCATATGCTGTATGTTTATATATCAGGTGCCCGCGGCCCCGCATTTGAGCGGAAGGCTCGTCGCTGCTGCTGCACGCAAAGCGCGCGAATCATGCTGCGATCAACGCGTTGGGGGCCAGGCAGGCATCATGGAAACTGCGTGAGCGGTATTGCATGCTCAGCCCACTCACGACTGTGCTGCGTCGCCCACCCAGCAGCAAGCATCCAGGCGGATGTGACTCTCCAACAAGGGAATCACGAATCATGACGGAATACATGCATGCACTCGTGTCATGAGACTCACGACTGCTGTCGCTCCGCGCTCATCGTTGCTGTGCATTGCATGGAGACGCGCGAGAAGACCAACCATCGCCCATGCGGCGACTTTGCCGAATCAAGCGGCGGCCGGGATGTCGGCAAGCTCAAGTTGCGTTCAAGATTTCTTCGCTTTATGCCGCCTCGAGGCCCGCGAGTCACGCCGCGCTGCGAGTCACGATCGCATCCTCATGATCTTTAAACGCCTGCGCGTATAGGCCTGCTCTGCTAGCGCGCACTGTGAGAAATCTTGAGATACACACTATCGCAGATAGCGGTATGTATGCAGCACAGGCAAGCTTGAGGGGAATATGCAGCGCTTTGCTACGCGCAACCCCACCGGGAGTGATTGCGTTTTTGATTCGTGATCGGCACATCTGTCCTCCTGACCTTGACCCCATTCCAGCAGCCTCTTCGGGTTTGACCCGGCAACGCAACCGGACGATCGCCTTTAAGAAAGCCTAGCGGTCAGAGGCTGGCTGCCTTGCTACTCCTCACCCTTGCGTCAGCATCTGCCTGTACTGCTTGCTCAAGGCATTTCTGGCGGCCCCAGCGCAGGAGTAACATTGACTTGAAGACCATTTCTGTACCATCCGGTGACGAAGATGTCCGCGAAAGATCACAGCCCCGGACAGCCACTCGTGAACGCTGCCGACTCCAAAGATGCAAAGAGCGATGGCTTCCAGGTAGAGTCTGGCGAGATGGTAGGATCGGAAAAGTCATCTGCGGCACGCGCACCATTATCAGGCATCACGAGGTACTTTACCGGCCCAGAGCTGGAAGCGCGCAAAGCAAGGTACCGAGAAGCGGACATGCTCAGCGACGAGATCGAGACGGACGCGACGGCTGCTGGAGGAGAAGGCGGAGCAGAAAAAGCGAAGCAGAGCGCGTTGAACAAGAGGGAGACAAGCGGCTTGAAGAGGGATATGGGCTGGAAAGGCTGCGCTTGGAACATCACCGCCTACTCCATCGCCCTCGGTGTACTCAGCTTGCCCAACGTGAGTGATGGCGTCACATTCGTGCAACGCGCGCGGGTACAGCACTCCCTGCACATCGCCGCCTGACTCGTCTTGCTGCCTCACCCATCACAGGTGGCAGCCACGGTTGGCATTGTGCCTTACATTTTCCTCATCCTCATCTTCGCCTACCTGACCTGGTTCACTGGTATCAGCTATTGGCACCTCCAGCAAAGATATCCGGGCATCCACTCTCTCGAAGACGCAGGCCATTTGCTCTTTGGCAGACCAGGTAGGGTCATCTTCGGAACTTTGCAGTACCTATTCTCCATCTGCTTGGCTGGCAACCACGTTTTGCTAGGTGCCAAGGCATTCTCTCGGCTGGTGAGTGGCGCATCGAGGTGTTGTGCACGCGCTTGCTAAACAGCATGCATTCGTCTTGCACAGGGATGGCACGCGCCAGAGACGTGTGCCATCGCGCTCTACTTCACCTTTACCGTGATCTCCTTCCTCTTCACCTTGCCACGCAGCTACAAACTCTTCAGCTACCTCGCAGTCGTCTCTGTGTGCTGCATCACAATCGTCATCATCATCACGATGATAGCGGCCAACATCTCTGGACCCGTCAATCAACCCGTAGGATCGCCTGAACCTGGCATCAGAGCTTTCGGCTCTCTGCTCGATCCTCCGCCCACCTTTTTGCAGGGCATGCTCGGCGTCAGCAACCTCTTTGTAAGCTTTGGTGCGAGTCCTACGTATCTACCGGTCATGGCGGAGATGCACAACCCCAAACGAGACTTTCCTCGCGCTCTAGCTTTCCTTGCCATCTTTCAAGTCGTCGTCTATCTCCTCGTCGGTGGTGTTGTGGAACGAGGCTTGGGACAATATGTCGAGTCGCCCAGCTTGGCGAGCTTGAGCCCAGTGATGAGCAAGATCGGGTATGGAATCGGACTGCCGACCATTCTGCTGTAAGTGGACTCGCTTTGTCTTTCGGCTTCGGGTTGCGCATCGCTAACGAAACTCGATCCAATTTGACGTGCGCAGTGCCGGCTGTGCAAGCGGACAAGTGGCTGCGAAGCACATCTACGTCAAGCTCGGTCGCACACAGCCCAGCTTATTTCGTACCAAGGCTCGTGGGTGGTCCGTTTGGGTTAGTCCAGAAGGGCTCAATGGGCGCGCTGTGACGTTCGAACGGCTCACACGTCGCCATGCTACGATCACCTCGCAGATCTTTGTCAATGTCATCAATTGGATACTGGCTTGGATACTCGCCGAATGCATTCCGTTCTTCTCCAGCTTCCTCGGTGTGGAGTCGAGCGCGTTCTGGACAGCATTCTTGGCATTTGGCGCCGCTTTCATGCTGTTCTGCGCTTACGACGACAAGCTGCGCGTGGGCGGCAAAGCACAGGTTTCCGGCGATATGGATCTCACGGCATACCGAGACGAGGTCCTGATCGCCAGCACGGAAGAAGAAGCACGCACTCAACACTCCACCTTGCTGCGCTGGGCGTGCACAATTCCTAGTCGCCCAGCCAGCGCGTGGACCTTTGCTCTCATCGTTTGGCTCATCACTTCCCTCGTTTGCATAACGGGAATGTGGGGAGCTGCCCTGTCCATCAGGGACTCGTACGCTCAAGGCGTTGTCGGGCGTCCCTTCTCTTGTGCCATTACCGATGCCTGATCTGCCAAATGTAGCATAGCGGCCGAATTCGCATCGGAGGTCGATCACAATATCGAGTCGAAGATGACATCGGCATGCACCCAAAATGATCACGCGTGTGTCGAGTTTGCGCTCGTCGCGTACATGTGATAGTCGAGGCCTGCTACAGCCCCAGCGAGCCGCGCAACTCGTCTTCCAAGCCAGCGAGGTCTTTAGCGGTCCTGCCTTCCTTTTTCAACTTTGCGTTCCTCTCCTCCTCTAATCTCTCTAGCATTTCCGAGTGCGCTTTCCTCTCTTCAGCCTCTTTACGCATGGCAGCTTGATCATTGCTGTCGCCCTGCTTCCAAGCTTCTCCATGCTCATGCGCCTCTCGCTCTTCGGAAGGAAGCGCAAGCAGCTCGCTGGTACAGCGTGCGCATGTACACGGTCCAAACATCCAATCACGCCAGAGCTACATTTCCGATGGCGTGCGACGCGAATAAAGGTTGTCAGCAAGCCAAGACGGTCATCAATGCGGGGTCATCTATCCACTCACCACCAATCTGCGTCTGTTTAAGGAGTATTGAGGCGGCACGTACGAGATGAACAGCTCTTCGCCCGCTTTGATATCTCTCAAAGCCAATGCACCAATCTTTGTGGCTTGCTTCACTCCCTTGTTGGACGGGGGATGGCTGGTCCGCACGTTTGGGTCACAGCTGTGGTTCAACATGGATTGAACGAGGTAGAGGCCACCTTGAGATTCCATGTTCAGATTTGCACTTTCACGCAGGCGCAAGGAGGAAATTCAAAAGTGTGAGGATGCGAACTAGATCGCCTATCTATAGGAATTGGCAACGCTACTCACCGGCCTAGGTGCCTATGCAGAGACGGATCGAAGTGAAAGCAGTCCGCTCAATCACCTGCAGTATGGCGCACAAGGAAGCCCGTGATGTGCACTCACTTGACGAAGGACTCCCAGCTAAACAAATCTCTCGCTTGTTCCTTTGGAAAACTCCTGATCGGTCCTTTGGTCCCATCCGCCTTCGGAGCACCTGCTTCAGCATCGTCCCAAGGGTCCAGCCCTAGCTTGAGCAATCTCAAGCCTTCCCTCATCGCGCTCTCAAAGCCCTTCTGCTCCACGCTCCAAGCTGGATTCCTAGCCCGTCTTTGAAGCTCGGAAACGGTGGCGAAAGCTTTCAGGTGATCCAACGTCTCCTCCAACGTAGCTGCAGGGAGAGGGATGCCTCTCGCTGGAGGCTTGGCAGAGGCGGGACCCCCATTGTGGAGCAGCGAAGATGGCGGTGATGAGCTGTGAGTCATGAGCACGCGCGCGAGCTGACGCGCCACGTTGTGAAGCGACAACCATTTGTGTTGTGCCAGATACTCCAGAAACGGCTGAAATCAGCAGAGGGTTCGAGAGATCGCTTCAGCAAGGTACCTTTTGCACATGACAGCAGTGGCTTTGCCTCACTGTGATGCTGGGATTTTGACCGACGCACAGCACTCGATGATGGTTACTCTGCCCACGCTGCTCGCAGCTGAGCGCAGTAAGTGAGGATGCAGGATGGCTGACGAGTCAACTGGCCGCACACATGCGCTCTGAGCAAGCTATACTCACACTCTGTTACAGAATCTGGTCTTGCAAGCGCTCTTGCCGCACCGCGTGACCAACATGCCTCCCTGAAGCGGCTGGAAGCAGTCCGAGCACAGCGATCCGTCAAACACTTGATCCACAGCGATGGCAGGTGGAGCAGCGATGAAGGCATTCTCGACAAAGATGACTTCCGACTCTTTAAAGTCTCGCGTAGCCACCAGACCTTTGCCCTTGATGCTGTCAAAGTACTCTGCTCGCACTCCATCGGGCAGAGGCAAAGCTTGATCGACGTGAGACACTGGCACAGCTGCGAGCTTCTTGGCCGCACTCTTTTGCGCTGTAGTCTTTCGCTTCTTCTTCTTCTTCTTCTTCTTGTCATCGCTCGAGCCGTTCGATCGCTGCTGCTGTTGCTGCTCGTCGGTGCCAATGCCGTCCTCGTCACTCTCGTCTCCGGCAGCCTCTGCATGCTCATGCTCGCACGTACTCATCCCTCGTCCATTCTCGTCGCCTGCGCAACTCGCCCGATCGTTGCCAATGTGCGCAAGCTGAGGGTCCCCAGCAGCAGCGCCATTCGGGGCCGAATCATTGGCCGCGGCATTTCCGGCTGAAGAATGCCGAGTCTCCGTTGAGCGAGTCATGGCGATGGAGTGCCGCAAGGGGATCTCGATCGCAGCCGATGATTTGCAGGTCGCTGATGGAACCACGCAGTCTGCGCTTGCCCTTCCTTCAGTGATGCATCGATGCTGAGCGTGTCTGAACGTGCGGGATGGAGGGGACAGCGTACACGTCAAAAGTGAGGATCAAGCGTGTTGCTGGTATACCGGCAGAGTCGCAGCGATGCGAGTAAGTGATTTCCCTTGCGCAGCTCTCGTGGCTGCGACTGACTCACACTGTGGCTCGAAACACTCTACTCTTGACTACTGTGTCGGGATCGCATCAACGCGACCCAAAATTGTCGCGCGACAGGCTAAAGTTGGATGAGCGCGGATCTCCTTCTGATTGAAGCACCAAAATTCCCAATCAGCAGAATAACATCGCTCGATCGCTGCACGTGCCGCTGAAACAAAAGCAGCGGCGGGGCGCGGGGCGCGGCGGGACGCGCGTGTGGAGGACGCGCACTTCTGACGGCGCCTGTCTTATTGGCCCTCGCAGGTTAAGCAATTAAGCAAGCAAGCAAGCAAGCAAGCAAGCAAGCAAGCAAGCAAGCTGCTGACAACAGTCAAGTGAGCCAGCCGCCGCATCAAGTCGTGAGTCTCGCGCGCCAGTCTCAGCAGCAGCCACTCGCAGCACCACCAATTAAGAAGCTAATCCGTCAAAATCGCTCGCTCGTTGCATAGCACGCCGCATCAATCTTTGCACCATCACGCGCCAATCAGTGAGAGGTATTGATCGCTCGCAAGAGTCAGAAACATTCGTGACTCCCACCAAGGTCGAGTAACGAGATACAAATCGTGAAAAGAGCTTTTTGACGTGCCCACCCCAGGCTTGCGAGAGGAGTGCGGGGGAAAGTTGTCATCATGAGGCATTCGTGGAACGTGTGTTGGATATGACGCGAGGGCGTGCAAGAGAAGAGGACAAAAAGGCTCGCCGCGGTTCGTGCGCGCAAGACACGACTAGTGTCCCTTCTGCGAGCCCTTCTCGCTGTTGTCGTTAGAGTCAATGGCACGGTCTCCCACGTGCTCCGTGGAGCTGTGTTGGTCGATGCGGTCTCCCTTCTCCAGGTCGTCAGGCTTGACCTCACCTGCATGTGCAACAGTGGCGACTGGCGCCTCTTCGAAGTGCGCGCCGTGCTGCTCGGGCAAACCCAGCACGACCACAGCAACCAAGTAGGCGCAGACAACTCCCAGCAGGATGGCAGAGACCTTTGCGTAATCCGGAATGGTAAGCTCATTCTTTGAGGAGACTGGGAGCGCCGGATTGTACCGAGGATTTGCGATTTGGTTGTGTTCACCTCCAGTTGCTTCGATCTGTGCCGACGCTGACGACACCATGTTACCAATCTGGTATGCTGTTCCAGCAAAGGTAGCGCGGAAAGCCGGAGGCGAGATCTCGCTGAGAAAGATGGGCACGACTCCCCACGCGCCTTGCACACCGAATTGGATCCAGAATGCGCCGGCAGCCAGACCCGAGAAGCTGGTCGGTAGGATCCAGGCGGGAATGAGCGCTCCAGTCATCAAAACGAAGCCGATGATGGTCAGACGACGGCCGAGGAATTGACTGATGTAGCCTGCAACCAGACCTCCCGCAACGGCGCCGCAATTGCCAATGATGGTGGCTTTGCTTGCGAGCGCACTGGCCTCGGGCGTCGGCAAACGTGCAAGCTTGGTTGTCTGGATGATGGTGGGATACAAGTCCTGAGACACAAGGAGGTGGAGTGGAAACGTCAGCAACGGGATCCGCATTCGCGGCTAGAGCATACTTGGAAGTCCACGACGCTTAGCAGCCTTCAGGATATTCTGGAGGAATGACTCACTTGACTTGACTGCGGTAGAGTCGGATGTGCGGATCGATCGTCAGCGCACGATCAGCGCTCGCAACTATCCACGGCATACCCACATGACTTAAAAAATTGAACCCAGTCATGAGCAGAATGCCATATACGACACGTGGCCAGTGGGTCTTGAGCATCTGACCAGTCTCGCGCCAGAAAATTTTGGCAGGACTCTCTCCGGTGGTCGTGTTGGGATTTGCCTTACGTTCAGCCTTTTGACGTTCAAAGAGCTCGGATTCGGGCAACAGAGCTCTGACGATTGCTGCGAATGCTGACAAGCCAGCCCCGAGCCAGAAGAGGATGCGCCAATTGTCCGTGCGGTGAACCCAAGTCAGGTTGACGGAAGCGGCGAGGAGGTAGCCGACAGCGTAGCCCTGCTGCAGAATACCAGAGAACAGTCCACGAGGCGCCACGGGCATGTTCTCAAGAGCAGTAGCAGTCTGCGACGACGAAAAGCAGGCATACGAAGACGTTGGAAGGTGGCACCAAATCGCCTGCGGCGAAGACCAGTACTCACCGCCATGCCCCAAATACCACCCATAGCAATGCCGAACAAGCATCGCACAGCCAGGAATTGCGGAAAGGTCTGAGTAAATCCGGTACCGAGCGAGAGCACGCCGATGAGCAGGAGGTTGACGACCAGAGGCCACTTTCTGCCGTAACGATCAGAGATGAGACCAGCAACGACGGCACCCAAGGAACGGAAGAGTAAGGTGAGAGTGATCGAAGTGGTGATGGTATGCGCGTCTCTCTCGAAGAATTCGACGAGGCGGTTGACGGATAGCGAGACGGAGAAAAAGTCGATGGCATCCATACTGACGGGTGGAACAAATCCGATGAGCTTTGGCGGGGCGAGGGTGGGCACTGCTGCGGCTTCTGCCTACTCACGTCCATGCTGGATCGCGGGCAAAGCGGTGCGACGCAGCGTCAGTGCAAGACTTCTTCGAGAGACCGTCCATGTCAGAGACTCACCGAGCCAACCGCTGAAGAACATGGCTCCTTGCATGGGCGTCAACATGGCCATCAGCTTGAACGGGTTCAGGGGCGCACCAGCCCTGTTGGCGACGCGCTCCTCCCGGGTGGGGAGCTTGAAGAGGCCGCTAGTGATGTCTTTCATGCTGGGCGTAGGTGTGGGAAGCGCTTGCCGTCTTGACCGAGTAGGGGACAACTAAGGCAGTAGGAGATGACGGGGGAGGAGATGACGGGGGAGGAGATGACGGGGGAGGAGATGGCGGACGAGGGGGACCGGGGCAGGCGGTGATGGAGATCAGTGGTGTGCCTTTATAAAGCAGTGCGCGGCTGATGCAAACGCAAACTGGGTTCGCGCCCGTTCTTACCTGAGGCAGGGCTGCTGACCTCTCTTTTTTACTGCTCCCTTCCTTGACGGGTGGTACAGGACGAAGAGGTTTGCAAGCTTTGAGGCGTAGATAGGCTCGAGACGGCACTAGTCCAATCTCAATGTTTCTCCGGAGGCAAGAGCGCTGCTCAAGTCGCCTGATTGCTCGAAATCGTGAGCGTGACTTGTTGATCGGAGCAGCGACGTCGTGCCTGCAGACTAGGTCCAGGCTTGGCGTTCTGCTAGGCTGCTTGGGGATGGACAAGTTGTTGCAGTAGCAGCCCTGTGGATGGAGGAGGCAGAAGCCGAGAGGTTATGGGCCGATTGTGGGGAAGCGGCGGTTTGGGGTTGCCTCAGGACCACAAGGGAGAGACGACGAGCGGGGTGTGCCAGGGAAGAGCAAACGCATAGGCACAGAAGACGCACCACGACGATGTTGGGCGAGATGAGACGGCGTTGGGGCCGGGGGTCAGCTCACGACGACACTACTACGCAGGAGGAACGGCGCAGCAGGGGGGACAAGCCCTACTCCGGGCTAATGGTAGCGGGGTTTGAATAAAGTACTCGCAGCTATAGGACAGGAGGGTTTAAGAGTAAGGTGCAGCTGCAAGCGGCGGTATCGTCGGCTATAGCTGCATGCGAACGCGGTGGAGCTTTACAACAGGCGTGAGTGCAGACACTGTCGTAGTAAGTGAAGCTGAGCAGTGGCCGCAGGAGAGCGAAGGTGATGCGGGGAAGTGGAAAGGGGGAACGTCGACAGCTACTGCTAGCTTTGCTCAAGCTTGGTCGCGAGCCAGCGAGACCGCCCGACGTGGGCAGTCGGGCAGCCACACCCTGATCAGCTCACGGCCCGGGTGAGACAGGCTCCAAGGCTCACCATGCATGCGACGACCTCATCTTCAAAAACAAAAGTCACTAATCGCACAAAGAGCGGCCGGCAAATGAGCGCGATCCCGGCGTATACATGATTAGGATGATGAATGAGCTCAGTCATGAGTACGACTAATTGCATCGTGACTGCTGCGCTGCATGGTGACTGTCGCGTGGTGCATTCTTGGGATGCCCGCCTTTACAAGATTCGTGATTAGTGATTTGTGATTCGTGATGGTCAAGCTCCACGACTCTGTACGCGCTGCAGAGCGGCTCATGATGCTGCAGATATATGCATGCCTCACACGCTAGGCGGTCAGACCAATAATAATGTACTTCTGACCCATCATGCCGGTCCTTGCTTCCGATCTTGACACCGCAACGTCAGCAGCATCATCAGCAGGCAGAGCTGCTGCATGCCATGCATGCATGCATGGGTGGGTGATGGGGTCGAAGATCCCTCGCTTGCTGTGGCCGCTCTGGGGTACGCAAAACGGCGCTGCTGTGTGCCGAGGTGCCGCCTCTATACAGGAGCTTCCCTGCAGCGTATGCATAGCTCTCACTGCGCTGCGCGAGTCTTTGATGATTGCGAGCTGTTCCATCGCGTAGGTGCATAGGGCGGTGCCAGACCTTGACCGCTTATTCCATGCAGACCAGACCCAGGGGCCCCCAGCCCAATGGATAATGGTTCACGTACTGCATATATATGGGTGCAAGCATCGTACAGGGTCTTCACGATGCGCTGCTCGATTGAAACCTCCTCTTGACAGGCATCACAGTCAGTTGATCGTGGCGGGTGGATGGACTTTAGCAACTTTCACAGACTGCTGCTGGCCTCGCCTAGCTTTTTGGCCGCTTTGATCAAGCTGCAAGTAACCCGCCGGACGGTCCTGCGGCGGGCGAACAGCGCGTCTCCATGCTGGTGGGTGCGCTGGATATACAGTACCCGCGCGCGGTCGAAAGAATCAATTATTGAAGCAGCGCGCGCGCGGGGTCCGACCCTACGGTTCATATATGATGCAGCGATTCGGCAGCGCGGTCAAATTGCCGCGCGAGCACGACGAGCACACGCGCTGTAACCAATAACAGCGCAACGTGCGCGACGCGTTCAGGGAGAAACAAAGAGCGCACGCTCTGCATGGCCCGTCTTGGGCCTTGCATGGAGTCTCACCTACACTTGACTGCGCTGGAGTGGAAAAGACGGCAGGCATGCCACGCCAATCATGGCGGTCAAATCAAAAATCATAAAATGCCCGCAAGCGAATCCGTCCCTGCGGCCATTCACTCGTGACGGTATTCTCATGGCCGTTCATATGATTCTTCGGGTTCTCGTGATGAGTGTTATCAGAGTTGCTCAACATTCATGTCAACTCTTGACTCGTCGTAAGAGTCGCACAGCAGTGGCTGAGCGCGGAATGTCAGAGGGTTTGAGAAGCACGAAAGGCTCCCTATGTTTGCCTACACCGGCAAAAACAACGCGCATCACAGCGCGATGTCAAAGCCACACGAGCGGCCGAAGGCAGGCCCGGCCGGCTCGCTTATTCGCGGAAGACCAAATTTAGGCGTATCCAGTCACGATTTGGGTGTAACGAAAGTCGTCTACGTTGTCTGATTTCCTCGCCCCGTTGTCGTCAAGCCACAAAACAGCGATCACACGAGAGGTCACGGCGAGGAACTCTGCGCGAGTGGAGACCAGCAAGGTTTGGCTCCAGCACTGGTCTGGAGAGGAAGGAGCCCAGTGGAGAAAGCCGTCCACTACGCAACCCTGGCATTATAGGTGTAGAGTGCAGACCGAGTCGAGATCCACACGCGACACGGGCCTGAATCACGAGTCCATGCGAGCAAAAGTGCCGATGCCTAAAAGAAAAGTCTCTCTTTTTCGGGCACGGACAGTCGAGATTGAGCACCGCGAGCATTCCTCCTCGCCTCGGTTGCTCTCCATTTTTGGCGCCCGCGGGCTCGGGAGTGCAGCACGCAAATTCATGGTGAGTATCAGTCACAACTAAATCTTTGCAACGGCAGCTTCTCTCTCTGTTGGTTCAGCAAATTCACATACGTGGCGTTGGCCCATGGGAAGTGTCTCCCGCTGAGTTGCTCGCAATTGGACAGCGTCGCACCAGGACCGCTTGCAAATCTACATCGTTGAAGTGGTCAGCACAGAGTGACCGACTGTGGAGACGCATATTGTGAGGTTTCAGATCTTGCGGCAGGCAAGCAGAGTGAATGAAGAAGGCCCATCTTCCGCACTAGCTCGCAAGCTTGTAACCGGTATGAGCAATCGTAGTCAGCGTCGCGCCCAGATGACCGGCCGACGTACTATTGTTAGCTGTCGTCGTCGTGCGCTGCTATGCACGGCTTTGGGCTGCGCGGCTCGGGCGAGGTCGTCGACGATGCTGAAGTCGCAAAGTCGCAGAAGTTGGCGCAGTCGCGAGCGAGACAGTGAAGGACGTGAAATGGTGCGTAGGGTTCCCAACCATCCTCAAATGCTTGGCGGAGCATCGGCACAAATTCTTGGTCTCTGTGACGGTCCAGCCGCCCTTGACGCAATACTTGTAATGACCAAAGCTCGTCCCTATCGATCAGCACGTCATGGCTCCAATGACCCGCCATAGCGAAGCCTGTTGAGTCGGCTTCGGTGCCCTTGACGCGAGTGAGCAAGGGACGCTGCAGTGTGCACCCGTTCGAAGTGTAGCATCATCACCGCACAAGCACTACGCACTTTGAGAGGAGCGCCAGGCTGATCCCTCAGTGGTGCAAGCTGTGAAAGTGGACTTCTTTCCCCGTCGGGTTTGCTCTCCTTTGGCTGAAAGCAGCAAAGTCTCGAACGGGCGCTGATGAGGATAGTGCATCCTCGTGGAATAAAGGTCCATGGGAAGGGGAGAGCGACATCGGCGCATAATTGTCCGTCACCATCACCGCAGCTTCAAATGGAGATGTGCTTGGTAAAGGGCTGTTGTGCTTGATCGCGAGCGAAGTCCTGCTTCGAGTAAGGTCCTTCCTGGCTGCTTCCACGGGTCTACCAGAAGAAAGCGCTGCCAAAGCAATGGTAGCTGTGCAAGCAAGCCAAGTGGGCCGCATGTCGGTCTTCAAGACGCTGAAGCGCACCTACGTGGGTAAGCAGAGGGACAAAGAGAATTATATCGTCGAACGACCGCCAGGGTGTTCTCAGGGAGCAAAAAGAAGTGGCGATGCTTGCTCAAACCGAGACAACGACCATGGCTATTAAGAGTCGACCAAGCTATGCCCGCGTGTGTCTTTATACCAACATTTGACCTCAGCGTGCCGAAAGCATCGCTGCGCGGGTTGCACATGTAGGATCTACCTGCTGCCGCACAGCCAAAATCAGGTGGAGGTGGCTGAAGTATACTTCGTTCGAGATCCAATAGGTCGAATGTCATCGACCGCATCATCTTGACGCGCCAAGCACGTATGCCGCAGCCCACAGAGATGTTGGGATGGCGTGTGGCTGGCTCTCTGCAGTCCTGTGGACCTGGCCGCAGTAGCAAGATTGCGCAGCGCTGTACCGGTGCTAAGAGTCTTCCTGATTTCTGTCTTTGGTCGCCGCGACAAAGTTACACCCAAGTGGCTGCATCACTCGTTGACCATCCGATGGGCGCGCCTCGAAAAGGCGCACGTGCTTCTAAAACGATACTATGAGACCGAAGAGCTGCTATCATTGTCGGGTACCATGCTTGAACATGTCGCCACAGCTCATTCTTTAACCTCGTCCTCTTCACTGGCCAGGTCAAGGCAAACGTCCAAAGTGCCTCCGTGCACGGGCGTTGCCGAGTCTACGCCAAGCTTTCGTACGATAGAGTGACTCGTGATGAGCCGCGGCTCAACTTCGGTGCCCATGTGTGCAGCGCGGAAGTGCGGCGTTCTGTGTGTGCGACACGGTAGGCACCTGTAAACCAAGTCACTGATGTGAGTGCCTGCTGCATCTGCTGCATGCTGCATGCGTATACTGATGCTGCATGGCTGATATATGTGGCTGGAGAGTCACGCGAGCGGAGAGAGGTGGTGGAAGATCTGAATCTGATCTTGGTCTCGTTGCTGGCTTGGTCACCTCCTACCCTGCCCCATCACCATCCGATCGGTTCGCATACGTCAGGACTGCTGTTGACCAAACGTGCGACGAACCAAATGGCGCTCTGCCTGCGCAGCCTTGCCATCCGTGTAGCGTCCCATTCACGGCCTTCGCATTCCATCCGCTCTGCAGCTCGCCATTCGCAGATCCTCAACGACTGCTCCTCAGCAAGACTCGGCACTCAGAGAAGAGGTCTCAGGAGTATCGCCGATCTCGAAGATCTGACCAAGACCAAGGATACGCAAGGGAAGCCTATCAAAACGCATATAGAGGAGCAAGACGTCATCATGAGTGCGCCCATCTCTTCTGCGCCCCCCGCTGTGCCAGATCAGCCAGATGCCAGCGCCTCGTCGGGCGCACTTCCCGCTGCTTCCGCGCCGCCTTCGATCATCTTGACGCTCTCGTGTCCTGATGGGCAAGGCATTGTCCACAATGTCTCTGGCTGGCTCGCCTCCCGGGGCCTGAACATCCGAGACTCGGCGCAGTATGGAGATCCAGTCACTTCGACCTTCTTCATGCGAGTGCACGCAGAGGCTTTCAAGGGAGCCAACAAGGGAGCAGGTCTCACAGTGGACAGGCTGAAGGAAGAGTTCCAAAGGGACATGGCAAGCGAGCTGGGAATGCAATTCGAAGTTCGTGAGGATACCTACAAGCCCAGGACCCTCATCATGGTGTCCAAGATCGGACACTGTCTCAACGATCTCCTCTTCAGGGTCTCGTCAGGAACGCTGCCTATCGCGGTGCCATTGATCATTTCCAACCACAACGACTATGCTCCTCTTGCCAAGGCTCACAACATTCCATTTTACCATTTGCCTATTAGCGTGAAGGAGGGCAAGACCAAGGAGATGCAAGAAGCAGAGATCCTGCGTTTAGCGGAGGAGTACAAAATCGATCTGGTCGTCCTGGCAAGGTATATGCAGGTAAGTGTGGCTGCATGTCTTCGAGCTGCGCAAAGGCATTCACTGAGATCAGAGCCTGCAATGTACGCTTCTCCATCTTCGCAGATCCTTTCGCCTAAGCTGTGCGACATCATGTCCGGTCGAATCATTAACATCCACCACAGTGTCAGTTCGGTTCCTCCTCGCTGATTCACGTTCAAGTCCTGTCCTGACACTCCTTTCCACTCTTTCCGAGGGAGCTCAGTTCCTACCGGCTTTTGTTGGCGCTAAGCCCTATCACCAGGCCCATGCACGCGGCGTCAAACTGGTGCGTATCAAGCATGCACGCCACTTGGCGGTGGCCACAGCGATCGAGCTTCTAGCCTTTTACCTCAAGGCTGTGCTCTTCGCTCACGCCTTCCGTCCATTTTTTGCTCTAGATTGGCGCAACTTCTCATGTCGTGACACGAGACTTGGACGAAGGACCGATCATCGAGCAAGACGTCGAACGGGTCACTCATGCCGATAGTCCGGCGGACCTGGTTCGCATCGGGGCAGACATCGAAGCCCGCGTCCTAGCTAGAGCTGTCAGGTGGTTCGCCGAACATCGCGTCTTGCTCAACGGCAACAAGACTGTCGTCCTGTAGCTTGGACTGCGACGCCAAAATGCGATCATGTCGTCGCTGGTCCGGGTTTTTTGATATTGCAGCGCCTTGACTGTGCTTCCTGCATCGCAACACTTCAGCGAGGCTGCCCGGTTCCGGCGCTCGCGTTACGCCAGGCAAGGTAGGTGACTCGATGAACACGCGACATTGGGAGCACAATCGCTTGCATTTACGTCATCCGGCGCAATGTGGCGTCGCACCCCGATGCACCGCCGCTTCACATCCATGAGGCATGTACGAAGGGCGTCGACCTCGCTTCCCGCCGTGACCGCGAGGGGGTCGACCGAACTGAGGGCTCTAGCGCGGGGTTGACTGCCGGCGATCTAGTGGTCAGGACACCACAATCCTGGCCTTGAGTCCAACCCTTGGCAGTTAGCGTCAGAGACTCACAACGCTGTCGATGTTGCCTCCAGGCCAGCCAAGACGCCCCATCATCAGTCACGAGTGTTCCACGGCCCGCCTTCGCTTGTCGGCGTCGAAATTGACCGGCTCAACGTCTTGGCGTTCGGCGTCACTCGCGGCGTATCGAGTATTATAGGTGGCACTGGACTTGCGAAGTACTCGGAGGCGCTCCGGCCTTCCATCCAGGTCTTCAGTGACTCAAATCGCCTTGATAGAGCGTGCCGTAGCCAGAGGCCGAGATGTTCAAGAGGAGTCTATACGAGCACAGCAAATCCAATAGTACAAGCTCAGCCTTTCTCGTAGACAATTCTCGCTGGACTATACTTCGTCCCGAGGGCGCATTCAGGGGCTTGAGTGCGCCCATTAATCGTCGTCTCGGTATCAAGGGTCGATACACATCACGCGCGTGCCATTCAATCTCGGACTCGCACAAGTAAGCCGTCAGAGGGGTGGAAAGATGAGCGAACGGTCCGCGTATAAGAGGCACGGCCCCGTTGGTGTTGGAAAATTCGCCTCTCTTACCTAGTCTCGATCCTTGCAACCCCCTATCGTCTGTGACGATCAATCCGAACAAGTACGCTTGAAGCGTCCATAGCCCTCAAATCTTATACCAGTCTGGACTGACCACTCGTACCCAACTCGACATTTCCCTACTTAGCAGAGCTAAGCCCCCTTTCCCCCCCTCGGCAGCACCCCTGTACCCGGCCTTTTTCAAGTTCTTCCGCTCAGCTGGCCTGCGCGAGAGCTCAGCGAACCACAAACCTCCCACCAAACGTTTGCTTGGTCGTGAGTGAAGGGTCACTCTTGTCGCTCGCAGCACTATGTAAATCCGCTGACGAGGCAGACACTCTTCTTTATTTTACGCTGCTGACGCGTCGTCCGTGCAGTCCTACGTCACTCAGTCAACAATGAGGCCTATCACTGTATCTTGGGTGCTAACAGCCCTGATCGTCTCTGCAGCTGCTGCACCCATTCCCGCAGTCGGACCTGCCATCGGAAGCGTGGAGCGCCGCATGGAGCATGAGGTGCCAGTTTTCAGCTTCAAGGATTATACCAGACAGCCTATCCCGCCCCCGGAAGAGAGGTCACAGATCGAGGAGGCAGCCTTGCTCGAAGCTAGGCGTCTTCACATCATCAACCATTTCCCTGCTACTCTGACGTACCCGGATGGTACTCCAATCCGTTCGGAGAAGCGGTCGGAGTCCCTTGAGAAGCAGCAGCCAGCGCTGGTCGCGAGAACACCCTCAGGTACGTCTCGAAGCTTGCGCAGTGTCGAGCTCAACCAGCACTTGTCTGACTCCTACGAACTCATCCGCGCGCACAGTGTCCGCCTCGCAGCCGAGCGTCCAACTTCTCGCAGCCAGAGCTCCAGCTCCAACACCTGCACCAGGTGAGCACAAGGAGTGGACGCAGCATGGAGATGAAATTTGTGGCGCTTTAGGACAGCATGGCACCTATGGCCAAAGGAAGGTGACTGCTCTCACTGGCGAGGATGCGAAATACGTGATGGGAGTCGCTCAAAGCGACATCTTGCGGCGAAGTCCCCACAAGAGCGCGTGTGGGCACTACGACCGTGGTCAAAAGATGACATTCAAGCCACTCGCCAAAAGGCGTGAAGAGTTGCCATCCAAGGAGTTTGGGTATGCGATGAAGGAATTGGGCCCGATTACCCCCATGGACTACAATCCGTCGAGGAGTAAGAAGATGCACAGTGGTGTTGCAGCTCTGGTCGATGACGAGCCGGTCACGAAGCATAATCACAAGCACAACCAGTACAAATCTGGTGCTGGTTACCAGACGGTCAACATTAACGAGCTCGACAGGGTCCCCCTCCCACTCAGTCAACTCACGGGGCTTGGGCCTGAAGTGAAAGGCACCTTCCACGGCTTCAAACGCAGGGCAGCATTGGAAGGTGAGGCTTGAACGCCTTGTCGCCGACTAGCACGCTACGAATGTGTACGTGCACCCATGCCCTTGCTCACGAATGTGGACTTGTAGGGCGTGGTGGTAAACGGCGGAATGTGGCACCTCATTGAATGAGAATCGCCGCGGCTCGTGCGCCCTCGACGACAAAGCCGCTGACACAAGCTCCCTTGGTCTGCCTTTGTTTACATCTAGTCGGACACCCTGGCATGTCGACGATGGGCGTGGGTCCCCAAGTCGGCGGCATCATGCGTCGATCGACTGTCGAACAAATTCAAGGTCCTCAGGCTAAGGCTGAGCCCCTTCAAAGGAGGGAGATGATCAATTACGATCTCGGTCGTCCCGGTCACGACCGTTTTGGTCAGCCTATGATTGTGTCGAGCGGTGGTGATGTCTTGGCAGATTATCACAAACTGTATGGCTGCGGCGCAGGCAACATCATCCCCTGCCCGAAAGGTTCGAGTGAAAAGAAGAGGGCTAGCGATATGCACCCGAAGACACCGACCAAGCCAAAGGCAGAACCTATTCCGGATGGCGATAACCCGAGAGAAAGCTGGAAGTTCCACCAAAGGGGGCCGCGGCACTTTGACGAGCCCTACCATATGGATCGCCATCTTGATCTCTTTGGTGGACCGGAGAAGATCAAAGCTGTTGCCGCCTCAACACCCGCTTCGGAGCCCACGCACGCCAAAAGCCACCTCGAGCATCACGACAAGGAGCAAGAAAAGGCAGGTGGCGTGAAAAAGTCAATGGAGTTCCAAGAGTTCACACCAGCGCAGATGGCACAATTCCAGAAGCAACACTACAGCTCAGCCGATGGTCATTTCGGTCACAGTCTTCCAGCGGTACGCCGTCATTTAGGTGGAAAGGAATCGGTTGGACACAAGTTCACGGAAGCGGAGCTGGAGGAGTATAAGCAGACCCATCACAACTTCGGAACCAGATCTCGTGAGTAGATTTGGCCTTCGCGTGGGGACGCAGCCTTCAATGTACGAATCTGACGTCTCGACGCACTTTCACCTCAAGCTGAGAAAGTCGAGAAGATCACGCGTCACGGTTGTGCGTATGAAGGCGGCTCATGCAAGCTTGCCTCGCGGTCGATCTGACGTCTGCAACTCCTAATCCTGTACAGCGTATTCGACCACCAATGTGCCCAACAAGAGCGCAGAATGGGAGGCTGAGCACACGCAAAAAGGCAAGGAAGGAGCGTCTCTAGTGGGACCAGGTAAGCAGCCTTAGGCTTCGCTCCGGCCTCAATGCCTTCGTCATTTACTGATCACCTATTGTCCCTTCTTTTTGGGTCGCGCAGGCGGCAAGCATGGGTTCAACTCCAAGGTCGACGAAGGCCCAGCCTACCTTGGCGGCGAGCCGGGAGTGGGATCCGATGGCAAATTCGACCCGGACCTTTATCGTAAAACGTGCTATCCCGGCTTGAAAAAGGGGATGTACACTGCGCAGCAGAACATTTGCAACGGCGCCTTTTGAACCGCTGCTCACAAGCAAATGTTCAGACTTCATCCATCGAGTTGCCATGATCCCGTCGCCTGCGGCGCTTTACATTCTCAGCCTCTCGCTCTATCCGAACCAGTCAGTAAGTCCACGCCACGGCTGGCTCCCTGCTCTCTCATCATTCCCGCACCAATCATGTAAACGACTGTGTAGCCCCCAAGATTCTCCTTCGAAATGAAATCTTGGCTGTGCCGAGAAATCACTTCGTTGCCAATCTGGCTGTGGCCAGAATTGAGGTCCGAGCCGTCATCACGAAACTCTTCAGACTCAAAGACTGTAGGTCAGGCATCGTCGTAGCACTGCCTGCGCGGCGCCAATATCCGCATACCGAAAGGAATCGAGATTCATGATTGGAACTCACGTGACGACTTGTCCACGAACTTTCTGTGTGATCTTTCATGCTCGATTTGCTTGGCATTCAGCACTCTTGACTGAAATCACCAGCGATGAGCTGTTGATCACCATCGATCGATGCTGAATGAAGCATTGGCCAAAGGGTCCTGACAATCATCCGACAAGCAGAGAGGCTACAAATATCCGCGCACAGCAGTCTGCACGGTGATTTGTGATCGCTGCTGCGTGGGTGCAGCGGTGCCGCTAGCACGCGCGCGCAAGCCACATCAGCGATGCTCTGACACCGAGGCTCTTTCCAAAGCGATGAAGCGGGACAGAGTAAGCTTTCAAGAGAAGGCAGACGACAGGTGCCGATGAGCGAGAATGAGACCGGTGACTAGCTCGTGACTATCGGGACACCGCTGACCGCGGTCACCTGTGCGAACTCCACACTCGTGACTCCACGCGTCGGAGCAGCTCAGAGCTAAAGAGCAGCAGCAGCGTCGCGCACGCATGCCAGAGACATGCAGCAGCGTCAATGCACAGACGCATGAGCCAGCCAGCAGCACCGATCGATCCACTCAGACTTGCCAACGTTCCTCTCCTCGCTCTCGTGCGGTGGTGGGAGTTGTTAGAAATCCGAGTGTGCTCGACGCCCCACTCGTATCTTTTGAACACGAGCACCGAGACCGTTGTAGTCGGTCCGCTCCATCTCCATCACGCACCTTCTCCCACCGTTCATCTTCATTCCAATCCAACGCATGACCAGAGTATGACGCAAGCAGTCGCAGCAGATGCTCTCGTGGTGGGGGCAGGCTGGGCAGGAACCGTAGCAGCACTGCGACTGGCCGAGGGCGGTAAGAGGGTCATCGTGCTAGAGGCTAGACAGAGAGTAGGAGGCAGAGCCTTCACGCACACTTGGACACCCGACACCAAGTTGGAGGACAATTCTAGAAACACGGAACCGTCTGCGCAAGGTGGTAAGCAGTGGGCCGTGGATTTTGGTGAGTCGCTAGTCCCCCGTTGCATGATTATCGTTGTTACTACACGTGCGGGCTTGATCACGCAATTTGCTTCTGGCTCACGTGTCGGTCTCGGCCTTCCGCTGGTACAGGTTGCTCTTGGATACATGGATACAAGGAGGGCAACCCTGTCAAGGCGCTGGCGGAAAGGTACAATATTGTGCGTAGAATTGCTCATTTCGAGCCCCGCATTCCCTCCATACCCTAACAAATTCATCCGTCGCGTGGCGCTCGTATAGCCCGTGCACATCCCGAAGCCAACCGCCTCCCAAATTATAGGGCCTAATGGTGAATGAAGGGGACGCGAGAGAAAGGTTGCGAGGCAGGACAAGCTCATTCTGATTCTTTTCGCGCGTCTCTATCCCCTTTCAGGTCCGTTGGCGGAAACCTTGTCAGCCAAAATCACGGAAAATCTCGGTAAAGCCCAAGCAGCGGCAAAGTCTGCGCTTTCTGACCAAGGGCAAACGACCTCGGCCGACAAGTCGCTAGCTTCCATCGTACTGGCTGCTGACTCACCCTTGTATGCCGGGCTGAACGACTCGGAGAAGGAGCTGGCAGCGAGTCACGCTCGGCTGTTGCACGTGCCTCTCGGCATCACGTTGGAACAAGCAGCGTCATTCGGATCCGACAAGGCTTTTGGAGGAACGGACGGTGCTCCAGAAGGAGGCTTCACGCGTCTCGTCAAATCCTTGATCGACGATGCCAGCTCCAAAGGTGCAAAATTCAAGCTGGGAGAAGTGGTGCAGCAGATTTCGCCATTGGAAAACGGCCAGGGTGTGAGGGTGAGGACGGAGAATGCGGAGAGCGGCGAGGAAGCACTGTACGAGTCGGCCTCCGCTATCGTCACCATACCACACGCCGTGCTGCAACAGTCGCTTGGCATCTTTCAACCTAGCTTGCCGGCGGAACGCGTAGCTGCTATCGTGAGTCGGCTCTTCTGGGCAGATTGGCGAGGTATTTGGCAGCTCATGACCATACCCTCGACACGACGAAGAAACGCACCACGGTGGGCAATCTCAACAAAGTGAGTGTGGGACGCGTCGATCAGTCCCTTGTCTTAGAGCTCATGATTCACATCGGCCGTGGATGGCTCGCCTCAGGTCCTTTTGACCTACACAGAGCCGTGGTGGGATGCACAAATGAGTACCTTTACTGTTCTGGCTACAGAGAAGGGGGAGGTAACACCCGACACTCCTTTGAGGGACGGTGAGCATCTTCTCAGCTACATCTCCGCATCAGACGGGCTGCTGACGACCTCGACTGTCTTCCATTTGCGCAGCGCTAGCTCGTACCACCCTCATAGTCTCGTCCTTGTGCGCTCCCACTGGTCTGCCCGGCGATTCGACTTCACTCCTCGTCATGATTGGAGCAGACGCTGCCAAGACCATCGAACGCCATGGTCGACAAGAAGCAGCTCAAATTGTTCACGACTACCTCGTCCCGAAGTTGGCCAGACAAGGCGCCTCTCCTCAGCAGCCCAATCATACATTCTACAGCCGATGGGCTAAGCGTAAGTCGGAGGCAGCAACGACGTACGAGGCCGGCCAAAGTGGGGCTCATGAGCAAGTGTACTGATTTAAACATGTGTGCACCTCATCTTCGCTCTCTGCGACCGACGAGCAGAGGCTTTCACAGGCGGAGCTACGACGACCCCATTTGCGGTTGGAGGAGGAACTCGGCAAGACCTTACGGAGCTATCTCGCCCTCTCTGGAGCGGTGCATTGCGTTTCGCTGGTGAAGCTACCGAACCGGACCGTGAGTAGTGCAGCGTACGACGTTGTGAGCTGAGCCATCGAACGCTGACCTTTCGGCTGCAACAGACCGCGGCAGCATTGCAGGAGCAGTAATCTCGGGGGATCGAGAAGCTGCTGCTCTCTTGTCTTCGCGTTTGTGAGATTGTCTCGCAATCAGTCGAGCGCGTACACTTCGATGCTGTGTCCAATGCACCTGGGCTCCAGCCTCAAGGCCGACCGCAATCTGCGAGCCCACACCTTCAGGTAGACTGCGTGAATCTGTAATATTGTGCGGCGATTTGTGGGTCTCGCAACATGGCAGCTTCCTGCGCACGTTCATTTGCGCACGGGCTCGTGAGGACGCGCTGGGCTCGTTGGGCGTCCAGCTGGCGCGCGAGTGGTCGGGGTTGCCAGATCATCTGCTGAGTTGTGATCAGCGCCGAATTCAAGATCCTCCGTGTCGTTAGCTGGCTGCAAGGTCTCGTCGCCTGCCTGCTCATCGTCGATGTCAGGTGCTACCACTGGTAGATCTGACCCATCACCAATCGGTCTTCTGGGCGTGCTGCTCGTTCGAGCCCAAGAGCGTATACGATTCTCGGCGCTAGGTGCCATGAGTCGAGGCGACGCTGCTCCCGACTCGAGCGCAGAAATGCGCGCCAGCTCGTCCAGAGTACCTTCGCTTATGCTGCTTGATGCGTCGCCATCGTCCAGCGGATCCACTGAGTATGAGCGAGCAGAAGCCGCACTGTCGTCTTCGAATGCTGCGTGATGCTCTGGCACCCTGCCTGTACCGATGGGTGGCTGCAAGAAAGTCCAGGGGGGATGAGAGCGATAGGGACCGCCAGCGTCCGACGATGAAGCCAGCATCGGTGATGGCCGTCCTCCGGTAGAGCATCCGGATGTGCTGCGAGATTCAGCGCGTACACCGCTGTCCAAAGAGATGTCGTTGATAGCAGCTAACGCATCGAAGTCCCCATACGGGGAGCGCCCTAGGCGTGATGGAGAGCCTGGCTCCGAGCGCAGTGGGAGCTGCGCACCTCTTTGCATGATCGAGGCCGGCATTGGCATCGGAACAGGATCAGGTTGACCGCCTCTCGGCAAACTCATAGACCTGTTCAGGCCTTGGCCCTCCGAATTGGTCCTGTGCGACCTGGTCCCCGCGCCCTCTGGAACCTCTGGAGCCAGCAGATGACCTGTCTCCGCTTGGCTGATAGGAGGCATTCGTTGCATTGAAGCTTCCGAGCCCAGCATTTGTGCTTCGCCCAGGAGGCCACTTGTATGCGAGATCGTGTTGTGTCGGTATGTCGGAGAGGTCCGCGCAGAGACGCGCGCAAAGTTACGAGGCTCATAGCTGCTTGGGCCCGTGCCATCTTCGCTACGTGCGGAGGAGATGTGCGAAGTCGTTTGGTCTGTGCCGCTGCTTTTGCTAGGAGGTCCGTAGCGCCACGTCCCTCGTCCCGGTCTCTGTAATCTCTGCTGGCTCAAACCGCCACTTTGACTCAGCGGAGCGAGCATGGCAGCCGTGGGTCGGGCCATCGCTCCACGCTGACTCTGACCTTGACCAAGTCCACGCGCCATTTCTTCGAATGCAAAGCTTCCACCGAATGCGCCTGCTATGGGCGCGTCGTGTCGCCTCTGAGCTTGGTACAGCTCTCGCATGGTTCTCGCATCCACCCCGGTCGGTATCGCGCTGCCATGCGCGTAGTAGCTGCCTTGCCGAGGGCGGTAGGGCAGGTCGGGCGCCCGTGAAATGATATCTTCTCGTTCTTCGCATAGCTCGGCTAGCGCAACCGACACTCGGCCTTGCTTGCTAGTCAGAATCCTGGTGGCACGCATAAACTCGCCTCGAATCTTACGAGAGAAACAGGAAGTGAGCGTAGGCAAGGGGGTGCGAAAGCAAGGCGAAGTGAGCATAGGCAAGGAGGTGCGAAAGCAGGAGCACGACTTACGGTGTATAAGCCATCCTTCGTGACTGTGCGCGATACATTGTAGCCCACTTGAAAGGGATCCTCAATACAAAGCTGGCGGCAGCAACAGGACGAAGAGGATCAGTGCACTGGCCCATGTGGAGTCGATCATCTCACTGGACTCACCTCTGCCGACCAAGCATCGCCGTCCTTGGGTACGAGCCCGCCCTCGGTCCGCAAACTGATCACGTCTCGACTGTACGCAAATTCCTTCGAAAAATATCTGAAAAAGTCCATCAGAAGCTCTCCGACATTTTCAGTATTTTGCGAGGCCCACTCCTGCCGCAGGGTGGCGACATCGTCGTAGAAGTAAATGTTGTGGCCATTCAGCTCAATCTCCTCTTGCGTCAGTACCCTCGGCGGCGGGATTCTCTGCAAGTTTGGGAGGACAGATGGGCCTGTAGGTCAAAGGGAGACGAGAAGTATCAGTGGGTGTGTCCGCAACGACGCTCCTTATTGTGCACTCACGCTTAACGTGTGTCAAGAAAAATAAGACGAGCAAGGTATAGCCATATGAGGAAAGCGTGCCTGTGTACGGCGAATTGAGCTTCCGCCTTTTCGTCCACACTTTCACTGACATGACCATGAAAGAGGACGCGCTTCAGCTGAAAGCTTTTCTCGAGTGACCCTAGCAAACATTGCCGCTTACAGAAGAGCACCAAAGTGCGCAGTCGTGGTGGGTCGACCATCGCATAGCTCAAGAGCAAACGGGTATTTTCTAATGCAAGGCGATTCTCAAATCCGATGTCGCAAGAAATTTCGTAAGGGAGCTCGGCGCTCGCCGCTGCATTGGCAGGAAGCGCGATTGCACAAGGGCGACCTGTGAGCAAAGACCTGGCAGAGTAGGAGAAACGAGCGACAAGATACTCACGCCTGCTAATTTTGATTATTGGTATGCGAGCCTTGGGAAGAGGCATGACTGTAAAGTCTGTCTCTGCGTGAGGAAAACAAGGAATCAAGCATAAGGCTGTGCACCAAGGCGCTCAACACCTCCTGACGCGTACCTTGCCGTATTAAGTTGCCCAACGTCTCCACCAATTCAGACGCATTAAATTCTGGTGTCTTGCCATTTTCGTCTTTGCCGATTAAGCAACACAAGTCCATGTCTGAGGTCATGCAGCAATTCCAATCAGCGAATCGGAGCGTGCATCCTCCTTACAGAAGCCGACGCCTCAAGCTCACCAGAATTTTTGAGAGCGAATCCGTTCGCCATGCTACCGAATGCCAACAGCTTAGCGCCCGGACTGACTTTGCCAGCAAGTCGCTCCAATTGCCTCCTTGTGGCCTCCTTGATCCGGTACTCTTCTTCCGTAGGTAAGATGGGACTCAAGAATGCGATGATGCAATTCGTCAACTCCGCCGTATGCCGTTCGTACGACAGTTGCTGCGCCGCATTCCACTGCTGAGCATAAGCCTGCTGCATCGCTGCTGCGGCATTTTGATTTTGTAAGTACCCTCCCATGACAGCCAGCTGTTGTGCTAGCTGACCATTTTGCTGAGCCAACACAGCCAAGGCTGCTGCTGCGCTTGATCCGCTACCTGCGGTCGAACTCCCAAGGCCGCCGAGACCCAATCCGGTATGCGACCCCGCACCTCCAGCATCGCTCCCTGCCATGCCATTCATCTGATGAAAACCAGACGTGCTCGCCTGTGATCTGCCGTTCGATCCACCAGGCAAAGAAGCCGCTCTTCCACTGTAATGCAGCGGCGTGGACCCAAAAGGGCCACTAAGGGCGGGATTGAGCGTCGCATCTCCAGCTCCAAAGCCACTTGAGGTTTCGGTCGCGAAAGATGGGGGAGTTTGAGGGTATGCGATAGAGCCGGGAGAGTAGCTGCTCGCTGCGCCACTGTTGGAACCGCCAGATACTGATCTGGAGGAAGCTCCTCCTCGCGCGCCGCCACTGGTAGACCGACTGGACATCGCCGCGACAGGAACGGAAGTACCCACGCTACCGTTCATTTGCGTTCGCGGTGGTCCGTGTACGGACGAAAAGATCTGCTGCGCATGGTGAGGGGCCAAAGTCGCTTGTTGCCATGCAGGCAAATGGCTGCTCGAGGCGCCCGCAGTTGCAAGGCGAGGTTGAGGCTGGCCAGAGTCGTGCGAAGCCCTTCTCTGAGGTAATCGACCTGGTCCACTGACTGCTGCACGCGCTTTTGCGCTGGTAGAGAGATGCGCAGCACCGCCTAGAACCTGATCTGCGCTTGCAGAGTGCTCACCTGCCCTGCTGTGTCTGGGCGCCTCGGCCTGTGAAGTCGTGTGCTGACGCGATGAGGATCGTGGTCTGGCATTCCCTGCGCTGCGACCAGGGCTGCTGGTGGTCGAGGAAGGGCCTTTGATGCTATGCTGTTGAGTCGATTGAGAACCACTTGCCCCACTCATACTGCGAGCCTTCGAGGTGGAAGTGCTCGAAGGAGCCTCGTGTTTGTTGTTCGCAGCGCTGCCCTGCATGCTGGTCCAATGTTGTCGTCCAGTGTCGTTTTTGGTCTTGTGAGAGCCTTGCAGTGCCAAAGCACAGCACTAGAGACATGCGGTTCGTGTATGCTATTCGACCTCACAGAGTCAGGGGCGCGCGTTGTCGCTCTATACACTCGAATAAGCTGACGAAACGGTGCAAAACCAACACGCGGCTTGGGCGCGTCTCTCGTACCTCGCGGCCCCGAGGTCAGGTTTGGCGAGCACCCCTGATGGCTGAGCTCCACTTGCCAAAGGACTACTGACTCGGAATGGAGCAGTGAGGTGTTCTCACTCGGGTACTTGGCTTGCTCGGATGGCTGTCGGTGAGTGGTTGAGTTTGGTGTTTGTTGTGGTCGAGGCGATGCAGGTCATCATGAGCTGCTTGCTTGCAATACACCGGCCGTGCGCTTAAATCAAATTTGATTAAGCTGCATCACAGTCTCCTGCTGGCGTCGAGGTCACGTTTCGACTTTTGACCTGTGCGCTAGTGTTGTCTTGAGTATTCTTGATTGTAAGGTTGATGGCGGAACTGCAGGGGTTGAATGATTGATTTCAAATGCTCTGGCCTATCCGAATCTTTTAGTGACAACTGAATTTGGGACGATTTATAATGGTGCGTGATTTAAATAAAGCCAGACTCGAATTTGCATACCGTTCGTGATTCAACGCGTCCACAATTCTGAATTTTGATTCTGAAATCCAAGCTGCGCTGATCGAGCGCAAAGCGGACAGCACAGCGTACGTTGCGGGTCGTCGACTCGAGACTCCGACTCTTTGACTAGCGCCGCAATTACGGTGACTGCTGTGGTCGACGCTCTCTTGCGCCCTCTCATCAGTTGTTGTTGTTGTATCAGCAGAGGATCCACGCATTCGATCCCTTTCACCTCAAGCCCGTGGTAGGACACCACGAGACAGGCGCAGACCAGAGCGGCCCATGCTCAGAGCTTGCTCAACATGACTCGCGACGCGACTTGGCTCACGTTACCCGCTTTCTCAGCATCATCATTCATCGAACGCAGCACCTCCTCGACCGAGGTACAAACACGCGCGGCAGCTTCATTCAAAATTTTGGCGCCCTGTGCCCATGCATGCAGCGAGGCCACCCATCGGTGCTATAGCTGGGACCGTGAGCAATCGGTTATTACCGCGGCCTAATGTGAATATCCTTTCAGCGATTCGTTCGTGGTTCAAAAGTGCAAGAGCGGTATACACACCTTTACGACTTCGGGCAGTGCTCACTCTTGATGCTATTGGAACTCGCGCACGCGCCATCTTGATACGTCCGAATCTAGCCCAGCATGGGCCTCCGTGCCGCCCAAGTGCTTCGTCGCTCAATGTGATTGCTTTCCAAGCCACTGACGCTCGTGCAAGTCGTACGTGACTTTCCGAGACCTTCGACAGCACCATCGTATGCGGCAAAAGAGTGGGATTTGATTTGTGAACGCATGTAGTACTCACAATTCGAGACGTGTATCGCTGCCAAGCACGACCAGCGCGCAGGCCCCCACTCAGACGCGCTCGCCGAGTCCTCGAAGCACGAGCCACGCCATTCGTGATTCTCACAAAAGGTTGACAGCCCTGAATGGATACACTCGACTCGCGACTGCTTGCGGACGTGGTAAGACTGGACCCCGTGCGCATTCGCAATGCAGGAGAGCGCGCTTGGAGTCGAGCTCGACACGCGCCACTCGATGAACACAGCATCAGGCGGCTCGGTCTGTCTTCATGATCGAACAGCGACGCGAATCGCGCAGTAGCCCACAGCTCTCTGATTTTCCAATCGTGCAAGCGATTGCGGAGACCTTGGCCAAGCTGGCGTGCCGCCTACCTTGCCCACACCAAAGATTGCCGCCACAACAGCAGACCTCTGATGAACGTGAGGATGAATCGTGTATGCAATTAGCAGATGAAAAGTGTGCTCTGACAGTAGTGCTTGGGTTCGCAGCGGGATGAAGTAGCATATATTGTACACGTGTGTTTGCAGCAGACAGCAGCGCAAAGAACGATAGCAAGATGTTGTGAGGAGACCAGAGATGAAAGATAGCTCTTCGAGAGGTGCGCGATAAGTGGGCACTCTGTTCATCCCTGAATAGTGCTTTGTGAGGCCCAAGAGTCGCGAGTACGATCGTGCAGATGGGCGTCGATGAAATCCATTGTGTCATCCGCATCGTCCGACGTTACGAGCTCCTCCTCAGCAGCCGCGTCCGCCTCCACTGCTTGGGCCGTCGTGATGAGCGCGGCAAGCTGCGCAGGATGACAAGCCTTCGATAAGAAATCGCTCTGTTCAAGTGGAGGGAAGGACGGAGTAAGCAAAGTCGCAAATCGGCGCTCTTACTCTATAGCCCCCGTAAACCTACTCACAGGAGCCAGTGCGCCAGCCGTAGGTCGCTTGGACGGGTCCATCTCGGTGCACCAAGACAGCACTTGCTGAAGCGCGGCGGACCATTTCTCTGGTGATGTCAATGGTGGCAGGCCCAGCTTGGCGGTCAAAGTGATGGCCTGCGAAGCGCGATTGGGATGAAATTCAGCCGAGGTCTCAATTCGCCCTGAATGGTGCATGCACGTCAGCGAAACGAGATGTACCCACACGCAGCGCCGGAAAATCTACTCGAGGCGGGTCGCCTTCAATCATTTCATATATGACGACTCCAAGGGACCAAATGTCCGCGCAGGTGTCATACGGTTCCGCCTTGACCACCTCTGGAGCCATCCAGTATGCTGTGCCTATCACCGACGTGCGCTTGCTAAGAGGGCTTGGACTCTGCGCAAGCTGGGCCGCATGCGTAAAGTCGGCCAGCTTCGCAATCCCCTCCGCATCGAGGTGAATGTTGTCAGAACGCACGTCGCGGTGAACAATGTTTCTCGAGTGCAAAAAGTCCAAAGCGCCAGAGACGTCCAGGACGATTCGACTCATTGAGGACTCTGAAAGCTCGATGCCTGCAGGGCGAAGCGCGATAATGTCGGCAAGAGACATCGACATGAGATCTTGAGCGACCCAAATGCCCGGCGCAACGCCATCTGCGGAGTAGTAGACATCGTGCAAACCAAGCACGTTGGCGTGCCCACTTTGCTTCCACAAAGCGAGCTCTTTGTCCAGCTGTCCTAGCCTCGACATGCCGTCCCGTTCCGCTGTGCTCTGTTCGACTCGAATCACTTTTATCGCAACCGGCCCTCCGCCCTTTCGCAGCGGAGAGGCAGAATAGACGTCTCCCGATTCCCCTTCGCCGATTTTTGACAGCTCGCCGAATACTGTGGAAGTATTTTCTCCCCGCAGGAATGGGCCTGAATAGATAGTGAAAAAGGTGAGCGTGTACGCAAGTCCAATGCGCTTTGAAGAGCATGGCCCCGTGGTACTCACCAAGATGCCTCAATGCAACGGGCAGCCACGCGTACATGTCAGGGCCGGGGCTCGAGGTGCTCAGGCTAGCACGGACGCCGACATCCTTCTCCTCCGCCTCGACTTCGAGTTCAGGAAGGACTTTCGTCATGTTGGCGGGGGAGTCGCTGAGCTCGTCTTTCGAGGTCATCCTCGATCGACGAGAGTACTTGTCTTTGTCGGCGTCTAGGCGGGGCACGGGGGGTACGGGATCGCTCGAGGCCAGCTGGATCGGCATCATGTCATCCAGATCGAAGCTACGTCGTTGACGCATGAGGTCGGCAAAGGTGCTAGTACCTTCAGCATCCAAAGAAAAGCCTTCGTGCTCGAAGACTCCTGAAGCGTAGTGCGTCGACATGGGAAAGCGCTTGGCATCCTCGCTTCGCCGTCCTGCATATCGCCTAGAGCCGTGGCGGCCGGATCTCGAAGACTGACTGGCACGGCTGCCTGGACGGCTGGTCCGACTGCTGGGTCTAGTAGCTGCAGCCGCATCGAGCGCTTCCTGATCAGCCGCTGGAGGGCCCCAAGGGGAGGCCGCGCGCGATCGCATAGCATCAAATCCTGCCTCCGTCTCTGGAAGACTTGAGATGGACGCTCTTCGCCCCAGCGTCCCTTCGCCTGTCTCAGATCCTTCATCACCCGACTCGAACGCACTGGGAATATGCGCTGCTGTGTCGTCGTGAGACACTGGAGGCAACGAGCGAATGCGAGTCTCTGCTGGTTCCGCACTAGCCGAATTTTGCGCCGCAGACGTCGAGCTCGCGTCGCCCAGCCCTCTGAACAGCCAGTCATCCAAAAATCCGCGGCTTTGCCTATCGCTCGCGTCTCCGCCCAGCTTTCCGGACCGCAGATTGACAGAAAGCTTCGGCACGTGAGCGCTGCCGCTGGGACGAGACCCGGTGGTGCCCCAAGACGAAGGAGGCGGCTCTCGAGATCGTGGAGGCGTAATTGGGCTGCGCTGTGCGGTTGAACGCTCGCCTAGTCCGTTCGTCAGATCGGCCTCAGCGGCCACGGATCGATCATGGGGTGCAAAAGCAGGCGAGCGCTGCGGAGTGCTTGGCGCACCTGAGTCCTTCGGGGGCAGTACAGGCGGGTGATCTGCGCTGTCGGCTTTGCTAGACCGCCGCGAACCTCGAGTGGCATTGACAACCGGAGCAGGTTCCACAGGAAACTTTCGCGTGTCCGAGGAGGTGGAGCTTTTAGAGCCCTGTCGCGAGCGTGCGCTGAGAGGAGTGTGAGGCGACTTGGGGACCTGACCGGGAAAGACCAGCCAGCCTGAGCCAGAAGGCAAATCTGATTTTGTCTCGACGGCGTTCAGCCGAAGAGCCTCGGCGCCGCCATCCGGACGCGTAAACCTCAGCGAGACGGGCGATGGGGATTGCTGATCGTCACTGCTCACCAGTCCGTTGCTGGTGCGCTTCCTCGCGCTGGGCGGATGTATGCGCGATCCAGCTCCGCGTCGTTCTCTTAGGCTTTGTGGTGGTCCGGAAGGCTCCGCGCTGTGGTGCGAGTCCGAATGGGAGGCCTCTACACTGCTGGCGAGACTACCTGCGCGACTTCGCGTCCGAGCTGAGCTCCACTGGCCCGACTGCTGCCTGCGCTCAACGAGGGCTGGCCCAATAACGGCTTCGCTGTGGGCTGAACTGCCATTGGAGACGCGGCTCGCGCCCGAAGCACGGATCCCTGCGCTTTTTGGTACGTAAAACCCTTCCGCAGCTGCAGAGACAGGAAGCGGTGGAGGAGGGCTTGAAGCTACACTGCCTTGGTGGAGTGAAGGAGTCGAACGAGTAGCATTGAGATTGCGCAAAGTGAAGTTGGAACCCTTCAGTGGCGCGACATGGGCTTGGTATCCGTTGCGTCCGCCGCTCGCGGCCAAAAGGGCTGGAGAGATGCTCGGCGCGATGGACCTTGCCGCAGCAGAAGCGGGAGCGCTGCGAGGCTGAGCTTCGGCAACCTGAGGCACCTGCAAGGCCTTTCCGCCATTTTGAGAAAAGTGAAGCCATGAGCTGGTCTGCGAGTGACTCGAGTCCGACCCTGCGTATGCGTCCGAGGCAGCTATGCCGTGGCCAGCAGAGCTTGCTGCGCGCTGCGTATCGGCTGTTCCCGGCCTGCTGCTTTGTCCTGTCCCTGGACGGGATGCATCTCTCCGACTAGCAAGCTCGGACATTCGCAAGGCTCGAGGCTTTCCGGTCAGAGCCTTGCTCGCTGTTGAGATTTGAGCGTTCTTGATGTCGTCCTCAGGAGAGACCGGGAGCGCGTTGCCTCCGAGCGGCCGCGTCGGTGCATTTGCAGCAGAGATCTGGCGCTGCGGCGCCGTAGTCTGAGCGGAGCCTTTGATAGAGTTGCCGGAGCGCGATCGTTGCTTTGCGTCCTGGCCACGCGGCAACGCACCAATCAGATTGGCACCCCAATCCTCATCGCTGCCTACCTCGGGCAGGACCGGGCTTGGCTGCCTCAACGATTCTATCCGGTTGTTGGGCGAAGACGGCATCGAAGGGGCGTCGTCCCAAGAGGGGCTCGTCGCCCAACCGCGATTCAAGACGCTCGAGTAGGTGGTCGACATACTTTGCCGCACATCGTTGTTGCTCGTTCTCGAACCAGCACCTTGTCTGTCAGCAAACGACTGGTCCCACTCTTCCGTTTCAGGAGTGCTGATTGCGCTGTGCAAGTCCTCATAGTCCCCGAGCCGCGATCGCAGCAGCTCGCGCGTCGTCTCCGGCGCTTGACCTCGCTGAGCCTCCTGTTGGACGTAGTAAGCAGTATGCTTGCGGATCAAATCGGCTGCGCCCTTTGGGTCCGCCCTGACATCCTCCGCGTCCATGCCGCATTGTGCCAAAGTATCAGCCCAAGAGGCTGGCAGACCAGTGTAACCCATCGGGCCGACATCTACATGCACGTTGTGCTTCACGTTCGTAGGAAGGCTTATCCCGGCGTCGTCCCTAAAAAGTGGCAAGGAAGCATCCCATTCTGGGACCTCTATGGTCTTCTGTGCACTTCGATTGCGCGCTTTATTGCGCTGCTCGGACCAAGTCAGGTCGACTGCAGATTTGGACGCGAGGCCATTCAGCCTTCGCAACCCGCTGCTGATTCCACCTCCTCCACCTGACCCGCTTCGACTGGTAGTCTTTTCGGGCGTTGCCATAGACGACGGCGGCTGATCAGGTCGAGAGTGTGTCCGCCATCGTTGAGCAGAGGCTACAGAAGCAGCACCTGCCTTGCCCGCCAGCTTGCGCAACCCGGCGCCCATTTTCATCGCTTCCTGTCCAGCCGCACGCATGGCCACTTTGCCACGCTTCTGGAATGTCGGGTTGCCGAAGCGATCTTGCGAAATGATAGTCGAGTCTTGAGATGAGTATAGCGATGCATTGTTCCTATCTCGAGGATCGTCGTCATTGTCATCGTTTGGCGGGGGCAGAGGCGGTAGCTCGCGCTCTCGTCTGGGATCGAGCCCGGGGCTGTTCGCAGCACGAGAAGAGCTGGCTTCGTCTGACAGTCTAGAAGAGGTGTCCCAAGACCCGCGCCGGTCTACTGGTGACAAGGTGTTTGCATGCTGTGATCTGTGCGCATGCCTGATCGAAGCCGAAGATGAGTCCTCATCCACATCCGTAGACATGGGCGAGTAGCCCCTGTTGTGCGTTCCTGAACCATTCGTCCACCTGCTCTCGATGCTGCTGGCAGTCTGTGGTCGTGTTGAATGAGAGCCCGCTTTGCGCTGCGAAGGAAACAAGGCACTCGCGCTGCTCTCACCCCGTCCACTGGTGACCGACGTGGCTGAATATCGACCAGTGTACATCCTTGCTCGACAGGCTGGATGCAAAGGCGTTACCTAGCCCGACTAGCTTGGGCTGTGAGCCCCGCTGACTTGGCAGTCTGCAATGCAGCACAGGACGAATGGTGTGAATGGCTAGCCTGCAGATGCTCCAATGGAGCGAGCGTCGGATGCTTTGTGCTGCGCCCGAAGGTGTGTTGGTGTCTTTGAGCGAGAGAAGGGAGACGTGGAAGGAGAAAAAGGTTCTCTCTGGATGCGCTGCCCGTGTTAGTATTAGGACTGCGAGGGCGAGCCGATCCAGGATGCGGAGGTGTAGAGCAGTGGAAATCGTCGAGTCTTGCTGCAGGGGTAATTAGGACCTGACCCACAGTAGTGAAAAGGGTGGGATCCGCGGGTTCGAGGGTGAATTGATCGAAGCCCCTTCTGTAGCGCGCCTTACTACTACAGTAGTGGAAGCTGTTGCCACCAAAAGTCTCAGTCACGAGTTTGCGATCGATTCAGCCAGGCGGGAAGGAGGATAGGGACCTTAAAATTGCGAGCGGGAAGTTCGCCGACGGAGGGGACACGCGCTCAGTTGTGAGGGCTAATCATCAGTCACGAGTGTCGCGTTTGCGGGCAGAGTTGCGGCATGGCGGATCGCCTTGCTGCAGGGCCGCGCTAGTGTCATGAGCGGAGCTGAAGGTGCGCTTCGCTGCAGCAGATGGGATGCCTGCTGTCACGGACCGGTACCAGTCCAGGTACACATCACATCCGCACGCACACTCATCAGACTCAAAATTCACGACTGACCTGCCGTACCGATGCGTAGGGGCTTTGCTGCTGCTGCTGCTTGGGCAGAGGCAGTCTGCAGGTCATTCAGATTCGCTCACAACTTTTCGCTTGACTCGATCGCGACTGTGACTGCTGCGTGTGTATCTTTACGGTCACCAGCACCGGACACACGATCCCAACTTGATCACGACTGCTGATGTGTATATGCACTCATCACGACTGTCGCGGCGTGTTGCGGTCGGGCCGGATAGTCTCACAAATGCGTGAGGCGCGAGACTGCTTCAGCGCCTCCCACCCACCCTTCGCGCCCAGCAGCTGCTCGCGCATATACCATCACGTAGATCAAATCATGGATACGACGGTAAATCACCTTATCTGTCCCGAGTTAACAACGCTCCCCCCCACCCGGCGCCCGCAGGCCCCTGCGGCTGCATGAAGCGAACGACGCTGCGACACCGAAACCACTCCTGAAGCTGTATCTCAATTAAGTCCTAAGTCGAGCCGCTTTGTCGTTCTAAGCTTGAGGTACAAAAAGCCAAGTCGCAGCCAGCGTGTATAGCTGCTCGAGCGCTATGTAGGGTGGAACAGCGCAAAGACAAAAGAGTCGTGATGAGTTTTGAGTCTTTGCCACACTCGGCCTCTCTGGATGGAGCCCTTTACGTAGACTAGGCTGTTGAAACAGCTAGCGAAGCCAGCGATTCAAGATTCTTGCTTAAGCATGCCGTCAGTAGTCAGATTCAAGATTCAAGATTCAAGATTGTGAGTTGTGCGTGTGCCGTACATTTGTGTGTACGGTACCGGTATGCAAATCACGAACATGCCTCTTTATTCAGATAGGCCGCAGATTGTCCGGTTCAAGATTCCGTGCGTCGCGATGTATATAATCAAGAATCTTGAATTCAAGATTAGTCAACTGAATTCGTGATTGAGTTTTGAGTCAGAGTGTTGCGCGAGTTGACTCCGACTGTATACCGGTACGGGATATGGCTGCGCCACCGCGCATGGTGACCCCGCTGCTGCATGCGCACCGCCTCAACTCGGCGCGCTGCGTGTGGCTACTCACGGCTCCGCCGGGCCCGTCTTCATATACTAATCAAGTGCATGCCATGGGGTGTGAGACTTGGTCGACTCGCGATCCACAATCTTGACTCACCACTTTGACTACGTTTACAAAGACTACTCTTGAGTCTTCGTTCCATGTAGGTATCCAGCCACTATGACTGCGCTATTAGTGAGCCGCACGTGCGCACCGCTTGATTATTCACGATTGCAACTCAAGTATCCGCGACTCGACACTCTACGCTCGCGGAGATGTCACGCGCTCCTGCCGCGCCGTCGCGATGACATTTAATTTGATTCGACAAGCATCCTCAGACCTCAGCAGCTCAATTTCAAGGCTGCGCTGCTTAGCCCTCGCGCTTTGCAGAGCTCGTGACCGTGACCTTGTGAGCCAGTAAGCGCGTGCTGAGGATGTGCAAGACGCTTAATAAAGGTCTTCGTCACAGTAGAGGTCTGCCATCGTGACGCTAACGCTCAACATGGGATTCACGATTCACGATTGGACAATTCGTGGATGATGAACGATCACGTGAATTGCTGATCGGCTGATGTAGCCTTCGTCAAGGTTCACGATTGTGATCATAACATTTGTAGCCATGATATCGAGTCGGTGATCAAGCCAGTCGGATAGGAACAAAGTCGAGTAAGCTTGCAAGATCACGATTAATTTCTGGCTCGTGTCCTGACAGAGGCCTCCTCGACTGAACCTGCACGGTCATCCACCTCGAGTTATGGAATCTTGTCTGGGGCCGATCGATTGTGCTGCAAATTAAATCGGACATTCACGATTTGTCAGATTTCCCTTTACGATTGAATTAAGCTACGTGATGTGCATGACCGCGACTCGCCTCTACAACATACGTGGGTGATCGGTATCAAGCCGGAAACCAAGCACAACCTTGAGTCACAGAGACAAGTTCAACCAGGACAAGACGCGATGTTATGCGTTGGCAACAGCTGATGGCTCGGCGGAACACCTTCTTACATGATCCATCAATGATTCACGATTCGGCTCCATCGAGCGAGCGCAGATAGTCGGACTAGATGAGGTGCGATCGTAAGCATGTGCCTGATGGATGCGTCAGCATTCATGCCACTTTGACTCATCAGGAGCTCAATGAATGATGTCGTTGATATTTTACGTGGTGAGACCGTGAGGTGTCAAGATTCACGCTGACAGACGCAAATTGACTCATTGACTGTGTGTGATAGAAATAATGAAGTGCGAGTGCTGCGGGGCAGTTGTAGTGAGTGTAGTGAGTGTATGCCGGCGGTACAGCATGCGGTCCAGCCTCTGCACAGCAGCATCGACAACCGCGGCTGGCACCGCCCTTCACGTCATCAGCTTTACGTGTCGGAGCCAACGACAGTCGCGTCAACATCAGCTGCTGCTGCATGGCATCCGCAGTCGTGAGTCTGATGAGTCAAGAGTCAGGATCGAGTTTGAGTCAAAAGTCGTAAGTCGTGAGTCACGAGTCACGATCGAGAGTTTCGGCCGACTTGTGCCTTGGCGGATCTGCAAGCTCCGCCGCTAAGCGCGGCTTGCGGTTGCGTGTTGCGTGTTATTTTGCGTTGCCGGCCGGACGCGGAAACCACACACACGTACTCGTGACGACTAATCATACTTGACTCACGACTGCCTGACTAGTCCATGCACATGACGTGACATGCATGAGCAATCAGCAAGTGCACAATCAGCACGAACGTGAATCTTGAAATGATTCGAACCGCGACTCAAGACTCACGACTGCAGCTGCGGGTGAGTTGGCGCGTAGTAAAGCCGAACCCTATTCTTGATTGAGCCAGCCACACTTGACTCTCACTCAAGACTTGTGCATGACCTGGATGGTGAGGGACGCTCGCCACTCTCACTCTTCCATGCATTGCTCATCCTAAAGGCCCTCACGCTTCGCATCAAGTTATAGCAGGGACACCGGCCGACGAGGAATAGGAGCAGTCTATGGTGCGCGCAGTTTTGTTTCACTTACTCCACACGCTCAAATGATCCCCCATGAGCTGTCAGAGTGATCAAGAGGTATAAATAGAGCGAGTTTGTCCTCGGACATCGAAGCCAAGACCAAGCGGCAAGAGACCCGTTCACGCTCGCCAGCCTCACATAATTGGTCCTCAATCGTTTCCTAGGATTACATCCATCATGCCGGTTCCAGACGTCCGCTACACGCCCATCTTGGTGCCCTCATTGCTATCAGTGAGGGCCCGAGATGATGCAACGACGACCTTTCGCGAAGATTATCGAGCGGCAAGTGGGGAATGGCACGTCACTACGTACTCGGCATTTGAAGAGCTAGTAAACAACTACGTGCGGGTCCTGATCGACGCAGGTCTACCCTTGCGGACAAAGATCACCACGCTAGGCGGTAGCGATGGCAGTCTGTCTGTGCCTGTCGTAGCCACTTTGGCTGGAAGCACAGAGGCAGAAACGGCCGCTTACTTTGCCATCATCAAGATGGGCTGCACTGTGAGCAAGCGGATTGCACCGTCGAGAAATTGCAGAGTCTGCAAAATGCTGACTTGGCTTGCTGTGGCGCAGGTGTTTCCTCTTTCGCCTCGTGCTCCTCCAGATACCATTGCAGCGCTACTGCAGACGCATAGAGGCGTGACACACTTGCTGTATGCGCCGCCTTTCGCTTTGCTGGCAGGCAAAGTCTCCGAAGCGCTTCAAAGCAGCGTGGTTGCTGTGGCGGGCGAATCGGTCATAAATGTCATGGCCTTGCCTACTGCCGCAGCAACAGCCGGCTCGAGCGCGAATGTCGAGCATTCTCCTGCATTCATGTACGACCTCGATGAGCTCCTCGAGCAGGAGTACGATCGAACAATTCTCTTGTTGCATACCAGCGGAAGGTGAGCCACCTAGAATGAAAGGCTCGTCCAGGTGCTGGCTAATACTCAATCCTCATCTCTTATCCGTGACCAAAAGCTCGGGACTCCCGAAAGTTGCCAAGTATACCCACCGGAGTTTCATGGTTCAAGCGGGGTGGTACCGCGATCCGGCTTATGCCAGTACTCAAGCCGATCTTGAGGGCTCAAGGTTCTTCTCCGGAACGCCACTCTTCCACGTGAGAGACCCGCGCGCGCAGATACGCCATGCTGGTCAAAGCTTATTCGAAGATTTTTGCGCAGGCTATCGGCTGGATTATCGGACCGATCCTCGGTAAGGCTTCGTGTGACCTCATCGGAAAGGCTTGTCTCTCATTTCTCCTCAATGCCTGCTTTGCGCATCGTTCTCAGCATTGACCATCGGTGCCATTTCCTTGGCACCCGCTCCTGGACCTCCTCCACCAGTCTCTACCCTGACGCATTTGCTCACAAGTGGCAGAGCGGATCGTGCTCTGATTGTCCCTTCCCAGCTGGACGAAATGAGTATTGATGCTGCCGCTACTGCGGCCTTGGCTAAGTGCAAGGCAATCTGGTACGGCGGGGCGCCGCTTGGACCACAAAGTCAAGAAACGCTCGCCAAGAATGGGGTCAAGCTCTGCAGCGCTTATGGTCTGACAGAAACAGTGAGCTGAAGCGAGCAAAGTGGTGTCAAGGCGACGCGACTAACTCAGAACCAAAATCTGATCCCAACAGGGCGCCGTCGCGGGCGCCCACGAGCTAGCGCCGGAATCGCAAAGAGATGCCGGAGGCACATGGATCACTCTTCGTTCCGAGTTCGACTACATTTTCGAGCCTGCCCCACCAACGCAAGCTACGCAATCGAAAGAGCTATTTGAGCTGGTGGTCAAGTCGACGGGTCGAGTTCCATTGCCGTTCGAGACCTCGGCCGGTGTTTGCAACACGGGAGATCTATGTGAACGACATCCCGACGCTCCAGACTCTGTCATCAGGCTAGACGGTAGGATCGGAGATTTGGTCATCCTTTCAAATGGCGAAAATGTGCCGACTCTGCCTTTCGAGTCGGCGGCTTGCAAGCACCCATCCGTACAGACCGCCGTCATCTTTGGGCATGGCAAATCGTCAGCTGGGCTGTTGATTGAGACGACTGACGCCAGCAAATGGAGCGAGGCGGACCTCGTAGAGCTGATGAAGCTCGTAGACAGTGTCAATCGCGAGCAGCCGGCTTTTGCAACGGTCTTTGTGAGCATCTGCAATTTTCGATCCGATCTGGATCTGCTGATTAAGATGCTGAAAGCCTGCCTTCTTTCAGCCGTCAAGAATCCTGCTCGCGACCCCTAGCAAACCACTACCAAAGACAGACAAGGGCACGGTGAAAAAGAAGCTAGCGTTGCAGCTGTACGCAGATGAGGTGGCTCAAGTCTACGAAAGAGATACCGGACCTCTAGTCGGACCGGGAGAGAGCGACATCACCTTGAAGACGAAGGAGGATGTCGAGAAGTTTGTCAAGAAGACCTTGGTTGGAGTTCTCGGTGTCGACGTCGCCGAATTGACCGAGTCTCGCGACCTCTTCGACCTTGGCCTGGACTCTCTGAGGTCATCGCTGATCCGTGGTGCAGTGCTTCGAGCCGTTCGCCACAATGTCCAAGGGTTGGCGAATGGTCGATCCACCGATTCTGAACAGCTAGACCGGGCAATCCCTGCTAGCTTCGCCTTTGACAATGCTACTCCTCAAAAGCTTGTGGTAAGTTTGGAAGAGGACGATGTCTCGCGACCATGCAAGCGCGATGATGACTAACCTTTTCGCTCCTCGCTCTGCTTTCGAAAGCACGCCGTCGCTCGGCTGGTCGAAGGCGATGCCACAACCGTGACCACATCGTCTTTGGAGCAAGCGCACGACACATTGAGTCACTTCCGCAGAGACTTGGAGGCACGCTTGAAGCCCTTCACCGAGCTCGGTAGGAGACCCGAAAGCAAGTTCAAATCGATGGCGGCGCTGGTCACTGGCACGACTGGTGGTCTGGGCTGTATACTTGTGGAGCAACTACTACAAGACAAGCAGTACGCGACGATCATCTGCGTCAACAGGGCTAAGCATGCCTCAAATGCCAGTGGTCGCGAGCGCCAAAGCGCAGCTTTCGAAGAACGCGCCATGGATCAGACGCTAGCGCAGTCAGACAAGCTCACCTTTGTGGATGGCAACATTTGGGATCTGACCATCCAACAATTTCAGGATGCTTTGCAAGGTCATCGCCTGGGCTTGATAGTTCACAACGCTTGGCCGGTGCGATTTGATCTGCCGCTCTCGAGCTTCGAGAAGAGCATCGCGGGCCTTGTGAACCTGCTTGGATTGGCAGCTATAGAGTCTGCCAAGCTGGTCTTTCTCTCATCTGTAGCAGCGGTGAAACAGACTCTTACCGGCAATCCTACAGAGACCGTCCGCATCGAGGAGTCTACCCAGGTGCCCCTAGAGTGGGCGTCGGGCGGCTACGGCGTGAGTGAAACCTCCTGCGACGTGCGGCAATTGGGCTCTTTACTGAACGCCCCGTCACTATTTGAGCAGGAGAGCAAGCTCATAGGAGAGAAGCTGGTTTGCCAAGCAGTCCGAACCATTCCTGGTCTACACGCAGTGTCGGTCAGGTGCGGCCAATTGATGGGTGACTATCGGACTGGAGTCTGGAATCCCGACGAATGGTGGCCGTCGATTGTCCGCTCGGCCACGCCCGAGGCATTGGGTAGTCTGCCGACAGGTCCTGAGCTGGGTGATGTGGACTGGATTTCGAGTGAGTGAGAGCCTTCTTGCGCTCAAGTTCCTTGCACAGCTAACGCGTTCTCTGCTTGGATCAAAGTGAACGATACCGCAGTCGGAATCTTGAGCTACGCCAGCGCGCCCAGTGCGCCTGGCTTCACTTCTGCTAGCTCCACCAACGTGGTACATCTGATCAATCCAAAGTCAGCTCCGGCAAGTCTCATCGAAAAATCTTTCGCGCCGACGCTTCCGGTCGCCAAAGTGCTGCCCTATCGAGAGTGGCTGAAGGGTCTCCAAGCACTTCGTCCCAGCGCTTCGCTGAAGCAGGATGAGCTCATCTCTAAATTGAGCGACATACCTGCCCTCAAGCTCAGCGATACTTACGAGGCGATGGCGAGTGCAGACCGCCACGTAACGCTGAAAGTAGGCGAAATGGAAGTGAGTCATGCACGGTCGTGCGGCGCCGTCTAGCGTGTTACTGATCCGAGGGCCTCATTCGGATCGAATCGCAGCCTTTCTTGGCCAATGCAGTTGTGCTGGACAAAGCCCTGGCAACGCGTTTCGTTGCGAGATGGCTCCACTGAGCTGACTGCTGTGAGCATCTAGAATGTGCAGCACCAACAGCCTGCTTTGCTCCGTCTGTCCCTGTGTCCTTCCGCTTTCGCCACGTTCGAGTGTACTTTGCCATGCTTGGAGATGCAATCGTATGAGCATCATCATTGCGTTGAAATGAAGAGTCTCTGCCGGGTTCGACGAGCTCGGCTGCTTCGGTCTCGAGCAGAGTGGGTCATGCAGTGATGCGGATCGCATCTATATCCGCTCTCCACTGTGCCTCTCGGTGATGTCAGGGCAAAGCATCGAGAGATGGAGTGGTGAATCTGGAAATCCGCATGTTACGCTCGCTGCTCATTGGAAAGCCGAAGATCCAAGGCACGCAGCGGACCCCTTCGCAGCAGATGGCGAGTGTGAAACGACTGGGACCTTCACGCCCGCGCATCAGCGAGCGACATGCGTGCACCGCGCGCGTTGGGTGCCTCACATGACGCACGACGCGGCCAGGCCTGTCGCGTTTGGTGCAAAAGTCACGTTTCTTTGCGGCCTGATGCCTACCTTTACCCCTCGCTCGCTTATTGGAGTCAAAGAGTAGTCGCCCACCATCTTCATACCTTTGCTCATTCCTCACGCTTCCAAATTCGTATCGTACATCCTGCGCTCGATCTCACAGCTTTTTGCAAGCGCTTGGAACAGGCTTCATCCACCCCACCCCCACCATAAGTCCCTTTTTATCCCCAGCCACCTTAAGCAGGAAAGGAGCAGCGGTTCTGACCAGAGGCAAAGGACACACGGGGGGCTTGCGTCTCTCCTCTATATTCGGCTTGTTGTGGTTCGGGCAATGGACAGAAGAAGATGAGTCCTGCTTTGCCAACATCATCAGAAGAGGAACGTCGCGCTGCGGCAGGAGCTCTGGAATCGCGACCTGACGAGGTGGAGATGAGGTCGTGCGCGCCCACAGCCCAGCTCGTTGTCAAAGAAGAGTCCGACAGCGAAAAGCCAAAGAGGTCCAAGTTGCGTTTTCAAACCCCTTCTGCGCACAGCAGTCATGCCAGTGTTGACGACAAGAATGGCTTGTTGCCATCCGACGACGAGAAGGCGCCTGCGTGGGACGAGCATGAGGACTCAGCGAGCGTAGGGTCGAGCGCGAGCGAGAGCAGCTCCAGCGCATCCTCCTCGCGCTCCTTGTCCTTTGAGCCCAAGGCAGAGCCGTATCAGTCGACAGCATCTTCTTCAGCATCTCCCATCAAAAGTGCCGCATCCTCAGGACCATCCAAGGCACCTAGGCGCCAACCAAAGGAGCCCGCCAGGCCGCCTCAGCTCATACAACATTTGCCACTGGCAGAGTGGGAAGCCATGCAGACTTTTGATGAGCTGCCGCGCAACTGGTACGAGAGAGCAAAGCTGGGCAGGAGCAAAGGACAAGAGGAAGGGATGGTTTGCGAGTGTAGATATCGAAGTGGTGAGTAGCGGGTTTGCGCAGCGTTGCGTGGGAGTGGCGCACGTACTCGGGCTGCTGAGCGAATCTTTTCCCTCTCATGTCCTCACCAATTCGCTTGGCGTGGTGCATCAGGCGATGACCCTGCACTTGTTGCCTGCAGCGAGGACTCTGGTTGTATCAATCGCCTGACGCAGGTCGAATGTCTGGCTTCAGATTGCCAATGCAAAGAGCATTGTCAGAATCAGCGGTCAGTATACGAGCGCCTGCCTCGCTTGACAAAGTGTCGATTGGTGGCTGATGCGCGGCACACCGCTGTGGGCTTTGTTCACTCGCAGATTCCAACGAGCGCAATACGCCAACATTGAAATCGTCCAAACCGAAAAGAAGGGCTTTGGCTTGCGCGCAGCCAATGATTTGCCCGCGTGAGTCGTGTATAGAGAGCGATTGAATCAGCCAAAAGCGTCTGATCAGCCCCTCACTGATCGCTGTGCCTCTTCAACTTGTAGCGACGCGTTTATATACGAGTATATTGGCGAGGTCGTCGAGCACAAGACTTTCATGAAGCGGATGCAGCAGTACGCCCAAGAAGGTGTCAGGCACTTCTACTTCATGATGCTGCAGCGAGAAGAGGTAAGGACTGCTGCTCCATCCATCAAGCCCCTGCAAGATGGAGTGGTCTACTGACACTGACGTCTCCTCTGACAGTACCTCGATGCCACGAAAAAGGGCGGCAAAGCGCGGTTCATAAATCATAGCTGCTCGCCAAACTGTTATGTTGCAAAATGGCACGTTGGCAAGCACATGCGGATGGGCATCTTCGCTCAGCGAAGCATCACAGCTGGCGAAGAATTGACTTTCAATTACAACGTTGATCGATACGGCCATGACGCGCAAGAGTGCTTCTGTGGAGAGCCAAATTGCGTTGGCACGCTTGGAGGGAAGACCCAGACCGATATCGGGGGCATGGACCAGCTGTACATTGATGCTCTTGGCATAGCCGAGGAGGTGGATGCTTTGGAAGCAAAAGGTTCGCGGCGAAAGAAGAGCAGGCATTTGGATGAAGACTTCAACGTGCGTACTGCGAGCGATTTGCCTGTCTCTTCTTGTCTCTTGATGCTCACATCCTTGCTTGCCCGTCTCGTAAATCACGACTGTGCAGCCGGTCATGCGACCTATCGAGGCTCATGAAGTCGCTCGAGTGATCGCAGCAGTTCGACAAGCGCAGTCGGACAAGAGAATCTTGCAGAAGCTACTGGAGCGCATACACATGACAACAGACGTCGCAGTGCAGAAGGCGCTCGTCAGGCTGCATGGTTTCGTTCTGATGGCGGCCATCATGGAGGAGTGGCGGGACGACAGAGCAATTCTGCTTTTGGTGATGGGGAGCATGGCTCGTTGGCCGCTCATTGCGCGCAACAAGGTTGTGGACTCGGGCGTGGACAGCACGGTCCGAGATTTGACGTCCGACCAAAACAAGGACATTGCCGAGCTCGCACAAAGTCTGTTGGATGCGTGGGAAGCACTGGAGCTGAGCTATCGCATCGCCAGAAGAGAGGTCCCTCTGGACGCAGACGATTCCACGCGTGAAACCCCATCTTGGATGGAACAGCGGCGAGCGGATGAGTCCGAGGAGATTGCGGTAGCCTGGAGCAATGCACGAGCCCCCAACGCAATCTCAACGTCTCTTCATTCTTTATTCCCACGACCCCTCGGCACGCTCGCTGTTGCCGCTCCTGCGATTCATCCTCCTCCTCGAAGGCGAGCATTGCAAGGATCGCCCTTTACCCCTCGAACACCAGAACATGCATCTCCAGCGCCGGTCAAACCGCGGCAGAAAAGCCTGGAGGAGATTATCAGACAGGCCAATGCGGACGCGGCGCTGCAAACACAACTTTCCGACGATGTCGCTCGAGTCGAACGTGAGAGAGAAAAGGAAAGGCAACGAGAGCGCAAAGCACGCAAGAGATCTTCCAGAGGCGACAGGGAGCGCCATGGAGAGCACGGAAGTTCTAGCAAGCGACGGAAACACGGATCGGCATCCGCATCCTCGAGGCATCATTCCTCGTCCACTGATCCAGAAAAGAAATTGCGAAAGCTGGTCGGCGAAGTCGTTGTCAAATGCATGAGCAAATACTCTGACAGGCTGGATCGCGACGTCTTCAAGAAGCATGCTCGAGACGTAAGTCGGCGAACTGACTTTGCAAATCTCGTTCTGCGCCTGTGCATCGGCTGACCTGCGCGGCCTTTTGTGTCCCACAGCTCACAGATGTCGTTTGCGCAAAGGAGATGAAGCATACATCCTGGCCGCCTGCAGAGGGCAAGTTGGAGACGCTGACAGCAGAAAAAAAGACGAAGATGAAGACATTCGCAAACGAGTACATCGGAAAGTTGATCGCTAGGAAGGGCAAGCCAGCGCTCAATGGCGACTCATCATCGGCCCATGCAAATCGCAGCTCAAGCAGAACAGATTCGCCTCCAGAATCGCGTGGCGGCCACTCCTCGCGCCAAGGCCGTCCGTCAAATGAGCATGCGGCCTGGGTACCCGATGGCGACGGATCAAGTAGCATCGTAGATGAAGCAGACGCCGGATCCCTCGGCTCCCATGGCACAGCGTCGAATACTGGGTCCGGCACAACGTTGGGCACTCCAGCGAGCCCCAAGGCCGTGGCTCACTTTGGTTTGCCGCCCGGGCTCAGCGCCATGCTTTCAGTCTCGGGTGCAAATAGCAAAGACTCACATGCGTTGGCATCGCCACTTGCTCGCCACAGCGACTCCTTGCCTCCAGGCCCCCCACCATCCATGCCCACCTTCCCGGCGCACCCAGGCCCTCCTCCGCGATTCTAATCGCACTGTGGACAATCGCGACAATCGCTCGACCTGACATCGCGCATGTCACAGGATGAGGTTCGATCCCCCCCCCCCCCCCCCCCCCCCCCCCCCCCCCCCCCCCCCCCCCCCCCCCCTTCCCGCTCTGCGGTCCGCACTGCCTAGCACTTGAGTCGCTCTGTACACCAATGCAAAGGTATTATTAGGTCGATTACACACAGGTTCTGTCTGAATTTCGGTGAAACAGCAATTCTCGTTCTTGGTGATACGTGTTGAGCAGAAGCACTGGTGAGTACTGCAGTCCCATGGAGCCAGCAGCGCGCCACAGTCGCTTGAAACATCGCCGTCAGACCAGCTTCGCCGAGCCATCTCGCTTGCTAAGTCTCTCCAACTTGCTATTGACGTCCTGAAGCTCGCGCTGTAGGTGGTAAATTTCCCTCTCGGCAGCTGCATTCCGGTAAAGGGTAGTGCGTTTTCCGCTTTCGGTTTCACGCATCGCGAGCGATGTCGGTGAGGCCTCAGTTGCCTTCTCAAGCTGCGCGGTGCTGCCGGCTGTCGAGATGCCTGTGCCCGTCGCCCTCTCCGCCAACACCAGCTCTGTGCTCTCAGGCCTGACCTCCGAGTGCCTCACCTCGCTGATTTTGATGCCGAGGTAGAAGCAAAGCGGAACCATGATGCCGGAAAGGATCAAGAGTTTCCTGAACGATCTGTTTACCCGCTTGTTGAAATTCATTTCGGAATCGGATTTGCTTTCCTTGCGCTCCTCTTCTCGTCTAGGACGCGTGTTGTATTCCCTCTTGTTGAAAGCAGTGCCAGGCACGTTCAAAATCCGCGGAAGAGCTGGCGCAGTGCTCGTTGACAAGCTCCGCCTACTTCCCGGACCGGCCTTGCTGGCCCAATCCTGAGTTCTGAATCTTCTTGGCGCATCATTCGAGGTCCAGCCCAACCTGGATTGCAGGCCGGGCGATGTGCCCTCTTTCAAGCCCTGCCGCACCAGCTTCCAGAGCGCATGGAGCTGGCCTCGAAGGAACAGCGTGGGAGAAGAGGTCCAGAGACGCCGAGTTCCCTTGAGAGCCGCGACAAGCCAATGAGGCAGTGCGGGCTGCGCAATGAGGGCTTCCATGAGCGTAGGTGCTGCTGACGTGGGCTGTAGTGGGTGAAGGGATTGTCCTAGGTGCGGCGTAGAATGCAACTCTTGCGAGCAATCTCCACGCCCAGCGAGAAGTCCTGCCTGAGCTGCGAAGTGGACACCAGCTTGGCCGCGCTTGGCAAGCTCAGCTCGCGCAGCAATGGATCTTTTCAGAATATCCGACCCTTCGCCCGCTTCGATAGATAAGCTGTCATTCCGGGTCCAGCCTGCGCCAGGTTGAATGCCCCTTTTGCCCAAGAAGCTAAGCGCTGCATTCTCTGCTGACCTCATCAATCTCGTGCCTATCCTCTCTCTGGCCCAAAGCGTGGTCGTAAGGACTGCCAGAGCATGCGGTGCCGCGTCGAGAGAAGACTCAGCAGCCTGCGCTCGCGCTATCGAAGGATCAGATAAGGGATCAGGTGCTTCGTCTGGCTCGGCATCGTTCCTACCTGGGATGATCTGGCGAAGCTGGGCCCTCTTCTCGAGCTTCGAGCGCGTTCTGCTCAGCCGTCGGAGAGCGGTGTTGAGACGGTGGGCAAGCACCATGTCTGTGGTGGGCCTGTCGCCCAACACGAGGACGCGCCCGGTCCAGGTCGTCCTGACAGACGATGAGGGATCGTGGGTGCTAGACGCATTGAGCGCAGCAACGATGTCCCTGACACACGAGCGGGCCGGTTTCTTGCCCCGATGAGCCAACACGGGGACCTGCAGATGCCTCGACAGACTTTCGGCCTGCAAGGCAGATCGGAGGGCGGAAGATGCTCGAGTCAGAATCGATAGGCAGGTGAAGCGACGCTTGTTTGGTGGCCAGCGACAGTAACTCGTCGGCGGCATGTATGCTCACACCTACGCCTCCCGAATCGCTCGAGCTTCCCGCGCTATTTGAGACAATGATGATACGGTCGGGACCAAAGGTGAATCTACATTCCTGCCAAGCGTGCTGAGATTATATCATTCGGTTCTGCAGAGTCAACTTGGGCGCTGACGAAGCTTGGCTGAGCGAATGAGTAGTACTCACCCGCAGAGCAGGCGCCAAGCCATCCTCCTTTGGCTTAGTCTTCAGGTGAGGGGCCATCCCGAAAAGACACCAAAAGGGTCAAATAAAGCGTAGCAAAGGTTGTGTAGAAATTCCTCGACTCACCAAACAATTGTCCTTGTCGCATATCACTGCCCTCACTCCAGAATTGTACAGGACGCTCCAATCCAAAGCTCTGATGTCGGTGATGGTCGCGTGGGGCACCAGGAGGCCTGGCCTCCACAGCGCCGCTTGAAAAAGGGACGCCAGCGCTGGTGTGTTGACCATGTTCGGTCGTCGAACAAAAATGGGAGCGCAACTTGGCTTGATACTCGTGACTGCCAGTAGATGAAGTGCACTAAGTGGGCACTGCCTTGAGCCAAGAGGATTGGACGACCTCCAAGCATTTGGTCCGTCGAATATACACAACAAGAATGAAGGACAAACAGCAATATGCAATCTTGAATCACTTGGAATCAGCTTTCAAAATCAAGAATCTGCGCGTGCAGCGGGGCACACGTGATCAGCGATAATTTGTTCCAGCTGTTGGTGTTGGCAGATTTTACTCGGAGACGCGTGCGGTCAATGTTCGGAGACAACATCATATATGGACGTATTGTTAAAAAAAATCTGAAAGTCAGGTGGCATGAAAGCATCGGTATGCAGAAAATGGAAAATGAACTGTCGGGACGACCAGGATGGCAATGCTCTGGTGGGCGTCTAGCTTTCCTCCTGTGCTGCTGCCTGCGAGACCGGTCCGTGGCGCTGACCGATGCCGCGCTCACTCATCCAATGGCGCCCAGAAATGGCATCTGCCGCTCCCGTTTCCTGTGGCGAGACGACCTAGCCTGGTGGGATGCATAGCGGTCACGGCTGGCACAGCAGTGACATGGTCTCCATCGTACAGACTTCTAAGAAGCGTCCCGTCCGATGCCCATATCTCGGCCTCCCTCTTCATTGATCCCATCTGCAGGTCCAACAAGCTCATGCACTCGTCAGCAAGGACCTCGAAAGCAGCTTACGACGACATTCACCAGTCACTCACGCTGAAATGAGGCTCAGCCTCTGCATTGGTGTTCCAGCGCGCTCTAAACAGCGTCAGCCACTTGCCGGTCTGGTTGTTGTGAGGAATGATATGCGGTGATTGAAGCACGTCGCTCGGCTTCGAAGGCGCATCGGCGCGGGCTGCCCATTCGTCGTCGTCATCTTCCAGGGCGGGAGGCCTTGTCTTCTTTGCGGCTTGACCTGGAGTAATTACTTCCTCTTCGGACTCGTCGGTCTGGTCGCCTTCCTCGGATTCGCTTTTGGGCCCCTCTTTGCTCGTAAACCAGCGCATCAAGCCGGAGCTCTCACGCTTGACAGGCGCTGGACGCCCAGACGCCGAGCGCCTGGTTTGACGCAAATTTCCCAAGTCTTCAGCAACCGCCTGCTTGCCATTGGGCTTCGGAGCTGGCGCTCTGGCTACTCGAGGCTCAATTTTGACCTTCTGATTCCTCTTGGTCGCTTCGTCGCCTTTCGCCAACCAGCTGGGGTGCAAGTCCCAGACTGCGGGCGCGCCGAGCTCAACGCGTCAGCGTAAGGATCAGTGAAGCTTGAATCGCTTGCAGTGGAGACCCACCTTTAACAACATCATCGTAGCTGACACCGACAAGATTGTCTCCACGAGGAGAAAAGTCGACGCTTGTGCACGCCAGCCTGGCTTGGTGCTCTCCAATCTGAGCCGCCTTGGTGGTTTTCTCAAGAGCGTCAAAGTCGACATGCCGTACACTGTAGGGTGCAATCTCTTCTGTAGGCATCGATCGCATCGCGCGTACGTCAAACAGCCGAATATGTTGATCTAGAGATGCTACAGCGATGCAGCGCGGTCGAAGTGGATTCACAGACATGCCCCCGATCTGATGTGCATGGCGCGCAAGAAGACATGAGACAAGGGATGCAAAGTGCGGTTCGACAGGATTTGATGAGCTCACCTTCTTTTCGCAGACTTGCCATCTTTGCGATCGAGTGCGACGTGCTCGCTTGTCAATGCTGATGAGGCCACCTCGATGATCTGCTACCCAAAGATTTCGTTCTGCAGCAACCAGGCCTGGAAGCACATCGAATACGGAGAGCAGCACGTCATCTTGACCCGCCCATACTTCCGCGCTTACTCCCTTGTCCAGGTCGAGTGCTCTGATGGACGAATCATACGACGAGCTGTAGAGCGTCCTGTCAGACGTAGGATCGAGCTTGAGGCATGTCACTGGGCTCTTGCCGTGCGCCTGCAATCTCCAAGACGAGCCGGAAGGCAGCTCAGAGCCATCTTCTGCGGCGCCGTCATCATCCTCGCCTGCTGGCTCGCTTGATGGCGCGAGAGGCTCCCACACTCCAATACAACCTTCTTTGTCTCCGACGAAGACGAGGTCGCCTCGCTCCGAGTCGGCACGAGGGTGCACTACCATTGTGTAAATTCGTTTATCGACCACCTTGTCGGCGGAGCGCAACTCCATCTTGTCTATCACCTTGCGAAGTTCAGCTTTGGATGCTGTTTCGGGCTTTGCATCCTTGTTGGCTAGCGCGCGCGCATTCTTCCTCCCCGATTGTTCGGCAGCGAGAGCAGCAGCTAGCGACTGAGCCTTGCCCTTTATCTCCGCCTCGTTGCGCCCGGTGAGAAGCTCTTGTAATTTATGATCCTCATGCCGCGCGCGTTTTGCGGCTTCTTGCTCTACTCGGAGCGCCTCTGCCTCCTCCTGCGTCAAGCATGTGTTCCAAGAGAGCGTCCGTCTGAGCGAATGCGGAACAGGGCGGGCATTGCGCGCACGCAGCCTCGGCTCACCTCGTATTTGCGCTTCAAAGCATCGCTGTCCGCCTCGATGCCTTTTAATCTGCTGCTGATCCTGCGTGGCCGGTCAACGGCTGGAGGCGGAGTTGTCTTACGTCGCTGCCTTGGCTTTGGCTTTGGCTGCGGCTTGTTTGTGCCTCCCAAATGCTGCGTCTTGCGAGATGCTCTGCCGGACAAGCCGCCTGTGACTCCCAGCTCGCGTAACAGGGCTTCATTTTTTGCGATGTTGGCAAGCCGCTGCTTCTCGCTACGGGTGTCGAGTGAATGAGTGGTGCGACTTTGTATGCGTGCCCAAGGATAATCTCGAGGGTAGTCCTCACTCACTAGTCCTCGCCATCACTATCACCATCCACCTGCTGCAGTTCGCTCTCCGCCGAATCTTCTTCGGGCGTGGGGCTGTGCTCTGGCTGTACCTTCTTACGAGCCATGTTGCTGTCAAGATGCGAGGCTATCTATCTGCGAGAGGCTTGAGCACAATGCGGTCGGCGGGGGTTGCTGGGGACCGGGGCAGAGTCTGAGCGGTTATCAGAGCAGGTGGATCAATCTCGACACGTACACCATCCGTCCATCCTTCCCTCACCCTACAAGCTTTGCGCGAGGACCCAGACAAATTGAGGGGAAATTTGTGGAGGGCTGACCTGCGCGCGCTTTGACTCGAGACTCGAGACTCGAGACTGTATAGCTGCTTTTGTGCTCGTCTCGTGACCTGAGTGGCGTCGTTCAACTCGTCGTGGCTCTGTGTGCCTGTAATCAGAATCACGATCAATCAAATCAAAATGTGCTGCACGCGCATAGACAATCACGAATCTGAATGCTCGCTGCTGATGCAATCACATCTCTGCCGACTCATCGCGGCTGCTGATGGATGCACGCTATACGCCACCGTCACGAAGCCCATCATCACAGCGCGTCGTGGCCTGCGCTGCTGTCGACGCGCGCGCGACGCGTCGTGTAAATTGAGACTCGCAGTTCTTCTCGGCCGGTCTTTTGTCACTTCCACTGGGCTGCTATACTGCACGCTGTTGCGTCGCGGCTGCATGCTCAAAATTCAAAAGTCCTGCTTGCTGCGTTGAGTGCCTGCCGTTCGACGACGCCCAGGCCAATGCGGCATTCAAACTGGTGAGTCTCCACCCCTCACCGCTCACGCTCGCCGAGGGACACGATAGAGTCGCAGAACCGCCGTCATAACACTGTGACTGGCCCATCATCCGCCTCTTCATCTTCATTGGATTGCGCACAAAAATCCTTTCCATCCAAACACAGTCGATGCTTGCGGGCACAATCGTACGACCTGTCCAACCACCGCCGGCCGCGTTTGTGACCTGCATTTGCCACAGCTACCATGTCCAACGTGCGCGGACCCACGTCTGCATTGACCGAATTCTTGAAAGAGAAGAACATTTCCATCAGAAACACTGATCGCTTCAGGCGCAGGGACAGCAACCAGAATGCAGATGTAGCTCAGAGTGGCGAAGGTGGCGCCTCCTCCCATGCCGCACCTTCGCCACCTCAGGCTGGTCCCAGCACGTCTTCTGCCGCCCGACGTGCGCCTGCCGCCGGGCGAGCCAGTACTCGCGGAGGTCGCCCGGGTATCACGAAGAGCGCCTCTTCGAGATCATCCCTGCGCTTCGACGAAGATGAGGATGAAGATGATGATGATCGCGATGTCGCAGCTCAAGCAGCTCCGTCTCGAAACGGACCCAAGCGTGCCGCGGCACAGAGGGCCACTGCAGCCTCGAAGCGACGTCGCATGAGCAAGAGCAGCTCCATGAATTTTGACGAGGACGAGGATGACTCGGCAGAGGACCAAAGCTCTCTCACCGAGCAGGAAGAGGATTATGTGCATCCTGTGCACGGCAAGGGCAAAGGTGCTAGAACCGCACGCGCCACTCGCAAAAGCAACAACCATCTGGATGGCCCCACTGTGGGCGCATCCGGAGATCAGGGAACTGCAGAAGGACTAGCTCCACTCGCTGCCGGTGTGAAGCGATCTGCCATCGGATCTCAGCAAGAATGTCCCAGCTGCTTCGACGAGTTCAGCGTGACTTCAAACACTTTTCACAGTGTGAGCGGTCCACTCTGCCGCAAATGTGGAGCAATCACTAGAGCAAAGAGCACGGTCAAAGCGCGTAGATCTCAAAAGGAGACCAACCAAGCGAAGCTGGCAGAGGATGAGGACGAGGCTGCCTACGCTCAGCCAAAGGGCCGCTCGCAGAAGGCTGCTGCCAATGCTGCCCGCAAAAAGGCTCGCGCCACCATGACCGAGTACAAGCTGCCGACGCTGCAGAGTCTCTGCATCGACGTGAGTCATGCTCGACTGTCTCAAATTGATTCTCTTTCTGTCACACTTTCCGCTGACGGATTCGTCGGGTCATACAGATCATTAGCCAAAATATTGATCTTGTGGAGGAGCTGACCGGCGTCGGCAAACAAAATATGGACGCACTCTCCAAGGTGAGCCCAATCTTCTCGTGCGAACTCTCGGCAAGTCGCTCATTGAGTGTCTGGGTCCTGCGCTTCGTACAGAGCATCAGCCGCAATCGCCGACTCAACAACAGCACCCTGCAGCTTTTCCTCGAGCGCGGTGCAACCAAGCTTGCATTCTATGACTGCTCTGGTAAGTACAGCTGTCATCAACCTGCAGCAAGTTTCGCTGGACATTGCTGAAACCACGCGCGTGCCGGTGTGCTTGTATTAAAGGTCTTGACAGCGATGCTCTCGCAAGCATCGGAGTATTTGCGCCCGATGTCGAGGACCTCAATCTCCAGCTGTGCGGACGGCTCAACAACGAGGCCATGTCACAACTCTCCATCAAGCTCACCAAATTACGGCGCCTTGAGCTTTACGGTCCCTACTCTGTCTACATCAAGGCATGGCACGACTTCTTTGACGCGCGTGGCGCGGCTTTGGAAAGCTTCAAGATTCGCGAATCTCCACGTTTTGATCTGAGCTGCTGTCAAAAGCTTGTTGCTCTTTGTCCAAAGCTGAAGGAAGTAGGCTTGGCGCAGGTTGGCCCCTTGAACGGCGAGTGTCTTGGAGTTCTTCGCGCCCTGACAGGCCTTACCTACCTGGACGTCAGCGACCCAGGCACCAGCAGACCAGGCGTTCCGCCCGAAAGCCTAAAGGACGAGGATGTCGTGAGCTTGCTTCAGAACGTTGGATCTTCCTTGGTCACTCTCAACGTGGGAGGCAATGCTGAACTGAGCTCCAAGACGCTTTTGGAGGGCATTCTTGCTAACTGCAACGGCTTGAGCGACCTCAGCCTTTCACATTTTGAGAACGATGGTCTTTCTGTCGACGACTGGGTCGCTTTCTTCACAGGCCGCGCCGAGCGCGGCCACGCTCCTTTGACGCATCTGAACCTCGAGCGTTGTCTCAAACTAAACGACGAGGCATTCGAAGCTTTGTTGAAGCACTCTGGCTCCTCGCTCGTCGAGCTCAACATCAACTCGTGCGATGCTCTCACTTCCGACGCACTCAGGCTGATCGCCAAGCACTGTCACAAGCTCGTCAAGCTGGATGTTGGATTCGTGCGCGCTTTCGACGATAGCGTCATCATGGATCTCTGCAGTCCGCAAGAAGGCTGCAGCAGCTTGCGTCACATTTCGGCCTTTGCATGCAATGCGATCTCGTAAGTGCTAGACTGTCCGGGAGTCGCCAGCTTGGCATGTCTTGACTGATCCGAGAGTGTCGCTTCCCTCGCCAGCGACTGGATACAACCCAAAGGCATCAAATTCGTCGGCAAGCAGCGTTCTGTGCGAACGACCTAGACCCGTGAACCACTTTTTCCCATCGGCGCCGTCCTTCTCCTGCGTGGACGTTAGCATCACGCAAATCACAACACCGGCTTTCCGCAAAATGGTTCTTGACCCCTAAAGCGCGGACTCCGCCATCTTCTTTCCTGTAGCGCCGCGCGCAATCCTACATTTCACACTATGCGATGACGAGGAAAAGGATCCCAGCCACCACACTGATGAATCGAATTGACCCCTTCAGCAAGCATATCACGAACGTAGCTCGACGACGTAACTAGTCGCAAAGCAATCAAACGAATGCGAACAGAGATGAATTTCGGTGCGGCAACCTTGTTGCCGCCGCAACAGCCTCGGAATTAGATTTTAAGCGTCTCTTCTGTTGTTTTGTTTTACGTTGGATGTGACCCTGGCAAAAGGCGGTCAGCTTTGATCTTGTCTTGTAGTAGTGTAGTAGGCTAGTATACATCGAGGCGAGGCATCTGCGATCGGTTTCCAGTACTTTGATTGGTGATTTCGCTTTGAGCGGTGCTTTGGCAGGATTCGCAAGTAGAGAGGTGAATGAAAAAGGACAAGACAACCAAAAAATGAGAAGAGTGTGGATGTGCAGCTAGCTCATGATGAGCGCTGCGAGAAGCGCGATCTGGAAGCTGCCCTTCTCGTCGCGCCGCGAGCTCCTGGTCCCTCTTCTATTTGTCGAGCTTCAAGGGCGCGGTTGGCGAGTTGGCGAAGCTTGGCCGGCGCAGAATCGGCTTGAGGATCATCGCGCTGCTCTTCGTTACCTGCGAGAGCTTCAAGTACTTCGTTGTCGCTGTGACACTCGACGTATTGCTCCGAGCGCTCTCTGGACCGATGGTCTCTGTCCCAAGCACGATCGAGCTCAGATAGGCCCATAGCCTCCGGCGGACCAAACACGTCATCCTCGTCCTCATCCATACGTGCAGACAAGCTGGAATGCGGGCTGATGGAGCGCGACTCGTTCAGCCACGATGCCTCGTCGCTATTGCGCAGCAGAGAGCGTGAACGCTGCACAGGTGGATCACTCGGATTGTCCCGGCGGCCACGTACTAGGGCTGCAGCTGCTTTGAGCAGCGCTTGACGAGGGGACGCGCGTCCATTCTCGTCTTCCACTTGGAGACGGTCCTTTGTTGGGGGTAGCACGAGTGGCGCTGGGCTCGTCGGGATGCCCACAGGTAGAACGAAGGGGCTGGCAGTCGCGCTGCTAGATCCCGCTTGTGGGGGCGCGCTTAGTCCAAGCAAGGCTTGCTCTGGTGAGAGCATGGGGTCGCTGCTTTGGGCATCGGAAGACTCGAGACCGAAGTGCGTTGCCTTCTGTGCTCTGCGTTCCAACAGAGGCGTCGATCCTCGAGATGAACCCAGATTCAGCCGAGGGCTGCTATGCATCGAGACATCTGCCTCCTCGAAAGGGAGCGAGAGCGTCAGAGTACCAGCGTGCGCATGCGCGCGACGAGAGGAAGGAGGCAGAGCGTGTACAAACACCGAGTCATCTGCTGACATCGACGAAGAGTCTACAGGCTCGGCTTTTTCTGAGTCCTGACGACGATTTGTGGGATCGGATTGATCGCCTCCGATCGAAGGTTCAGTCTCCAATTCGATGGGCTCCGCACTGTCCGTCATCGGTAGCTCAACACAGCTTTGAGGGCTGCGTGGTGTCGTAGCAGGCGTGTCTTCCTCGCCCGAGCTGCCGGTGCCTTTGCTCAAGTTCCACTTTGGACTGAATGTGCTGGTAAAACCTTCGAGCGAATCTTGATCACCTCCGCTGAGCATGATCTTGTGAAAGTCATTTTCTTCCTCGTCCTCGCCGTCCGTTTCCTCACTAGAGATGTTCAAGCGTCGCGCTGTCTCCTCCGCGAATGCCAGACGTTTGAGCGGCAGGCTGGCAGTGCGCCTCGCAGTGTTATGTGTTGCCCCATTTCCCGTGGCCACATCCACAGCAGCGGCACCAGTGGTGGCGGCACGAGCGTGGATCGATGGACGGGATGGCCACGCTGAACTTTGAGCGTTGTGCGCCAGCAAAGAAGGAGGGCTAAACGCAGCCGAATTAACTCGCAAGTGTTTGGCATGGTGCCAAGGTTTCGGGCGAATTCGCACCTGGTCACCACCAGCTGTGTCAGAGTCTTCGGCTTCCTCATCTGGCTCGGCGAGCAGAGCAGCGCGAGTCGCTATCCCGCCACCATCCGAGTCGTAATCCATCGACGTGCTGTCCAGCACAGATGCAGCTGCGCTGGTTCGCAGTATGCTCGACGAAGACGCCGACTTTTGCAGTTTTCGCTTCTCGGGCGATACACTGCGCAGTGTATCTGGCAAGCTGGCCTCGGGTGAAGCGGAAGCCTTGAGCTCGGAGCTACCGCGATTGTTGCTAAGGCGCACCTTGATGCGCGGCACTACGGGCCGAGAGATGCTTGTCGGAGTCGGAGCCTGCGCGGGGGCGATACTGGGCTGCTGTGTCTGGAGGGGTGGCGAAGTGATGGTGGAAGGTGGTCGAGACATGCTGCTCGGTCTGTTAAGTCGGGGAACGATGACTGCGTCAGTCGCCTATCACGAGGAGTGCCACGTTAGGCTTGCATGCCGCACAATAATGCCACTCACTTTCTCTTCCGTTTGCCTGGACCCAAGTCTTCAGCGGGAGAATGTATCGAGCCTGTGGCGTCACTGCTCTCGATCCTGACCATTTTCTCAGAGCTTCCTTCAGCGTTGGCCGGAGCCTGTGGGGTACCGAGGCGCGTGGACTTCTTGCTCGGCGTACTTTGTGGTACAGAGCCAGTAGCTGGAGTCGCAGAAGCCTTTTCAGACGCTTTCTTCGAGCTACCAGAGACGCGCAGCGCGCTTGGTTCAGGGGAAAGCAAGCGACTGGGAATCTTGCGTGTCCTCGTAGTAGTGCGGCGCGGTGGAAGTGACGCTTGCTGTGCATTCATGGGCGCCACTGCTCCTCCCTGATTGACAGTGCTGACTGCCATCGATTCGGGACTCTCGGTAGCCTTGAGGTCGCTATCCTGAGCCGAGGGTGTAGTGGACAAGGACGATTGTGGGCCTGAGGGTCGAACATTGTCGGAACTGGTGATGCTGCTTGGGTGAGCGCCACCACTGGTGTTGGCGATCCGACGAGCGTGAGCAGCAGCGCGAGTGAAGGCGTGCTCGGCGGTCATATTGCCTGCGATTGGCAGCACATCGAAGGCGACGTCGCAGCTGCTTCTTGGCCCTTCAGCGTCGGAGAGCTGTGCAGTGCTCTATGATATGCAGAACACCGAGCTCGGCGCAGATCGAAGAGTGTCGACTGAAGAATAAACAGAGATCGGCCGGCTGTGGCGCGAGGCGATGCCTCTGGACGCGCACCAGTAGGCACCGTGAGCCCACAGTGCGTGATTATGTGTTGTCGTGCAAGACAGCCGCAGATGGCGCAGCCACTTCTGTGCCACCCGAGAATCCGGGCAAGGAAGAGAGGTCGAGAGAAGGGCGTGGAGCTTACTGATCCGATGTAGACGACGTACGCGCAAGGCGAGCTCAAAGTGAGGGGTGAAGGGGCAGAGCGTGGGGATGCTCAGGATCTGAACAGTGCTACGTGTCCTTGTTCGTCTCTGTCGCACTCTGTTGTGAGTGCGAGGGCCGTCGATGTTCACTGCGCGATCGCCAGCAATCGCTCGCGCCTTATGGAGCGGTGAAGTGCAACCAAGAGATGTCCGCGCGCGCGGCCGTGGCACGAAGGAAGGGGTCGAGCGACACACCTCGCAGATACGTGCACATGCAGCAGAAGCATGAGGAGCAGGAGCAGCACAGAAGCTCAGCACGCAGCACGCAGCAGAGAATCACAAATCGTGAATGCAGCCACGTCTGTTCTTGTTCGTCGCGTTGCGGCGCGATGCTCATGCATGGGCCCCAGCTGGCCGCCGCCTTTGGTGCACACTCTTGTATGCTGACCGACCTAGACTGATGCAGGGCCAATTCACACAAGACTCAGACTGATGCAGTCTGAGTCAAGAGTCGCCAGCAGTAATTTAACAATACGACGTCTGTCTTTGATTATCTCAGTAGAGGTGCATTCAGATTGCATGGCTCCGCTTACTGTATGCGTATATATATGCATGCGGGCCGCGAGGCAGGCAGCTCTATAGCTGGGCCGGCCACGAACGGCAGAAGACGTGGACACATTATTTATTGATTTCATCAGCACAGCTCGGCCTGCTCGTGACTCGACTAGCTGCTCTCCCTCACTAGCACTTGCGCTTCCGCCGTCGCGAGGGTTCATCCGACTATGCCATACTCAGACTGTTACTCTATGCAAATGGAGAAAATCGCATGAAACGCAAGAACCGGTCTGTGGAAGCAGCAAGCAATGCTGGATGCGTATATAGCGGCCGGCAATGCTAGATGTGCCAAGCCGTGCAGTCATTCTTGCTTGAGTGAGGCCGCAAATGAGAACGAAGCAGGCGCCACTCAAGGCGCAGCCGCTGCTGAGGACATCACAGGGCAAGCTTATATATCCAAGCGTGGCTCGACAGGTAAAAGAGCCATGCGCAACTCTCGTACGCGTGCTGCATGTCCATGCATCAGTCGCCTTCCTCGCCGCGGCAGATCGTGGGTGCTGGTCTCGCGCGCGGCAACGTTGCGGCCTCCTTGCGCGGTACAAGCATGCGCGCCACGATTGCATCCAGCAGCATCAGCGCATGCAGCAGCTTATATTTAGGGGAGGCAGAGCAGCCGTCCGCATGCGAGCGAAATGCTGAGTAGAAATCCCACGTGGCTGATCTCTCGCGCCTCTTGTCCCTCTGCAGCAGCTCCGAATCACGCCTCGCCTCCTAAACTCGTGCGCGTTGGCAGCGCCACGAGATCCTCTACTCCTAACCACGATTCCACTTCCACCTCAAGTCGCTTTGAATCCGCAGCAAACGTTCGATCACCAAATCGAAGATCATCTTGTTCGGCCCTTGCGCAGTAGCAGTCACTTGATCTCAATTGCAGTGCGCGCTGTGTGAGACTCACGTGGCGCCTGCCGGTTTATGCTCGATCATACGCACGACCCCTGAAAGCAAGAAGCAACGTTGAATTCTGACAAAGCCCGGCTCGGCTTCGCTTGGTGAAATAGCATTGGCTAGCGTTGACACGCATCGCACACAAAGGAGACCTGCTACATCGACAGAAAGAAGGTGGCGCACATATCCGTTGTCACCAGCAGCAACACCTAAGTCGCCTCTCCCCCTGACGCGCCGATCTGGGTGTTTCATTGGTCAGCTCCAGAGAGTGTGCCTGTGTTGCAGCGCATTTCGGGCCACGAGTGCACAGGTTGACCATTGAGCATACACGCTTCTCAGGCAACCAGCCTCGTCGCGATTGATTGACCAAAGTGTCGGATCTCGGTGAAGTCTCGATCGTTCTGAAGGAAAGCCCACGTGACGAATATCTTGATTGACGATCTCTTGAGGAGCACGAAAAAGATGCGCAGGCACCATCCATACGCTGGTTATGATGCATCATCGCAACGCGGCGGTGCTGCGTCTGGCGGCTACGGCAGAGGTGTCGGTGGAAGAAGCGGCAGCGTGACTGGACCGCCTCCAGGTGCTCGGCTTGACAGTGGAGGCCCAGGGCCGAACCGCGATTATCCCGCTTGGCAACCACCTCCCCACACCAACAACCAATCCTCGCATGTAGCTGGGCATGGTGGCTATCGGCCTCCTCCGCAGCCGTATCAGCAGACGGGCTATGGCGCTTCAGGCGGCCTTTCGCCCAACTCAGGACCTCCAGGTCAGCCGCCTCCGCCAAGTCGTGGCATGCCTGGCGCGCCCCCACCTCTGATGGGTGGTCTGCCTCCTTCAATGCCACCGGGCTATGGCAACGGGGTCCAAGGTGTGGCGCCGCATGCACCACCGCCTCTAAGCGCTTCTTCTGCGACGTCGTATGGCGGCTCTTCCGGATCTGGATCATATCAAGGTGCGCTTCGTTTTGTCATGATTCTGCGCGCGTAGCTGGGTTGAGCTGTCATGGATGTGATGAAGAGGAGGATGGAGCATGCGCAAGATGCGGCTGCTGCTTGACGCGTTCGCGACCCCCTGTCCTTTTCGGCTCGAAAAGGGTCAGCCGTCGCTGGTCGATTGGATTTCCGTGGCGAGCCACGGCACACAGAGTCCTCGGGCCCGAGTGTCGACCATTCACGGTGGCACTCTACTCTGCCCGGTAGAGGCGCATATGCGCGATTGATGTGCAGCTGAGAGCGAAAGATCCGCTGACTGGCGACGATCACTTCGCGTCCCAATGTGCTTCTTGAACACAGCTTCGTCCGCACGTCCTCCACCTCTCGGTCATCCGTCGGCTGTGTCGTATGGCAGCGACGCGAGCTCCGGATGGAACCAAAGACCACCTTCAGCTCCGATCGCTGCCGATACTCCCGGCGGAAGGATGTATTCCGCTGCGCAATTCATTCCAAACGCTTCTGCGGCACAGCAAGCTCGGGGCCAAGATCCGGAGCGACCCGGTCGTAATCTGTTCATTCGTAGCATCGATTACGACACGGATCCAGATTATCTACGGACGCGTTTCGCAGAGTATGGAGAACTTAAAGCTTGCTACGCACCCTCACATAAACGCGGCATCTTGTTCGTCACGTATGTGAGTAGTCGTTTCGATTTTCACAGATTGAGCGTTGCGAAGACTGAACAGCAATGTGTCTGGTCGCGACCCGACGTGCCTTCCCACAGTACGATAGTCGCCAAGCCACTGCTGCCATGAACGGCTTGCAAGGTCTGCAGCTGAACGGGAGACCAGTGAGTGCCGCGGTGGCGGCCAAGCAGAAAGATGCAGGGACTCATACGTACTGACATGCGTTTCGCCTCAGATCTCTATTCACTACTGCCTACCCAAGGAGGCTGAGCGAGTGGCCGCTTGCGACCGAGACAAGAACCAAGTAAGTTACAAGGTCGGCCAGCGATAAATGTTCTTGCCTCTCAATCATTTCAACTGGACCTCGCAGGGAACTTTGCTGCTGCTCCTTCAGAATCCTCAACAGTCGATTCAAGATGCCGCTGTTGCAGCCACTTTTGGAGAGTTCGGTGACATCAAACGTCTCCTCCGCATCCACAAGCTTCCAGAGTGAGTCTCAGTCGGAGTTGCTTCGCGATTGATCGGCTCGAATGCTCGTCGTTGACAGCCCTTTCGTGTTCTGCAGTGGGCGTCCGCCAGATGCATTCCTGCAGGCCAATGCGAGATACTTGGAATTTTTCGACAGCCGTGCCGCACAACTTGCCTATGATCGCATGCAAAATCAACTCTGGCAAGGCGGGCAATGGGACTTGTCATTCGTATGGGACTGGCATCTGCCGCAAGACGATGCACCGAGTGAGTAGCAACGTTCCCGCAGCTTGGCACGAGGTAAACGATGACGCGGACTGAAGCCGCCTCGCCCGATCTTGCAGGCCTTCCGCCGCCTAGTCAAGGACCTCTGGCGCCAGCCGGCTACAATAACCAGTACGGACAGAGCGCACCCTCTCAAGCCAACCGATCTGCAGGAAGCGGGGTGTCCCCAGGCGGTCCTCAAAGTCACGGACCTCCCGCAAGTGGTGGCCTCTCAGCAAATCAGGTCGAGACGCCAATGAGAAGGTGGGGCGCAGGCGGCAACGCCGGCTCGTCGAATGACGCTGGACCGGCGCAGGCCCCACATCCAGGTCCCGGTAGCTATGCTGCTCCAAGCGCCTCGGGAGGTCAAGGAGGCTGGGCGGCTAGACCTCCAGCACCTAACAACCAGTCCTACGCGGCGACTGGAAACGCCTCACCTTATGGCACAGCTCCGCCCAGCGGACAGAGCAATGATCCAGGCGTGAGCAATGCACACATTCGCGCGCGTTTGGGGGCGCCTTTAATTGACATTGGGCCTCTTTCTCTTCCAACATCACGCAGCGCTTGGACCAAGCTCAAAAAGTTCAACAGGTGAGTCATGCTGAGCTATGTGGCGTGAGAGAAACACGCCCGATTGACACTCCCCGCACTTGTCTCGCCGCGCTACAGCTACTTGCGTCGCTCAAAGGTGCAGGAAATTCGACTCCACCGCAGCATAGCCACTCCCCGCAGCCCGGTGCAGGTCAAGCTCAACAAGCGCCCAGCGCCACCGCTGCCAAGCCAGCAGCTTCCCCCGCACCCACGCCTGGCCTCCCAGCTGGCCTGGCTGCTCTTCTCAAGCAGGCCGGTGGAGGCTTGCAGCAAAACCCGCCCGCTCAGCCTGCTCAGCCTGCCCAAGGGCAAACAAACAGCGCACAATCGATGCAACAACTGCTCGCCATGTTGAAGCCGGCAGGCGGCCAAAGATGATGTTTGCAGCGGCAAGAGGCACAATAGACCTTTTTGACGCCCGCATCGCAGGTTCTCCAATTTCTGGACGCACTTGACACAGCGCACTGCCACTTTGTGCGCCGCCCATCTTCACGTAGGCATCGACATTTCAATACTATACTTTCGAGGACTCCCAACTGCGCAAGCGCGCAGCTGCGAGTTTTGCGGCTTGTATTGTCTGTCCGGCGCGAATCGCAATCCTTGCGCGCTTTCGTCCAATTCCTCCTTGAGCCATGCGATCCCTTCCCTCACTGTTACACTCCCGCAGACGTGTCCCCTCGCCTTGTTTAGGTTTTGACTCGTCTCCAATTGAACACGTGCTCTCAGAAGGAAAAGACTTGCTGCTCGACGAGCAAAGAGCGAAAGGAAAGGAGGAAGCTTTGAGAGCGGTGTCACGTACGCGGTCAGGCGAGATTCTGCACTCACGTCTGGCAGCTTAGACACAGGCTTAGGCGGGTCGTACTTGAGCTCCTCCAGGTGCTTCTTCATAGCATTTATCATAGGAGGAGGGCCTGAAAGCACGGCACAATCAGACAAATCAGCGTCGTTTCCATCGAGACTTGCGTCCGCATGACAACTCACCACAAAGCAAAATCTTGATGTCTTCGGCGGGCGTGGGGAAATTATCGTTGATAGCTTCCTTGGTGACGAAGCCCTCGCCCCCCTTCCAGCCCTCAGGAGGGTTGTTCAAGAAGTAGTGGACTCTAAATTGCTTGTTCTTGGCCGCCAGGTCGTCCAGCTCCTTGCGACACAAGATATCAGCCTCGCTGACGTTGGCGTAGATGAGGTCCACCTCGGTCTTGTCCTGGGGATCCTTGGCGATGGCGCGGATGATTTGAAGCATTGGCGTGATGCCTGTGCCACCCGCCAGCATTCCCAGGTGACGCACAAGCCCGTTCGAGTAGCGCATCTGACCCTTGGGCCCTCGCACCTCCAGACCATCCCCGATCTTGAGAGTGGAGACGTGCTTGCTGATGTTGCCCTTGTCGTACGTCTGATCGAGCGAGGACAAGAGGCGATGAGCATTGAGGGATGACACATGTAATGTCCCCGCCCATGCTGCATCTCGTAAGCAGCCACTCACCTTGATAAGAAGGTCGAAGAAGCCGCGGTCATCGTCGGAGGAGACAGGGGTGTAGGACCTCATGACATTCTTGCCATTGATGTTGGCCTGAACGCTGACATGCTGACCAATGGGCAGTCCAAGGATGGAGTTGTCGGAGGGAAGGCGGAAGCGGTAGCTGTAGCGGGTAACCAGACGGAGCAGTCAGAATTCGAAGCTCGGCGCATTCAAACGCGCATGACGCTGCAGATGCCAAGGTTCCGCACCTCGCTGCTGCTATTGGGTACTCACAGAGCAGTGTTCTCGGACAGCTGCCGCTTCTCAGTGAGCTTGAACGTCTGCCACTCGGTGGGGTTCAGGACAGGTTTCGCCTCTATCACAATGTGCGCATTCATAAGCGAGTCGGATGGGCAATGTGAGCCGCAATGCCTTGAAGAATGAGGGACAGCCTACTCACTGCCAGAGTTGATAAAGACCAGGAAGCCGACCGAGGCGACGAGGCCGACGGCAAAAGCGATGATTGCGTTGGGATCCATAATGTTCGTAGCTTCTGCCAGCGCAACGAGAGGAGGGTAAGAGGTGAAGCTGGCCAGGAGGTGGACGGCTGCAAGAAGAGTCAAAAAGGTCAATGCCAGTGAAGAGTAAAGCAGCAAGAGCTCCTCGTTCATCCAGAGCGCTTCAGCTCAAGGGCGTGCTTTGGCCAAGGGTGACAAGGAAGATGAGGTAATGGTGGGCAAGAAAGTGGGACTGCAAAGGGATCGCATCGCGACTCTGACTGCTCCAAAGCAACTATCTCCATTGCGATCACCGCACGCGTCACGCGCTGTGCCAGAGAAGCTTTCGCGCTCCGCTTTTTCTGGCTGGCGTGTGCCTGCTATGCTTGTCCGCTGCTGCTGACGCTGGATGTCAGATGCAGCAGCAGCAGGTGAGCTGCGCTGATGTTGGCGTGATGGCAGCTGCTGACGCCGCGGGCGGTTTGACCTTGAAACGAATTGAAGCGATCGCGCCGCACCGCACCGCACCGCGCATCAGGCGCGCGGAAATGCACGCTGTGATGCGCTAAGCCGGGGGGGCGGACGACGCGCACGGGCGAGAAATAAGCGTGATGGGGATCGAGTCGCGACTCGATCACTCATCAGCACACTCGTGACTCGCACTCGCACTCGCACTCGCACTCGCACTCGCACTCGCGACTCTTGACTGCAGTCTGAGTGTTGATTGACGACGAGCTTCGGCAGCACGCGCTGATACAAGGGTCGCTGGGCGAGTCGCGATCGAGTCGTGGAGTCAAGAGTTGATGAGTGTGCTGCCATTCACGATTGTCACGATCAAAGACGGAGGAGATGAAGCCTCGGCAGCGCTGCAATTAAGCTGCATGGCTGGCTGCGCGCTCAGAACTCAGCGTACGCACATGCGCAGCTGTATAATAGGTGCGGTGCGCCTGCTGCAGACAACATCATCATCTTTCGGCGGCGCACACGCAGGGACGCGCGAATCACGCACGAGTGCAGTCTGAGTCACGAGTCACGATCGAGTACAGTACCACCAAAACGCGGGGTTGCCTTAGAAGACTGATTAGAAGACTGATGAGTTGGCGCTGATCGATGTGCATGCTGAAAAGTATACTGCGCGCACTCATGACTCCACGTACCCCCACCGCACAAGGGCAGCTGCGCTCGATCGCCCTGCAAGCTCGATCTTCGCTTGCAGAAGACGAAAGAATCAAGAATGCCCATCTGCTACCACTCACGACTGTGATTGTGACTGTATCTGCTCATTTGCCCCGGCTTGCTGCCATGCACTTGGCCCCGGGTTTGAAGCACTGGCCATCACACACAACGCCGCCTGCAGGAGGGTGCGCCCGTGAGCAAGATCTGATCAACGTCATTTCGATCTCGACAGCCGTCAGTGAGTCGCGAGGGGAGGGGAGGGGACAAGCGCAAGACCCGTCAATCGCGAACATGACCTTCTCACTCTGACACCATGATCACACAGCGTTGGGCATTCATGCCTTTGCGACCGCCACAAGGTGCTCGCCGAGAGGCAATCGGCATGGAGGCGGCCAGACACTTCACACTCAATGAACTGTGGCCTCACAACGCACCACGCGTGCTATGTCCGCGCGACGTGCCCTTTGCATGGTTGATCAGACCGCTTCTGCAGGTATCTCGGAATACGGGCATGCTCTCAATGCTAGCGAAGACAGTTCCCCGTTTGAGACTCGCAGTGCCTACAAGTGTGGTGAGACGTGACAGCAGACGTCTTTGGGGCGGACAGAGTGCCGGAATGGCTCGAAAAGCCGACTTTGAGATTCGCGCGGACAGGTCGCAATCAGAATGGCTATGTACGGTAGAGGTGTGACAAGGAGGAGGCCACAGAATGTGGATGGTTCTTTCAGAACTTTTGCAAGAGCGCCACGCCCAAAGTCAGCAGCACGACCTCGAGCTGCTTGCGCTCAGCAAGGAGCTGATCGAGCGACAGCAGAGGCTCATCCTCCGAGTCTGGAGGAGCATAGATCCGCGGAATGCGCACAAATCGACTGAGGCGGGCGTGTAGCAGCAAGCGGTGTGAGGATCAGGTTGGATGAAGGCTCAGCTCGGCGCCTTTTGGCTATCAAGCGGTACTCAAGATGACTCACTGGTTCGGATTGTGTTCGCTAGCGGCTTGTCGCAAATGCGCCTCGCACACGTCGAAGGTGTCGTCCACAGCCAGATTGGCGTCCGAGCACTGCTTGCCGGTCCGAGCTAAAGCAACGGTCAGCGCTGCTCTAGTGGCGTGGTGCAAAGGGAGGTTCGAGCATTGGCGAGTACAACTCACACTCTGACATCGAAAGACGAATCCAAAGATGGGATTCAATGGACAACCGTCCACATCGCAATACAAGCCATCTTGCGGCATCCTCGACCAAGCAAAAGCCGTCAACTCTAGCTTGGCGGTGGTGCGGCGCGATGGCAGCGCGTCTTGGCCAGCAGCATCTGCACCGTGCAGCACGGCAATCAAGGCTTGATCTTGCTTCCGAATCAATTCGTGCCTTGCCGGCAGCGAGACCCATTCGAGATCTCGACCTTCGTGGCTGTGTATTTGAAATCGTGTTCAGGGAGAGCGATCGTGTGAGGATAGAGCCAAACGGATGGAGGACCTGCCGACACGCGGCGCTCACTCGTTGAACGTCACTGCAGACTGTGCTTGCTTGGTTCTGATGACTACTCCAGTCTTCTCCCCGTTGGAGGCCTTGACTTCTAGCTTGCTGCCTAGCAGCGATTTACTAGCAATGAGACTCGCATCGTATGGCAAGTCAGGATTCTCGTTGGCAGTAGAAAGCATGAAGCTTCTGCCGCCTTTGTTGTCCCGAGGTTCACATCGATACAGCGGGTCCATGGTCCGGCCGCAGCCGCACCTACTCAAGTCACCTTGGGCCGGACACGAGCAAGGCACGCTACGAGGTGGAGGAGGTGGCACCTGAAATTCAATCAAGTCTCGGTGCATGTGAACTTCGTAAGTGGGCACTTTGTGCCAGTTCGGTGCAGAGTATTGAGCTTTGCCATTCGGCTGATTTGCGGACCACGCCGCGCGAAAGTCAAAGGGCTCGTAGTTCGGCGCAGCAAATCCAGGTGGTGGTCCGGGAGGAGGTGCAAAAGTCGTTGCTGGTGCTGCTGCGTCTCTCACTGATGGGACCGGAAATTGCTGATTTGATGGTGAGATGCTCGAAGTCGACGCTCCTGTCGGCGTGGCTCCGTAAAGCGGTGGAGGCGACGCTTCGCGTTGTTTCTCGTTCGATGCCGCCTCATTGGCCTTATCTTCGGCTGCAATCTTCTCGTCAACCCAGTCCGGCATGATCGATTCTGAGGTCAGTCGAAGGCAGATGATTATTTGGGCTTGCAAAATGTCGAAGGTGTAGCTCGTAGTCGATTCGAGAAAGCTACGTGGGTTGCGCTGTTGCGCTCTTCACGACATCTGATGAGTCGGTCGAGGGTCGTAGTGGATGTGGCTGTGGCTGTGCACGCATGATGTCGCGTGCAGGCGTTGCTCGTCATATATGTTCACGTGACACTTGACCAGTGAGGCAATAATACGATTTGGATCCTAATCAAGAATCAAGACTCAAGTTAATAATAACAACAACAATCAAGGATATGACAGGACTCAAGGCTAGCCAACAAGTAAAGTCACGAGTCACGATTGAAATTGACGTTCAAATCTTGACGAGCTCTTGGTACCCGAAAAGCACAAATGGTCAATCACATCTGGGACATCAGATGAAGCACAGCGCAGCGAGCTTTGCGACGCAATCTTGAATCACACATGTAATCATTATTTGAATGTGAATGAACAGTTTTGAATCACTGATCTTGTCCTGAACAAGCAATCTTGAATCATGCAAGTCAAGACCTTCATCCTTGATTCTTGATTCGAGACTACTCTCAAACTCAAAACTCTCAAACCGAAGAATTGACCATGCCTCGATTGCCTCATCGCATCTGTGTGGCTACCAGCTTGCTAGACTCGAGACAGTAGATCCTGGTCACGACGGCGCATTCATTGGATTCATCAACGAGAGTCTCGAAGCGCAACAGCAGCGCATGTATCCTCTCGGCGCGAGTCTGATCTCATCAGGACGGCTTTGACGATGACGATCGATCCCCGTGGTCATGGGTCAGACCCTTCCGTCTGGCGGATGAAGAGCTCCATGTACGCTCCGAACGTAGAAGAGATCAATGCGCTGTCCGCTTCGATTGAGCAGCTGCCAGAGGGTAGCCGATGTGCCCACCATGGCAAGAAGGATATCGAGGAGCTAGAAGCGGAGCTCGATGAGGAAGAGCGGCTTGAGCCGCGCATCGGCGTCAAGTCTCTGTGGGATCAGCTTCTCGAGGCTGCTTGCTCGCTGGATGGAGATGACCTGTCCATGCTCGGAGCCGGCGCTAACAGAGGGCCGGAGAGCTACGACGACGGGCTAGGGTCTGGTGCTGCTATGAGCGAAGTGCAGGCGTTGGACGAGTGAGTCAGGCAAAACATAAAAGCGTGCGTGTGCTGCGCATCGCTCGTGCATCCTGACCATCTCACGGCCACGCCTTGCTATCAGACACCTCGAGATGAATGTCAGGGATAGCGCGGTTGCAGCGGCGATGCGCTCGACGGTTCTGGATGCTCTGTCCAGCAAAAGATCATCTGACGAGGTCAGCGCTGAGCTGGCCGAAGCTTTAGGCTGGGATGCCCTTGGCTTGGTCGAGCAGCTCGTGAGCAAAAGGTCCGAGATTCAAAAGTCTTTGCTTGCACCCAAATACGCACAGGTAAGTGCAAACGCTGGGGAACTGTTCGCTGCCAGTCGAGGCATGGCTAGCCAACCGTATATCATTCGACTCCTTGCCGTAGCGATCTCAAGCATTGGATCCTATCAAGACAGCACCAAGCTTTGCAGCAACACATACCGGGCTGCGGCTACAGAGACAATCCGAACGTCGCGCGCAGCCCTACGTGCCCGGCTCACAGATCAAATTCCAGAGCTCAGACGAGCTCGCAAATATTAAGAGGGCCAAAGCTGAAGCAAGAAAGCTCGCTCGGACTCGTGCAGACCTGGAGGCGAGTCCAGGTTCAGCAGGACAGCTGAGTCTCGAGGAAATGGAGCGAATCAGAGAAGAGCAGCTCGCAGCGGCTGCCAACAGGCCTCTGTTCACGGGCTCGTCCACTTCCTCCTCGGAGCCACAGTATCCACACGTCTTCTCATCGGGTGCAAAAGGTAATATACTCAGTACAATGGGTCAGAAGTTCGCCTTGCCAGCCGGCACGACGCGGACGCCATTCGATGGGTGGGAGGAGGTGATGATCCCACCGCCAAAGCAGCTGCCTTTTCGTGACACTGAGAGGCTAATCTCGATTTCTGAGCTACCAAGCATCTTCCATCAAGCGTTTCCTGGCTACAAGAGCTTGAACAGGCTCCAGTCGGCGGTCTATCCCCTCGGGTTTGGCACAAACGAGAACCTACTCGTCTGCGCACCTACCGGTGCAGGAAAGACCGACGTTGCTATGCTGACAGTCTTGCGAACCATCAGCCAATATGCCGACGAGACGAAAGCGCGTGGCAACCTGCACCAGCAAATCCGCAAGGATGACTTCAAAATAATCTACGTGGCGCCAATGAAGGCGCTCGCGTCGGAAATCGTGCGGAAATTCTCCAAAAGATTAGCATATCTCGGCGTCAAGGTGCGGGAGCTTACAGGTGACATGCAGCTCACGAGGCAAGAGATCGCAGAGACGCAAATGATCGTCACGACTCCAGAGAAGTGGGACGTAGTAACACGAAAGCCATTAGGAGAAGGAGAGCTCGCATCGAAAGTCAAGCTACTGATCATCGACGAAGTGCACCTGCTGCACGAAGAGAGAGGAGCAGTCATCGAGACAATAGTGGCAAGGACATTGCGACTGGTAGAGTCATCCCAGAGCCTTATCCGGATCGTGGGTCTCTCTGCAACCTTGCCTAATTACGTCGACGTGGCCGATTTTTTGCACGTCAATCGAATGCAGGGCCTGTTTTACTTCGACTCATCTTTCCGACCGGTGCCTCTTAAACAGCACTTTCTTGGTATCAAGGGCAAAGCTGGAAGCCCTACTTCTCGTGCAAACCTCGACAAGGCTGTGTTTAAAAAGGTGTCGGATCTTTTGGGTGAAGGACACCAGGTCATGATATTTGTTCATGCCAGAAAGGAGACCGTCAAGACCGGCATGGCGCTACGAGAAGCTTTTCGGGCCGAAGGCTTAGAGCAGCTGCTGCAGGAGGGCAAGGAGAACGCCAGCACTGGCACGGCTACGGCTTTGATGAAGAAAGATGTATCAATGAGTCGCAACAAGGAGCTTCGCGAGCTCTTCGAGAGCGGCATCGGCATCCATCATGCGGGGATGCTGCGTCCCGATCGCAACCTGAGCGAGAGACTGTTCGAGAATGGACTGACCCGTATCTTGTGCTGCACCTCAACTCTTGCTTGGGGCGTAAATTTGCCAGCTTACGCCGTGCTGATCAAAGGCACGGAGGTGTACGACTCGAGCGTTGGTCGCTTTGTCGACCTCTCGATCCTTGACGTGCTGCAGATCTTTGGACGTGCAGGTCGACCGCAGTACGAAGACTTGGGTGTAGGTTTCATTTGCACCAACGAGGACAAGCTTGCGCACTACATCGACGCAATCACTTCTCAGCACCCCATTGAATCTAAATTCATCACCGGGCTCGTCGACTCACTAAACGCTGAAGTAGCTCTGGGGACGGTCACAAGTCTTGACGATGGACAGACGTGGCTTTCATACACGTACATGTTCACAAGGATGAGGCGCAATCCTTTAGGTTATGGCATGGGTCACTCGGAGGTCGCGGATGATCCGCAGCTCGGCGCTAAACGTCTGCAACTCATCCAGTCTGCGGCTCGTCGCCTGTCTGCTTGTCGCATGTGCGAGCTAGACGAGACCGCGGGCCACTTGGCAATCACAGACTTGGGCCGCATCGCGGCGAAGTATTATATACCCAATGGCACCATCGAGATCTTCAACGAGAAGCTCAAACCTCGCATGACAGAAGCCGACGTTCTATCAGTGCTCAGTCTTGCTACAGACTTTGCCCAGATTATACCGCGCGACAGCGAAGAAAAGGAGCTCAAGAAGATGCAGGAAAACGCGCCGTGCGAAGTCCCCGGCGGCTACGGCCATTCTCCTGGCAAAGTCAATGTGCTGCTTCAAGCTTACATCTCCAAGGTATTTGTCGAAGACTTTGCCCTGGTCTCGGACTCGATGTACGTGGCCCAGAATGCCGGCCGTATCATTCGGGCATTGATGGAAATAGCTCTAAGCAAGAAATGGGCCATGACGACCACCTCACTAATCGCGATGAGCAAGGCGGTAGAGCGTCGCATGTGGCCATTCGAGCATCCATTGGCTTTGGAGCAGAGCAAGCTAACGCCAGAGACGGTGTACAATATTACTAGATGGGCCGACGAGGTAGATGTCGGCACATTTGCGAAAATGTCGGCAGCCGAAGTAGGTGATTTGATCCATATGAATGAGCGCCAAGGCGGATTTGTCCGGCAAGCGGCGCGCCACTTCCCAACACTCACTGCAAAAGCAGACCTACGTCCCCTCACTTACGACCTTTTGCGCATATCTCTGGAGATGGAAGTGGACTTCGAATGGAGCGAGCGGTTGCATGGCGGTATGGAGCCATTCATCGTATGGGCTGAAGACGAAAGTGCAACTGAAATTCTCCAATGGCAGCGCATCAGCTTGCGTCCTCAGACGACGATGGTGAAGATCTCTTTCGTCATTACTTTGTCTGAGAATATCCCACGCGGTGTCAACATTCGATGGATCTCGGATCGGTGGCTCGGTGCAGAAGGCGAGTTGTGGCAGTCCTACGACGATTTGCACATGCCAGCCAGGCCGCCTTCCTCCACCACGCTTCTCGAGCTTCCACTTCTGTCTGTTCGTGATGCGCTCCACAGCCAGGTGGTCGAATCGGTCTATTCTTATAGCTTCAAAGCCTTCAACGCAATCGAGACGCAGGTGTTCCACTCCGCGATGCACACCCGTTCGGACTTGCTGCTCTCTGCGCCGAGCGCATCGGGAAAGTCAACACTCTGCGAGATGGCGGTTTGGAGGGCCTTGAGAAAAAATAGACTTGGGACTGTTCTCGTGGTATTACCCTTGCGCAGTCTTGCACACGTGCAGGCTGAGAGCTTTCGCCGACGATTCAAAGACCTTGCAGGTGTCACGGTCCGTGTGGCGCGGAAGCCTGCAGACTTTGCAGAGAGCTCGCCACCCACGCCGACGGTTCTGTTTGCTGAGCCATCACTGTTGCTGCGAGCGATGCGCTCCAGATCGGCCGAACACATCGACGTGAGGGCTCATGTCCAGCTTATTGTGCTCGAGGATCTGCACATGCTGGATGCGACCTACGAGACCTGCATCACGCACCTCCGCCGCACAATTTCACGAGACCAGACACGCATTGTTGCTACAACTTCAAGCTTGGCAGACGTGTCGAGCTTGCAAGAGTGGCTCAAAGTGAAACCCGCCTCTACGTTTGATTTCCATCCATCACATCGACCTTCACCGCTGCGTCTCGACATTGAAGGATTCGACCTGCCGCACTCTCTGCATCTTCTCAAAGTCATGTCAAAGCCAGCATATGATCGGATCAAGTCAGCAATCCACCGCGGGTCATGCGTCGTTTTCGTGCCCTCTCGATCGCAGTGCTCAGCGACCGCCACTGAGCTTTCCACTCGCTCTGCGACGGATATAGAAGCGGAATCGTTTCTTACAGTTCCGGAGACCGACCTGGAGCCGCTGTGCGACGTTCTAAGCGACAAGGGTCTAATCGACCCTCTACTCCATGGCGTCGGCATCTGGCACGAAGGCTTGACCGCACGGGATCAGGCAGTCATGCTGGATCTCTTCGATCAGGGCGCCATCAGAGTACTCGTAGTGCCGCGCGAAGCGTGCTGGACACTGACATTGCGAGCCGCGCTGGTCATTATCATGAGCACGCAGTACGTGCGACTGGTCGATATGTCAGCGTTGACTGGCGCAGAGAAGGCTAGGGCCACGGATCGTCAAGTTGTAGATTATAGTCTGATTGAGCTTACCAGGATGAGCAGCTTAGCTGTGCAGCCTGGATCTTCGAGCCCGCTGGGAGAATGCACGATTCTGACTCAGGCGGATCAAGTCGATTACTTGCGTCGTATGCTGTCCTTCGGCCTACCTCTGGAATCGAGTATTCTCGACAACCCTGCACACCTGCAGTCTATTCTCTTTGAGGAGCTGTGCAGCGGCAGAGCAACGACCAAAGGCGCCGCGCTCGACTTCCTCTCTTGGACGTACCTCTTCGTACGAGCGTCAATCAACCCATCCTACTACGGCGTACGCTCGGAATCGTCTTCAGATGTTGGTGCAAGACTCTCTGAGATTATTGACCAAATCTACGAGCAATTCGTTCAAGCAGGCATCGCCGAGTGGAAGATCGTGCCGCCTTTCGAAGAGATATCGCTGAATTTGACGAAGCTAGGCTTGCGGCTGTCGAAGGCTTCTGCCTCAGATCTGTCTTCTCTCTTGACAATGCACGAAGCCAGTCGCCACGATCCTCACGTGGCTGCGCGCGTGATCGCATTGCTGATGGAAAGGAAGATCTCTTCGCCCGACTCCGCTGCTCGACCCACGTTGGTCGCGCACGCCGAATCCATCAGAGCATCTATACCGGCAGCGTGGCTGACTGCAGCCCACATCGCTCGACCCGACAAAAAAGCCAAGACATCAGAAGATGGGATTCCCGCACCGCTTACCAATGAACAGCGCGACACCCTACTCATCTTGGCCTACTTTTTGAACAAATCTACGGAGCGCGTTACGAATGGAGCGCTTGCGAGCAGGAGGGAGCGCCAGGATCACGACGAGGACTCGTCTCACGCCGAGTTGCTGAGCAGACAAGTCGATTTGATTGTTGAGTTGCTCGATGTTGTCACGAACAGCAGGCGTAGTCGCCACCGGGGCGAAAGCACTTGAGCAATGGTTCACACAGCCTGTTCAATCAAATGCATTCTATGCAAATTGCGAATAGATGTGCACTCATCCTAGTCGGAGCCAATTTGAAATGCGTGGTCACTTAGGGCAGCGATTTGCCAATGTCTTCCTTGGCCGTGCCCTGACATGAGGCGCCTCCAAGGTCTCGACGGGCAGACGATGAAATTCGTGGGACTCCCTCGGAATGCACCCTTGTATCAGCGAGTCTTTTTGATTTGCAAATTCATCAGGGCTGAAACCATCCGTGGCACTGCTTCGGGAATTGAGCTTGTGTGCAGTCGATATACGGGTGCCTGAAAGTCTGGAGGAGCTAACCTGTGCGGAGCGATGGTTGAGGCTAAGGAAGAGAGCAAGCTCATCAGGTAGCAGACATGTGTCGGAATTACCTTTCCCCTGCGCTTTGACAGGTGGCTAGTCGGCCAGCTTTGGCTGTGTGTCTGTGATTCACTATGTATTCTTCGGTGTGTGCATCCTCTAGGTCCTAGACATAGTCGACTTCGGGTACTCTCTACCTGCACGGATGAGTTTTCGCGGGTCGATTCTCTGTGCTTCGCTCTTGACGCATTTGCTGCACAGCTTGGTGGGTTCGCGCGGAGCGCAGCTTGATTTTGAGACGCGTGAATGAAAGCGCTCGTTGGGCGCCTACCATTCAAGATTCGTGATTCTGATTTAGGATTGGTAATTTGAGCCGGGACGGGGGCTGCGCAGCGCATCAGAACAACGTAAAGACGTGTCTCTTTATAATGCGAAAGACTTTATATTGCGAAAGAAGATTCGTGCCAACATCAAGCGAGTCTCTCCTCGTCTAGTGGTTAGGATGTGACCTTGTCAATTAACAAGATCCGCAGGAACTTGCAAGAAAACGGTCGAGGCCGGGGTTCGATTCCCCGGGAGAGAGCTTTTTTGGGCAATATTTTCATTCTGCGCTCGAGAGTTTGTCTCATTACCGGCCGATGGTCGCAAAGTGTCAAGAAAGGCAGCCTGAAGAAGCTGATCGTATAGGAAGAATCGGTGCAAGAGTCAATGAAAGACGTCCTGGAGGGCAACCGAAAGCATCGCGTTGATACCCTTCGGACTAGGCGAGTATGGTCGGGATGAGGGCTATAGAGTACGCTCTAAACTTGCTTTTGCGCACAGATCTCAAGAGGTGAGGTGTGGGAGGTAAGGTACTCAATCGTTGCGCAGAGCCGCGTCCTTCCCAGACTTTGAGTGAGGTGCAGATGTTTTCTGCTGCCAGTGCGACAACATACGTGAGTAGCAAAATAGAAGAACCTTCTGAGGCAGTGGTGAATCACAGGCGGTCCCATATGCGAGGCGCCTCAACTTCGAAAATCGCCGAAGACCCTTAGTCACGTGCACTGAGTGTGGATTCTTGATTCTGATTCAAAAGTGTATTTTGCTGACCGGTAATTACTTGATTGTGAATCGACATTTGGCTCCGAACTCGGGTGATTCTTTCGAGTTACGATGGTCCCAAACTCGATCGCAGCTAGCTCACATCTCAGAAGACGCAGTTCGCACCATACGACACTGTTCCACTGCGCTTCTGCCCACCGCAGATAGACACCACGACGCATGTGTAGCTAGCGATGCCAGTCCTACTAGAGACGTCCAGCTCGGCACCCACCGGACGGCGGAGCGCGCTGACCTGTGCTCGATGTCGCGCTCGGCCAGCATCTTTGCAGACACGAGGAGGAAGCACCGGAGCAGCGTGCGCTATCTGCGCCGAAGCAGGTCTGGTCAATCGACTGAAGCCTTCTTTTGACAAGTGCAGAGGAGCGGAGCTCTGGGCATCGCTGAGCCAGGACGGGTCGTCCGAACTTGCCAAGACAAGTGGCACCGATGATGGGGAGCGTCCAAGGTCGCCAGGGAGACGGGCCAGGACACAGCATGGCACCATCGCTCTGGCCTGGGATGGAGGCGTCGAGGGCCGGTGAGTGTGCAGCAGCGATACCTCAGCGCGTGCTATAGACTGCCCTCTGAGCTCAATTGCGCACCTGATACAGCGTGCTGCTCCGTCTCGCCTGTTCAGAGCTTCTTCACACCAGCAGTGGTAACATTGGCTCAGGCGTCCACCGCGAAGCCGCTCTGCAAGATGACCGGGAAGGTGCAAACGGCGTGGCGCTGCCGCCCTCACAGGTGAAGCGTCTCAGCAGGAAGGGAACGCAAAGGCCACAAGAAATCAAGCACATAGTAGTGATACACGTGTATGACGACAGCACGCCGGCTTCTAGTTCGCATAGCAGAAGACAGCTCATCGAAGCCGCAGTGGCAGAGGAGGGTGGAAAGGACGCTGGTTTGCGACTTGTATGCGTGCCTTTGTCAAGCGTGTTCTCGAGGGGGAAGGTTTCTGGCAAGGTCCGCTGCAGCGCTTATCCTAGAGGTGAGTCCGTGACCCAGCAACGCAAGAACCACATGTATCATCGCAATACGGTGAATCTCGTCAGCAAGGGCAGGGAGAGTGTGGTCGGATGACAATCAAGACAGGGCGATGAGCGTCTTTTGGGCAGAGACGAGATGCGCACCGGCCTCGCCTCACTCCATCGCTCGCGGATCTGCTCACGGGTCCCCTTCCTTTCCGCACAGGGCCGCGTCGTCTTTCTCAAGACCACGAGTCGCTTCCCGATGGAAGCGCCGCAGACTCTCAAGGTTCTTCCAGCCATGCTGCTGAGGCAGCTCTGTCTCACCTTCGCAGTGCGTTGAACCCACCAGACGCACCCCGCGCCCAAGCAGCGTCCTGTCTCTCTCGCATTATCTCGCTCCGCAAGGTCTTCACCGAGAGAGTCCTGTTTCGCACGACCAAGGAAGTGGGCGCCACATGTCTGCTACTATCGCAAAGTGGAACAGGTTGTGCCAATGCACTGCTTGGAGGCATTGTGCATGGAGGCGGGTACGCTGTTCAAATTGCAGGACGCGACGGGTGGCGAGAAGGTGAGTACACGAGTAAGCAAGGGCTATCTATGCCATCACTTTCCAGGCAGGGTATCGGTACCACAGATATCACATCATGGTGGCCCACTCTGAGCTCATGTGTGCCGATGATCCTCCCTTGCCTTGCAGATGTCCTGATTGTACGACCACTGCGCGAAGCGCTGCTCAAGGAGGTAATCTATTACGCCCACCATCAGCGGCTTAAATACGCCTCTGCAATCTTCGATGACGGGGCTAAATCATCAGGAATGGCTAGCTTGCGCGGGGACAAGAGTAGCATCGGCCGTCTCACGCAAGGTGAGAGCCGTGACTGGGAAGCATCCTTTCATAGTACGATCTGACCATACTTTACTTGCTTCTCATCACCCAGCCTTCATTTCCCTGTTGGAATCAAACGCCCCGTCCACTGTCAGCACCATCAACAAGACCAGTTCGAAACTCGTCTTCCAGCCGGAGCAATCCGGATCCAGCGCTGCGCTCGACCCAAGCGCGGATGACATTGCCACGGATCGAAGCCGTTGGCCTACAGTGATAGCCGGGCCGTCTGTTCCCCTACCCTTGAAGCGAGCCCAGCAGACTGCGAGCGCCGTTTGTGGTAAAGAACAAAATCTAGGCACAGCCGCTCGGCGCTTACTCTCAGCAGCGAGGGACTCGCCCAAGTGGAAGAGTCCAGCCATCAGCCACCGAACCGCAAAAAGGTCGCCTGGTCAAGGCGATGCTTTTGAGCACGCCGACGGTCTCCACGCGTGGAGCCCCTCGTGTCCGTTGTGTTTGTTGCCTGCTAGCCGTCAACGGCACCAGTGGACCGATGCTTTGCGTGTACACGTTCCCGAGGCGCAGCTCAAGCAGTCATTGACGGATCAAGCTGAAGAGACTACCATCGATCTGGGACGCTTGCTCTGCTACGCGTGCGCTCAGATTTTGGAGACACCGGACCCGGCGCCCGTCTTCCGAGGGGCCCCTTTCCTCGCCGAGATGGAGTCAAGTTCTGCCGTGATGTATCTGCCAGAGTACGTCTTGCACGAGGCCAGCAAAGAGCTACAAGCCGAACGTGTTCATCTACAAAAGCTTGTTCACCCAGATGGCAATACCATGGAGCGGCTCACTGCGCGAGGCGAAGACGATGGGACGTCGGACCGCCTCGAGACTATAGCCAACTCTGACATTGAGGATCCGGAGCATCTCACCTCTCATCCGACGCGAGGAAAGCACACGCCTAGGCAGATCACTCGAGATGAGATGCTCGGAGAGCTCAAAGATTATCTGGTGGCATGAACAGCATGCTCACGGACGCCGTGTAGGCGCACATCGACGGTCGTGGAGTGGATTCTCTGAAAGTGTAATAACATTAATATTGCATTAGTGATGTAAGATAATGTGCAAAACCGAGTGGGAGAGGATCAATGCCTTCGTGAGGGACACGAGCGCCTCCGAATAGACACACGATGCGAAAGATGGCACAACTGGCACGAAAGAGGGACTCAGCAGAGCGTTGGAGTCCTTTCGGCGCATTCTTCGGAGCTCGAAGGCCGCACGACGGCGTTCATGACGCGGAGAGTGGACTTGCGAGCCTTTCGACGCGATGCGTGCTGGGAGCGCCTGCGCTGAGCATCGAGGGTAGCTTCTACCTCGGCATCCGGGCCGATGACGGGAAGAGGTTGCTTGGTGCCGACTAGCTCCGTCTTCATAAGCGCGCTAGCGGGTCTGGTTGGTAGGTGATGATGGAACGGCACAGGCGAAGATGCTCTCAAGGTAGTGCCTCCGACGTTGACATTCTCTTCCCAGGGAAACAAAGGCGAGCTCATGCTTCTTCGACGCCTGCCATCCTCTTGCGCAGCGACGTCCATGGCAAAGTCTGTGATGGTAGGACTCGTCGCGCCATCCATCTCCGCGGCGTTGACCAGCATCTCCTCGGTACCCTCATCGCTGGGCTCCCGATCTCCCCGTCGCAGCGAAGTCTTCGGAGACAAGAGCGTCGGCGACCAAAGCATTCCTTTCCTTTCCGGACTAGTCATCATCTCCTTCCACCAAGCTGGCGTCTCTTGTCGGCTGCTGACACGAACAGGTGTGGGAGGACACATGCGGCCATACTCGCGCAAAGCAGCAGCAGCGTATGGGGCTTGATGCCTCCGAATCCTATGCTGCCGCATAGCATTGGGAAGCTCCAAGGTCCGCAAAGCTGGACTCGTGCGGGTCCGAGCGGGACTGCTTCCGAGGTCGAGTGTTGCTTGTCCCGGAGAGCACATTGTAGCCATGCTTGGTCGATGCATCGCTGCAAGGTAGGGGTAACTAAAGTGACTAGCTGTCCCCACGCTTCCCAGACTCTCGCTCGAAGGAGCGCGCGTCATCATGCGCTCCAATGGCTGACCCATATCGGGAACATCCAAGTATTCGCGCAACTCCTCCCCATCCGCACCTCGTGAGTCCCTCAGGTCGTGAGGGGCGCGCCTGCCGCCACGGACGGTACGCTGCGCGCTCGCCGGCGCGTACGCATCATAAACATCAGCGACCACAGCCTCGATGAAAGCTTCTGGCAAGCCAGCTCTGCTCGCTTCAAAGCTCGAGGCATGAGGAGGATCGCCTAGTACCGCTCTGACTGCTTCTTGTTGACGACGCATGCTTGATCTGACGCGCGGCGGGGCCTTGCGTTTGATTTTGAACGCACTGACGGCCCCCGGACCTTGCATGTGAGACGTATATGTGCTCTTCTCTTCGTCGATGTCCCTATCAGTCTGGTCCTCCCTTCTTCCTCGATTGAAGATGGCGTTACTGGCATTACTGGCATGGCGTTTCAAGCCCCTGCTAGCGCTATTAGCCCACGTCTTTGGCTGATTGATCCACAAAGACGACACGGGCGGGCCACGGTCAGCAAGCGTGTCGACCGGAGATACAACGTCACGAGCGTAGTAGCTCTGCAGCGCATCCTTCTCTTCCAGTCGCCGACGCTTGCGAGTCCGAGCTGCATACACACCAGCGAACGCAGCTACCAGAGCGGCGGCACCGAGAACGCTACCGGCAATCACTCCACTCTTGCCAGGCTGCGAAAGAGTTGAGGATGGGGAAGAAGGAGCAATCGCGTTCGGAGCTGTGTCGGCGTGGGCTGATGTTTCCCCATTGCCGAGACCCGAAATGATGTGCTGCGTCCCGACATTGCGCAGTGGATCCGACTGCGGCATCAAATGATCTTTCGCTGCCCCGGCGCCTGTTTGATGGTCGCTCGAGATCGCGCCCTTGGGCGCTTCGCCGTTTGAGGTGTGCTGAGCTTCTGTTTGGGGCCTTGTGTCCGGATCGGTCGGAGAGCTTTGACGATTGGACAAGACCTCTGCAATGCTGCTGCTCCACCTCCAACCACCAGGCGCTGCTGTGTCGAGGTAGTACAAAAGACCAGAAGAAGCACGTGCTTGCGTGTCCGATTGGGCTCGTGTTGACAAGGCTTGATCTACCGCCGACGTACCTTCCGATTCTTGTCCAAAGCCAATGACCAAAACTTTGTCAGCCCAGATCGCAGTATGGAAGGCGCGAGCAGGTACTTTGCCGCTCATGCCGGACACGCGACTCCATCTGGCAGGCGTCACGGTTGGGTCGAGCACGAAAACTTCATCCGTGGCATTTCTGTGGACGCCAGATGCTGCCGTGGAGAGGAATCCGCCGTGCATGATGATCTTGCCATCTGACGTGCGGCTCGCCGTGTGCCCGAGACGACCAGCTGGCATGTCTTGAGCATCGACAGAAGCTGTTGTTATCCACCGCTCCCACTTTCCTGTTGCCAAATCCAAAGCCCAGATGTGATTCATGTCGACCAGCGACTGATGACTATCCCTCCCGCCTAGGAAAAGGACTCTAGCGTTGCTCTTAGTCACGCTATTGGCTGGTAGTAGAACGGTAGCATAATCTACGACGGGAAAGCCACTCATGTGACTGTCCAGAGCTAGCGATCGAGCAGAAATCGCGCCGCCCTTTGCAGAAGCAGAGGGGAGCGCTGACCAAAAATCGACACCAAAGTAGTCTGCCGTTCCTTTGCTGGTGGATGCCACGGGTGCACAGGTGCTGCCGTCCGTAGTGCCACCAACAACCATGAAGGTGGTTGCACCAGCTTGGCGTGCCTTCTTCTCGTCCTGCATGTTCTGCAAGCCCAGCTCGTTTGGCACTTGTACTGCACGTGCTCCACGTCTGCGCACCGGCGCCGAGACATTCACATTGCTTGGCAGATCATGCAAGGCGTCCCACTTGCCGTCGGTCAAGTTGGATGTTGAGGTGGACCATCGATAGACTGGAGCGTTGCCAGCGCAGTCGTCTGTTGCCCCGCCCACCAACCAGATCTGACCATTTTCTTGATTGGCCTTGTGTGTCAAGGCACGCGCTGCAAATGCATGCGGAGGCAAGTTCGCAGAGTTTAGGAGCGTCCAGTGCTCGCCACTGTCGCCCCTGCGACCTGCTTGCTGCGCCGCCGAGACGTTTGCAGCGACGAGTTCCGAGACGTCGAGAGCGAACACGTCGTTAGTGACCATGCCAGCTTTCTCGCTGCTATTCGAGGGCACTTGGCCACCGATGAAGATGATCGACTTGGCAGAAGGTAGATAAGCGGCTGTATGCCCCCATCTCGGTCCGGGATTAAAGTCATCCTTTCTTGACGGTCCAGTCGGCAAGGCTCCTGATGCGGCGTCTTGTGTGCTCCCCGTTGAGTGCGCATCTCTGAACAGCAGCGCTGTGCTACCGTCAGATGTGCTCTCAAACGTTCCCTGGCCATTCGCTGAAGCCATGTATCTCGAGTCCGCAGCTGCGGGTGGCAATGCGACTGCTGCCACAGTGGCAGAGCCACCCTGTGAGCTGCCGAGCAAGGCTGGCCATAGCAAGCTCACAATGACCGCTCGAAGCAAGCAAGAGCTAGCCGCGCGATGTTTTCCTCGTGGCGCGCCTGAGCTGTGGCTCGCTGCTCTTCGGTGTGACTTTAATGCCTCGGCGTGACACATGGCATGACCGCTGCTCCTCTGCGCCACCAACCTTAACAAAGTTTTGAGGAGCCTGGCGAGTCGCGCTGCAGGGGTTCCGCGTTGGGGAGGAGGGGCGGACAATGCGGTGATGCGAGGAGATTCCGAAAAAGTCGTGATAATGGACTGCGCAAAGCGGCGACAGGCACTGCCTAGTCGGATGAAAAAGTAGCGACGCCTAAAAAAAAAGTCGGCCACGGCACCAGATGTCTCAGAGCGCAGCTCCGGGTCTGGCGTGGTCGATGGATAAAATGATGATTGCGAGAATGCTGTGAAGGGGGCACTGAGTGCGACACCCAGCAAGAATGGAAGAAGGAGTATATCGTCAAGATCGTAAAAAGTGAGACAAGGAGAAGAGAATCCAAGGAGGGGAGGGGGTCAGATCTGGGCCGGTCCGAGACACGACGGAAGTAAATAGCCCGAACGGAAGGAGCAAGCAGCAGCATAGACGCTCAACCGCCACTTGCATGGCTTGTCCTGCATACAGTTCGTCCCGACAACGACTCCGACGGTCAAGGCCCCCCGGCACCATTCACATTCACGTTGCAAGCGTGGGGCGCTCGCTCGCTGCACATCAACAGCGGCGGGCTCTCGAGCGGAGTTGCCCGCCGATCCGCCGCTTCGGACGGAGTTGCACAAGATCGCAGCAAGGCAGAGATAGATAGATGTTGCACTAGTAGTCCTAGCGCATGCCTAGCTCCAAATTCTGCTCGCCCCTTCTCCTCTTGCCTACTCGTCTCACTCGTAGCAACAAGGTTTGCCTTGATTGGAGCTGTGGAATGCAGATGAGCTTGCCTTGCCTCATCTTGACATTTAGCGCCTCCAAAACAAGATTTGGAGCTCCAATCTGCTCTGCGCACGGCTGCTTGGATTGCCGAGCCTGGGCCGAAAGTGTCGAATCTTGCGTTCAATCGTGAATCACCAATGTAGCCGTGTAGGGGTGAGGTGATCCCAATGGATGGACCTCACACTCTCAGCCTGCTCTTACGCGTCTCGCGCGTCCCGCGCATCCGCATGCCGGCCCAACGGACGCTCGACCGCTGATGGTCGGCGGCGTGCCTTTGTGCTGTAGGCGCGTTGACGGTGCCAGGTGTCGCTAGTGACAGCGCTCCCGTCATCGAGTTGAGAGCACAAAGCGAAACCAGCTGACGATTATTGGCGCTCGCATTAACTACTATGCTGCAGCGTGCTGGTGTTCGTGGGAGCAAAGCAATCAAACAGCATCAGCGGGCGCTCGGCCGCGGCAGGAACGCGTCACGTTCACGCTTCACGCGCGTGTAATAATTGCGCTTGGCGAACAGATATGGCAGAATTAAAAAGGTGATCGAGAGGTGACCTTGCTCGTCCATCGCGTGCTTCATCACAGGCGAATTCTTGGACCCCTGAGGCAAATCATGAGGTGGACGGTGGGCTATCTAAGCAGCACACTCATCAGACTCATACACTTGTGACTAGATTGACGAGGCTGTGAATCTCGACACGCATTCGTCATTGGCTACTTAGGCTTTGCGATTCACAAGCTCAATCGAGTTTGGTGCTTCAAAAGTTCCAACTTGCGTAGATCACGTCATTCGTGATTCTGCTGAATCGGGAGGCTGATGACTTGCACCAGCCACCGCATAGTTTGCGGTAACCTGATGGCAATCATGTAACGGCATCCAGAGTGCCAGCTTGCGAAGTGTACCAGATCTGGACATCGACGAACCAAGTCGCGCTGTCTGCGTGACCGACTGAACGAACCTTTTCCAGAAACGGCAGCATCAAAACGTCTGACATGCAGCGGTACGGCACGAATGAGTTTCTCTTCAGATTGAAAGAGGTCGTCGATAGCTTCGAAATACCAACAATCATCAATCAACGGCCAAAAGTCACAATCATGCTCCAATTGTCTGGCGTCGCGGGATCGCAACCTTCCACACCCGACCATTCTGATACAACTTCCCAAATGCCTACAGACACGCGACAGAACAGCAAGGAGTCTGCGTACGATTGGAAAGACGAGCAATCTCCGCAGCGTTCCATTGCGAGCCTTGCATGTCTGATGCACAATCCATGTTCGGAAGCTAAAAATCGATGCAGATGTTGGACAAAGTCGCGGCGACGCGCAGGACCGACTCGACTAGGGCGTGTCACTCCTCCGAATGTCCGCTCATGCGTAGGTGCCCTTGGTCCTAGGGCCAGAGACGCGGACAAAGATGCGGAAGAGGCTGGCAAAAATGGAACACGTGCGCGCGAAAAGTCAGCAGGGCGACGAAACGACTGAGGAAAAGAATGGTTGAGCATCGCTGCCGGCAGCTTGGGCTCACCTCAAAACGAGGACAATGACGTAAGCTATGAGGCTGACGAACACCAGCCCAATCAGGGTTCCTTGTAGCCTGCAGATGATCGGCTTCTTTGCAGGATCCGTCAAGGGGCTTTGGGTTTCTAGTCCCGCGAAGGGATTAATATCGGCGACACACACCAGACTGCTGGTCAGGTAATTGTCAAAGGACAAGCTGAGTTCTGCGCTCCACATGCATATGAAGACGAGATCTACGAGCGAGTACAGCAGCTTGTTGCGCACTGCCCATAGTCCAATCGGCTTGCCAAAATATTCCAAGTAGATCTGCCAGCCGACGTGCAACAGCGTCGGAGGTCCGAAGATGATGGCTACCAAGGGACTTGACCCTACCGAGTCCGCCGCTGCTTGCTGCTTCAGCACCACGTACAATCGGATGGCAATGGCCAACGTGGCGCTAGTGAAGCCGATATTGATGAAACGGAAGAGACCAGGAACGAATGCATTGTGAAGCAGAAAATTCCTCCACCAATCGAGCCTCGGAGAGGTGTCGTGCCTTTCCATTTTCTCCCCTCGTAGATCGTGACCGCCAAAGCGATACCTGCCGATTTCGATGGAGCCGCCAGAGTACGTCTCGGGTCTCCATGGAGATTCCCAGCCTGGCGTGTGTGGTTGATGGCGCGTAAAGCTATCCTGGTGCACAGGCCCGCTCTTGATATGTGCATTCATGGTTGCATCTGGTAGATTGGGTGATGGCGCCTCATCGCTCTGCTCTTGGCCTCTCTTTCCAGATCGCGATCCAGCGCTTGAGGGCCAGCGTCCTTCTTGAGATGTCGGACTCAATGGCGCATCGTCTTCCTTCAGCTCTTGGCTTCCCTTTGCGCTCTTCCTTCTCCACCCCATAAGCCCGCTCCCTGCTAGCTCGGCTGCACTCTGTCTTCCCGCTCCCCCAGCCACACCAGTTCCACTGGCTCTCCTGGACCTTTCTCTTCCACCGTCCAGGTGCTCTCCCTGATCGATGGAGCTGTCTCTGCTCTCTTCCTCAGTCTGAGTATGAGTCTGCGTTTGGGAACTTTGCTGCATACGCAAATGATGGGAATGCAATCGCGCTCGGTATTTTGCTGGCAGTGTAAAGGTCCAGAACCGAGTGGGGCCTGGCTCGCCCGAAGAGCTGGCGCCGTCAGAATCATCGCTCTCGCTCCGAGGCCTGCCCACCTGAGGTGACTCGGTCGAGTCAGGTTTCTGGGGTGAAGCTGCCCCCCGCGCTTGTGGCCGTGCCTCTAGGCTGAGTTCCGATGGCTTTGCTCCATGCGAGGCTCGAACGGGTGGTGATGTAGGAGGTGAAGGTGGGTCATTGCGAGCCCAAGCTGAGCGTACATTGGCAACGTCAGCGCCTTGCTGTATGCCAACTCTGAATGCTGGGCATGACTTACGAGGCCTTGTGCTGATTTTGCTCCTATTCAGGGTTCCGTGAGGCGTCCCGCTGCTTGAGCCTTCAGCTCTGTTATCACGGACACTGCTGGCGTAGCTAGTGGTCCCTCCCAAGCTCAGCTCGCTGCCTCTATGATTCCTGCCAACCTGGCTCAAGCCGAGTCCCAGTCCACCGAAGGTGTGGTTTGATTGACCTGCTGTGGATCCCACGCCATTCGGCCCGGCCCCACCACTTGTATTTCCGACAGAAGCCCGCTCCGTTGCGCTGTGCAACTTAGAGTGCTCTGAGGCTGGTGATGGGAGCCGATTGCCGCTCCGAGGTGGTGAAGATAGCAAGGAGGCTTCATCAAATTGTATATTGGAGGGTGCGTGGTTCGCAGCAGAAGCACCTTGCGTCGACCCGCTCTTGTCGGCAGAAGCAGAGGCGGCCGTAAGAGCGGCGGGCGCACCGTCCTGCGCGTCTTGTCCCTGTGACTTGGTATCCTCCACCTTCTTTGAGGGTCCAGACGAGGATGCGGATGAAGAAGTCGCCAAGGCTGAGACCACGTTGCTAAGAACACCTTTGGGACCCTCGGAAGAGCCGCCGCTTCCCATGTGGGTCTTGACGGGCGCCGGCACCGCCATGATGACAGGCCTTCAGCAAGGGATGATGAAGGAGTTCGAAAGGCAGGAGGATGGCAGCACCAAATGAACGCGATGAAGCAGGGTCAGAATACGCCACCTCGAACGGGCAGATCAGAAGATGCTCGTGTAGAGAACACCAATGCGTGCAAGGGTTCGACACGCGGCCAGGAAGCTGAGATGCGCAGATCCTTGTGAATTGTACGCGTGTAGCGTCTTGATCGATGGATGCTTGGACGCGCACAAAGAAGGGTTGACCAGCACTCGTGGATGGTCACACGTTTCTAGCCGTAGTCAGAGTCTCTGCTCATGGGTACCTATGCGGGCGAAGGTGGGATGAATGGAAGCAAGTGTGAGGTCGAGGTCGGATGCAGAACGTGCAGTCGAGTCGGCGCCAACCGCGGGGGTGCCCGAACAAACGTGGATGTTGGGTGCGGGACGCAGCGAAGCGGGAATGAGCTTGTCGTCGAGCTCGCCCAAAAGTGTTGCACTCTGATGATTTTTCGCCCTAAGAAAGAGGATGATGGAAGATTGCAAGCCTTGTGGCTGATGGGAGCGAGGAGGTAAGATGTGCCGTGACACGTGTGTGTGTGTGTGTGAGAGAGAGAAGCGTGACTACAATTGGCGCCAACGTGGAACGCGGCGCAATCACAAGTTTGCACGCAGTCGTGAGTCTCGATCAATCATCCTCCGCGTTCAGACCTCGCCTCCGACAAGCTCGATCGAATCAAAAATGGGTGCTGCTGCATGCATGCATGCAAGCATGCAAGCGACTGAGGAGCGTCTACACATATATCCCCGTCAGATTCATGATCAGAGAGCATATATACGTGGATGCCAAGAGAGTCAGGGTCGTTCAGTCGTGAGTGTGACTCATGCTGGGGCACGCGCGACGCCAAGAGGAGCGGAGTACAAGTCATGAGTCTGATGGTTCTCAGATGTGTTTGGTCGAGGTGCGGGTCAACGCGCCGTGTGAGGAACTGGCCGAAATGTGAATCAAGAATGTGGATCAGTGAATAAGTGAATTAGTCATGCATCAGTCGTGAGTCACAAGTGAGGAGAGGCGGTGTTCGCGGCGGGGTTGTGACTCACGACTGACTTTCAGGGGTCCCGCTGTAGCACACCTGCGCCTATCCCTACCGTACCTGCTGCTCGATGACGGTTGCATATGCACTCAGCAGACTCAAAATGCCCCCGCCTCTCCCGCCCTGCCCTTCTGCCTTTGCTGGTCCGGCCGGGGCATACGGGTCGCCGCGCTCTTGATTCGTGATTCTTGATATTTGAGGGTCGCGATGCGAGTCACGTGTGTTCTCGAGTACGCGGGCATACGAACTTGAGTCACAAGTCAAAAGTCAAAAGTCTTGATCAGCAGTCAAAAGTGTGAGTATCTGTGGTACCTCTTCACTTAGAACTCGAACATTTCAAGGGAAGTCGTGATTCGACTCATGATCGATACCACACAGCACACAATGTTCTCCAGTCAAAAGTGACGTTGCGCAACTCGTGACTGCGACGACTCATATACCCGCGACGAATCTGCACAGCTGAGTGCTGGATCTATGAATGGATTCAGAAGTCCCGTCGCCACCCAAGACGTGAAGCGAGCGCTTCCTCATTCGAAACAGCGCACATACACAACTCATCGCAGGGCGACCACTAGCGCCGTGCTCCAGAACGTAAGACGTGGTCAGTCTGTGTTGGGCAGCGAACGCACTCGACAGCCCCGCGTTGGGCGCTGGATTGGTTGCCTTGCACGCACTTTCAACGCATGTCGGGCACCATGGCGTCTTCGCGTCCGACTGCACAGGGGGCGCAGCGCATACGCGAGCAGGATGTCCAAGAGCTGGTAGTATGGGCTCCATCGTCTGCAGCCGAAACCGGTCTGCCAACCCTGGACCCTTCCAGCTTGTATGCTGCCAGTCTCCTGCGCTCTCGTGCCTCACTGGCTAGCGATGCGGCGGCGAATTCGAGCGGGTCTGTTTCTACAGATGGGCCATCGCTGCGCTTGGACCGGCTCAGGTGCCCTTCAGCGCTTCTTCACCCTGTCGTGCCAGCGCTGTGTCAAGTGAGGAGCGGCCTGGTCATCGCGTCAGGAACAGAAGAGATCCAAGAGTCGGTCTTTGCTGCTCTTTACGAATGCACAACAGAGGATGACAAACGGAGCAACGGCAGCAGAGCTGCGACCAATACTTCGGCCGATCTTTCTCGACCTGTCACTCCTCTAGCGCCCTCCATCTCCCACTCTTCTATTGCGGCTCTCCACAGTCTCGTCGAGGCGGAATTGATACCTTGCCTCCTCTATCACCTCTGGTTCACTCCGCTCTTCAAAGCCTACATCGTCCCAACCTACTCTCAAGGCCTGTGGTTTCCCCGCAGCCGCTCTACGCCTCACAGCCTAAGAACACAGCTCAGACCCTGGCTGAAGAGCAAGTTGAGGCAAATTGGCCTTGGCGACATGCTTGATGATGGACGCATCGAGAAGGAGAGGGAGCAGGAAGAGCTGATCAAGAAAGCTGGGGTACAATTGAGGCTGAAGAAGGGCCTGGATGAGAAAGAGCGGAGAGAGGTTCGACTAAAATTTGGTCAGACCAAGGTGAGACGTTGGTGCAGAACCTGTTCAGCGCAACGGACAGCAGCTCGACGGTTTCAAACGCTGGAATCCTTCCTCCACCATGTCCCTTTTCAGCTTGCTGCTCACGTTGCAAAAGTGTTCGACACACTATCGTCAGCATTGAATGAGCAAGCGTACTTTTCTGGATCAGCACAGTAAGTCCAAATGTGCATTGCCGCTCGAGAGCTACAGGAAAAGCGCTTGCTCACTCTTTCATCTCTTGTTGCTCTGCTCGCAGGCCTTCGACGCTAGACGTCCTGCTCTTCGCCTACCTCGCCCCTTTGCTGCTCCCGCCGAGCGCGGGCAAAGTCTACGACGCGCTGGAAACGAGCTCCTTGACCTCCCTTTTGCACACCTACCGCAACCTCGTCTCGCATACCGCAAGGCTTCGAAAGCTCTTGTGGCCCACAGAGGTGTCTGCCTCGGACGATACCCACAGAGGCGTGAATTGGCCCTTGCTGCCCAGCGACGAGCAACACGCACCCTCAACTGCACCGCATTCGCAAACGGACGAAGGACTCATCTTCGCGACAGGGCACGCAATGGGCAGTCTTTGGTCGAGGCTGCGCACCCTTCCCCTTACGCTTCGTTCCTTGGCCGCTCCTCGAGCAACGCAAATTCAAAGAGGCGGCGCAGGGCAAGAGCCAGAGAACGCGACGCAGAGAGCAGAAAGGAGAAGGATCATGCTCGGCAGAACAGCTTGGATACTCACTGCTCTGATCGGCATCGTCGGCACTGCCTTTGCGAGCGGGCTGATAGAAATCGTCACAGAGGAAGAGGAAGAGGAAGATGAAGAGGAAGATGAGGAAGAGGATGTCTTGGTCGAGGTGATGGAGGTCGATGAGGATACTTTGAAAGACAACGAAGGCAGCGCAGCTACGGGCGTCGGGGACGAAGATGATGGAGCATGGGCCACGGTTGGGCAGGAAGTGGGCAGAGAGGATGATGCCACGTCACACGAGAATGATGTCACCGAGACTGGTGACGTCCAATGAGAACAAGAGTCTGCCGCCGAAACTGTCCGTGAATGCTTGGTGAAGATGAGGTATATGTTAATAATACACGATATGAGGCGTAGCTTGTACATCGCTCTCGCGCGCGGGACAAGGAAATGAGCAAACGCAGCCGGCCATGCGCACGTTCTGAGTGGCTCGTGAAGGACATCAAACGTCTCGTCTGACTATTGGCTAGGTATTGGGAACGCCCTGTTTGGTGAAGAAGGCCAGCCGTTTGGTGGGGCCGTTGACGCCGAAGGTGGGCCGTTTGGGTGCATGCTGTTGGGATGACCAGCGCCTGGTGCCATTCCAGCACTTCCAGGCATGGGAGGAATGGGGAATGCGTGGTGCATCCAAGGAATGCCGCCAGTCGGAGGAGTTGCCATGGGCATAGCCCCGGGTCCCATGGGAGGCGGACCTGAGAAGCCTGCTGAAGTAGGGATGCTGCCTCCTGGATTCGCACCCGGCACCTGCATCGATGTTCCAACGAGAGGCCCTCCGGCTGCGTGGCTGACGCTCATACGAGCTCGGTTCCTAGGTGTTGCGACGGTATTGTCGTGATTTACAGCAAAGGGCGGAGGTATCGGCAAGGGCATCGGTTGAGTGCCGATAGCCGTTCTGAATAGCTCTCGACACCTGATGAGCCTTCTTCTTCGCGCGGTATATATCCCAGCAAAGTCAGGCACCATTATTGGCAATGCTCGAGTGCTTGCGGTCCGCGATGCATCTCGCAAAGAATGCAGCACACTGTCCAACTCGTCGTCCATATCTTCGTCCTCTTCTTCCTCCTCCTCAGCATTCAGAACACGCACAGTGCCTTTATCGGTCTGTGCGTCGAGCTTTCTGCCTAAATTGCCCTTTCTCTTTGCCTTGAGCTTTTCCTTTGCTCTTTTTGCTTTCGCTTCGGCATTTGCAGCCAGCATCCTCTCCTTCTCTTCCAGTTTTGCAACAAAATTAGGATTATGTGCCTTCTGCCATTCCAACAGCAAGTCATCGTACGGTTGAGATCGTCCTGGAACCTCTCGTTTGGCTCTCATACTGTGTGTCTTGCAAGTCAAGCTACGAGCGCATAGGCCTTTCTCTGTCGGTACCCCACACTGCCTGTCCACATCGAGGGGCCCAGCTCCTACACGAAGGCCGACATGTGAGTGCGTGTACCCTAGACGTAACATCGACGCGGAAGAGGGTCCGCATAACGACTTACCAACTCGCTTGCTCTTGTTCTTGAGCTTGTCCTCCTTCTTCTTGGCGCGCTCAAGCCGACGTTGGGCAGCCTCTGCCTCCTTCTGAGCCTTCTTCGACAAAGGCTTGCCCCCGGCGCCGTTGCGTGACAAGCGTACATCCGCGTCTAGGTGGTTATGAAGGATACAGCTCGTTACCATTTCTGACGGCAGATCATGCAGGCTCAGCTTGCCGGTCATGCTCACCGCTGCCTCCATCCAGACTGCCGCGCCTCGCGTTGAGGCTGTCGATAGGCAGAGCCAGAATACTCGGAGATAATCTGCCCTCTGCCAAGCCTGCAGCGATAGCACAGTTCTCTGTATGGAGTTTACAGTTGATGTCATCGCTACACTGTCAACGTACCGCGTCGGGCTGAGTTTACGAGGCCAATGGCGCCTGCATGTATGCTCACTTGTGTGAAATACCCAGGCATCTTTGAGAACTGTCCTTCCACAGACGCTACACTTGACCAATTTTATGCGATCATGCAGTGGAGATGGGCCGAAGTCCGTGATGTCGATGTCTTCGTCATACCATGCTGGATGGACTGGTCTGGAGGGTGAGGATGGGCTTGGTGAAGCTGCACGGCGTGATTCAAAAGCGATGTGAGCCAGGCATCCAGTATGCCATGCACTTGATGTTCAAGACGGCTTGAGCACCTACCAGATATCACCTTGGATATGTCGTCCCAAGTTGGATGGCTCATATTCATGACAGGATGCAGCTATGATGAGCGACGTCTGGCTGACCACTCGAAGCGTCCTATAGGATATGATCCGGTGTTCGCTTGGCGCATCCAGACTGTCACTCGCACTTGAGCCAGCACAAGCTGTCGATGCTGTGGTCAGTCGATGAGTCTGGACAGCCAGGTTGCGAATCGAACAAAGCTCGCTGCAGAGAGAGTTGGATAGATCGGTATTTAGCCGGCCAAGGTTGAAAGGCGCGGAGATGTGAGGTCGGTCGTGCTGATCACGAGCATCAGGTTGAACGATCAAGGTGGTTGCCGCGGTAGTCCCGACGTCCAAGATCCCACTTTTGACTTCGGCACGTCATGCATATACAAAAATCTTTCCTCGACTTTTGAATGTAAGACTCGAGACGTAAACGATGATTATTGACTCTTGAAGCCTAGGATTTAAGCTCCTAATCATCAAGAGACACACATTGAAAACTCACATTCAATTCAGATTCAAGATTTGGCATAAAGCTCGCCGTTCTTTACCGGTAGCGACTCCGCGGGTAGCGTGACGCGTAGCGTGCACTGATGCGCGCGCGCGCAAGATGGTTGTGTGCATGGCATCAGGACCACTGCATGGCGATCGCTGCTTCGCGCTTCCACGTCGTGAGCTTCGGCGATCGAGCCCGAAGATGGCTCTAGGTGCATCATGGCAAGACTCGTGCTTCGTGGACTCGCCATCCCTCTCGAGAACTTCCACGCCAATTACTCTTGCTCCTCGTCCACATGCACTGCCTCTTAGGATTGCCATTCCCTGCCGAACTTGTGGACACGTCTACCCGCTTCCTGGCAAATGTCGCCGCCCACCTCGTATCTCTGATCCGCGCAGCGCACCATCTAGGCTGCCCTGACGTACAAGGCCATCGAGGCGCACAGAAAGCAGCATCGGCATCTTGTATGCGTCAGGAATCGCACGCCTCTATCCTCCGCTGGTAAGGTGAAGGACTGACTGAGCTCTAACATCGCTATGCCTGTGGGATTCGACCCCGTGCGGGATGCTGCGCCCGCCACGAGCGCGCAACGCCAGATGTATCTGAGTCCCGAGCTCGGCTCTCGACAGGTACTTGCGTCCTCATCAAGAGCGCAGGATGACTATCATGCGGGGACGGTACATCCGCACTACGTCGCTCATGCGGAAAGCGGCTACGCACGCAGAAGAAGCGCGTCGCCTCCCATACCATCGCCTCGCTCAAGAATGGAGGCAGGATACTACTCTAGCAGGCCAGATCACCAGCGATCACCTGTGCACTACGACTCCGAGGCGGAAACTGAGGGAATGAGATTGCGAGCATCAGGTTTCGATGCGGTTCGAGATACGAGGGCGTCGCCAATACATCAGCATCCACACCATGCCCAGGTGTTGTACCAACCAGACCCGAGGCGTGCGGATTCCTCTTCGAGCGTGGGAGCGAGTCCCGAGATACGACAGCAGCTGCTTCACCAATCTCACCCAGCGCAGCAACAGTCATATCTTCATCATCCGATGCATCCGCCACCGCCGGTGCCTCAACTTGCCCGGACGTCCAGCAACGATTCCCACCACAGTCAAGGGACGCGCAGCTCACTTGGGCCTGCGCAGCCGCCCACGGAGCCGCACGGTACACGACGCCCATCAAGGTCGGCTAGCATAGCTGACATGCTCAATGACGGAGAAAGAGGTCCACTCATCCGCAATGCGAGTGGAGGTAGTGGCTCCGGGTCTGCTGAGCAAAGCTCAAATCCCCACAGGCAGATCGGCTCGTCGCGCTCGCCTTTACCTCTTCGACGTCCTTTGCAGGGATCCCCTGGAGAGAGGCATGCGCTTTTGCCGCCACACGACGTGCGCAGAGGTGGGAGCGTGTCCTCCTCTGGGAGCGGGGCCGCCGCGGCTAGCGCAAGCCATCGAGCAGAGCAATCGCCTCGGTCACCTGCTCTGGTGAACCTTCTCAACTCCACTAGCGCAGACGAAGGAAGGCATCACAACTCTAGCGGTAACTTTGCTATGCCGGTATCCGTGCGACATGATCCTAGTCCTTCCGTGCTTCGTTCAAGTCACTCCGCTTCAGCAGGGACTGAAGTAATCATTCCTCCGTCGCGCTTTGGTGCAAGCATGTCACCCACGCACAACTCGATACTGCAGACACCTGGCACCGCCAATGCTGCAAGTCAGGTTAGCCCGTCAATGTCGCCCGGCGAGGTCAGAAGGCACCCTCCTCGGCTCTTCCACGTTGATACGAGTCGAAGCATTGTCCCCCACACAGGCAGCCCACATCATGCTACGCTTCTCGCTAATCCCAGAGCTACGGCAGGAAGCTCTGTTGGCCCGCTTGCACAGGTCGAGCAGTTTGCTGTGCCACAGCTTCCTCGACGAAGCCCCGAAAGCAGAAGGGCGACCTTGCCGGCTTTTGCAGCGAGTCCGACGCCTGTAGGTCCTCCGGAGTATCCGACACTTCACGGTGGTCCGCAGTACCTACCTATGGACTCGCCTGCTGAGGCGTACCCACAAGGACTTCCGCCTACTCCGGGGGCCTCTCACTTTCCACCCGGCTACATACCTACCTCTGGTGCCATGCCTCGCACGCCAGTCACACCTGGCGGCATTGGGCCGTATGGTGAGTATCAGCCCCCGCCTACGCCTGGTGGCTCTTCATTAGAAAGCAGTGGGCCAGCAGGCTACTTTTATCATTCGCAGCCTCCCGGAACGCTGGTTCATGGCTACCAAATGTCACCTGCGGCGGCTTCTCCCTCGCACTACGGAAGCCTGGTGCAAGTGCCGATTCCTCGACGCATGTCCGCGCAAGAAGGAGGTCCCAGCACAACTGTGTTGCACGCTCGTGAAAGCTCCCACAGCGCTCGACGCGAGGGCCACATGAACGGCACTCGCAGCGTAGATGCCTCGCCTCAGTCGCGAGAGGTCATGCTCCCGACCGCAGCTCAAGATGAAGGAGAAGCAAGGTCAGACGAGCGTCGTCTCCGGGAAAGACTGCACTCCGAAATGTCTCATGGGAGCGTCTCCGGCAGCCACGCCACGGATGGCGAGCCACCAAAGGCAATAGCTGTTTCTGTTGCAAAGCGAAAGCGCTCTAGCGGAAGTGGAAATGCTATTGCCGCCTCGTCAAGTCCAGTGGACGCGTTGGATGCAAAGCCCTCGGGTAGAGCTCAGAAAGAGTCCCCTTCGGCACCCAGTGCCAAACCAAAGAAAGCGAGAAGAGCGTCGACGCGAGAGTCGACAGCAGGGGACATACGTGGCACGGCTCCAGTGCCTCAGGACGACTTGGCAGCGGCAGAGAGTCGAGAAGACCCAACGCACTCGATGTTGGATGATGCCGAGTCAAAACCCTCTGCGCATGCGCCTCGACGTCGGCAGTCAAAGGCTGGTAAGGCAAAATCGATGAGCACTGGTCGTCTCAGCCCAGCTCCAGAAGAGGACAAGACCACGCCAGACGACCACGAGTCCCGAGGTTCATACGATGTACGGATTGAAACCCGCGACGTTGTAGACAGCGCTCAGCAGGCGTTCCCGTCCGCACTGGAGCAGCCGGCAACCGATGCAGCTTCAAGCGGTAACGGCACTGTCACGTCAGCAGCCGCGAGCGGTGAAGATCGAGTTGGTGAAGAGGCCCGTACGTTGTCGAATAGGGCCCAACTTCTCCCAGATTCGCCAGGACCGGAAGGTGTTGCAATGTCGCTGTCAGAGGCAGCCTCTTCAGCTGTAGAAGCAGAATCTACTGCCACGCGAGCGACTTCTGTCACTTCTCCGTCCCTAGTCAAGCCGTCATCATGCGAGAGCAGCACCAGTGATCAATCCGCAACGCGCTTTGGACGCCCGGACTCAAACTTTCATCATCCTGCGCAAAGCTCGAAGGTCCGCTCTCCTGATCTCGCCGGCTCAACACCACCGGCTCCAGTTCAGATGCCGTCGCCCATTCAGCCCGCGATTCCCTCGAAAGCACCACGCACTCGTTACCAAGCAAAACGGGTCTCACTGCCAGGAGTGGTTAGAGTGCCTCTTGCAAAGCATGAGCTTGAACGCTTTAGGTTTCGCTCCTCGAATCCACTTAGAGCGGCCTGGCAGGAAGAGAATAGGGGTCGCAGCGATGGCTGGGACGAGATGTTTGAGCGATACGCCGCTGAGGCTGATGGGGACGCTGAACAGTCGCGAGTAAAAGGCCCCGCGTCCAAAGACTCTCGCAGCGGCTTGCGCACGAGCGCGGCTTCGGTACACGTCTTGCCGCGCAAGCCTGATCTTAGCAGCAGTGCCTCTGGAGCGTCTGCAGTAGCTTCCCACTACAACGCAAGGCCAGACGCTGGCCTTGACGCTAGGAGAGACAGCCCCATTCTACCGCTTAGACAGTTCAATAACTGGGTGAAGAGCACAATCATAACCAAGTTTGGCGCGCGGAACGGTCGCGTGCTCGATCTTGGAGCGGGAAAGGGCGGCGACTTGCGTAAATGGCACGCAAAGCACGTGCAAGAGGTCGTGCTCGTTGGTAAGTGTGAAATGGAGGGATGGAATGCGAGCTCTAATTGCTGAGGAACACCTCTCTCCTGCAACTTCCAGACATTGCCGCACAATCGATTGAGCAGGCAAAGGCAAGATACGATGAGCGAAAGCAGACCTATCACGCGGAATTCTTTGCTTTCGATGCGTTTGGCAGTGCGGTTTCTGAGCACATTCCCGCAAGCATACTGGAGCCTCTCTTCGACAATGTCTCGCTGCAATTCTGCATGCACTACGCCTGGGACAAGGTGTCCAAAGTCAACCTGATGTTGGAGAACGTGGCCAAATACCTCAAGCCGGGCGGCATCTTTATCGGGACCATTCCGGACGCTGACAGATTGAGGTTAGAGGGACACTTCCGATTCATTTATATTACCCAAAGTTTCCATCAAGCTGACCGCTTCCATCCGATCGCAACAGGCGAGATCTCAAAGCGTTGCCAAATGACGAATTGTCCTTTGGCAACGAGTACTTTCGCGTTTCATTCGATCCTACAGCGCCACAAAAGAAAGAGACGTGCCCTGCGTTTGGCCACAAGTATACCTTTTGGCTCAAGGATGCCATCGACGAGTGCGATGAGTATGTCGTCGATTTTGAGCAGTTTGAAAGGTGAGGGGCCACGTAGAAACGCCGTGCGGAAAGTGCGCGAGTCTGGCTGACTATCCAGCGTCGCGCTTGCAGCCTGGCAAATCAGATGGGTCTTCGATTGATCTACCGCAAGACTTTCGAAGAGGTGTGGCTCGAGGTTGGAGAACAGAGGGACTCGGAAGCGCATAGGCTGCTCGGCGCGATGCGCATTCCACATCCATCGACCTGCTCCATACCCATGCAACCTGCGCTTTGGGAAGCTGCCAGTGAGTATCGCCGCGAAATCGTGCAAGGGCATGCTTGATGCAGAGGGGGGCCGCTTGCTGATGAACGTATCCTTGCCTGCTCGTCCGCAGGTCTCTATCTAGCTTTTGCGTTTGAGAAGGCGCCCACACCAGCATTTGGCTGATTATCCCTCTCCTCTCCTCTCGCTCGCCAAGTCGGCGCCCCCGCCTCTTGCGCTCCTCGCCTTCCCACAAACGCGGGGCATCGAAACATTTCTCACACGCGCGCGCTAATCGCCGGCCGCTCACCGCCGCAAACTTTGGCCGATACGCCTAGCCTTGCTTGCGCCACGCGCAACGCGAATTTTGCGCAAGATCCAGATCAAGCGCAACTCATTACTGCTCACATCGGATTTCAGTGGCTCGTTCCCTGCGGGTGCTAGTCCGCCTGCATCCCTGGCGCTGTACAAATGCTTTACCTGTAATACGTACGCTAAGCTCCAATCGCAATGCCAAAAGTGCCTTGTGACCTTGCACACGAAACAACCGCTAATGCCACAGAAAGCACCTCGGTGTGGCATCAAGACGTATTGCGCCCAGAATGCTGCTCGCAGGCACACGCAAGAGGCCATGTCAATTCGTGATGAAATTGCAAGTGAATTTTGTCGGGACAAGCGTCTATTTCCCCACGTTACTTTCGCACGATTGCGCTTCACAGCCTTGATGGACCACTGCAAGCAAAAATTGAGGGATAATTGTTTGGTCGTCAGCCAATCACGGACCGAAGCAGCCCCTGCCTTGTGAGGTAGTTCCGCCCTCACCTGGCGGGACAGTGGGGCACCAATGAAGAACACACTAATGAAGCTCACGCCGTATCCTTGGAGGCGGCGTAGACCAGGAGGTCAATAACTCTGTTGGAGTAGCCGGTCTCGTTGTCGTACCAAGAGACGAGCTAGACGCGCAAGTGCAGGTAGGGGCAGCGTCAGGTGAGCAAGTCAGTTTCCAGAACCGTACAACGGGGCTCTTCGAATGCTACTCACCTTGACGAAAGTGGGGCTGAGAGCGATACCTGCCTTGGCGTCAAAGACAGAAGAGCTGGTGTTGCCGTTAAAGTCGGTAGAGACAACATCGTCCTCCGTGTAGGCAAGGATACCCTTGAGCTCGCTCTCGGAGGCACGCTTGATCTCAGCCTTGATCTCGTCGTAAGAAGCGCCCTTCTCCAGACGAGCGGTCAGGTCAACGACGGAGACGTTGGTGGTGGGAACACGGAAAGACATGCCGGTGAGCTTTCCGTTGAGGGAAGGAATGACCTTGCCGACGGCCTTGGCAGCACCAGTCGAAGAGGGAATGATGTTGGTCGAGGCACTTCGTCCGCCACGCCAGTCCTTGCCGGAGGGGCCGTCCACAGTCTTTTGAGTGGCGGTGGTGGCGTGAACAGTGGTCATGAGACCCTCAGCGATGCCGAACTTGTCGTGAATGACCTTTGCGAGGGGCGCCAGGCAGTTGGTGGTGCAAGAAGCGTTGGAAATGACCTGGATTTTGGGGTCGTAGGCGTCAAGGTTGACACCGACCACAAACATGGGCGCATCGGCAGAAGGAGCAGAAATGACGACCTTCTTGGCGCCGCCCTTCAGGTGAGCAGCAGCCTTGTCGGTGGTGGTAAAGACACCAGTGGACTCGACGACGTAGTGAGCGCCAGCCTTGCCCCAAGGGATGTTGGCGGGGTCGCGCTCAGCGAAGACCTGGATGGCCTTGCCGTTCACGATGAGCTTGCCATCCTTGGTAGAGACTTCTCCCTGGAAAGGTCCGTGGGTGGAGTCGTCTGTAGCCGACATGAGACAAGGCAAAATCAGCGCGCTGCCCGAATGTCCACGGCCGCCACGAGACATATGCAGTGCGATGCGGTGCGACGCTCTGGTCACATGTGAGAAGAGTCGCACAGACATGAGCCCAGCATTTGTGCTGAGTGCCGGGCGCATCTGCCTCAGTCCAGAGCGCGCACGAACCGCTGACTCGCTTGACCCACAGTCATCGGCGATGTCACTTACACTTGAGCATGTAGACCTGTCAAAATGCCGGGCGTAACCGCTTGTCAGTCTTTGAACCTCGAGACATCGTATTAGACCACACTCCTACCCCGCTCACCATGTACTCGAGGTCGATGAAAGGGTCGTTGATGGCAACGACATCAGCCTTTCCGTGCTTGATCGCAGCGCGGAAGACGATACGACCAATACGACCGAAACTGCGAGAGTGGTGGAAGACGCGGCATGATGGGTGAGCTTTGGACGTAGAGCGGCGCGTAGAGTCACACTTGTCTCCTGTTCAAACTGTTTCAAACTCACCCGTTGATGCCTACTTGGACAGCCATGATGTGCGACAGTGGATTGTGCGTGAGTGTGCTTGGGGATGTGATGATTGTGCAAGTCAAGATGTGACTGGGGGTTGAGGAACGAAAGGTAGAAGAACATTCAGAAATGATTCGCTTTGCTTTGCTTTGCACTCACTGACTCGCCTCCGCTCAACCCAGGCGTGTGCATTTGATTTGCGGACGATGGACTGACCGACCACACGCACAATCGCGGTAGACCTTCGACGGACGTCTCCACCTGTGCGATCTGCGCATGATGGAGCTGGCTGGCTGGCTGGCTGCCTGCCTGCCTGCCTGCAATGGGCAAACACGGGTGAGGTGTTGCAGGCGCGTGGCGGTAAGGTCGCGCGGCAGCATCCTTTCGCCACGCAATTATAAGCAGCATGCGCGTGCCATGCATCAATTCTGCGCGTGTGACTCAGACTCGAGCACAGCATCAGCAGCGCACGGTTCACGCGCCATCCAGCAGCCGCCGCGCCGCCTTGAACTTGTGCTGATTGCGATCGACCGATCAAGCGCCGCGAGCGTCATTCAGCCAGCATGCATGGACCCAACACATCGCTGCTGCTGCTGCTGCTGCTGCTGCCGCATGCAAATGATGGGCGAGGAAGGCGCTCCCGCAAGATCTTCCCCCAAGCAAAAACACATCGGATTTTGGAACCGAGTGAAATGAGCACGACCACGAGGGGCTTTACAAAAAAAGCTCTAGATTGCCCATATATGCAGCCTCGACGCCTCTGCGTCTTCCCAATCTGCTGGGGAAGCGCATATCAATACCATCGACATCCTGCAGCTTACATTCAATTCACCATTGCTCCAGCACAAAGAACAATCGCAGGTCATGAGTCCAAGTCAAGTCACGCCCCCCCCCCCCATCCTGAATGATGCTGCTGCTGCTGTGTGGACCAGACAGTCATGCACTTTTCCGTCTGGTGCATCTGTGATTCAGGGTTGCGTGCCGCCCACGCATGCCCTTCCCGGCCTCGCCCGGTGCTGCACAGCCGCGGCGCGCGTCCATCGAGCCCGCCCGCGCGTGGCTTGCTTCCCACGTGCTTTCCCGAAAAAGCGCTGGACTTCGCTTGCGTAGCCCGGGGGGCGGCCGTTTCGGAAGTCGCTCGCTCGCATATCTGCATCGCTCATCAAGGGAATCTTTGTAGGACATTAATGCCGAATGAGCCCGAAGAAGGCTCAGAAGTCAAGCAGGGTTTTTGGTGAGCCCGTGTGGTATCTCATGCTCAGTCGACGCAAACTCGCCCATCAAGCCTACCGAGAACGACTCGACGCAATCGTGGATCATGAGTAGCGAAGCACGAGCTGGCTAATCAATTCCGCAGTCTGGAGTATCCGACAAATCCTGATCAAACATCGAAGTGCGCTCATCCTCGTCTCCCTGCACCTAGGCGTTGAACAGTCCGAGCGAATAGGCCTTCCCGTCAAGTAGCGAGTCGGCATCCACGATCACGACCATTGTGCACCATGCATTGCATTCGTGATTCCTGCGTTGACTCGATGAATGATCGTGAGGAGATTGGGCACGCTCGTCTAGCTCGCAACGTGCCAGCCAAGAGCTGAGCAAGAGCGCATCGAAGCCGCCAGGTTTTACTTTTGCGCAGACTTTGATTTTTGGTCAAAGATGGCCGAGATGGAAGACCAGACGACCTGTTGAGATTGAGCTGCATCCACAGCGGCTAAAGTGAGACACGAGGACATGTCGCGTAGTTGCCGCGTCAGCTGCGAGCTATTTTGGTCTTGTCGATTCGAAGCGCATACACTTACACCAAATGCCTTGCTTTCTGTAGTAGTCGGTCACAGCTGCGGTCTGAGCGTGGTAGGTGCCCAATCTCTTCTTGAGCGTCTCGGCATTATCGTCGGACCTCTGAATCAGAGGTTCGCCAGTAACATCATCCGTCATGGGCTTCTTGGGAGGGTGAAATTCCTTGTGGTAACTCCTGCCGCTTGGCGGGTGAATGAGTCTTCCGGTGATGCGAGAGATCAGTAGTTGGTCATTGATCTTCAGCTCGACAGCATGATCCAACTTTTGCTGTTTTGACTTGAGCATGTCGTCTAGCTTCTCCGCTTGAGGTGTTGTGCGTGGGAAACCATCCAGGATGAATCTATGCCAGAACCATGAGCGAAACGAGCTCAGCGGATGCACTTCTGAGCGTTGTGAGGGCTCACACTCTGCAGCGATCAGCCTTGCGCTCAGGCGTGTGCCTACGCATCCCAACCCCGAGCTGCGCTCCCAAACTTCGTATTTTGCCTCGAACAAGCTTTCTGCTCCAACTCACCCATTCGCACATTGTTTGTTCTGCTCCAGCTGGTTCTCGATCATGCCCACCATGATCTCATCCGGGACCAGTCCTCCTTGATTCATAATCTCTTTTGCCTTCTTGCCAAGATCAGTACCCTGTGCCACTTGTTCGCGAAGCATGTCGCCCGTAGCCAAGTGACAGATGGACCCGCTGAACCTTTGCAGGATCTTGGGAGCTTGCGTTCCTTTGCCTGCACCAGGAGGACCGATGAGGATCATGCGAACACCCTCGTTGGATGAGGCCAGACTTCCAAGCACCAAGCCGGCCGTGGATTCGATCGACTTGATCTTGTCATTCAATTGCGAGACGAGAGACTTGAGATATGCCAACTCGGCGCTGCTGTTACCGCTCTGGTCTGACTTTTTGCCGCCAAAAACCGCTGCGCGTGGCAAAAGCATGTGGATGGAGACGTGTGGCTCAGCTGATGCTTTTGCCAAAAACTCTGCGCGATCCTCACTCACCTGGGTCCGGCGCAGCGGGCGTGTTGGCAGTGGTGGAAGTGGCCATAATGAGCCAAGATCAAGAGGGTGGGCGAGCTGCAGTGAGGATGGGAAAAGGGTCGAGAAGACAAGTCGTGTGCAGAGAAGAGGGGGGTTCAGGGGAGGAAAGCGAAGGCGTAAGTGCTAGCTGTCAAGACCGAGTCACGATTGTGAGAGTGAAGGTGGGAGTCGTGAGTGTTTGAACGTGGACGGCTGTGAACGAGGTTGCGAACTCGTCATTCGATCAAGCTTGCGTGACGTGCCAGCTGCTGATGCTCGATCAGGTTCGGCGCGCAAGAAGAACTCACGACTGCGAGCGCGAGCGCGAGCGCGCGCGCGCGCACAACGGTTGCTCGGCTAGGCTGCCGGCTGCTGCTGCTGGATGCGTCGATGCTTGCGATGCACGGATGAGGCCGCGATGCTGCGTCTGGCGCCGGCCATCGGCGAGCAAAGCAAGCAAAGCAGCAGCATCGTCAAGCGGGCGCGTGCATGCGTGCGTGCCTCCACAATGCGAGCAACGCACGCGTACCGGCCACACACGCACGCGATAGCTGCTGCCAAGACACTCACGCGGTATGGGAGCGGTGGCTGGGTTGACTTGCGACTCAGATCAGACTGTGTGACTGTGACTGTGACTGTGACCGTGAACATGAACGTGACCTCCAACCCAATTCCAAGCTGACGAGGCGAGGAGCTGTCACAATCTGCAATCGATGGTTAGCTGGTCTTGTGGCATAACCAGACGCTTCAGCGTGGAGAGGGAGGGCTTACAAGCAAAGAAGAGCGAGCCTCTCGAATTCCAGCATCACGTGAAGCGCCGGAAGAAGGTCGAATCAAGAATTCAGATTGGGCCAGACAAACTTTTGAGTGAAAGTTGGACACAATTTCCCACTGCTCTGGTTAATCCAGAATCTGAATATGCCATCTGATCCGCTTGACTTCCCACCGATGATGAGGGTAGCAATTCTAGGAGGTGGCCCAGCTGGCATGTCAGCTTGTATCGAGCTCTTGCGCGTTGGTCAGGGCAGATTTCAGCCAACAGTGTTCGAGCGAAGGAGCCGATTGGGCGGCATCTGGAATCATGAAGACATCAAGAGCAGTCGGATCCTCTTCGACGAGCAAGGAAGGGCTCATGCTCTCGCTACAGCCGTCAACGGGGATTGGGCTCCCGGCGCCATGTTTGAAGGATGTGAGGAAAATCGCGAGTCGCTTTGATGGACTCAGGTCTCGCTCTAGGAAGCTCATGGTTACCGCATTCATCCGCCACCCTTTCGCTTGCAAGTGAGGACGAACATTGCCAGCGACCTCATGACGTTTCGAGATGCGCCATTTGCACCAGGCACTCACCTGTTTCCGGACAGATGTGAGCATGTGTGCCCTCCTCCACGATCCGATTCGCTCGCGCCGAGCGCTGACCATCGCCTTCTCTCGTGCGCGCTCCTGACAGCCACGGTGAACGATTATTTGAAGGCCTATGGGGATGATCACGACGTCGAGCGGCATATTCGATTCAATCGCTCGGTCGACAAGCTCCGCCGGTTGCACAACGTGCCAGGCCAACAGGGAAGATGGGAAGTGACAAGCACTGCTGTGGAAGACTCCTCCTCTGGTGCTCCTCACAGAATCGTCGAGCGTTTCGACAAAGTCGTGGTGCGTGGCTCGAATCAGGCGACATCGTCTTGGGACCATTCGAGCTGATCATTCGACGCGCTCTTGTTGATCGTCATTAGATCGCGACGGGACGCTGTGCTAGACCTTCGCTACCGCCAGTAAACGGGCTCTGGAATTATGGGGGCAAGATCATGCACTCGAGCTGGTACAGATCACCGGTGCCTTTCCTGGGCAAGGTGCGTGCGTCTCGTAGCTGAAGCCTAGCCGCGCGCGGTAAACTGATCAAGAATCGCTCTCGTTGAATGTCCAGAAAGTCCTCGTCGTCGGGAATGCGAGTTCGGGAATGGACATCGCCAGGGAAATGAACGGTTCTGTGTTCCGAGCGATCCCGGGTCTCAAAGGATTCGACCTCTCGGCTGCGAAGTGGTCGGAAGCGCTGTCTAGAGCTCCAATTCAGGTCTACCAATCGGTCGAAGACGTAGACAAGCCTCCTCCAATGGATTACGACCCTAGAGATCCCGCTAGTCCAGACTGGTGCCGCAAAATTCAGGTACTCCCTCGGATCAAGCACGTGGAAACCCGAGACGGTAGCACAGGCCAAATCATCTTCGAAGACCAAAGTGTCCACGATGATTTTGATGCGATCATATTTGCGACTGGTTTCGTGTTGTGAGTGCAGACTTCTGCTCGCCCAAGCGTTGTGTTGCACACACTCGACGCACTTGGCTGAAGCCATGCTCGTCCGCCTCAGCGAGTTCCCGTTCTTGACAAATGACGCGCCATTTGACAAGGTGCCACTCTTGCCGACGTTAGCGAGCGATGCTCCAAGAGAGTCGTCCCCTGCACTCCACTGCGCCCTGGAACGGCAAGGAGGACCTTACGTACCACCGTCTTCAGCTCCGCGCCTTTCAAATATGGATGACTGGTTGTTGTTTTACGAGGGCGATGCCAGCATTTGCGTCCTTGGGTGGGTGCAAGCGCGATTCTCAACGTCTTCATCACCTGGACTCGGCTGAAACGCGAAAGTTTTGAACACAGGGCTCCGACCACTGTGATTCCCTTTCACCTTACACAAGCTCAAGCTCGGTGAGTGTCATCGAGCGCAATAACACTGTCCGAGACGAACAGGTCTGACCCACAATGGCTGCACGCAGATACGTGGCGCATAGATGGCTGGGCAACGTAGGTAGCCTACCCCGTCTAGATCCTCGCCTATCCACTACGGACCCAGCGCGGTGGACAAGTCAAAGAGCGACAGACGAGAGGCTTTCCACCTGGCCCAATCCCAAGCTTGCAAGTGGTACCAAGCTGGAGTCGCAAGAGGCATTCCAGCTTGAGAATGAAGGAGCGAATATATGTTCGCACGTCTTTGGTAATCCGTCAGATTCGGCCTACGTAGGTGAGTCGCTTTCCTTGGCATGCTTCTCTGCGAGACTCATTAGATGAGCTCACACTTCCATTGCGCGTCTTGGTCACGCTAGACACGCTCCTCTCGTTGCTGCCCGAAGAAAGGGCAGGAGGTGAAGCTCCATGGGAAGAAGAATACAGACGCAACTCGAACGGAAAGGGGGATGGAATGCCGCGCGGGTCCGAAAATTGGTTCAAAACTCCTACTTGGAGAAGAGAGAGGCGGAACAATGGAAGAGTGCTTCGACGAGAGAGACTCGGTTACTAAGCCTTCCATGAGAGCGGATCCTGTGTCTATAGCGTCAAGGTCGTCCATCAGAATGCATCCCAATGACCAATTTGACCACTTCGCGCGGATGTCGATCGCTTCTTGCCATGCGCCATTGCCTGCTGAGATCGGATCACGAACGTCCAGATTTGACGTGATGCACGCCGTGAGCCTCAGATTTCCACGGAGAAAGATGACAATGTGTCTCGTCTTCCTCCACCGCTCGATCCCAACCTGCCTCCATTCGCAAAGGATGCACTCTTCTATAGGCCGCCACCCTGTGAGCAAATTGCACCGCCAGGTCGGCGCACTTCGAGCGTGACCGATGCTTGAGGGGCGATCTCGCGCCAATTGTTTCCGCTGGGGAATGTATATGACAACGGCCCGAAGGTCAGCAGAGGCTTGACCAACCGATCAATCCAAATCTAGCTTGCACACGGATCTGCAGTCACTCCACCTCGTTGATTAGCATGCCCGCCGCCAGTCCCCCAGGCGCATTATTCGCTCTCGAGGCTACGAAACAAGAAACCACCCGGGCCGATGCCCCAATTGTGGAGCGGTATTGTGCAAGCCCGCTGCCAGATCGAATCTCGCCTGAGAGAGGGGTACCGAAGCACCCAGCGCACGCATCGCTATTCACTCACCGTGGTCCGAGGCGCTTTCAGATCGTGATGCAGACCACGATTGCACATCTTATCGAGCGCTGCTAGGCCCGCTTCCTTCTTCGCCGTACGGCGCGCCTGAATAAGAGCATCAAGCCGCTCCATGGTGGAGTTTGTCCCGCCTCTGGTCGACCTTGACTTACCGCCGTTTCGCGGCGCTAAGAGTAGGTTCAACCATTCAATAGGCACGCCCGAGCGACAAGCAATCTCGAGTGTCTCACAGATGGATAGGTTCAGGGGTGCGCACAACAAAGCACGCGAGTTGTACTCGAGCGTCGTCTTGCTTCGCCCTCCTCGCCTTCGTCTGGACTGTCGACAGGAAATGATGTCGACTCTTTCGCTCGCATGTATGCACGCCTTTTGCTGCCTGCACGGTCGTCAGTCAGCTACACGCTGCGTATATGCCATTCTTGATTGTACGACATGCGCTGGCCACAGCCCACAGGCGTGGAAGTGTCCGCCACATGTCATCCAGAGAATCGCTGCAGAACTGTGACTTGAGGCTCCTGTGCTTGCCTCACGACTCTTAGACACACTTGGGAACGGCCCGTCGTCAGTGCACGCCGACCCTCGAATGAAAACGTCCGCGCCAGTTCAAGCGCCGCTGCTCCCTCTGAACCCACGAACGACACGCCGACAACATGTGCACGATATGTTCTAGCCGAAAACATGTGCACGATATGTTCTAGATTCATCCGATTGACTGTAGAGTTGCCCGATTCCGACATGCTCTCGCAAAGCATCACGCTTATTGAGCTTGCTTCAGACGCTCCTCGGCAGTCTTGAAGTTGATGACTACTCGGAAGCAGTCACGAAATTATCAAGGCAAGGAGAAAGCAGCATGATATGTAAGTCCGTCGCGTCTCCGTCTTGACCGCTTCAAAGCGGCGCTCACCGTTCCAGATGGCCTTGAAGTAGTCTGCCTTCACGTTCTGGTATTGGAGGTAGAATGCGTGCTCCCTGCGGTACGCGCAAGATGTTGTACAGGACCATTGGTGAGTGTTACCATCACAAACCGCAACAATTGCTCCAATGTGAGAGCGTAGCGCAAAGTGAAAGTGCTTTCCATGCTCACCAAGCATCAACACCGATCAATGGAACGTGAGCTGTGAGGAGAATCGTGGGCGGGTCAGACCGAGTACGTTCTCGCGTCACAACTTTGACGTGAATTGGCGTCGACACATACAGAGGAGTGGGTCCTGGTTTGCAGTGGTGATAATGTCGAGCTTGCCGGTAGAAGGATTGAGTCCAAGCCAGCCCCAGCCAGAACCCTGAATGCCAGCCAGCTGAGCATTGAATTTGCTCTTGAGCCCGTCCAGAGAGCCAAAGTCACGTTCGATTGCCTCTTTGAGCGGACCTGCGGAGAGCTCTCCTCCACCTTGCTTGGATGGAGCGAGATTTTGCCAAAAGAGAGAGTGGTTGACGTGACCTGCGTGGGGCGTGTCGTCGTAGCGCGCTCGATTTGGGTCAGTGGCACGGAACGAAGTGGCACTGCGCATAGCGGTTGAGCTACTGACCTCCGCCGTTGAAGTTGAGAGCCTTTTGAGTAGCGATGGCAGCCTTGACATCGTTCTTGGCAACAGCATTTGCCAGAGTTTCCTCGGCTTGATTGAGGCCGTTGACGTACGTTTGGTGGTGCTTCTGATGGTGGAGCTCCATGATCTGTCCGCTAATCGAGGGCTCGAGAGCCTAGAAGAGGGCACGGTCGGGTCAAGGTGAGCATACAACCGCATCGGCGCGCAGCCAGCATCGACCCTGGCAAAGCAGACTCACACCAAAGTCGTATGGCAGGTCTGGCAGCGTGTGCTTGGAGCGCACGCCCATGGACATGCTAGCGAGGCCAAGGCGGCTACCAGCGTTGGCCGTCGGGGCGACGGCAGCGATTCGGCCAAGCGCAGTGCGAGCGAGCATGTTGACTTGTAGAAATTGAGTGGTTTCGGTGGGAGTGCTTACAATGCGACCTGTTCATAAAGGGTGAGTATGGTGGTTGTCACATAAGGAGAACAAGCTGTGCGTGCACCTGTAGTCACAAGTGTACGTGTGCAAGCAGCTGTCGGCCCAGCTTCTCCGACTCACGACTGATGAGTTGCGACATGCCCGAACTGCGAAACGTGAGTCTCGAGTGCGAATCGAATCGTGTCATGAGTCCCTGCTGCATGTTATGGCTCACAACGCAGCCTTGCCCGATCAGCCCGTGCGTCACGCTGCTCCGTGCTGTGTATACGCTTCTGCCCGCGGTGGAGGCGGCTTTTAATTGTTAAGCTCACCACTTTGGCTGTTGACGCTTGACTGCTACGCAACAGCTTAATCCAAGATTCAAATTCAAGATTCACATTCATGATTGCGATGTTGCATCGCACGTGAGCGCGCGTTTCGGGCTTTAGCACGTGACTTGCATCAACCCCAGATTCTCCGCCGCGCGAGTGTGAGTGCAGCTGGCCGAGCGTGAGGCACACGGGCTCGAGAGCACACACGCGCGCATCCTACATCATCAGCTCGCACAGCGATCGAACGCGTAGACATCACGAAAGAGCACCGACGGGCAAGGGCATCGGCATCAATCAGCAAGCAAGCGAGGCTGTGTGCGTGCGTAAGGAAGGCCATTCGGATTTCCATTCGAACCCAATCTGCATCAGATTCGTCGCGCATATCAGCGCACTCATGAGCAACATCACCATCGACCCATCATCCACACACACACATCGTCACTCACACTGTGACCGATTCACTCACGACCGCAGTCACCAAATTCAAGTCCCGGGATCGCACAGCGTCCGCAGTCGCGCTGCACTCGCCGACAAGCCATTCGTCATCTTCACCCCTCCGATTGCGCTCCTCCTTTGTGCGAATATACAGTCTACGACTTTCGAGACATCGGCCACGCACGAGCTTGGCTGGCTTTGCTCAGCTTTGCTCGACGGGCACCATTTGCGCCCTCCGCAACGTGAGCAACCAGTGTCGGCTTCAGCACCATCGTCGTCACAAGTCTGCATACACGCGAGACCTAGAGGCTGTTCTCCGCGCTGCAAGATCACTGCTAGACGAGTGGCGATCTTTTTCCGGTCCCCTTGGCACACTACGCTGCTCAAGAGGGAGGAGCGTATCGAGAGCATCGAGTGCGCGACTTTCGCCAACTTATGTCCTCGTATGCGCTCCATTTTTGAACTCGTTCGGACATCATGACGACGCGCAGTACTCGCAGCACCAGAAGTGCCAAGGAGCGCATGACGGATGGGGATGTCTATGTTGTGAGTGTGACCGATCCTTGAGAGGCTGTATGCTTCCCGCTCATGATGTACGCAGGCTTGCGTCGAGCTGACGGTATTGACCACGATCCGCCTACTTTGCCGTGATCAGTTCCTGCTCCAAGTATCGGTCCTTTCTTGGGCGCAGCGGCACCAAGCCGGAGCCGATTCCAAGTCTCCTACCACCGAAGTGCCGCCCTCTGTGCCTGCGGCGACGATCAAAAAGGCCGAGGCGTCTGGTGCTGCCGCTGCTTCGGCATCCACTAGCAAGACGGATTGGATGAGCTTAAGCGGCTTGGCAGACATGGTCAGGGATGTCAGCCTCACTTCCAAAGCTGCGCGATTCCCCGAAAAGCTCTTGAAGCGCCTCAGTGAGAGGCTCGAAAGGATCGCCATGGGACGGGATCCCTACTACAATGACCAGAGTCTCCGACAGACCGTCGGAGTCTTCTATGGCACCTACAAGGAGGCTTCCCTGCAGAAGCAATTCAGAGAGAACAGGAAGGTGGAGGAGTTGATCTTGATCTTTGTCACATCTGCGCAAAAGACTCTCAGAGCGAGGATAGAAGGGGATGGGTGGAAGGAGGAACTCAACAAGCAGGTCGGCCAATTCGTCAAGATCGTGCGCGAATGCTTGAAGACTATGCATGGCGTGTCGCGAGAACTCACCGACAGGCTGGATGGCTACTCTGCCAAACTCTCTCCCGCTCCCATCAGTTTGGGCCAAGCTGACCCCGACGCGACGAAGAAACGGGAATCGAATGGAGCGGATCTCAATGCTGTAGCTTCCTCCTCCAATGCACTGGCCACGGAAAGGAGGGCTAGCGCAGCGAGCTCGGTCACTGCTGTGGGGGGCGGCAATCCGATTGCCGAGTCTGCAATGATTCGCACTGTTGGCGAGCTGTTTCAGGTCGAAGAAGAGCAATTGCGAAAAGATGTCGATTTCATGAAAGCTACTGCTACCGAGAAGGTGAGACCCCTTGTTACCGCATACACGAGGAGTTACCGGTTGCCCTCTGCCCATGCGAAGCTGCTAACCAACATAGCTCCATACGCCGGGACGCTCCAGGCTGCCATGATAGATCTGAAGCACTGCGTAAAGAACATCAACCTTCAGGCCTCCTGGCCCGCACGGAGAGAAGACTTCAAGTCTGATGAAGCTTATCAAAAATGGCGAGGACAGGAGTTGCAAGACTTGTCCTCAATCATGGCGCAAATGTGTCGAGCTAACCCAGAGTTGCTTCGCACAACCAATTCGGACATCAACCCCAGGACCGGAACCGGCGCCGGTAGTGGCGCCGGTGCTGAGGACGGCGGCAGTGGTCCAGGCGCGGGAGATGCGGACGCTACTGCCGCGGGCGATGGGCAGGATCCGGAAGATGAAGAGGCCACGTTCGGAGCTTTCACGTTCATTCCGCCCGACCCGAGGGCATACTATCGAAGAGCTCTGGAATTGTGCATCGACTACGATCTAGAGCAGATCAAATACCAGGCTGAAGATGAAGAGGTCTCTCTGAGCATCTTATCACGGTCCCACGTCGAGCTACTCGCCGACTGCTCGCTGAGATGGCGTTTGATGAGCTCGTTCCGTGATTTGACCAACCTCGATGTCATCAAGTACAGGTATGACAGGGGGGAGGTGCCGCTCGACTGCATTTCAGAGGCCCTCTCTGCTACGCAGCACGCCATGACCGACACAAACCTCGAAAATTGGACAAGGAGCGACCACGAGCAACTCGTCAAAGTGTGCACATCGCTTTTCGAGTCTTTCATGCGGTTCATTCACGAGGCATTTCAAGATATGCACAATGTCGACCCGGAGGATGTCCAACCTTACCTCGCTCTCATCACCGATCTCCACGAGTCAGGTCTTGTTCATGCAGATGGTCAGCTTGAGGGCGAAATTTTGGACATGTCGAGGTTTGTCGAAGATCTCAAAGACCGGATACGCATCATGGCCATCCACGAGTACACCGCAAAGACGACGGATCTGTTCTCGCAAATTGTGGACAACGAGATCGTACCACTCGTGCAACTTTTGGAATGGGTAGAGAAAGGAGCTAAGAAGATCGACAGGAAGTACCCTGAACCAGTGCTAGGATCTGTCGACCCTGTCTCGCTGCTCTTGGAAAAGCAAGTCAGCCTCTATCTCGACGATTTGGACTCGATGAAGCAGCAAATTGTCGACCATGCGCGGCGAGACCGGAATGCTCTGCCATTCGAAGATGTCTACACGCTCTATGGCAGGGTGAAGGGCTTGCTACGGATGCATGCAGCATTCTGTCCCGATCTTGAGCTATCCTTCGTGCTTTCCGAATGGTTTGAGCCCCATATCCACCAATGGCTGACTCTAACCGAGAAGAAGACAGGCGAGTGGGTCAACAATGCCATCTCCTCTGATCGGTTTCAGCCCATCGAAAGCGAGGGAGCTGTTCACAGCTCATCCATAGACGACCTATTCGGTGCGCTTCAACAGCCACTAGACTTCATATCCAGCATGGACTGGCCCGACCCTTACAGCAATGCTCGATTTCTGACAAGTCTGGCGAAGACCGTGAGCAGATCGATTGAGCAATACTGTAGTCGAGTGGAGGAGCTCTTCATGGAAGAGATGTTTCCACGCACGGCAGATGATCAGGACGTACAGTCGAAGCAATCCGCGTGGATGGTCAAAGCCAAGCAGACGCTGCAGGGCGAGAAGCGAGTCGAGCCTTTCCACTTCCAACCCACTGTGAGTCAGACAACGCTTCGTCTTATGGCGCCTTTTGCTCATTGCGGGCATCGCTTTCTCTTGGCAGTCCTGCGTCAAGCTGAACAATATTGAAGCGGCACGGTCATTGCTCGACAAGATCTACCAACGCATTGACGCAGATGAGCAAGCTAGGATCATCACCTCCCAGGGGCCTCGAGTACCGGACAAGCAGTCTCAAGATAGGTATATCTTCACTATCAAACTCGTGCTGGGGGAGAACCTTCAGCCTATCAAGTCCTCTTCAGCTACAGCGCGTATCGATTCTTTCGTTACTTTGAGCGACGAGAGGGGCAACAAGATTGCCAAAACCCGTACAATCTACGAGACGCCCGATCCAAGATGGGACGAAGCTTTCGACATTCCTGTAGAAAAGCAAATGTGGCTGGCCGCAACTGTGTGGGACCGGAAGCTGGTCGGAGATCATGTGCTTTGTGGCAGAGCTTACCTGAGGTTAGATCCTAGATACTTTGCCGATCATCTAGCCCATGAGCTCTGGTTGGATCTCGATACTCAGGGCAAGTTGCTCACCAGAGTCAGCATGGAAGGTGAAAAGGATGACATCCTCTTCCACTTCGGAAGAGCGTTCCGATCGCTAAAGCGGTGCGAAAGCGACATGATTCGCATCATTGTGGACAAGGTGGGTTGCTTTTCTCGCGAGGAAAGAGTGAGAAATTCCTTGCTGACCGATGAGAGGTGCATCTTCGGATCCTTCTGCAGATGAGCATCTTCATCAGGCAATGCCTATCCCGGCAAGTTCTGAAGTCGCTCGTCAGGACCAGCGGCATCAATCTGGACAAAGCGCTGGGCAATGTCAAGGCACTGTACGCTCAGGCGCTCGCCAGCACCAATGTCAACGGACCATCGATACCGCCTGTGCAAGCTGACTTGCCGAAGAAGCAGAGGCCGGCCCAGCTTACGGATCAGGAGATCGAAGGAGCTATCTTGCCACTTCTTGACTATCTTGACGAATGTCTAGCCACTCTGAAAGGCAATCTGAGCGAGAGCGAATCTCTTCTAGTGCTCACTAAAGTGTGGAAAGAGGTCCTGAACACTATCGATGCAATCCTGCTGCCACCTCTATCAGACGCTCCCTCGGACATGCCGCAGCTTTCGGGCAAGGAAGTCGAAGTGGTTTTTAAATGGCTGAGCATGCTTAGGAACTACTTCAACGCCTACGACGAGGAAACCGGCATTGCTCACGGGGTGCCCCTGGAAGTCTGTGAGTCAGCCATCTTGCCATTTCGCTCAGTCTCGAACAATTACCAGTCTGACCAAAGCGGCCGGATGTCTTCTTTTTTGAAATAGTGCAAGGACCGAAGTATCGCGAAATTGTAGCATACACTCTACATCACGATGCCAACACGGATTCGTTGATGGAGGCGTGCGTTCGCGAGCTTCAACAGAGACTCCGTCGGGCACCCTCCAGACGCGCCAAGAACAAGAGCGTTCTTCAACAAAGATCGCTTGGCACAATCAAGAAGCGCAAGCAGGACAAAAAGGGAGAGGAGCAGGATGACAGTCTGGACGGTGAGCAGCAAGGGTTCGTCTCGGGATGCGCAGCGAAGCGAGTTTTGGGGGCAAAGTTGTGCGCTTTCCGTATTGCGACGCATCGAAACTGACACCGCAAGCGCGACTGCGGGCTTTTTTGAACACAGTGATTCTGCGTCTGCTTCGTATGCGACCCGGCACGACGGATTTTCTGAGACAGCAATTCGCGACGATCAGCAGTCTGCAGGCAGCCATGGGCAGCGGGGGAGCAGCAGCAGCATCGGCTGGAGGTGGGCCTCGACAGAGACCTCCCGCTATTCAACGAGCATCAAGAGGTCCTGGAGGGGCGCCTCTTCCTCCTTTGCCAAGCTCGGGATATAGGTGACCTTGGGAGTCTGCGGCAATGAACGCTTTGGGCGGATACGGGTACTTCCATGCAGCCCTCTTTCTTTTTGCACTTTGCTCCTCCGCGCATACAAGCTGCTCCGTGTGCGCTTTCTGTTCGTCTTCGTGCCCTCCTATCTCCCCCACTCTTTCGCATCTAACCTTCCAACACCTGTTCCTTTTCGATACCCCCGCCCCCCACTTCTGGCGCATCTGTAATCCGCTCACGTCTTGCGTGCTGCCAATGCTTGAGAGCGCCGCCCAATTCATGCGATCAATCACGAGCGGTCGCTGCAGTTGAGTGCAATTTCGTCAACACCCGCAGCGCCAAGTTGGGCCAGAGGCGCTGTTCAATTTGTTCGTGCTCGAGAATTTTGCAGTTGGGACACCACTCCGCCATCTCCGGCCTGCTTGCGCTTCAGCCTACGACGCCGATTGGACTAGGGCTCCACACATTCGCGAATGCACACGCGTGGTCCATTGAGCGATGTATTTCTTTGGCATCCCGTAAAGGTTCATCAGGGCATGTCTATCATCTTTTGGCAATGAAGGTCACCTCGCTGCATTCGCGCGTTTAGAGACCTGCCTTTTGAGCAGTCTCAGCGACCTGCAGATGTACAAGCGATTAGCTCATGCAGACAGTGGACATTGACGCGGCATGCCGATGACACGTCATCAATACTCACAAATTGAACGCCCTTCGAGATGTTGCCGCTGAGCTGGTCCTGCGCAACCTTGAGAAGCTTCTCCTCCTCTGCGGTAGGCTTGGGCGCAGAGCCGACGCTCTCGACACCCGACTTGCCAAGCTTGACGGGCACAGAGAAGAAGTCCAAGCTTCCGACCACGCCCGACCACTCTCCGGCACCGATAGCCTTGACATCGATGTAGCTGTACTCGGTCGAGGACTTGCCGCCGAAAGCGGCCTCCAGAACGGAGATTGCGAAGCGAGCACCAGCTGCTCATGCACGTCCGTGAAAGGAATGGAACGTCAGCAGGTAGCAAGATGCGCAGCGACGAATGGTCTCACGCACCGTAAGCCATGGAAAGGGTGGCCGATCCTCCACCAGCCTTTGCCTTGACGACCTCGTCACCTCCGAATTGGATGCGCTTGACGATTTCAGCTTGCTTGCTGGCATCGAACTTGATGGCCGGTTGAGAAGCGGAGAGCAGAGGGACAATGGTCTCTCCAGAGTGTCCACCGACGATGGGGACAGAGTAGTCCAGAGACTTTGTGGGCTCGCCATTTGCCTCTGAAACGAAAGTGGAGGCGCGGACAACGTCCAGAGTGGTCACACCGAAGAGGCTGGGGGGGGGGGGGGGGGGGGGGGGGGGGGCGAGAAATCACAGCAGTCTAAGTGTCAGCCTTGGACTTGCTGCGCAAATTTCACAGCTCGCGAGGTCTCACCGCTTGGGGTCGTAGATGCCCTTCTTCTTGAAGACCTCCGCGACGACTGGGACGGTGCTGTTCACTGGGTTGCTGATGACCAGCACAAATGCCTTGGGAGCGTGGGTCGCGATAGCAATGGCAGTGTCACGAACGATACCAGCGTTGATCTGCAAGTTTGTGGAAGAAGCGGTGTCAAAAAGTGCCGGCAAAGGTGAGAAGCTCGCATAATGAGGGAGGCATGACACTCACGTTGAAAAGATCGTCACGAGTCATGCCGGGCTACAAATGGAGAGTGGGCAGAAGCGCACGTCAATAGATGTCGCTGAGGAAGCCTGATGACGTTGAAAGCTGATGGGTCGCAAATGCTATGAGAGCGTACACAACCAGGCAAGAAAGGCGGTGCGGCGCCGCCAAGGGAAGTGCGGTGTGCCTAGAGTCTGCGCTTTCTGCCCGATCTGCTCGAAGCTCGCTGGCAGCATGCCATCTCAAGTCTGCCACGACGCTCACCTTGCGTGGCACGCCAGCAGGAATGACGACGATGTCGGTGCCCTTGAGAGAGTTTGCAAGACCATCGTTGTCTGGCAGGTAGCCTTGGACGACGCTGGGCGTGTCAATGTGAGAAATGTCTACAGCGACACCAGGAGCATTGACGCTGTGTGGGAGAGGAGACACGAGCAGGTGGAATGTGTCAGCGACTTTTGAATGGCGGATTCCTTTGAGATGCAAGGTACGCATACGCACACATCGTACAGGGCGAGATCGGTGATGATGGTGGATTGCTTGAGCAGCAGGGACAGCGGTTGGCCAATACCACCCGCAGCTCCGATGACAGTAGCCTTGACCATGATGTGCGATGTGTATGTGTGTGTGTGTGTGTGTGTGTGTGTGTGTGTGTGTGTGTGTGTTTGAGCGAATAATGGGGATGAAATGGATTGCGTGAGCGAATGATGGTGGTGAGGATGAGGGTGTGGGTGTGGGTGAGGGTGAGGAATCACGAATGGCAGCCGTGCATCGCAGCTGGAAGATGATGGATGGCCAGGTGTGCTTCAGTCACCGACAGCTTACTACTTACTACTGCTGCATGTGGATAGGTATACAGTATACAACTGCCTGCGCTCCCTCGCCTGCTCGCACCGCTCGCTCATAGCTGCTGCTCGCCGGGTGGGCCGGCGTGCACGGGTGCTGGGAAGTCGGATTTTGCTCTCCACCTGCGACTCACACACTTGCATGGCTGTTGGCCTGCGTGCTGCGTGCTGCGTGCTGCTTAGCTGCCATTCAACATTTACGCATCCAAGCACGCAAAGTCGGACTTGGCTTCTCTACTCACGCGGCTCGTGGCTCGTGACGCTCACCCATCACGCGTATATGCACGGAGCAGCAGCTCGCGATCGATCATCAGCAGGAAGTCGCCCGCCCGCCCGGTTGCTCCGCACGGTCTCACGCGCGCGTTGTGTCATGATAGTCACGTGTTGTGCTGATACGCGCGTGAATCCGGAGACCTTTGCTCACACTTTGAGTGCAGTCTGGAACAATCTGCTGCAGTCGTGAGTCTTTTGGCATATGGGACTCACGTGACTATGAGTAACCGCGCGCGCGCGCGACACGCTGCGTGGTATGAATGGGCCGCGTTAATGCTGCCAAATTCCTCGCCCCTCGATCGCCATGCATGCACTCGCGTCTCCTAGCTGCCTGCCTGTCTGCCTGTCTGCCTGCCTGCCAGCCGCAAGCCATGGTCTTCCGACCCACACTCACGCTCACGCTCACACTCGCGCCTCAAGACTCGTGACCGTTTGACTGGCGGAAGAGAGACGGTGGTATGAGTCAAGTATGGCACACGTTGGACCTCAGCATCCATTCAATGAATTGCTTTGCTATAGTAGCCGAATTGATAGGGATCACAGCAGCTCGGCCAAGGACAGGACAGGACAGGACAGGCGGATGTTGAAGCAGGTTCTACCGTGTGAACGCCCTCTGCCGTTGCTCAGCGGCTGACCGGCTTTCGCACCGCTTGTATACAGCAGCATCGGCATCGATGTGGTAAGGAGAGAATGATCCTGCAGCTGCTCTGGCTCCACCTAGAGAGCCGATTGCTGGAGCTGCCAGAGACTGCTTGCCCCGTTCACCGCCGACTGGAGTCACGAGTGGAGAGCCGTGTTGATTGACAAAAGAGGGGGTCCGGAAAGAACAGCGATGCTTCTCGACGCTCAAATCAGCATCTCCTGCTCCGCTACATTTTGCGCGTCTGCAGACATTTGCGATTTGCTTTCCCTCACTCGCACTCTCTTCACATCACTGCTCCTTCTCGCCACAGCTAGGATCAGGCAGTGCTCGCTCACACACAGCAGACCCTTTGTGTGTGTGTCTTTCGTTCAAGTATGTCGTACACGCGCCTTCGAAGACATCGAAACACATCCATCCAGGGCTCAGAGCTTGGGCAAGGATGTCAAGCAACTCGATCGAACAGTAACTGCGACGGTGGTGTTCAGAGGCGCAAGGTGCTGCTCATCGTGTGCTTGTGCATCACCTTGGCGATCATGTATCGTCAAGGGAGAGCGCACACTTTTGCGCCAGACAGCTCACGTACAGCTCCGATGCAGGCGTCGCCTCAAGAGGATCTGCCTCCATTGCTTTCGAGAAGGTGTGCACGAGCGATCGAGGCGGCAGAAGCGGCAGCAGATCGCCCGCTGCTTTTGGTAGTGCCGAAGCAGAAGAAGGAGAATGAGAAGAACAACGTGGGGCGCAGAAGTACGAGATCGCCATCATCCCCTGCGACGCCGACAGCAATGGCACCTCTTCGAGCCGCTTGGCAAGGAGCAAATGATGAGGTGGAGGATGATACGGATGCAGACGCAGGCGCAGAAGAAGGGCAGCAAGAAGAGAATGCAGGAACGGGCGATGACGGTAACGCTCACGGCTCGAGTGAGCAGGAAGATGACAATGGCAGCGAAGAGGATGGCCAGCGTGGACCAGCCACGCAAGGCGTCCCGGGCTCAGCGGAAGATGGCAGCGAGGCCGGATCGAGTGCACACATCGCATGGCCCACAAGCTCGATCAAAGCCGGTCAATCTTGGTCGCTACCTGCGCACTTTCAGAACATGACCTCATTCAACATTCTTCGTTTCAGTTCTGGACAGGCAAACATGGACGTCATGACTAACGGTTTGCCAGACTACGCTTTTGCTCCACCGCCTCCCGCACTCGCTATTCCTGCAGCACAGACTGCTAATTTGAGTGCGAGTCAAGTTGGCGAGGACGTGCAGAGTGGTAATGGCAGAATCGCCAACGGAAGCACGGGGGGTCAAGTTGATATTGGGGGAGCACAGCCTGCCTCTGCCGATAATCAAGGGGCTGCAGGTCAAGCCCAGCAAGCAAGGAATACGACATTGTACTCCTCTGGCGCTCAGCAAGCAGCGGCAATGCTGGGAAAATCTGCTCAGCCCCTGCGAGTGGTTCAGCCGCGCTCTTCTGTAGTCAAAGCGAATGCGGGACTTTCGGCTGCGGTAAGCAACGCACCAGACTCGGTCCTGCAGGTGTATTATCCCCCCGGTGAGCTCCTTTCTCGGGGTGTCTTGACGATGCCCACACGCCGCTGAAGTGTCGTCTCTACCCGTAGGCTCGTCAAATCCTGGCTCAGAACCTGTAGGAGGAACGCAATTCTACGCTGCAACACCACTCAACCTCACATCCGCACTCGCCGTCACTCTGTCCTACTCTGTCTTTTTTCCCGCTTCTTTCGATTGGGTCAAGGGGGGAAAGCTACCCGGCTTGTACGGTGGGCGGGAAAGCTGCTCGGGTGGTGATGAAGCGTCCGACTGCTGGAGCGCAAGGTTCATGTGGAGACCGGATGTGAGTCCGCGTCGCGCTGCTGCTCGGGTCGTTCGACGTCGAGCTCTCCCCTCTGACGAGCGTCAATTGCCGGGTAAGAAGGGCGCAGGAGAATTGTACATGTATCGTGAGTCTGACAGTCTGTTCGCATTGAACCTGCAGAGCTCCCCAGCCCGAGCGATACACGAGCGCGAATGCTGTCACGCTGCGTGCGCCTCGCTTGCAACACGGCTTTGATCGAGAATTGGGATCGAATTTCAGCAAATGACGCTATCTTCGTTCATCAGTTCGAGATCATCGTTCGACCCACAGCCGAGTGCCATGCCGCCTGTCAAGCAAACGGTTTGGAAGGTCGACGTGCTTTTCAAGACTTCTGCCTCATTTCGACTCGCGACAGTTCTGCAAACTACCGAGAGAACGCTTGTCCTAATTGATTCTCTCCATCTTGGTCTTCTTGATCGAGCTGACAGTCCCACAGGTGCAACAAGATCCAGCGATCTGTCAGCTTCCGCCCCACACCATTTGCAATGTGAGCACGCGGACCCACTCTGCGACGCGCAAGGTCGTGATAGAAGCTGAACTCGACCTTCGCTTCAAAGGGCGACTATGGTCTTTCACTAGGTCGAGGATCTTTCAGCTTCACCAGGGGCGCATGGACGCGTCTGACCCAGACCATCGAGCTGGGGATAGGCGCCAATGTGCAAGACGGCAAATTGACAGTGTACAGTAATGGTCGTCAGGTGCTGCATTTCGATCGAGTCGCTTTTCCCGCTGCGCACAAGGGTCTATTCTTTTCTACGTGAGTGGCACCTTTGGATATAAGGTCGTTCGATCCGCTGCTGCGAACATCATCCGCGCCGTCGCAGTTCGTATTGACTCGCCTCTCCCGCACAGCTTCTTTGGTGGTCACGGAGAGTGAGTTGGATTGCTTCTGGATACGAACGCGGCACAATTCTCCTGACTGACAACAACCCCTCCTTCTCTGCGCGCTAGCGAATGGGCCACGCCTCGGCCGCAAGCAGTCTATTTCAAAGGCTTCCGAGTGACCATCACCAGGTAGCAAAATGTGTCGCATTGCGAGCATCGAGACGGTAGGCTTCAATGGCAACATTCAGACCCTTTGTCTTTTTGAGCGTCTTGCCGGTGTAGAGTCCTCCGGCGCACTCTCCTTCTTTGGCCTGCCTCTGCGCTTGCCTGTCGCGTCAGCAGTGCCCGGAGATGCATGCGTTTCAGCTGGTGGAGAAGCTTGGCTCTTCTTGACGCGGCTCTTGCCTTTGCCAAGCAGTCCAGCAGCTTTCAGTGGGCACACATCGGATTGCAGAGCAGCTGGAGCCTTGTGTTCCTTGTCTGCTTCTTCCTTGACTTCTCGCACTTGTTCTTTCGCGTCCCTTTGCTCATCTACCCCGCCTGCATCTTCGGTCTCTGCTTTGATGGCAAGCTCTTGTGTGCCGCTTTCCTCTTTCTTGATGGCAACGTTGGTTTTGCTGTCATCCCTAGCGCCCGTCTCGTCAGCATCCTCCGAATCTTGTCGCCGCGCCCTCTGATCCGTCGCAAAGCCCTTTGCGCTGCAGTTGGCGCAGCTCTTGCCGTGTCTGATGAGCAAGACGTGCAGACCGTACTTGAGCTCGGAAGGTAGACGTTCCGCGAGATGAAAACTGTGGACGAGAGATGAGAGACATGGTACAAGTTTAGAATTGGAGGCTGGAGCGAACTGATGCAGACGGACGCACGTACGCCGGCATGCGCAACTCACTAAGTCTGATCTCGAGTGGCCTTGTCAGGCACCCACCCAAGCGCTTTGGAAAGCCTGTATACGTGCGTATCGACGGCCATCTCGTCGTTGCCGATGCAAAAGGCACTGCAGCAGCTTGCGACCTTTGGACCAACGCCGTCAAAAGCGACCAGCTCCTCCATGACTTGTCGAGCAGGAGCAGAGTGTAAATGATCCAGCGAGAGTACACCGTGCAGTTCCGAGGTGCGTCGAAGTATCTGAGTGTATGATTGGGGGGGGGGCAGGAGAAGGTGATGTGAGCATGCTTGCTGGCGTCAGCCAGTTCAGACGTGTTGGCATGCAAGCCGAGGTCGCCGAGCAACACAAGCTCACCCCTTGGATGATCCTAGCTTTTCTGTCATGCAATCCACCGCAGCGTATCACTTCTGCCAACTGAGCGTGGGGAGCATCCAATAGCGCTTGAAAGTTTTTGCTGCCATAAGCTTCGCACATGGCCTTGTGAGCTGCTGTGCTGTTCTTGCTGCTTGTGTTGCACGACATGACCGTTCTGATCAGGGCGTCCAGCACATTTGGACTTGAGTGTGGGGAGTGGGTCCACATGCAGGGTTGTAGGAGGATCGTCATTCGGATGCTTTTTCGCACGCCCGCCCGCTCGACCGGCCAGCCACCGGACCGAGGGCGCGCTTCGCACTGCCTGGCCCACCTGATGGCGCTACTCACACGTTGCCGCAACCACCAAACTTGTCCTCCCTGTGCATATTTGTGGTCTTGCGTGGAATGTCCTTGTATCCGTGCCACTCTCTGAGCACGTGGGCCACCTCCCAAGCCTGCTCCGACGTTGGGGCCACGTGATTAGGAAAGGGACCAGTGTCCAACGAGTTCCTCAACAGATTCAGCTTCTTCTCCGATTGCGTCTGCTTGCTAGGCGACGAAGGTGCGGCGCTGTCGCCGTCTTTGCCCGTCGTCTGCCTCTCAGCCGCTTGCTCCACTTGCTCCACCTCCTCCTTCACCGCCTTGCCCCTGGATGCGCGTGATGCGCCGCGGCGCCCCGTGCTTGCGCTGCTGGATGCCGTGTCGAGCATCTGCTTCATCTCCGATGCCGGTGGGGTGGGTGGTAAGGAGCCAGGTTTGACTTGACGAGGAGGGGTTGTCTTCGTCGTCGTCGTCACAGGAGCGGAAGCTGCGCTGTTCGCAACTGATCGCTTAGGTCTAGGCATGGCGCACACTGTCGCGCTGCACCGACCTAACTGCGAGAGGGGAAGGAAAAGCGCTGGGTGGAGCTGCGGGCGTGCGGCACCTAAAGGATGAGTGCTGAGGCAGAGTAGCCGCTGAATGACGGGCGATGGCTCGAGTAGCGGGGACAAGCGCCAGTCAAGGTGCGAGTCAGCTGAGCGTCTTGGTGAGGTGACCGCTGGACGGAGAGGGAAGAGCCTATGTATCTGTGTGACGAGACATGAAGGTGGTGCAGAGAAGTCGCGAGTGTGAAGAAGGAGGAGGAGGAGGAGAAGGAGGAGGAGGAGGTGTTGATGTGACAAGCCTCTTCACACGTAGATGGTGTCGCGTGCGTGCGTGCTACTCCATTCACGCGTCTATCATGACGATGCGCCATTCACGATACCTCACCTCCACCTCATGCAGCAGCAACGAAGAGCTGATGAGGTCAGCCATGCTCACCCGCTCACGTGATGATTACGGCAAATTTAAATTCTCCGAGAATCAGAATCGTGATCATCGTGAACATCAGCCAGCATCCATGGCATGTCTTGAATGCCGCCCGCCGTTCCTGCATGCAAATGCAAATTCCACCTGGGCCGCGGCCGCGTGCGTGATGGCGCTGCGCATGGCGCCTGCAGACAGAGCGAGCGAGCGGGCTGGCTGCTGCTGCTGCTGCTGCTGCTGCTGCTGCTGCTGCTGCATGCTATGCATGCTGGAAGAATCAGAAACAGAAACCAGAATCAAGAACGAATCGATTCAGAATTAATTCTTGATTTGCACATGCATCCATTGGCCATTTGTGTCTGGATGTTCCGCGGCTGCTTCCTGCTTGCCAATCTGAATGTAACAGTAGTCTAAGTGGTATAGCGAGCAGTCTAGTCACATCTCGCATACTCCATACCCTTCACATCCTCGCTCACACGCTCACGCTCACGCGCTCCATTCCTCGCCCTCCTCGCCCATTCCTCCTTTCTCCGCGCTACGCCACGCAATCATGCGCGCCACGCTCTTGTCCTCTCACCCCAGGCTGCGAGCAATGCTCTGCGTCATCGCAGCGACGGGAAGCACTGTGCTATCGACCATGCTCAACGGAGCGCTGACCATCGCTTTGCCTTCCATCGCCAAGGATGTGGGCTTATCGGTTCAGGAAGCTCAATGGCCGCTCACCAGCTTGTCCCTCGTCAATGGTGCCCTGCTGCTCGTCTTCGGTGGTTTGGCCGACACCTTTGGCAGGAGGCCCTCCTTCCTCATCGGCGTTGCTTGGCAGATGGTGAGTTCGTGCCATACAACGCCTTCACTCAGCCCTGCGCGTCATTTCCGCTTGCACTTGCTTCAACCGCTGCATTGCCCTCCTTCTCCCCCTCCCCCTCCCCCTCCCAGATCGTCTCTCTCCTAACGATCTTTGTCACCAGCGGACAGCAGCTGATCGTGGCTAGTGCTGCAATGGGTGTCGGCGTGGCTCTCATCTCTCCGGCTTGCGTTGGAATGCTTGGAGCCAGTATTCCAGAGGGTAACTTTAAGAACAACGCGTTCGCTGCCTTGGGAGGAGGCCAGCCGGTGGGCTACGTCATGTGCGTATCTCTTTCCCCCAGCCCTGCCATGGCGTACCCGGTCGACTCTCCTGACACGCCTCTGGCCACGATCCGACCACGCCTTGCTGCATGCTCTCTCCTCTCAGTGGGCTGCTGTTGGGCGGCGTGTTTGCGACCAAGTGGCGCGCCATCTACTACTTCATCATCGGCTTCAGTGCCCTCTTCTTCGCCTTGGCCATCGCTGTGCTGCCAGCGGACGACGAGATGCTCATCACAGGCAGAACCGTGCCGCTTGAGGGCCATACCGATGGGACGCTGCGAGGGCAGAGCGATGCCAACAGCACAGACAATCTGACAGGTGGTACAAGACCCACATGGCGTCAATCGCTGGCCACCTTTGACTACATGGGTGCAATCTTGGTCACCAGTGGTCTGATTCTGCTCACCTTCAGTCTGGCAGACGCTGAACTGGCTCCCAGGGCATGGGCCACGCCGTACATTCCTTCGCTGCTCTCCATCTCCGTCGTCATCCTTTGCTCTTTTGTGGCCTGGGAACGCAGACTGGAGCGCTTGTACTTGGCGCTTGCAGCTTCCGATCCGTCATCCAATAGCCCTTGCCGCAGACCCATCTTGCCCCCTTCGGTTCTGCTTGCGCCGAAATTTGGGCCCATGCTGCTCTACATCTTCGGCGCTTGGTGAGCTCCGCTCCAGGATGGCGCGCAGACAGATGTCGTGGTGCGCAAGCAGCAGCTAAATTGCAACTTTCCACAGGATGACTTTTAACTGCCTCTCCTTTTTCAGCACGCTATTCCTTCAAGAAAGTGAGCAGCAAAAGATGTGCTTGGAGCGTCAATGATAGCTGCTCAAAGTCCAGCTCTGTCGCCTCGTCCAAAGTACAACTCACAGCACCGCTAGAGACATCTGTGCGATTCCTGCCACTCGTGCTCGTTGGTCTGATCCTCAACGTGGCTGCTGGATGGCTCGTCAGCAGAGTGTCCACCTTCATTCTCATCATCTGTGGCGATCTCATGGTCATGGCTGCCGCTTTGATATTCAGTCTCATGTCCCCTCAATGGAGCTACTGGAGGGGCATGTTTTGGGTGAGTGCTGCCTCTCGACATCTGCCTCTCTGTGCGAAACATCCACCACGCTGATGCGCTGCGAGCTGTGCAAGGTCATGGTACTGCAAGTTGGACCTGATCTCGCTTTTCCCAGCGCACAACTCTTGGCTGTGCAAAGCGTCGGGCCACGTCAAGCTTCCATTGCTGGCTCCGTGTTCAATACGACAACTCGGCTAGCGACATCCTTTGGCCTTGCCATCACTAGTGTGAGCATCATCTTCGAAGCCTGCCTACTTTCCCTCGCGAAACGACTGAACTTTCTTGCACCGTTGTGCAGTCCATCGCTGCTGGCGTTACACGTCGTGCAAGCTCGACAAAGTCTCCAGAGGCAGCACTATTGGAAGGATACCGAGCTGCTGGCTGGGCCTGCTTTGCCGCATCAGCCTACGCTCTCGTAGTAGCTGTCATATGGCTTCGCAAAGTGGTCAGTCAGAATGATGTTGCGCGGCAAGCACGGGCCGTTCTGATCTCTACCTCATTTGCACACCTCACAGGGCATCGTCGGCGTGCGAGACCCTCCGCGCGCTTCAGAGGATAAGAAACGCGAGCAAGGAGAAGCTTCAGAGCACCCCTCCGAGTCTCGTCAGACACGGGCACGTCCTCCAACCGATGCCACGGAGCGTCGAGGAGATGCAACGTCGAAGGTCAGCGCAGCATCGACTCCTTGGCGAAGCTCTTCACCTACCGGCTCGGACGAAGCCGTTGAAATGCAGGTTCTCGGTCAGACCAGCAGGCCATCTCGTAGCGCCGAGGTGTGATGTAGCAACGGGTGCCTGACATTGTTCATGTCTTGTCCGCATTTCCATCACGAATAGATCATCATCATCATCATCATCATCATCATCATCATCATCATCATCATCATCATCATCATCATCAAAGACTTGTTGATGCGTATCTCTTGGACGATACGGCGTGAATGTCCGAATGCTGTTTTCGAGTTCGAACTTGTGTCCGATTTTCAGTTCGTGATGGATTCTTGAACATCGCGATTCAAGATTGTTAATCTTGACTCTTTGCACTGCACTTGATTTGGGCAGAATCTATTCGGAGATGCGTGCATATGATATTCGGAGACAACGTCACATATGGACGTACAAATGCCGTACAAACAAATTGCGGTACGTCAAATGTGGCCGTACTAATGTTTCGCTGCGCGCGCAGACACCAATCAAAGGAGAATCACATGAATTAACATGCAGATTACATTTCTGACTGCGGGCGCATCCATTATCATCAGCAGATTACAAAATTAGCGTTCCAGATCAGCATTGCGCGCACAGAGACTGTAATTGAGCCCAATACACGCTCCGCTTGCAGATTAGAATTCCAATTGCGCGCGCAATTCAACTCAAATTTTGATTAGTCTAACAATTCAAGTTTGCGCGCATCATAGCAAATCTGCGCGCAATCTTGAATACGGCATACGGTGCCGTATAAGTGCCAATTTTGAAATACGGCTCAATTGGCCCTACAGCCAAATTGCGGTACGTCCATATATGACGTTGTCTCCAATTATCATATGCACGCATCTCCGAATAGAATCTGCCCTTGATTTGTCCTTGACCCGTTGGTCAACACCCACGTGACCGCTCGCTTGCCTCGAGGCGCGTCTTACCTGCATGCCTGCATCGTACGTGAAACATCACGAATTCGCAGCGAGGAAGATATGTCGGCATTATTTTTGGCCTTCTGCATGCAGCTTGGCGCAATCGCGCATGCTTAGCGTAGGTAGGACGTATTGTACACTCATTGACTGATGACTATTGGTCACCCATGCAAATATACCTGCGTGCTGGTCACCCAACAAAAGACTCGCGACTCCAGCAGCTGTCAACTCTGGTCGGCTGTAGGTATGCGATCCTCTACTTTGTTCCCCTTCGAATGAAGAGCTTCCTCCCCCCCCCCCCCCCCTGTCATGATCCCGTGAGCACTCGCACTGCGCAGGCAACATGACCTTTGAATTATGGTGTCGTGACTCCAGCATTTGCCGCGGAAGCGTTGAATGCACAACCGATCAACACGACGCTGACTCTTGACTGCTCGCTCAGAAGGTATGGTAAGCCAGCCGAGTATGACAATCAGCACACGAGTCGTGAATAACACAGCTAGGCCACGCATGCATGCAGCTCTGCGCTGCTGCTTTGCTGTACAAGTGACGCCCGCATGTGTGCTCTGGCTTTCATGTCAGGCGTCAAGGCACAGCTTGCCTCGGCAATACAGTGGACAGCGGCACAGCGTCGCCGAACGATCAGGCATGATGACCTCGCGGTCGAAGCTGCAAGAGTGGAATTGCTTCCGTCGCTCGTAGGCGCACCTCTTTTGGACGCAGTCCGTTTGTGATTGATGGTCCTGATGAGACGGAGAGAGTGACCGACGATCATGAGCCTGCGCGCCTCTTCTTGGGCTCACTGACTGCATGGGCGACCATCAGCAGATCATCCACCCTTGCACTGGATGCATGTACCGCGGTTGGTTCTCAAGATTGGCCGTCTTGCATGCAGCGGCGATTCCTGTTGGCGGCGGTCGTGCAGCAGTCGATCGTGGGTCAAGATTCACATTTGCGAATGGTGCTCATCAGGTACGGTGGCAGCTCGATGCGGCTGCCAAAAGCCAGCACAAGCGAATGGCGCCAACCATCATATGCAGCTAGCTGCTTGATGCGGCCAACTCGAGGGCAGCAATTAAGCTGCAGGGCGCAAGAACGCCGATCGCTTCAGCCCGCCATCGGAATGGAATGCACTTTACGGCGCCTATAGAGCCACGAGTGAGCGGACCGCACCGCCAGCACTACACTACTACTACTACTACTACTACTACTACTGCACGTACTAACGAGTCTACTCCACTCACGGACTATACAACGAGTCTACTCCACTCACGGACTATACTACTCCATTGAACTACTTGTGACTGTACTGTACACCGAGCGCAAGACACCACACATGCAGTGGACAAACTCGCTTTCGAGTCTGGAGCGTCTAAAACAGGACAGGACACTCTATGCATGTGTGCATGCAGATGCGCGCACAAACGCGGTGTTGGAGATTGCATGGCAGCCCGAATCGCATTGAAGTGCGGGCGCCCTTTGAACCACGACCACGACCACGACCCCGGACCTGATCGATGGTGCATGCATCTGGAGGCGATCGAGGAGCATCGATCAGCACCAGCACCAGCACCAGCACCAGCACCAGCACCAGCTGCTTCGCTCACGACTCACGACTTGAGAAGGAACGGCGTACAAGATTCTGATTCTGATTTGATCACTCGGCGCATGTTTCACCCTCGTCATCTCGTCATTCATCTATACACGCAAGCCAGCCCCGCGGGCCGTTCTTGAATGAAATCTCGTGGCGGTCGTTGTCTTCGCTCAGATCTATCAAACTACACACACGCCACACGGTACTCTGTCAAGCTTCTCTCTCCTCTCTTGAGTCCGCTACGTGCTTCCTGGAACCCTCTCCTGCCACAAACGCCGCATACCACTGAGTGGTCACTTCGGCCTCAGGCGCCCGTGCAGACACTCGACGAGTGCTTCGACGTCGACGTCGACATTGCCATCATCAGCCATTCACCTACCTCGCTCCCGTTCCCACGCACAATAGCCGCCACCTTGTGCTTAATCACAGCACCGTACACTCCCGTCTGCGGATCCGTCGATACGCCAGTATTCGCTGCCGGCAGCATCTGTGCAGAGCACCTGTACATCGCAGACTGCTAGCAAGGCCTGCCTTAGGTCCTTGCGCGCGCTCAGAACATCACCCACCGTGTCTGCCCGTCACAACTTCGGTGACCTGCCCTCGGCGTCGGGCAGGCAGGTTGAGTGGCAAGCAAAACAGAGGCCAAACTTACGATCTACAAAGAGCAGCGCTGCGTTGGGCCAAATAGCCGCTACAGCTACAGCAGCAGGAGCAGCAGCGCGCCCAAATGCACCGTGGCCAGCTTCGAGGCCAGCGCGCGCTGCCGATGATCTGAGTCACTACAGCTCTTCCATAGCTTCACGCAGCACCCTGTCCAGCAGCCATGCCATGTTTCGCTCTTCAGCCGATAGACGCCCAGCCAAGGCAGGCGGCAGTGGCAGTCAGCACGGCGCATATGCCTCGCAAAACACCAGCGCGACATCCTTCAGCGTTGGGGGAGGCGGCGCTGCAGACATTGCAGCCAGTCCCTCCAGGCCCAGCGAGAGCCCATCTAGGGCTTCTACCAGCGCCAGCTCGGGTGCTGCGGTCAAACCGCCTTACGAACGCCATGCATCGCAGCCTGGCAGCACCTCACATAGCGGCTTGAAAGCGCACCGCCGCCTCGCCAGCCGATTCGCTGCTTCAGTTCGGCGCACCTTGGCGACCAGCGATATGCTGCTGGACCTTCAACCTGACGCTGCAGGGGCTGGTGCTTCTGCCTCCACTTCCAGATCTCAGATTGCCACTTCTCCTGCCTCGCTCTCTACAAGCATGTCCTATCCCTATGTCGAAGACGCTCGATCTGGCCGCGGCAGCAACACGTCATTGAGCCAAACAAATTCCTCGCACCACGAGCAGACATCTCTTCACCAACACTCTTCCGCAAGTCGCCATCGGTCACCCCACTCCCTTGAATCGGAGCCCAGGTCTGCAAGGAGTCGAGGTTTCGGGACGCGGGCAGACGGACAGCGGGGATCAAGTGTCAGCGCAGCGACAGTCGCGCCGGCCTCGCATGCATCCACCTCCTCCCCATCCTCGCCCATGGATCTCTGCTCAAATTCTGCAGCGACACTGCGCGCCGCGACCGATGACAATTCGAGCTCGCGCAAGTTGAGAGCTCTTCGCACACTGTCTGCACACACCGTCCTATCTCCTTCCAATGCAGCTGCGCTTCGTCTCGCGCCCGAGACAGGCTCGGCATCGATACAATCGAATCGTTCACCGGAGGATCCTGCACAAGATCTTGCAGGGCCAGCGCCACATCGTCGACAAGTATCTCCCCTGCCGCCGAACTTTGCCAGACCCGTGCAAGCGCAGAATGTAGCGGGTAGCCCGCGGCATTTGTCCCCCACAAGCGCGCTTGCAGGCCGGAGACCTACAGCCCAAGCTCCAAGTCTCGATATATCCTCGGCCAATAGTGCACGGTCCAGTCCCTACGCTAGTCCAGCTGCCTCCCTCGCTTCCCCAGCAAGTCTGCGGCAACACTCTCTGCCTGGTGACTCTGCATCGACCACAGGTCGAGCATCATCTTCTCGAACGCCCCAAGATCGCTCGAGACGTGCGTCACAACACGATTCCGGAAGCGCATGCCTGGCGAAAGAGACCAGTGGCGCGTCGATGCTGCCAAGCTCGAGCGGGCGAACGATTGTCCAGAGTTCCTCTGCCATCGCTTCACCTGCCATGTCTCCTTCAACAAGCGCCGCTGGCGCTTCCGCTTTCGACCATGCGATAGGGGGCGCGCAGGCAGCAGTGGACACATCGGAAATGGAGATGCTCGAGGAGCCACCAAGCCCAGCCCCATCACACGCAGGCTCCTCCAATTCTTCCCGACAGGACAGTGGAAGCGGCGCAACAAGTCCGAGCGCAAGGGGCTTCGCGCGTGTGCGACGTTCCATTTCGCTAAGCGACGACTCTTCCGCTTTCAGACAAGTGCTAGCGGCAGGACCCGATAGACCGAGCTCAGTACAGCCTCGACGCGTCGATAGCTCGTCCAGTGACAGCTCCTTTCACCACCCATCATCGCAATCGGTGTCTAAAAAGCGCGGAATGAGGTCTCGTTCGGGAACGCAAGGGAGTGTGTCGAGCGTACTCAGCGTAGCGGCAAGCCTTGCACCCATTCCAGTCCTGATCTCTCCAGATGCGGCAAGGGAGATCAGCACAGCTGAAAATGAGGCTGAGCTCGACGACACGGACAGTCGAAAACGCATCTCTCTCAACATCGTGCCTTGTGCACCCGGCACGGACTTGGACGCCCGAGGGTCCAAGGGCAAACTCACTCATCTCATTACGACTGCGGATGGGAGAGAGGTATACGCCATCAGGCAAAGGCGTGCAGGCATAGCGGTCGGCTTGGGCATGGGCTGGTTGCCAGCACCGGCAGCTACGAGGCTCGACCTGCATCGCAATGGTAGATCCGGAGTGAGTGCACCTGACTCCTCAAGCACGCGGCTCGAGAACGGCACCTGACATGCGCCACCTCTGCCCATGATTGTTCCACCATGCTGTAGCCTTCTGTGCTCAAAGTGATCCCGGGCAAAAAGTATCGCTGGGACGTGGCGCGTACGCGAACTGCCGCGATCCCACGCATGCAAGCGGGTACGTCGACCGAGTACGAAGAGACGCCCTTCAAGGATCCCTGGGAGGGCGAGTTCCGCAAAGCCGATTACTACGGACAGAGATTGGCTTTCTCCATCCCGCTCGATCCTGGTTTTCCTGGGCGCGAGAAGGGCGTGCCTTTGACTGCCACCGCTCTCGCTTTCGCGACTAAAAAGGAGCAAACTTTCGAGGTGCGCCTACTCGGTGTGTGCAGACACGCCTTACCTGACCAGATCTGACGGATATGACGCTGCTTTGACCCGCAGTGGTGCGGCGCGCACCTCATGAAGCTGGTGGAGAAGAGCCTCGACGCCAAAACGAATCGCGAGCGCGTCCGAGCCGTCTTTGTGCGAGATGTCAGACAAAGCAAAGGCGGTGGACTGCTGAGCGTCGAGCCCAACGTGAGTCTTACGATGGCCACACTTGCGCCCAGTACATGTCGTTGACGAGTCACGATTCTTCTTGCGTCGTCGCGCTAGTTTCCTGACATCGAAGTGCTGCTCCTCACCTTGATGGCCGGAATGCAATTTCACCTTCACTCGGTGGGAGGTGGTGACTGATCTGCAATTCCTAACCTATACCTTATTTACCTTATCGAGTGGCTCGCGCAATGTCCCAATAAAATTTCTTTGCATCAATGCAATGATTGAATTGAAGGAGGGCTACGACGGCGAATTTGCCCGCTTGGCTTTGATGCCCCGCTCCATGGCCAGGAACGCTTGCATAGATGGATCCAGAGAACTCTCATGAGCGTCCGCCTCCGCCTGAGCTTGCTCCTTGGCCCCGTTGAAGTTGGGTGCCGTTTCAGGTCGAGGCCCCAACAGGTGACTTGGCCACTCATCGTCGGTCAGAGGCGGCGTCAGCGATAATAGCTGATTTCGGGCCTCGTGAAAAGCTTCAAGGTCGTCGGCGTACATGTCGCTGCTCATGCAACGATGACTCTTATCAGCATGAGGACGCGGCAGATTCGTGGGACTGACTCACTATACGCAATGCACACAACCTGACATACAGCAGTCTACACCGCGCCCGAACTAGAGGTCAGCGTGGGTCCCATGTTTGACCCAATGTTGACGCGTGCTCACCTTCAGAGCCAGGGGCCTCGGGCTTCGGGGGTATACTGATGCCGCGCACAAGAATCGGTGCGGCAGGCTCCGAACTCGCTGCTGTCGTCGGGCTGTCGGCAGGGCTGCTCTTCTGCGCTGGCACTGTAGCAGACAGCAGGATGGGATTGTGGCTCCCGGGGTCGTCCGCAGTAGACCGTAGAGACGGGGCTGCTGTCCCGCCGGACGGCGCGAGAGACGCAACTTGAGCCGTTTTTGAGGCTGGATCCTCCGCATCGGGAGCATTGGGTATGGCGGCGATGACATGCCTTGGCCATCGATCATTTAGATTGACGCGACCTGGATGAGATGCGCAAGGCGGTGACAGGCATACACAGCACTCTTAGTACGACGGTGCAACGCATGTATTTGACCAGCACTAATCACCTCTGCTCACGTTCCCGCAGCTTGTCGATGAAAGTGAAGCCAGGTCCATAACGAGACTCGGGAGGGGAATGGCGGGCGGCAGAGCTATGAAATGCCCTTCGTCCAGCCAGGTCAAGTCTTTGCCCTTGATCACCGCCCACATTGCCATTACGTCGAGCGGTGTCGGAAGGCAGAGGCGTGGAGCTAGCAGATCCCAACATGTAGTCCCTCGTCACTTCCTCGAACATGTTGCTACAGCTGACCTGGGCGCCCAGCCGGGCGCAAAGTAAGAAAGCACCGCTCAACTTGCGATTGAGTGAGTAGGTCTGCTCCGGCGGCGGCGTCAGGCGTTCGCGGAGCATCAAAGGTATCTGCGCTCGGACACGAGCAGTGATGGTCTGCTCTGCAAAAGGGTAAGGGTCGGGGGCGTCTTGCCGGAACGGCTCGCCCAATGCAATCATAGAGTCGACGTGGGCATTACGCATGGCCTGCAGGCAGATAGAGCGGGAGTTGTGTAAGTGCAGCCAAATTTACCAATGTCTCTCGCACTCACTTCAGACTCTTGTCCCGTCAAGTATCCAACCTTTTCGCTCCATTCAATACAGGCCTGTCGTTGACCGCCGATCGCAGCGCGAAGCATGCACAGCCAGTCATCAATGAACTCCTTTTCGTAAGCTCGTGCGGCACCAAAGTCGATGAGCTCGATCTTGTTGGTCGCTTCGTTGAACAAGAAATTTGTCCAATTCGGATCTGTCTGCATCAGTCGATACTCGAACAGCTCCCTCAGCGAAAGCTCTAGAATTGACCTCGCGATCTAGTGGCGTTGTCAAGCATCAGCGGGTCCGTTCCGAGTTGCAATGCGCACGTCTCAAGCGCCTCACCTGATTACGCTTTTCCTGAGTGTACCTGCCAGCCTGTGTCAAAGGACGCCCACGCATCATTTCCGTAGTCAACACCTGACCCGTGCTCAATTCGTCGACCACGCGAGGCACTGCAAAGACGTCGCTGTGCTCGATAAAGGACCGAAAGCGACGCATCATGTCGGCTTCTCGCGCGTAATCGCACTCGTCGTCCAGCTCGCGCTTCATGACGCGGATGGTGTTGTCGAGGAACAGACCTTTGGGCAAGACGGCAGACACTGCGAGAAGCCATCGAAGGTTTCCTAGATCTGACGCGATCGAGGCGCGCACGCCGGGAAATTGCACCTTGACAGCAACGCGCTGACCAGCCAGGGGAGAGGTGTGATCCGTGGCGACCACAGCAGCGTGCACCTGGCCGATGGAAGCCGATGCGAATGGCACATCGTCGAACTTGTCGAATTGTGAGCGCCACGATGCGCCCAGCTCGGCCGTCATGACGCGCTAGAGGGGACCAAGCAAGATGAGGAGTCACTTAGGACTGTGCCTCAATGGTGAGTTGGAGGGCAGCAGATGAGTCTTACCTCGAGCTGCCATTGCGGCATGTAGTGAGCGCTATTCTGCACTCGCATCAGCACTTCCTCCAGTTGAGGAGGCAACATGTTGCTGTCTGCGGAGCGTTGAAGATTGGTCAGGTTAGTACAGAGAAGAGGCTGAGCACCTTTGTCGCCACCTTGCAATGGACTGGGATGAAAAAGATGGAGACTAGACACATGATGAAGCGCAACGCACCTTGTATGCTGAGGAATTGCCCTAGCTTCAAAGCCGCGCCACGCATCGTGCTCAGCTTGTCTACCAGCCTGCGGAGATTGGCTTCCCCAAGAATTGGCGAACCTTGTCGAGTTCCATCACTGCCACTGCCACCGCCCTGAGTGGAGCGCGAGCTGTTGCCGGTGAGGTACGAGCCAGCAGCTCCCCACGCGAGACCCACGCCTAGCCCACCGTAGTGAAGAGCTCGGGCGAAGCGCGAGGATGGTACCTTTGCTGCTTGCAAGGGAATGGCACGTGGGGCAGTGGTGGCATCGTAGTCATCGAACACGAGCTGCCGTCCCTGTTTTTGCTCTTGCACCGTAAGCGGGTGCGTAGCCGTTGATGTCCCTGGCATGGAGGGGCGCCTGGCGTTGGTGAGCATTGGCTCAGGATTCGCTTCTACCTGCATCATCGACTGGTTGGACGTGTCCCTTGCCGAAGCTTGTATGCCGAGCGTCGCGGCTCCGCTCGCTTCATTCTGCAATGACGCGTTGGGATCTGACGCGAAAGGCGTGTACGGTGTAGAGACTGGAGCCTGAGTCACAGTCTCGACTCGAAGCTGCCTATCGGCATGCTCGCTCTCATCGTTCCTGGACGAGCTTGTCGAGGGCAAATCTGCATTGGCCACCAACCCATCTCGGGCAGCAGCAGCTTGCAGTGCTTTTGATGGCCATGGCTGGGTTGGGCGCGGGTGCGGGTGCGGGTGCGGGTGCGGAGGTGGAGGTTGATGAAGGGACGAAGCTGAGGAAGAAGAGGCGGCAGCGTTGTTGAAGGCTTGTGCGGACTGTGCGCTGGTGGATGCGATGCTTGAGCGAGAAGGGGAGGTGTGCAAGGCTGCATCTGACCCATCGGCATTCGAGGATGCTGGATTTGCATGGGAGCGCGCATCGTCATGAGACGAAGCATGCTGCCGTGGATGGAGATCGTCCTGCAAGTGAGCTTCCTTGGCAGTCCCAGCTCTGTGCTGCGACGCCGATAGCGATGCAGCTTGAGCGGCCAGAGTCTGGGAAGCGAGGGCGCGCGCGGCTGCGATCAAAGCGAGCGCTGTGCGCGCCGACGACATGGCTGGCAAGATGCTTGGCTCAACGCCCTGTCAAGGTGGCATCGGAGTGGATTAGGTTTGGAGCGTGAGTGTGAGTGTGAGTGTGAGTGTGAGTGTGGATCACACAGCAGCCTTGCATGGAGAAAGAGGTGAGTGCACGCCCATCGCAGCCTTGCATGATCGATTACCGGTACTGTACCGTTGTTATATTTATTCTTGCGACTTGAACTTTGCCCGCCTCGATGCGATCACGTGTGTGGAGGTTGCTCGATCTCCGCTTCTGAAAGCTGACGCACGCGGTACAACAAATCTTGAAAGCAAGAATTCAAGATTATCATGATGATCACGAATGTTTATATGCAGAGGCATGACATGACGCACAGGCCCACCGAACGCGTGCATACGCGCTGCAGCACATCTCTTGCTTGCACAATCTTGAATCAAAAAAGAAGATTCGTAATTCACGATTATCACGACTCGTGACTCAAAGCCATTTGAGTAAGCAGTTGAGTCACGAGTTCGTGTCTCGTGTCTCTTGCATTCGTCATTCGTCATTCTCATTCAACTCGACTCTCATCAGACTTCGATTTCGACGCTCCAGCAGACGCGCAAGACTACCCACTCAGCCTTGCCTCCTGAGAACTTTCGTGATTGACCAGATTCTCACTCAGCTCGCTCCTTGTCTCTGCCTTCTGCCTCGCATTTGTGGCCCGCTCGACAAAAAGCCACGAAATGATCGCCATTCGCTCAGCAGCCTTGCGATCATTTGCACCAGGCTTGGCTTACGCCTCTGCCTCTGGGTCTGCTTCTATCCCTACAGGTCACGCCTCATCCTATCCCAGATCGCCGCTTTGGCTTCGCTGCGCATCTCAAGTCGCCACTCCATCCACCTCTTCTCATGATCTCGGCCTCACAGCCGCAGCTCTCCTCCCCCCGCTCAAATTGCTTCGTCGCATCCTCAGATCTCATCGCAAATACCTCGATGCGAATCAGCGCAGTCTGGGCGATGCTTACGTCAAGGATGAGTTTAGGCGACATCGAAGCGTGGATCAGCCGCTGCAGATCGTAGCATTCTTGGCAGAGTGGAAAAAGTATCTGGACTTTCTCGATCTGCAGCACTTGGAAGGCGGTCAATTCAAGGGGCGACAGCTGGACGAAGAAAAGTTCAAAAAGGTGAGCACAGTGGCGTGCGATCTGCAGAGCGCAAATTGCCAATGGAGCGGCCAGATGCTCGCGTCGCGTCGCGTCGTGTCGTGCTGTGCAGCAAAGTCAAGCAAATTGCCAATCTTTCTTCCGTACTCACGCGGCGCGATCCCCTGCTCTCTCTCTCTCTCTCTCTCTGTCTCTCTCTCTCTCTCTCTCTTTTGTCGCTTCTCAGCTCTCCGACGAACAGCTCTACCAGCTACACGAGTTTATGGTGGCTGCCAAGGAGGTTTACGATCCCCTCAAGGCCAAGGGTCAGCCTCCAGGTGGCGCCAGAGCGGTGCAGGAAGCGGTGGATGGCGCTCTCAAAAGAGCTCGAGAAGAGGAGGAAGCAGTCGAGAAGAAGGAGCAGTGAAGACTTTGCTGGAGTGCAATCTACTCGTACGCGTCAAGAGACTGAGAGATCTCTGATGACTAGCTATGCTGGCGCCTTTTGCGGAATTTTCGACATCTGATGCACAAACGCCTCATCGTTGGATCAGCGGAGCTGGACTGCGTCGAGCGAGAACGGCTCATCGAGCAAGGCAGGTGCGGAGAAGTCGGCTGGCATTGGATTCTGATTGGCAGGGCAGCTGTCAACGTCGATAGGGCGAACAATAGGGCTGCCACCCGGGCTGCTCTGCGTACTGCAGCGCCGCATTGCGATATACTGCAGGCTGCGACCGCACAGTTGCCGTTCTGGGGTCGCAAGAGATTGACATGAACCCACAGCGCCGAGTCCGATCTTTGTACCCCGACAACAAACGAAGTTGACCTCTGTGTCGGTGAATGGATGTACACGCAGTAAAGTATTCGAATTTCCTGTCTGGTTGTGCAAATCCAGGTGCTACAACAAGGGATCGGTCGCGCTGGACCATGCACTCAGAAGACGAGAGTCTGCCTATGACGGATCAATACAAAGATTTCTCGTTACCCATTGCTTCCCCGGGTCGCTGAAGCTGCTGACAAAGCAGACAAGTCACGTCTGGAAGTGCTTGGAATGTGGTTGCAAGGGTGTCTCTCGGCTTGGATCTCCTTGCTCAGGGAGCCGCTGAAAAGCCAGGTGGAATCACTGGGCAGATGATTTGGAATTTTCAAGTGGCCGCCTATTCTGACAAAAGCTTCACCTTAAAAGAGAACATTTGTCAGTCAGAAGCACGCTATCTTTGTCAGCAGATCTACTCACAACGTTGGGCAAGACTGTTGTCCATTCTCTCCATTGTTCCATTGCTTGGTTGTTGGCTGTACCCAGAAGGTCAAGACCTTGGCAGGCATTTTGTGCTGCCACGTGGACCCCATCAACTGACAACAAAGGCAGCTGAGGAGAGTTGGTGCTCCACCAGTCTTGAAGGGTCATGAACCACGCCAGCATCAGGTCGTGGATGCTCAACATGTCAAGGATCTCCTTCTTTTCAGGCAAGGGCTTCCAGCCCTCAACCGCCTTGCTGACATTGCAGGTATTGGGCGTTGGGTTGTACAATAGCTGAACCATGTTTACAGAGTCAAGGTTGAGGGGTCAAGGGTGTCGACTATTGACGTCGAGAGCAAAGAACCTAAAGCAAGGGCCAAGGCTTAGCTTGTCTTTACCTTTTTTGTCTTTGATGCAGCTGTCTATGAGGCTTTCAACAAATGGCTGCCAGGTGGAGAGAGACAACGCTTTTAGAGATTTGTGTGTAATAGTGAATGAGTGAGAACTCACCAAGAGATGCTCCAGCAAAGTCTGCACATAATCAGTGCACTCGAAATGGTTTGATAAGGGTTGTTGCACTGCTTGTAGGAAGGGCCGCAACTTCAGCAAGATTGTTGACATCCGTGATAGTGATCCCTTGCAGCCAAGGCAGGTTGCTCGTGCTGCCAGCATCGATGGCTGCCTGGACGGTGCCCTACATACTCGATTATTCGATCATGCTCTGATTTGATGTCGCTTTCTGCTCTGCAAATTGTCAGCCCAATCATTTTGGCACCAAAATTGAAGAGGCAAAGGAGATCTGGAGCTGGTTTTTGGATCCACTTTGTGCTGTTCCTCCGCAAAGTGAGGTCGATGCAACTAGAGAATGATGCCGCAATGGGTATGGTTGACGAGTCACGGCTGCAGCCACGCTGCTATTGTGACTCTGCCCCCACACCTTGTGTATGCATTCCTGTGCGCTCCATTAGGGTTGGCACATCGCATCAAGAAGGGTATCGAAACAGTCGTGAACACTTCCTTGACGGGACTACTATCTATCCTCAATGATTCTCCTTAAGTTGAAAATGAGACAGCTGGATTCAGACGAACAAGACACCATCATCAGCGGGTATGCCTCAGCATTCTCAGCAAACCCTCTGTAGAATATTGGCGTCTACTGGCACGTCGTCTCGACGTTGAGATTGCCCGCAAATGCAGATGTCACAAGCGCGTCATTAGTCGTCGTTGACGATCTGACTTGTCAGAGCCTAGTTCGTGAGCGCGATTGCTGCGCCTGAACACCTGCCAGCTTGAGTCATCATGCACGGGTTCAGGCGTGAAGCCAGAGATCTGTGAATTCCTAGCCCACCATGCCATGTGTGGTGGACAGGCAGACAATCAAGATACATCGTTGCTGGTCATAAGCGGGCTCTTCAAATACCGATGCTCAATCCCGTCCCGGACCCATGAAAAGCATCCCTGAGTTAGTTTGAAATACCTGTTCATGTCTGTCGGTCTTGAGAATTCACGGACAACGAGACGACGTTTCATCTTGAGGTAAGAATGCAACGCCTCGCCGGTGAGGTATTTGATCCACAGTGTCCGGATGATTGCACCTGAAACCACCACACAAGTGCTACTCAAAAGCTTGCCAAGATGACGCGTCTTGGATGCTGCGATTATATGTCAGAGCGAGTTGATTCTGGGTAGCCTACGATCACACCTTGGCGGGTTGAACGAGAAAGGCATTTAGTTTGCGATTCGACAGAAGTCGGCCCTTCGCGCTCACGTCAAGTTTTCACTCGCTGGGCGCCGATCACCTGTACAAGAGACGAGTGGCACGAGCCTGATCTATATCCCGGTACTGACGCACAAGCAGCGTAGTTCCTCGCCGCTCGGACGGCTTCAAGCTCCGTGAACATTCGCGGGGTGAAGGCTTTCGGCTTGCGGCCAAAATGCTGTTTACACTGACTGACTCGAATAAGCTTCATCACGGCGAGTGAAGAATAATCGCAAGCCATCTTAGCCGAGCAAGGCTTACATTTTACGCAAACAGACGGAGATCAGAGCAAAGTGTTCGATAATGTCAGCCATGAAGCGTATCAGCAGCGGAATCCTGACGCGTCCTCACACGGTCTTGTCACGTCGGCCGTCTTCCAGTCCCTCGCCGCTCCGCTTTGCGAGACTGCTTTGTTGCTGCGTGGCACCGTCCGGTCACTTTTGGAACGCGAGTCCGGTGCTGCGCACTGAAAGCGGTCGTTGCTCGGATACAAGTCCGCATTGTGCTCGCGACGCAGCAGGACCTCTCGCACTTTGGACGTTGGCACCCCAAGTGTTACGGAGTGTCTCGGCCTCGTCAAACGCCGTCTTGCGTATGTACAGCTAGGATCTGCACGGAGTGCGCTATTTAGCAATGTTCTCGCAGCTTCCTGTGCGGTGTGAAAATTTGGGTCACAGAAGCTGCTTGATAGACCTCATGGTCTGTTCTATTCTCTCAGCATTGCTCCATGATTCTGGCCAGGAAATCTCTCACTGCTTTAATCCTTGAGCGACGTCGGCTGCCTCAGGGGAGCTGGCGCACCATTCGTTTGGCCAACTCGCTGGGATGCTGCAGCAGTGTGGCATTCACCCTCTACCACATTCGATGGAAGCCGAGAACCACTGGCGGACATACCCAGCAGATGTTGTTAGAACACTCTCTATGGCTGCCCAGCTCTCATTTCTCAGCAGCAGCACGGAATAGGCGGCCGCTCCATCAGCCTTGGTGGCCTGTTGAGGCTGGCTACTCAATTGACCCCTGGCCAGAGCGACCCAGACTGCAAAAGGCACAGGACCTCTGGTCTGCTTTCCTTGCTTGCAGTAGTGCAGGACTGCGACAGCAGTATCTGGGACAGACCTGAGAATAAAGTCAACCAGCACTGATCTTCATACACTGCCAACTTGACCGTCAGAATGGTACTTGCAAGCCCCTTGGCATCCGTGTCTATGTAGTAAGCTTCCTTGAACGTGACTCAACACCACTTTGTCCTGTAAAGCTGCACATGCACGCATCTCACCTCTGCATTGACGTGCGGGCTTTATGTTGGGGAATTATTTACCTATCACTTACCCCTCGTAAGTCTCTACTGCCACCAGCGAGGCTCTGGTCTTGCTGTGGAGTTCGTGCTGGTCGCGTGAGGTCTGATTTTGTCACCTTGTCAGGCCTAGTGGTCATTCTACGCTATGAGCTATTTCATACTTCTCATGCGACGCGCAAGGAATTGGAAAAGCGGGTGAGTCGAAATCCTCTGCTTGGCCAAACAACAGCCACCCATGCCTCGAGCCTGCGCCCCAAACAAAGTTTGGCATGTGAAATGTGTGGTGCTGGTATGTGCCTCGACCGTCCCACGTTGAAGTCAATGCTGACGGCAATGTGCCGGACGTTTACCAGTACGCGATATGCGGCCCAGCAAACAAAAGCTCCACCCAAAGCCTTCGAGACAGCATACGACTATCACAACTCGGTTTTCATTCGCTCATCGTGCCATGTCCACGTGCTACAACATGAGCAGCGTGGTTGTTCGCAATGGAGCGCCGGTTTTAATCAATGACCATTTCTATGGCACAGTCACGCTAGAATAAAAGTCAAAGCACGCCGATCAGTCGCCAGCCTGCCTCACAAAACACGTGGTCACGCGTAGCTACGAAATGAATGTGATCCGAAGAGCCCCTCAAGCCTATCGGAGGCGTTGTCCGCGGTCTGTTGGCTTACACACCAGATCGCTGTGCTTCTGCCCAGTGCGTATCGTTTGGTCTGGCGCGCCATGTGTTTTGCATGCCGACTTTGTCGTAAATTTGGCATGAGCGGTCAATGCGCACGCATGTCTTACGTCCTATACCGGCACACAACGTGTTCCGTGTCTCTTCTGGTAGCATAAGACCACAAGAGCTGAACCTGTACACCAATCCTTCCGTAGATAGGTACCGTTTCACACAGATATCGCGAGGTGAACGGCACTATGAATCGAGAGCAGGCATCTGTTTTTACAATGCCAGATGTACATCGCCGCGTGTTGACCAATCCCGACGTGAATGATGGGGCAAACTCCACGCAAAATTCCACCCTGGTCATTTAGATCATGATCAGCCCATTCATCATCGGTATAGCTTCAGTTTTATGAGTTTTGCGTTCCTGGCTGAGCGTCGACTCCGCTACGTCACCGACGCCAACCTTGATCCCACTTTGGCGCTTCGGCAGCCCATGGCTGTGTAACTTTGCAAGACTAAACCAAGATTGTGCTGTGTTTCTGAGATCTTGACGTGGAAAAGGTCCTGCGTATCACATGAAGAAGGCTGGAAAAACGATACCAGAGGGCGGAGGGCTGGCCGCTAAATCGTGGTCGGCGGACGCGCAAGCAACCTTCTCTCGGAGTGAATGAATTTGGCAACAGCAGATGGGAGCACGGGACAGTCCAGCGACGCCAACAAAGCTCATCGGAAAACTTTAATGCTTCTTCTAATAAAAGAATGTCTCGGACATGTGGAAGTGGCTATCGAGAAAAAAATCTGCGCGAAGCTTGGGGGGACGCAAGCTGGAGTGGCACATGCTAGCATTACGCCACATAAATTCATTATGTATACTCTCTGTGCGCCGGCATGCGTACGTCACAAAGGACTGGCAGACACGCTTGATAATCCGATCGATGGACTCTTGATGGTGAGGTCGAAATAAGCACTTCTGACTGGGTGAAAAAAATCAAATTCAAAAAACCTCAAGCCCAAAAAAGCACGGAAGAAAAAAAATATAAAATATAAAACACAAAAATATGAAAAGCACGCAAAGGTATTTGCGCTTGATGTCTGAGCGCTGTCTAGCACCTGAATTACGACGAGTGGGACTTGGCAGTACCAAACGCACTCAGCCATTCTGTTTTGTACGTCATGTCAAGTCAGATGTGCGCTCGTCTCGGGAAGTCATTTCGTGTTTTGTGTGATATGTGCCAGCGAGCAAGATAGCACTGTTAGCTAGTCATATCCCTACTGTCTTTCATTTGAGCTGCTTGCAGATCCACATGCTTACTGTTTGCTCAGGAGTCACCTGACAGTGGACGTCGCGCATGGTGCCTGCGATTTCCGTCCCAGCGTCCTAAGGGCTCTCAATCGTTGACTGCCAGGGTTAAGTATTCTGGAAGGCGCAAGGGCATGAGGCCAAAGCAGGACAGGGAAACCACCTGTGGTCGCCAACCATTTTCCCAAGTCGCGGAGTACCCTCGAGGCTGCGAGCCAAGAGGGTCATGATGGCCGGACCCACAAGCGTCCTACCGCCGTTCATCAGGCTTCGTTTGAGCTTGCAAATAAGATTTGTTTTTGCAAGGTATTGCATACATGGCTTCCTCGGCTCTCATGCGGAGATTGCGAGAGTCAGCGCGCGGGCGTAATGAAGTGAGCCTACACTTCACGACAGTTAAGTGAGTGATGACTGCCATCAATGGTGAAGGAAAAAGGCGTTTTGAAAATTCTGGAGGAAGCTGTCTGGAGACAGCACGTCAATTTCAAGGGGATTTTCAATGATGACATTTCGCCCCGGTATTGTAGGTGTCTTCGAGCTTGGAGTTGACCCGCGAGCTGCCTCGTACCCCAAATTGATGTCTCATCAGTGGAGTGACAGGGTTGCACAGCACACGCCCAACGTCTTGTCGACATCATAGAGATGACTTTGCAGCAACTGCGAGAAGGTTCAATCGCCGCGAAGGAGATTGGCGCTCGAACGGAGAAGCAAGCACAATTTGGATTTACACGCTAGTTTCCGCTCCGGCCTCATCTTGACAACCAAATACGAATGCTTGATGAATGGGCATGCGTTTTGTGTAAGTCTCTCCCGCATCTTTCGATCTATCAGAGGAATTTTGGGTAGCTCGGGAATGTGTTCCGTGACAATGTTGTTCCGACGTGATGCATGACGCGTCAATGCAATCATTGTCGCCCTGATGTGATTGAACGCCGGGAAGAATAGAGAAGGCAGTGATCGCTTCTCCCCGATCGGGTACCTTCATCTCCTGTTATTGACCACATCTTATGCACAAGCAAAACGTCGCCGTGTACAAGTATGCAAGTGTGCAAATTATATGAGGACGCCCGATCTAAATCTCTGTTTGTACACAGCGCGCACACTCATCCTGGTGACTTTGCGCGACACGCCTGAGCCGCGTGTAAAGAGGAAGGCGCTTTCTTGCTGCAGACATAGCGTGCGTGTTGGAGACGCTAAGGCCGAGGCCGCGCCTCTGTCGTGAGCAAAATCATTTGAACGCAAATTGTTTGCGAGACGCTCCCTTCTCCACGTCCTGTATAAGACCATTGTTGTGCAGTGACCTAACTTGTTCAAATACCCAATTGAGCAGGTACAAAGCATGTTGACTTTGTTTTCTTTATCTTTTTGCGCTTGGCAAATTGCAGGGTGAGTCGGGTGGCTTTGGAACTTGCTTGTTGCCTCAAGCATTGAGCCCTTTGAGCCATGGCTTTGTTCAAGCCAAGACACCAGCTGATGTTGTTTTTGATGGCAACGCTGCCCTGGTGACCCGCGCAAACTGAGGAAGATGAGCAGAACTCGTGGATTTTCAAGGTCAGCGCATTTTTCTAACCGAATCCTCACACGTCTGATGGTGCGTGCGGATTCTGGAGCATACAGACGCTGCCTTTCAATAAGGCAGAGGTGGTCACCAACGATGGTAGGTGTAACATAGAAGCGCTCTGCTTGAGTCACAGCGAGCCGCACCTGGGAAGCGCCCGACACTATCGTGATGTGTATCGTCTTTTGTGAAGAGAACAAGGCAACGAACACGCTTGCAGGTAGCGCAGAGTGTGTGATGCAGTGCTTGAATCTAACGCGATTGGAATCTTTATGATTGATTTCTGCATTTGTTGGTTCATATATTGATCAAGAACGTGCCTACATCTTCCTACTGAAGGGAAGGGCTCCACTTCCGCATGAATGTGTCTGCAGTTGGAACCAACATCAGCATCTGTTGTTGATGCAAGCACAGAACAGCCATTACATCATGAAGGTGTCGATCAGGGTGTAGATGACCCAGCCATCCTGCTCCCAGCCATGTATGGTGGCTTAGCTTGTTGTCTGCACATTCAGCAGGGCTTACTGTTTCCTGATGCACACAGCAGGGGTAGTTGATATGAGCATGAGCGGTCCTGACAGGCTAAGTCGACTCGTACTCCAGGAGTTGCTCCCAATGTGAATTGGCCAGGTGAATCCTTGCAATCGAATTGGTGCCATGTTCGGAGCATCCATATCCTCACAGAGTAGTGCTGACCAGCAACCTCACTTTCAAAAAAAGCGTAGAGAATCTCTTGCCAGGGCATGAAGTGCTTGCAAGACTGCGAAAGTGTGGACCCAGAGGTGCATGTGAGTGCCTTGTACCCCCTCTAGATTAGCAGCATCAGCCTTGTAGCAAATGGAGACAAAGTTGAGTGAGCAGCAACTGAGCATACATTCAAGATTCCGCGCAGTGAGTCCAGCACACATCCCACGCATTCGGGACTCATTGCTGGAAATCGCGCCCAACAAGCTGGAGCAGGTCTTTTCACGTCGTCTAGCTGATTGAGACTACAAAGAGGGGGGCACAGGTAGCTCATGTGATGTCCACAGACGAAGTCTTTCTCAAATTAGACCACCGGGTCGTTTTGTGCAGCGTGGCTGCTATGCAGAATTTGGCATCGCAAGCCGGCTGAGAGCTGGGTCAGCCATGCCGCCTCATCGGGTGAGGAGTGCAAGTAGACCAAGCGAGCAAATAACGCCGTAAAACAGAGCCAGCAAATGGTAGCAGGCATCTCTACCTTTGCACCTGTAAGACCGACGACATTTGTGGACGTGCAAAGCAGGTTGAGGACTCGACAACGCACGGGAGGATAAGGGCCGCCATCCAGCAACGCGAATTTGTGACATTTGATAAATATTCATGATCAGACAATCTCGAGATCAGATTCTGAATCCTCCAGAGGTACCAAGTGGTTTGAACCACCTGGGAGTCGTACATGCGCATCGGACGTGGTGTCCGAGCCGCGCAGTCTCGCCGTTGCGTCACGCCACGAATCCACTCGCGAGAACGTCTCCGGTCCTTTTGAGGTTTGTGAAGCCGCAACATCCGACATCTGAGAAGATGATTCGTGCCGCGCTAGGAGCTAGGGAAGGGGGCACGACAGGGATGCTTCCACTCAGCATGGGGCCCCAAGCGAGCGTAAATTGCTTCGGCGATCAACCTCACGCCCCACTCACCCGCATTCGGTTGTCAGTGGTGCTGTTCGGTGCACTCTTCGTGTTCTGCTGTGATCGCCGACCGGCCAGAGGATCGAAGCCAAGACGCTTGATCATCTCCGGTCCATAGGCCGAGCGTTCTTGGATTAGATCGGCTTTTTCATGCTGCGTGGAGTTCTGGCCTGGGATTCGGTCTTGTCTAGCAGGTAGACGTTTGTTTATCGGATCGCGGTCTACGCTTTCTGAATTTCTCTTTACACCCCGTCTTGTCAATGCAGGCGACTCTCTTTGGCGCTCGAGAGTGGATTGCGCTGAAAGAAGGGCTCTTGCCGCAACGCTGCCCCCAAGTATGGTATCGTCGTGTTGCGAAGCTTCAATCAGGGGCTGCGAGCCTCGTAGCTGCTGCTGGGCAGAAAGTTGTCTATGATGAGTGCTGCCGTGACCAAGACGCGCTTCCAGTTGAAAGATGAGACCTGCTTCTTCCCAAGCCTTCTTTCGCCGTGCTTGTTTGTCCGCTCTGCCTCTCCCATAGTAAGCAGCAGCATCGAAAGAGTGACTGTTCGGATCCGAAGCAGCCAGCAAAGCGCCTTCACCAATCACAGCGGGCCCGCGGCGGACATGCTTGCCAGCAGTGCGCCCTGATGATGAGGAGGAAGGCTGGAAGAGGCGCTCTGCTGGATCGCGAACAAAAGAGCTGGAGCCAAAATTGGGATTGATTTTGAGATCGGAGCTGGCTGTGGCATATCTCCAATCAGTCGTTCTGCAACACAGCACCATACGAGGTGCAGCCCGAGTCAGCCGCGGTTACCTCAGTCTGCTTTTGTGGACGTGGATCGACTCACGTGTTCGCCAAGTCATGACGCTTGCCTCCACTGTTCTTGAGCGACGCTTCGAAATGCACCTGACAGACCTTGCTTCCAGAACGACCGTCGACGTATGCGGAGCATAAGTCACCTTCTTTGGTCATTGCTTGACACCTGTTAAAATCTGCGACCTGACCGATGATGGTCATTGTACTATCATGAAGCAATTTGAGCTTGAAAACTTTCGAAGCAGCGGTGCTCTTTCCGCCGGGCTTTGCGGGCACAAGCAGACCCTAAGGCATCCGCCAGATGACGGGTGATGGCGATGAGTCAACGCTTGATGCGGAAGCTTGCGAGTTCACTGTCGCCTGACTCACTGCTGAGTTTGAAATTCTGGGATTTGTGATGCAAAGGAGCGCGCCTGGACGTTCGTGCACCAACCGCTCGAATGCTCCGCCACTGCCTCCCCGCCATTTGCTGCGCTGATTCAGGATACGGTCCTCCTTGACGGCTTGAAAGACCATCATGGTCAACATCTCGTCTCCGCCTCCTTTGGCATCGGCACCGAGGTCTTGAAGCCGTAGGATCATATACTTGCGGCCAGCGCCGGCGTTGGCGTCATCGTCCTCGCTGTCGGCATCCTCATCGATCTTGTCATCCTGCTCGTTGAGGGGCAATCCAGCTTTTTGCATGTCTCTCTTGCGCTTCTGCTTCTCCTGACGCTTCTCGCGACGCTTATCCTCCTTTTTCAGCTTCTGGCTCGCATGCCACTCTTCGTAGCGCGCCTTGCGCCGCTCGTTGCTCCTGCGCTTGCGCTCCTCGTCGTCCGGGTGCTGATCCGCCTCGTCGTGGCTTGACACATCGCTGTCGGGATGAATGTACGATTCGCCCTTCTGTGTGCCCGGTTTCGGCTTCCACTGCTTGCCTTTGGAGATCTTGACGGGGGACATCTCCACAATGACAGCCATGGTGAGCCATTCGCCAACGACGGGCACCTTGTAGTCACCGTGGAGATTTGTGGGTTTGGGGTCGACGATGGAGTAGAGTGTGGAGGGCGACAAGTGATAACGGCTTTCCAACCATCCGTGCACCTGCACATTCGACACCCGGCGCTGTCTGGAGGTGAGGGTGATGGGATGAGGCGGATGATGAAATGGTTAGCGCTCTCGCGCTCGTGCACGACGTCCAGACGACACCATCCGCAGACGTTCGCTGGTCGAACGTGGCTCGTGACTACCAAGACGGCTGCGCCTGTAGAGCGACGATGGCACAGAAGCACCCGAGTGATCGACTCACTTGAGACGCGTGCGCGAATTCGGTTCGAATGTGTCCCACTGTGCATCATCCATCGCAGCGCCGCCCAGATCGCGTGGACCTCTCCTCAGCGTCTCTACAACGCGCAAACGCTCGTCGCGCGCAGCTGTTAGAGTGTCGCCCTGCTGCTCATCTGCATCGTCATCCTCTTGGCCGTTCCGATGCGCCGAGTGTCGACGTGGTGCTGCCGACATGCGGTCTGCAAATGATGCACGGCTGGCTTGCGCACTCGCAGCAGGGTGAGATGCTTGGGCATGAGCAGCAGCTATAGGGAGAGGTGGTCGAGGGCGAGAAGAGGTGGAGGCTTGCTCCGCAGCTGCACGCCGCATGATCTCGACGCCTTCTCGAGTGCGCGAGGCGAGCGAGGTGTGATGGTAGCGCGAAGCATTGGACGGAGTGCTGGGGGCAAGAATGCGTGGGAGTGGATCCATGATTCGAGAGAGAGAGAGAGAGATAGAGAAGGAAGGGGGAAAGAAGGCGGAAGGAATTGATGGCAAAGAGGGAGAGAAGGATGAATGCGCGGAGGAAGATGAAGATGCTTGCTTGTGCCCTGTGATGGCGGGGGATGAGGAGCGAAGCCGAGTGCAAGTATACGCTTGACTTTGACGTTGTACTCGAGACTTGCTTGCTTGACAGTCGAGGGAATCAGATCAGATGGCAGGAATATGCTGAATGCTGTGTGCTGTGGATGCAGGAGACGAATGAGTCCAGTTTGAGTCAAAAGTGTGTCACGAATCGAAAACACATCTTGACTCACGCGCTGCATGGCACAGCTTCGGCATTCAATTGATACTCATACTCAGCGGGGAGGCGACGCGACGCGTTGCTCCGCGCAAGTCCGCGGCGTTTGCGGGGGTTTAGAGCAGTGGCGCGGTCGTGCATGCGCGTGCTGCGAACACGAATTCAAGATCCGCGCGTCGATGCGCCTCTTTTTCGTACTTCTCAATCGACGCTCCACTCACGACTTGCAATCTGAATCTCTCCGTTGCGGTCGGGGTGGGGGTGTGAGTGCAAGCGTGAGTGCGAATGTGGATGTGGATGTGGATCGTCTATGTGAAGCGTTGCCAGATGACCCTCAGCTGCCGCCACATTCACATTCACATCTCCTCTTTGCTCTGTACTGTCCAGTTGATCGTCATTCAGCCATCGCGAATCTCTGCTTCTCGCAGCACAGTCGTCTTGCGCCCCTCAAGACTCGATCACATGCACACCCACACTTCTGTCATGCCCATGGAGGGGGATGACGACGAGGAGTCGATGAATCACATCAGCCTGGCCGAAAGGCAAGCTCTGCATGTCTTCATGGGTCGATTGGAGCACTTTGTCCAGTCTGGCACCGACGATGGCGCGCTGCAGTCTGCCTCGCAGCTGGCTGAAGAGCTTCAAGCTTTGCGCTCCATCTACGGCGACCAAAGCATCGGTCTGCTGCATCCAAGCACAAGCACAAGCACAAGCACAAGCACAAGCACAAGCACAAGCACCAGAGGCGAGCCTTCATGCTCTCAACCGTGCAATGGCTCCAACCCTACTCCTCTCCCCAAAGCTGCCGACCCGCGAATCAGCATGGACAAGCTCAGGCTCAGCGTGCGTGCAGACATTGCAGGCGCAACGGCATCGAGCGAGGCTGCAGCCTCGCAACCCCTCCACTTATCCATCACCTTGCCTTCAAACTACCCGCACTGCGATCAAGCACCACAACCTCAGGTGCTCAGTCGCTACATCGGCCCTTTGCCTGTAGATCATCTCATCTTTGCAGAAGTCCTCAGATGTTTTCTTCACTTTCAGCGCGTCATCTCCGAAAGCGATGTGGGTCGCGAGCGTGGAGAACAAGCAGCGCAGCACAACGACATCAAAGGACTACGATGGGTTCAAGGCGAAGTCATCTGTTTTGAAATCATCGAGTGGGTCAAGGAGCGTGTGGCCGAGTGGTTTGAGCAGGGTCTTGCCCGGCGACGAGAGGAACAGTCGCGCAATCCGAGGTCATTGGACACTGAAGCAGCGCAGCCGCAAGATTTCAGCAGCGATGACCAAGACTTGGAGCGGCAAGATCTCCCGACGTTGTCCGAGTCCACTGAACAACCTCACGCTAGTCACAAAGCAGTCGACATTGCCAGCATGCTCGTCAGCAGTCCACCCATCACCGAACGAAAGTCGGTCTTTGTCGGTCATGCTGCGCGCCTGACTCACCCCGACGAAGTGAGTGGATGTCGGCTTCTAGACCATCGTGGCCTGTCGCATTTCGGTTCTTCGAATGGCAATCGTCGCTCAATCGTCCTGCTCTGCGTTTCCCTGTGCTCTGCAGATTCCTGCTTTGCTTGCACATCTCTTGTCCGACCGGCGGATTGCGAAAGCCACTCATCCGACCATACATGCATGGACGTGCTCGAACACTGGCCAAAGCGGCAGACCAGTTCATGCCAGCGACTGCGACGATGATGGCGAATCCGCCGCAGGTGGGAGGCTAGCACATCTGCTACATGTGCTTGTAAGTACGCGATCGGGTGCCCTGGCAACATTCTTTCAAGCGCACAACATGCGGCTGCTCCAATGCTTGCGCTAGCGAAAAGCGTACGCCGCCAGATCACAGGTCAAACGCATTCTCATATGTCCCCTCCTCATTCTATTCAGGGCGTTGACAATGTAATTGTAGTGGTCACAAGATGGGTAGGTGTCTGGCTCGAAGTCGCTGGAACGGCGCCTCCATCCCAAACTTACACTACTCATTTCCGCGCCCACTCAAAGTACGGAGGTGTGCATCTCGGCGCAGACCGCTTCAAAGTCATCAACAGGGCAGCGCGAGATGCTCTGGAGGTCTTGGGCGTGGTTCAAGGTCCGCTCAACTCAAGCCCTGGCATTTCAAACGCTGCGCATGCAAACACGCACAAGCTTGACAGCATCTCTAGACGGTAGAGTCTAACCCATGCATTGCACTGCTCGGAACAGCATCAACTCTAGCGGCGGATGCGATGCGCGCCATGATCCGTTCCGAAGTGTTGATTTCGCAAGCTATAATTGAATGCTGGATTCCCACGGCGCAGCTCCCCTCTTGCCTCTGCTGCGGGGTGTCCCAGCCCCTTGCGTTTCCAAGGTTGTGGTGCCAGACGCCGACTTGGGCGGCGTGCGATCGCTTGCTTGAGGTGACGAGAAATCAATTTGGGGGTTGGGTAGCGCACTCTCGCTCTGGCCGCCTTGCGCGGCCTCACGCGCAGCTTGAGCCCGGAGCCTGCGTTTCGCGCCTTCGCTCAACGATTGCTCCCACACCTCGGTTGCAGGCCCCCTTACAGTGGTGCCGGGTGGCGTGGCTGCGTAGGAAGGTTCTTGCAGCGGTTTGAGAGCAGCTTGTCCATCTTCTGTGCGCTGGCGAGTCGCCGATGCCGCACCTTGACACCTTGCAGTAGCACCAGCACCACCCAATGGCCCCCACTCGGACTGATTCGCTGGCGCCCTCTCCGTTTGTCGAGCTACGATAGGGTGCCCCTGCGTATCCTTTGCGTCTGGGACTTTTGCCTTTACCTTGGCGCGTGCGGGCAAGGAGGTGCTCCCACCGAGCGGTCCCCACTCGTCGAGGTCGACTTCTCGCCGGCGAGTGCCGCGGCCGGAAGGCAACTGCACGTCTAAATTGCGCGTTCCAGTCTGCACTGACTCGCCCACTGAAGGAGCAAAGGTGGCCGTGGCCGCCTTCGTGAATCTTTCATCTGCCAGATAGTCTGTGCGATCGCCCTCTTCGATTTCATCTTGCCTTTTGGCCGGGGCCGGAGCACCTCCCTCCGCTGAGCGCATCACCTCGTTTGAGACGGAACGAAGTCCGCTTGCCCCTTGTCTAGCATCCATTGGTCGTAGGCCAGATACAGGCGCTTTCTTCCGTCTGTATGCCTCTTCCCTTAGCGGATTGCCCTCTAAGACGATGGCCAGCTGACCCTTTGGTATCCGCTCGGGAATGCGAGATCGGACGCTAACCAGCTGTCGAGCCTGTATGCCGACGCGTGGTTGCGGTGTGCCGACTCCAGCGGGAAAGGCCTTCTCGCCCTCGGCTATAGTACGGGGTGAGCCCCAAACTTCTTCCAGAGGCTCCAGATCATCCATCTCGCATCTATACAGGGATAAAAGCGTTAAGCTTGGGAAGAACTTGGCTGGCTCCGCGGTAGGCAGCGAGCCCTCTATCTCTGGGGCATTTGCCTCGAAAATGTCTGATGCTAGGCCATTGCCGCCCAAATCGAGGTGCTGCAGAGACGATAAGGTACCGAACGCGGCCAGAGGTATCGGACCTCTGACAAAGTTGTCAGACACGTCCAGCGTGGTTAGATTGGTAGGCCAGATGATGGCCTGCTGCCGCTCCGTTTGCGCTTCCGCTTGCGCTCCTTCCGGCGAGACCAACGACCATCTGAGGGACGCATTGGTGAGGCGATTGTTGCCGAGGCTGAGGAAGCGACAGGCAGGAAGTGGCCGTTGCGGGTCTGGCTTGTATTTTTTGCTGGAGCGGGACGAGTCGCCCAGACCAGCCCAGATTCCGCCAGTTTCCATAGCCTCGGCGCTGGCTGCGATGATCTCTTCATACTCCTTGACACTTGCTTCTAGATCTCGCTGGTCCCACAAAGTGGTGATGCGATTGCTGGAAAGGTCCAACTCTAGCAGAGTGGGATGCATCAAGAGGGATGTGGGAAAGATGGACAGGTTGTTGCCGCGCAGGTTGAGGTGAGTGAGCTGGCAAAGGCCAGACAGAGCGTCGGGCACATTTTTGAGCGCATTGTTGTGCAGCTGCAGAAAGTCGAAAGCGTGATGAGCGCAGCATCGCCCGATCAGCCAAATGCTGGGCAGGCCATAGATCACCCATCGAGCGGCTTAGCCACTCACGTCTAGCCTGCTCAGTGCAGCGAAGCCTTGGATGGCATTTGGAATAGATTTGATGATATTGTTGGACAAGCTCAGCTGAACCAGATCGGCTCGCTCGTACCATGGCCTCCTGCCTGCTGCAGTGTTCGCGTGTTGCCTATACCACTGCGGTGCATCGTCGTCCAAAAGCTGAATGGCAGATGGCGGCAACTCGGTGAGAGGCGGTGCGCGCGAAGCGAGGATCAGGCGACCTGTCTGGGTGGACTTGAGCAGCAGCGATTCCGTAGATGCCTGCGCAAGCTGCGTCTCCTCCTGCTCTCTCCTCCTCTCGCTCCCACCTCTTCGAGTATTGGTCAGAGCATCCTCGTCTTCCTCTTGAGCTGCGGAAGAAGAGGAGGAGGAAGCAGCAGCAGCAGCAGCAGCAGCGTCGTCTGAAAGCTTGACTTTTGCGAGTGCCGCGCGTTGAGCTGCAATGGCAGCCTTCAGCGCGGCAGACATGCTTCGAAGCAGAATGCCGCTTAGTCGTCGAGGTGGATGGTGTTGGTGCGGGTGCGTGAGGCGAGTCGTAGGGCGATTACGAATGTTGCAAGCGCGCAGAAGATCGCAGACACGTGATTAGCACCACCACCAGCGGCACCGGCAGGTCGTTCAGAGCCCGAAAGTCGTGATCAAGTGGAAAGCCCGAGCAAGAAAGGCTAAACAGCGCACGTCATGCAGCGATGTGTGCCTTGAAAGCTTCGCTGCGAATCATGCGCGCGCAGCTGCGCCATGCAGCCGACGGGACTCGTGACTCGCTACTGTGCTGTTGTATTCGCGTGCTGACAGATGCACGACAACGAAAAAAGCGCTTACGGTGCAAAATATCCAGCACGTGACTTGCGAGTTGCGACTTGACGAGATAGCCAGGCGAAAAGTGAGACGAGAAAGGCGTGAGGTGCATGCATGCATGTATGAATAGATGTGTCTGCCTGATCATCATACTCTTGACTGCTAGCTTGAACTCCGACTCTTGACTCGTCGTGTAACTCCGACTCGTGACTTCTCAACTCGCGATTAATCAGTGTGAGTCTCAACCCTGTTCCAAGATGCCGGACGCCACCCTATAAGCTCTTGCATTCCGCCGCCAGGAGCTCAGCTTACTGTTTTAGATGCTTGCTGCACACGTCCAATGTTGCGCCCATTTGCAGGTCCAAAAGCCAGCGTGGGCGGAGTCATGCACTCTCAGCAGCAGACAGCTGTTGAGTCAAAGGCGGAGGGGAGGCATCAGAGCACGGCAGAGACAGAGACTATCACAATGGCCTTGCAATCAAGAGTCAAGACAAGATCGAGTGCCGACTCTGCTGCGTCTGATGCTGCTGCATGACTCGACTTTGAATGTCCGATCATCAAATTGGCCTCAGCGCGCTCGCTATGTACAGTTGTGAGTACCTATACTCAAGACTCTACTGTATACAGCTTCGGAGTCGAGATGGAAGTTGGCGAGCGCAGGGCGACTTGGCGCGAGCGGCCGTCTAAAGAATCACCATAACAAATACTCATCAAATCATCAATCGTGAGTCTGCGCGTCGTGAGTCAGAGAGTCACGAGTGTTGAGTCGTGCCTGGCACGGGTCACGGGATGAGAATCCACAAAGAGGCGAGCAATCCAAGCGCGCGGTGTGGCCGCTCAAACGCCCGCGCTGTGGTGTTTGGTTCGAGGCGCTGATCCACAACCAGTATACAAGTCATCATTCGTGATTGATCGAGGTGCTCGCGGATCTCTTGCGGTGCTGCGATCATTGTGCGAGCGGTACATGTGTCCATGTATATACACGGTACCTACCCAGCAGCCTCGGCAGTCTGTGAGTCTGTTGTGAGTCTGTGAGTCTGAGGACACACGGTGCAGCAGTTGCACGTGTGAAGGTGTACCTACAGTACCTACAGCATGCATCACATTCAAATTCAAGATTAGCAGCACGGCGCAATTGTTGCGTTTAAAATTAGAATTGAATCGGACCGGCCGGATAAGGCTTGCGATCGAGTGCCACCGGCTCTTGCCGTTAGCGGTGTGTGGGTGCAGTGTGGTGCATGTGCTATTCGTGATTGAAGATTCGATTCAAGTCACGAGTCGCAGTCAAAGTGGTCGTGTCAATCTTGAATCAAGAACAAGCACCAAATTCCGGTGGTCAGCATCGCCGCACTGCGCATGGACTTGCGACTGTGTAACTCATGACTGTGACTGCGATTGCATCCTGGCTTGAGCTAATGTGAATGTGAATGTGAACATTGAAATTGGCGCGGGCCAAGAATTTCAAACGCTTCTCACCGCCATCCCACCTTTCCCATCCACCGCGCTTGGACAGCCTGACCGCTACGCCCCAAACATCTTCTCCTCAAGGTGTGTGACTGTGAGTTCAACACACTTCGACCGCTCCTCTTCTCTCCCCACACCAACATTGGCTCCGCACGAGTGTTGATCACCACACCACTGGCTCCATGAGTGCGTTCAAACGATCGCGGTCCAAGTCCGCGTCGCCAATCGACCAACATCGTCCAGACAAGATGATGGCTAGATCTCGCGCGTCAAATGCTGCTGATCACACTGGTCTCGACGATGCTACCGCCACGTTGCATGAAATGGAAAGCGCTTCAGATCAAACGACATCATCAGCCAAGCAGCAGGACAAGCAGGTGGCCGGTGACGCAACACAAAGTGTCAATGCAAATGTCCTGGCCCACGCATCCTGCTCGGGTCGCAAACTCGACACCAAATCGGGGTCAAGGCTACTCAACCTGCCACCAGAGATCATCGAGCAGATCGCATACCAGTGCGCAGTGACGCAGGACGATGCGGCGCAGGTCAACGTACCGCAAGACGTAGCTGGCGGAGATGCGCTGGTCCAGATCGACACTAGCGCCGCTTCCTTGCCCTGGCACGCCGAACATCACCCATCAGCTACGCCACCTAGCCACCTGCTGGCCTTTCTGCTGACTTGTCGACAGGTCTACACACTGCTCAACCCTCGGGCTGCTCCACACCTGTATGCTCGCATCTTTCGAAATCGCTTCGACGTCGCAGCCATCGAGCGCAGATTTGGACCAAAAGCCATCGCAGCGCGCAATCTCTGTGCCGAGCTGCAAAAGAGGTGCAGAATATTGAAGCGCATCAGAGCAGCTGTGCTCGTAAATCAGCTCAAGCCGGTCGACCTACCACCTTTGATTGCGGAAGAGGAGATGACGGAGAACCTTTGGTTAGCGTACATGATGCTCGTAGAGAATGGTGAGTTGGATGAAGAAAAGTTTTGGTTGCTGCTTCGAAGCGCTAAGCGTATCGACGGCTGAGTGTGTGCGACGTCGGCTCATCGTGACAGATGGGCTCAACATGGCCAGGCTCAAGTGGGCACTGTTGGACGGCTACCTCCGCTTGCACGACAAGCAGATCATGCTCGAAGCACCAACCGAGCCGGTGTACCCTCCGGACACTTTGGACAGGTCTTTGGCCTTGCATGTAGCCTTTCTCTTCACCGACCCGCTCGACTTGGCCAAGGAATCCCGCGGCGTCAGCGACACCAAGCTCTTCGTATTAAGGCCTTTCGTCTTTGCTGCACATAAAGTACGTGCGAGCTGGTCGAAGCAGGCTCGATCGCCTCGGAACGCTCACTGACCGCGACTGTTTCTCATGCAATTACGCAGTTCGATTCTTACGTCGCTCCTTGGACCGTCAGGCGACTTCCATTGGCTTCTCAGGACGACCCTGCTCAGTCAGCTGCGGCGGCAGCCAACGCTTCACCGCCGCCCAATCCATTCCTCGCTGACCTGATTCCCAGGTCGAGGGAGACGGAAATCACACATTGCGGCATCAGAATGAAGCTGTTTCCACCCATCCTCTCGCACGCGGCCTGCTTCACTTTCTTTGCCAAGGTGGAGCGCGACCCGGCAGTCATTGGATTGACTCCGATCCAGGACCTGCACAACCCATCAGCTGCGCGCGAAGACGTGCGAGCGAACAGGAATCCGCTTGCCTTCAGGTCCATCGATCACGACACAGACGTCTCCCGCCTGCTGGCTTGCTCCAACCCTTTTTCTGCCCCAGGCCTCAAGCCTCTTGCCCATGCTGGTCTCTTTGAAGGCGCTTGGGAGGGCCGCTTCTGCTTCTTCGACTTCGACTCGTACCGCGAGATGCTTGCTGGTCGCATGCGAAGCCTATATGAGGGACCATTCGGGGAGCAGCCGCAAGTCTGGAGGATCCGCGAACATATTGTGCGAGTAGGATCAGGCGTCCGCAAGATCGGAGGGGAAGGCAGTGTTCTGAATGCCGGCTATCTGAATGGGGAGCCAGAGCCAGATACCGTTCCTTCTGTGCCCTACTCTGAAGCTGTTGCTACCATCAACCCGAGCAGGCCTGCTTACAACGGCGCGAGTCGCAACAATCGCTTCAACATCGAAACGGACAGTCGAACAGGGCAGATTACGAATGCAGGCGACTACGCTGAGCTTGCGAAGCGCGGATTCGGTTCACTGGAAGATGCGCAGATGTATCCCTCGTTCGGCGATGATGAACGCTGCCCGCCGGGCGATCCAGAGGCGTACGAGATTCTTTTGAGTGGCACTGTGAGTCTTCTGTCCCTTTCGACTGAGAGAGAGTGACCCTTTGGCTCACTGGGCTCCGCGCACTCATGCTCCACGTCCCAGGGTCACTCGGCATGGGGTCGCTTCATTTTGCGTGGTCGCATCAGAAGTTGGGACGGCATGATGATCATGACCAAGGAGTATCGCCCAGACGGTCGAGGGCGATGGCTGTATCGAGGCTATGCCGTCGCTGGTGGCCGCCTGGTGGGCAGGTGGCGAGACACATTCACGCCCGAGAATATGAGCGGCTACGAAGGGTGAGTAGAATCCGTGTAGCTAAATCGATGTCACGCGTCGCTGCCGATGCTTTGCTCACTTGGCGCACGTTCGCCCTCAGATGCTTCCTGTTGAGCAGGCGCGATTCGGCAGCGTGATGCTGTTGATTTGCGACGCCTCGCCATGCGCCAGTCGCTTTGTATGCCGCCTGCCCAGCCCTTTCTATACACCCTCATGCTCGCGTCATCTGTCACCATTCCCCACATTGCATACCTCGCCATCACGCTTCTGATATCTATCCGCACGCACTCGCAACAGCTTTGGAAATTGCGCCATGAGTCGCTGTGAGATTTTTGCTTTGAGAGCGTCTAGTGAGGAGTGCGGCTGGACGTATGGGTGCAACTCTACAATAGTCCGGCAAGAGCGTCCGAAGCTGCTTGCCTGGACTTGTCTGATGCTGAAGCGGGTGCAGGCTGAGAGGATCTAGCGCGTTGGGAGGAAAAGCGATAATCGGCAAGCAAGTCGTCGAGGATAGACGCCTGGCTTGGTGCGGCGGATTGGGAGGAGACTCTAGCCGATTTGGAGGAAGAAGCTAGACCACCAAGAATTAGAGACCTGACTTGCGCGCCGCTCAGTGGCTCACTTGGCGCGGTTCTAGCGCTGCTGCCTTCGGGCGTGCCCACCTTGATGGGCAGGAGCAGTACACGTCGCGAGGTCAGTAGGATGGTCGCCTTGTATCCATGCTACAAGCTTCGACTGGCACTCACCTTCTTATCACCTTGCTTCGGAGGTCCACCGAGCGCCGCAACGCCAAGCGAAGTCGACTTTGCAGATCCACTCGGGTTGTTGGCGATGCCCACGTGGGTGAGGACGTCACCTTTCGTGAGCATGCCTCTGACGCCCGTCCCCTTGACCTCTGATGCCTTCAGATGATGCTCGGCCAGCAAACGCGCAACGCTTGGAAAGATTCGCTCGTCGTGCTGCATCGATGCGTGGGTCTGGGTCGACTGCTGCGAAGAGCTAGACGGTGATGGCGGTGGAGTCTTTTGAGGTCTTTTTGTCTCTACGACACTGCTTTTTGAGCTCGAAGACGCGGCATCCGATTGCCCGATCGCTTCGCTCGACGTGGCTTGCGACGGTACCTCTACGCTCGAAATGTCATCACCTTGCTCTGCAAGCATGGCGATGATTCTGCCCACCTGCACATTCTTCTCCCCTTCGCCCACCACAATCTTTGCCATGACGCCATCCTCTGGCGCTTCAACATCCATCGTCGCCTTGTCCGTTTCCTGCGAAGTGCGTGCGTTGGGACAAGTGTGGAGCGGGTGAGCTGAGTTCCTCACATCTAATTGGATGACGTAGGCATGACAGCCCTCGTGCTATGCTGACTGACAATCTCTAGCAAGACATCGCCCGCGTTGAAAGGCTGACCCTCCTTGACCTTCCAGGTGGCCAGTCCACCTTCGGTCATGGTAGGACTCATGGCAGGCATTGTGAATGGCGCAACCGCATTTTTGCTAGCGCTCGAGTGGAGCTCTGTGCGAGTGGTGCGAATCAAGAGGGCAGAGTGGTGTACTGTGATTCATCCTCGCTTGCCTGTGCGGGTCGGAATGCGTGCAGCATGCATGTGCTCACCTCTGCTTGCGTGCACTCTGGAGCTGGAGGCGACCATGCGCGACACGCTGCTGGCTCTCGAACCAAGCATGGCGGACGGGAAAGGTTGTTCTGGTGCAGAGAGCAGGAGAACCGGGGGGGTGGGGGTGGTGTGGGGAAGCTATTGAGTAGATGACTTTGGAGCGACGCAGATCGATTGGAGATGAATGGATGCGGACTGTGATGTAGCATGAACCAGGTCTGTGCAGAGGCAGCATTCACAATCGCAAGTCGTGAGTGGGTTGGACGAAGAATGGCAAGCTGATGAATCACCAATCAAACGCAGAAGAGTCGCGAGTGAGATGCAAGCGTCGCCTTTCCCCCCCCCCCCATCACGCACGCACGCACGCCCGCACGCACGCACCGAGCAGTCTCCGCTGCTGCTGCTGCTGCTGCTCCCCCAGACGCACTCAGTGACTCCCATCGCTTGATTCCATGCAAATTGCGCGGTTTAATTTGGGGCGATGAGCCGCGGCATCGCGGATGAACCGCATGCATGCATGCATGCAACAACGCTGCGCTTCTCATCAGTCACGTGTCAAGTATGAGGACATGCAGTTTTGAGTCAAGGGTGTCCGTGCGCCGGACGGAGGAGTTGCCCTGATGCCCGCACTTGACGTTTCTTTGGACCCGAGATCGGCATGCGCATGATTCTTCAGATGAATCGTGAATGGAATGGATCGAGCAATGACTCGAGACGTTGCACGTCGATGCCTGGGTGAAGCGTACGTCGAGGCGCTGTCTGACGACCCTTTCCCTTCTGGCCCACCCAACCACACACACACACACACACACATACACACACACACACACACACACACACACACACACACGCACACACACACACACACACACACACACGCACACACACACACTCCAAAGACTCTGCTCAAGGGTCAGCGCCACAGGGTTTCGCCAGAGTATGAGTCCCACTGACCGGTCCTGGAGGTGACGAAACGCAACGCGCGTCTTTGTATCCCACATCTCTCCTGCTGCTGAGGGGCAGCGCCTCGTCAGGCTGCTCCTTCAACTCACTCGCACGGCCATCCGCGCCATCAGCCAGGATGAGTCCCGAGCAGGAGCACGACCTGCTGCAGGATGCAGAGTCATCCATCGCCCATCAGTCATCGACATCGACATCGACATCGACATCGACATCGCCCATCGTCGCCTCCTCGCACGATCAGCAAATGAGCGCAACCTCTGCTCAGTACCTGATGAATCAGACTGCAAACCTTGTCAATCGCCATAGGATTGTATCGGTGTACGCCGATCAAGCGTCGGGCGTCGTCAAGCCCAGCGGTAGCGGCATGGCACGGGCCAACAATTCCCTTCGCAGCGCTTCTGCAAGTCATGCTCGGGAACAGGTGCAAGTCGATGCGCAGGATGGTCCGCTCACCAGTGCGCAGGTAGTCAGCTCGCAGCCAGCCGCAGACACAGAGGATGCACGACAAGCTGCCGTGACGCTTGAGGAAGAGGAGGAGGGGGAGGGGAAGGATGATGAAAGGGTTGATGGCGTGGAGATGGAGGTGCCTGCAGTCAATGACGACGTGCGGGGAGAGCAAGAAGCAGACGTGGGGGAGAGCGAGGCAGATGGGGCACCTACTGGCGCACCGCTCTCCGAGCTGATACAAGCCGTGGAGGAGAGCGCCGAGACGGAACGGTCTGGCGCCGATGGTGCGACTCAAGGAGCAGAAAGGGCTCAAAAGGCACAGGAACTCGCAGCCCAACAGATTGAGCCGGGGCAAGAAGAAGCATGCGCCAGCGCTGAAATCTCTGGAATGCCAGGAGACTCCGCTCCACAAGCAGACGACGAGGCGGAGTACGACTCGGATGAGGAGGAGCCGTGTTTGAAGTATTCCAGGATGAAGAATGGCTACAGCGAGACGCTGCGGAAAGATTCTGCAAGCTCTTTGGCCGCTTCAGATCGCCTCGTGGTGAGTATGGCAGGGAAAAAATGGCAGGTGTGGGTGCAGCTGATGGCGCGCATGTATACGCAATTTTTGCGCTCGATGGTCTTGTCAGGTGCTCGGCACACACGCAGGCTACACCCACATCATGGACGAGCAAGGCAATCGCATCAAGACTTTTCGTTCTCACTCTGCAAGCGTTCTGGACACTCAGATCGACGAATCTAGCGAATTCATCGCCAGTGCAGGTATGGACGGCATCGTATGTATACGATCACTCTCTTCTCCAGAGCTCTACACATTCGATTTCAAAAGGCCCATGCGCACACTCGCCTTGGAACCAGACTTTGGCAAACGCAGCTCCAGAGCAGTGGTGTGCGGGGGTCTAGCAGGCAATTTGATCATGAAGGAAAAGAGCTGGTTTGGCCACAAGGATACCATTCTGCATTCTGGTGAAGGGCCCATCTGGAAAGTGAGGTGGCGCGGCTCTTTGATCGCCTGGGCTAATGACAAGGTGAGTAACAATGATAGCGGATGCCTTGCTCCATTTATCCTCTTGCTGACAGTGTACGCGCATGTCTCGTGCTGCGCAGGGCGTGCGGTTGTATGACTGCTCACTCCGTCAACGGATATCTTTTATCGCGCCGCCAACGGCGAGCCCAAGAGGGGATCTCTTTCCTTGCTCACTGTTCTGGCAGGACGCTTCTACTCTTCTCGTAGCTTGGGCCGACCAGATCAAGATTGCCAAGGTTCGAAGGCGTCAAGGCCAAGCCTCTTCGACAGGCAAAGCTGAAGAGAGCGTCTCTTCAGCCGCGCTCAAACAGCTGGCCTCGACATCTAGCGGCCCTGCTACCAGCGTCGAGATCACTGCCATCCTGCAGCTGGATTGTCTCATTAGCAGCATCGCGCCGCACGGATCAGACTTTCTGGTGCTTGCGTATCTGTCCGAAGATCCGTCAGAAGATGGAGCAGAGCTCGAGGCAAACGAGGACACGGAGTCTCGATTACGACGTGCCCAGCGACGTAGAGCGGGCATGAAACCAGAACTGAGGATGATCACGACCTCTGGCGAGGAGCTGAGCAGCGATGTGCTGAGCCTGCAAAACGTCTCTCGATTTGGCTGCCTCGACTACCTTCTGATTCCATCTGCCGACGCAATCCTTGCGGGAGAAAACGCTATCCAACAGAGAGGAGCTGCTTCAGAGCTTGAGGCAGAAGGCATCTACTACTATGTCTTGAGCCCAAAGGACGTCATTTTGGCGCGTAATCGAGACGAAAGGGATGCCGTGGAGTGGCTGCTGGAAAGAAAGCGCTATCGCGAAGCGCTGGCGCGACTAGACGACATGAGCCGAGATGGCGCCGCGGCAGCAGGATTTGATCGGAGACAGATAGGACATCGCTATCTTTATTGGCTGGTAGATGTCAAGAACGACTACGCTACAGCTGCTCAGCTAGCTGCTTCCTTCCTTGGGGATACGGACAATGAAGCTGATGTCAAGGAGTGGGAGGATTTTGTCTTCCTGTTTGTGGAGCGCAGCAAGCTGTCGACAATCATTCCGCACGTGCCTCTCGAGAAGCCTCAATTAAGCGCGCTGGTCTATGATGTCATCCTGGCACACTTTCTCAGAACGGACGTGGAGAGGCTGCTTGTCACGATCAGTGCCTGGCCTGCCCACATCTATACCTACACTGCAGTAGTGATGGCTATCGAGGATCGGCTGAAGCGCGCAATAGCGGGCTATACGGATCAAACTAAGGGCGATCACGCTACTCTGATGGAATGCTTGGTGCAATTGTTTTTGCTGCATCGCCAACCGGCCCGCGCGTTGCCTTACTTCTTGCGATTGCGCAAGCCTGGCGTCTTCGCCCTTATCCGAGACAATAATCTTTTCACGGCAGTGCAAGACCAAGCCCTTTTGCTTGTGCAATTTGACCAACAATTAGTCGACGCTGAGCAGGAATCCGAGAAGCTGCCCTCAGGTCAGGATGCGAAGCTGCTCTCAAAGCTCCAACATCACGCCTCGCTCAAACAGGAAGCGTCTGCCGTGGCTTCTGGCGCGCCGCCAAGCACTTCCTCCTCGCGCCACGGCGCCGCGATCAGCCTTCTCGTCGATCACACACACTCCATCCCCGTATACCGCGTCAGCACTCAGCTTCGGGCAGAACCTCGATACCTCTACATGTATCTCGATGCGCTGTTCGATCAAGATCCACAAATGGTCGTAGAGTATTCTGACGAGCTCGTCTCGCTCTACGCCGAGTATGATGCCGACAAACTCATGCCCTTCCTACGGGCAATGAGCAGCTACTACTCCTTCGAAAAGTCTTACGATGTCTGCTCGAGGCACGATTACGTACCCGAGATGGTCTTTCTACTGGGTCGCGTAGGAGACAACAAGAAGGCTCTGAACCTGATCATTTCGCGTCTGGGGGATGTGGAGCGAGCCATCGAGTTTGCCAAGGAGCAGAACGACGACGAGTTGTGGGAGGATGTGTTGGAGTACAGCGAGACTAGACCAGCTTTCATCAGAGGCTTGTTGGAGAATGTTGGTGCGGAGATCGACCCCATTCGACTTATCAGAAGGATCAAGAACGGGCTAGAGGTACCGGGCCTGAAACCTGCTCTGATCAAGATCTTGTCGGACTTTAATCTGCAAGTGTCTCTGCTGGAGGGATCTGCTGCAGTCCTTGAACGAGACAGGCAGGCCTTCGCGCAAGAGCTCAACGCAGGTCAGACGCAGCCGCGCTTTTTCGAGGGCACCATGTCGGCCTGCGCTGCTTGTGGCAAGCAATTGTTGAGGATTCCCGAGGAACCATCGGAACGGAGCGGCGCCTTGCCCGTCATCCTATTCTTGTGTCGCCACGCCTACCATCTTCAATGTCTCGCCGCGGAAAACCGGCTGCCACAAAGGAGAAGCTCAGCAAAGGAGCAGACCGACCTTCCTCCCATCTCGGCGACGCAAGCCTTTTTGAAGACGTCCGTCACCAATCTGAATTCCACCTCTGGCAAAGCAGCGATGAAACGGGCGGAGCGCGGCGAAGGTGGATTGCTGGAGCAGGTGGAGAAGCGTTCGCAGGGCGTCAGATCTTACGCTGCTAAGCTCCGCGTTGTCCTCCGAGACGGCTGCCCGATCTGCCAGGCCGAAGCACAAAGGTACACCTTTGCATCTTGAATAACGGGGTCTCCTTTTTGCGTTGCGTGGAATAGGGATGGAAAGCAATGTCCGTGTCGTTCCTAGTAGCAGCATTTGCTATCACTATACCATCACGATTGGCAATCAATGCAGTGCCGTATGCGCAAAGTTCCCGAGATGAAAGACGTTCTCCGCTTGTGCTGGTAGCTGACGGAAGCTGACCCGAGCCATGTGGACCGATGGGACGCATGGTGTGGCCCAGGATACTTGGCCCGATTGAGATCGGCTAGGTCTTGAGAAAGTCAATCTGCCAAACAAGAGCAACTTGTTTTTGATCTTGAGGATATTTTGACGAGGCAAAACGTCACCTCTGAGCCCGCGGGCGCCTCTCAGGATGAGCGATTTTACTGCTCATGAACCGTGACGGCAGCTTGCGGGCGCGATCAGCGACCCAGCCAGAAAGAGCCCATCAACGGCATCAGCAACTGCAGGCCAACGTGCACGTGTGAGGAGGTAGCAGACGAGAGTCGATGATGTATCGTGACATGCATTGCGATGAGGGAGAACAGAGCAAATCTCTTGCCACAAGCTTTCAAGCTACCAGCTACAAAAGGAAAGGGGATAGAGGCAATGGTCGAACTTGATCAGCTTGACAATCGAGCGGCGCTTTGAGCCCTTCCGCAACTCACAAGGAGCACCATCCAATGAAAGCTTGACACAAGTTTTCGAGCGACGTGGCCTCCTGCGAAATAGTGTCAACGAGATGAGCCTGGCTGACAAGCTCGTGATACGACGCATCAGACTCACCTGCACCAGACGCTGTATTTGAGCTGGAACAGAGAGTGCGACGTTTGGATTGAAATCACGACCATTTAGCTTGTTCTGAATGCGTCGCACCACTTCCAGCGCTTTCACGTTTCGCACGTCTCCCGGTTGATTCGAGCGAAGCTGGCCAGCAGCCTCGTGCTCGCTCGCATCTGGCGCCTTGAGCTCGTTCGCTTCGTCCGTCACGAGACGCCAAGAAATGAGCGGATCGTGAACGAAAGCCTCCAGCAACGCCATGATGGCCTCCTTGTTGTCTCTCAGGACCCTCATGACGTTTTCAGAAGTGACCTTGAAGGTTCCTTTGACACCACCCACTTCCATAGCGTTGACAAGCATGCGGGTCAGACGGAAGGGCACCTTCTCTGGGAATTTTGGTCGAGCACAGGCGATCTCGAAACAATCGCCAAAGTCGATATGGACAATCTGGCCCGTGACGCGGTCGAGCAGCAAGTTGGAAGGATGGCGATCTCCAAGTCCCAAAATGTAGCCTGCCACTGATGTGGTTGCCAGTGAGCGGCTGTACGCAGTCCGCCTTTCCAGCCATGATTCCGAAGAGCGCGACTTGAGCCACAAGACGCGATACAAGTCTTGACCGGGCGTATTGTCCAGAGCGTACTCGAATACCTCCACTTTCTGCATCAACATCAAGTTGTCGTAATCCGGAGCCATCTGAAGCATCAGTCGATGTTCGATGTTGAGAAGAATCTTGTGTTGCTCGCGATACTCTTTGATGAGGACATGCAGGGTGTCCGTCTGCTCCACCCAACCGATCATACCCGTATTGGGACTGAGAGGGATGATTGGGAAGCGACGAATGCCAAGCCTTCTCTTGTATGACTCGGAATCTGTAGAGAGCAGTGAGTTGACTAGACCAAAGAGCTGCATGACGCGCTCGTCCTGACGCAAGTCTTCGTGTCCCTTGAGGAGATACTGGTAAGTCCTACCATCGCTGCCCCTCATCTTCAATCGCCTGGGTCTCTGCTTGGAAATGATGACCAAAACGACCTGCTCGAATTGGGTGATGCGGACGATAGGCTGTCCGCTCTGGTATGTGCCCGGTACCGCGAGTTCGAGATCGCGCAACGCTAGCAGCTTCGGAGACACGTACTGCAGGTCCAACTGTACCGAATTTGTGGCAGGAAGCTGTTTGGAGATGCGGCGGAAGACGTGATAATACAGATCCCATGCTTGGTTGAGGTCCGTAACGTCGCCAAATTGGCGGTATCTCCGACCGCACTCGCGCGCTTCGTTCAAATCACGGCCGTACGTTTGAGCGAAGGATGTCTCTCGAAGCGTCTCGGGACCCTTCTCCAATGCTTCATGCAGAGGTTCCAGCACCGCAAACATTGCATCCGTCTTTTGCTCAGTGTAGTATAATCGCGACGCCTCTTCTAGCCCTTCGTGCCAGAGTTCGTGCCACAGGATAGCAACCCGGATGAGCTCGTTTGAGATGAGCATGGCTTGCTCCACCAATAGCGGGCTGTGTTCGCGCAGATTCTCCATGATGCCCATCGCCGCCTTGATTCGCATCGAGCTCGGCGACTTGGCAGCCACGGTCAATGGATAGACTAGTGCTTGCGGATGCGCCGCGCCTACATCCGACAGCAAGAGCTGGATCAACCTGCGCACCCTAGGGCTCGGCGAATTGATCCTAGCAATGATTTGGGGGATTACGCTCAGCCACGTATCGACGACGACGCTGCTGAAGCCTTCCTGAACCGCATCCGCGACGTTCTCTTGGTAGCCGTAATTGAACCACAATGTCAGTAGGCGCAAAGTGTCCTGCAGGGAGTTGCCTTGTGCAAGAGCGATTGATCGGAAAAAGCCCTGTACGGATGGCACGATGCTTGCAGCTATCATCTGAGTGGAGACCGTTTGTCCATGCCTCTCGTGCGACGAGATGACGTCGAAATTTGCCAGCGCCCACGCGTGCCAGGCCTTGTACCAGTTCCTGTCTAGCTGCGTGGCGCGCCGGTAAGAATCGATGACGTCACAAGTCGTGTCGTTGACCCAGTCCTCGTGCAGCGCAGCTTGCCATTCTCCCTGTTTGAAGTAGCATCGAGCAAGCAACTTCGCAAAGTCGTTGAGTCGAGGAATGGCATTCCAGTCTTGGCTGAACGCAGTCGCATGCTCGTCGCCAGGATGCAAGCCGAGGTCCTCCGACAAGCTGGCGGTAAAGGTGCGGAGGTACTCCAGGCTTTCCTCTCGCGCGCCCGATGCCCACATGAATTTGAGATGGGCGTAAATGACTGGCGGCGGGGCTTTGGGACCCATGGCAGCTGCAGCAATGCCGTCTGCCGATTCTGCGTCGCCGATCTCGGGGCCGAGCAAAGAGTTGAGCGTCTTCTCTGCAAGCACCATCCGGCCATTCTTGCGACAAAGATTGGTAAATTTGATCCACGTATCTGTATCGTCCCTCGGCGTGAGCACCACGCTGCGGACCGAGAGAATGCGTTGCCAGACTTCGACCTCGGGCTGACAACCTTTCAGTCGCTTCATCCATGTCGCCCGCATCGTCGCCTGCCTGTCAGGCTGATCCTTGAATTCCGTCTTATAAGTCAAGGCTTCCTCGAGTTCCGACAGCATCTGCGTTCGGACCATAAGGTCATATGCACGCGTGTAGCTCTCCGTGACCAGAGCCGTCAGTTCAGAGTCGAGCGCATCACGAGCACGCGTGACGTGCTTGAGGGCGCTTCCACGGAAGCCGCGATGCACAGCCAGAATTGCTCTGAAGAAGGACCTTTCGGAAGAGTCGGACCGCATGGACGATGTGAAGTCTTCCATGTCGTTCCAAGCCCCTCGCGACCACTCCGCTGCGGCACCAAGCGGGGCCATCTGACGGCGCTCTTCGCTAGTCGCATTGGGCCAGCGCAATTTGACAAGATCCGACAATCTGCTCCACTCTCCCAAGGCGTGCAAGCATCTCATCTGGCCGAATGCAGTCTCAGCTTCGACTTTGACATCGCCAGGTGCAGCAGCCGCACGCCTGTCGTAAGCTGCCAGTGCCTCTTCCCACCTGTGCAATTTCTCGTACCACTCTTCGTGGTGAGTGATGTCCAGGTGCTCGCGGGCGTACGTGAGCGTTCCAAAAGCCGCATCGCTCTGCTGGAGCTTGGTGTTGATATCGATGAGCGATTCAATAGTGTGCGGCGATGCGTCGCTGAGGAACTCGGCTTCTTTGTAGTGCAGCGCCTTGGCGTACGAGTGGAATTTGTACGCGCGGTCGCCTAGCAGGCGAATGTTGATCGGCAGAGCCTTGTCGTCGCGCTCCATAAATTCTGCAAGGTTGAGAAGGAGATGAATGACCTGATCAGGAATGTCCGCAGCGTCGAAAGCTCCTTCGATGGATTTCACAAGGTCATCCTGGTAGCTATCGTACAGCTCTGTCCAGCAGGAGACGAACGCAGTGTTGAACAGGTCGAGCGCAAGTGGTTGATAGACATCCGCCAGCGATCGACAAGCTCGCATTGCGTGTGAAGGCGATTCGCGCATGAATTCGACGGCCACGCGTCGAAGCCACTCTCTCCAGTCATCGCTAGTAGAAACTTTGCTCGTGTCCCAAGCTTGCTTCAGGTGCTGTTGATTGACAGTCATCTTTGTAGCTTCGGCCAAAGGCGCCACCTCTGCAGGCCCATCGAGCGCTCGATCGCCCGGACCGTATTCTGGTGGCAACCGTTCCCCATTCAGGATACAGGTTGCGAGCTGATCGTACTTGGCGTGGGTGATACCGCGCTGCAACAGCGTCTTCGCTACCACTGGAATAAAGTTGGCATAGGCAGCGCCAAGTTGGAAGGCGAGCGCAGCCAGCGTGTCCATCGCTGCGCCCCGCAGCTCGACATTGCCCGAGCTGAGCACGCGCACAAGGGGATGAATCACGCGCGAGGCGTGATCGCAAAAATTGACCTTGGCACTGAGCTGACCAACGGTGACGATAGCGGACCTGCGAAGAAGAACCGAAGCTTCCGGCCGCTCGAACATCTTGACGACTACTGGCAAGACTAGACCGAGGTACTCGTCGATGCTGGAGCCGAACACGACAAATGCGTGAAGAATGCGCAGAAAGGTCGGTTGGCGCTTGGCCGTGATCTCCCCGTCGAGCGTTTGGATGAGCTGAGGTAAAAGGATCGGCAGGTATGTCTTGAACTCGCCCTCCAGCGCATTCGCTACCGCTTCGACCAGAGACACGATGGTGAGTTGAATGCTAGAATTCGGGTTCCAATTCTCTTGCACGAGATCGAAGATGTCTTTGAGGTGATTCCGCACGTGCTGCTTGATGATGGAGATCAAGATGCCCAACTGCTGCCAGTAGAACTCAGTGCCTGCGGCAGAAAAGACCGTGTCAATGCAAGCCTCATCGGTCACGAAGCATGCTGCAGCTCCCTTCAACTCCTCTCACCCGTGGTGCATGTCCGAATGACGTTAAGAAAAGCAGGTATAATCTGCGGCAAAAACGTGACGCATTTGAGGCCTTGAGTCTTGAAGACGTACATGATCGCTTCGATGACGGCATGGTGATGCGTCGAAAGCGACGGGTCGCGCAAAATGGTGATGAGGGCATCGATGGCGACATTCTGCGCATAGTCGTCGCTGCTCGTGCCAATAGCCATGGCCAGTTCGAATAGGTCCGTGCCTGCAGCTTTGCCAGCCTCGGGCACTCCATCTTCGGTTGTCTTTTCCAAAAGCTGCAAGGGACACCAGGAATGGCTTTGTCAGCACCTCGCGCGCGCACCGTGGGACGACGGCTCCGCGACGGCTCCTCCGGCCCGATCCACTCACCTTGTAGCGGTAGGGATCCAGAGCGCCCAAGATGCCCATCACTCTGATCGTCTCCCGCCGCACTGCAGGAGCGGACTCTGTCTTGAGGATGCGAATGACGGTTGCCAGCAGGCTTCTGTACTTGAGATATGGATCCACGACATGCCCCGTATTGGACGCGACGAGGCCGAGCGTGCGCAAAGCAGCATCGCGCTTGACGGTAGAAGCGTGCGCAGATTGAGCAGAGAGCTGCTCGATGGCAAGCTTCATCAGCTGATCCACATGACCTGCAAGGTCTTCGCCCCCCACCCTCGCAAGTTCCCCCAGGCACTCCATCACCCGAGCAGCTACCCCAGGGCTGGGATCATTCGCTTTGGGAAGCAGCACCTCCAACATCGGTAGGGCGTACGATTTGACCAATCTCTGAGAAGCTCTCACGACGTCTGTGAGCAGCTTGGCTGCTTCTTCCTTGTGCCGGCTGACGGTAGCATACTCCAGTTCTGTGAGGAGTTGGACCAGAGCTTTGCGCAGAGATGGCATGACATACGCCGGATTGTGCCTGGCAAGTCGACCAATCGTAGCGATGGCCACTTCTCGCACCGCAAAGTCTTCGTCGTTGAGTGCGATGAACAGCAGCCGTATGTACTCGGCTTGCGCAAGATGCTGATCGAAGCGCTCATCCAGGGCAGACAGCACAGTCCTGCGGAGGTTCGCTTCTGGATCGGCGATGCCTACCGTCATCAGCTTGTCCAGCACATCGTTGACGACCTCGATGGCGTGAAGACTAGTCTGGAAGCAGATTGGGTCGTCACCAAAGAGCCGCGCGCAGGTCGTTGCTGCCGCCTTGCGAACGTCCGCCTCGTCGTCCTCCAAGTATGGAAGCGTGCAACTCCTCACGAACTCGTTTAGGATATGACCTGAGGTCAACGCAGTCACACGACTGGTTCAGCACCTCCATCAATCACGATGCTGTCGCGCCGTTGATAGACTCACCTGTCAAGTCGAAATGGCCCAAAGTCTGCAGCGCTACTATGATCGTCTCGCTACTCTTTGACCCGCCGTTGAGCTGCTGATTGGCAATCACGCCTCCGTGTGCGGGCAAACGACTGCTGGAGGGTGCTCCAAGAGGTCTGTACGGCACACCGACCAGCGTCAGAGAAAGCATGTCGAGGAGTCGGTCTACACAGCGTCAAGCAGCAGCAGCGAGTGGTCAGAGACGGTCAGCAGACTGGCCACGTTGAGTCCGTGACCACGCAATTTGTTCGACACTTACGCTGAATGACACCAAGAAGCGGCGGTACAGACTTTACAATCTTCTCCAGCGCTTGAACCAGGGGAGCGCTGAGCCCGCATGCAAACATGAGATCGAGTAGCTCGTGCATGTACTTGGTCAGAAGCGTTCCTACAGCAATTGCGAGGTGTCCTATGCAAAAGAAGATTGGCGCCTCGGGCGTTGCGTTCTTGCGACCGCGAGATTGCAGACCGTCCTTGATACAGACGAGAATTTGTTCGATGTAGGGTCGCATCTTAGATCCCATGGCTGCAGCGACCAATCCGATCGCTTCGAATGCTGCAGGACGGGAAATCGTCGAAAATAACTTAGTAAGGCAGCTCTCCACAAAGACATGCGCTGCCCATATTCCTCACTTTGCGTAACAGATTCTCGTGAAGGTCGGTCCCTTTCGCGCCTCAACTGCTCCGTGAGCAGCGCCATCACTGTCCCCAGATGGTGTTCAGCAAAATATGCCGGGTCATAGTCTGCAAGGACGGGCACCAAATTGGTGATGGTGCGCCGTATGAGAGGATCGCGATGTTTATGCAGGCGCGAGACAAGCTCGCAAGCTCTGCCGAATCGAGTGGACATGAACTAGGCGAATCGGAGCGCAGCGAAGCGCAGCGAAGCGCAGCGAAGCGCAAGAAGTAAGTCTTGCGCTGAGATCCGCCTCGCAGTTCCAGAGGCTCACCGATTTAGAGTGCTGCAACAATTCTTGCACCGCCAACAGGCTGCCGTGGATGCCCTCGACCGTATTCATCTTCAGGCCGTGCTCTGCCTCTTCGTAGATGGACTCGTACGCCTTGCCGCCCATCTGTTTCTCGCGCTGGGCGATGATTTGCAAGCAAGCACCCATCGCCTCGGCCGCGCCTTCCCGAACAAGGACCTGAAAGTCGAGACCATGCGCGTCAGGTGTTGAGCTCTGCCAGCACATTCGGACGTGCGAGCCGACACACCTTTGCATCTCTGAGCGCTACCCATATCCTCTCGAGCACTCTGGGCACGTATGCGAGGAAGAGCAGGGGAACATTGATGGCCATCTCGCGAATGATGAGTACCGCCGCATACCTTCCGGATTCGCTGCGATCGCCAGCTAATGAAATCGGATGCCAGCGGGGGGAGAAAAGTCTGTTTGAGTTCATGCGCAAATAGCAAGAGCGCTGCACGCCAATGGATTGAGGGCATGCACTCACCTTGCAAGAAGTCGAGAGCACGCATGACTTCAAATTCGATGAATTGGTCTCCCAGCGAGTGACCACCGTACTTGGACACTCTGCCCAGAGCTTTCGAAGCGGCGACCATCACCTGCGTATCGTTGCATGGCAGATTTGGTTTCAAGTACTGATAGAAACGATACAAGCGCGCACTGTTATCCTCCGACTCCAGATCCGTCAAGGTGTCTGAGGGTGGATAGGAGAGGCGCATCGAGTCAGCCTGGCGCGTAATGATCGACCAATCCACTCGCAGAGTGCCAGCTACCCACCGATGGCGACGATGCCTCCCAGCTTCTCGTGCACATTAGGGCTATGAGTCAGCTCGAAGATGCGTCTGTTGAGATCGTTGTTGAACACCGAAACCGCATCTCCCTTGAGCTCTGAGGCCACAAAGGTGACATGATGGGCCAACTCCTTGCCAGCAGCAATTCGAACATGTTCATCCTTGTTCTTCAGCTTGACGAATATGCGTGCAAGAGCATCGGTCTGTTGAGCTGCTAGCACAGCCATGGCAGCCCCCGTCACCATGTTGGGCGCGTTGCTCGTAGACGGCATTGTACGAGGCAAATTAGGGACATGCAACAGGAGGAATTGAAGGTGCTAAATGCGAGGTGCTTGTGGGCTGGCAGCGCACCTGATGCTCAGTGCAGCCCGTGTGCTCTGCACGCAAGCATTCGCGCCCAGCGAATCAGGCAGCGAATTCGGCTCGAGGTTCTTGTTCGGATGTGGCTGCGATGTGCGCCAGTTGCTGAAGCTCCCCGTCTGGCGTCAGGACGCGGGCGCAGCGAGGTCAATGAGCTCCTCCCCGCGCTGTCGTGTTTGTTGTGCGTTCGGCAGCGTAGCAGTGAGTGAGGTCAAGCGAGTCCCCGCCCGCTCTTTGAATTCGAAGTGGAGAGTGCAATGTAATGCGAGAAGGTGTGCGGCCGAATGTATGAGGTGGCGTCTTGATGCCCAGGCTTGGGTGATTGTGGGAACCACAATCATGAACAGATCGACATGAGTGCGACACGCTACAGCGGGCCCACATGGATGCTTTGATGTGAGGTCGGGGACCAAGCTGCGTTCCATCGCTTGACTTTGACTCTTGACTTCAACTTGTGACCGGCGCGCGGCATATCGCACGGTATACGTAGCTTTTCACGTGACTCGTTTCGAAGCCCACGCGCGGACGCGCCGGACTTTCATATGTCGGGAGTTCCAATCACCGGCGGGCATGCTCGCTCTAGTTCACGCATTGCAGCAACGCGCAGTAGTCAGAGTCTGAGTGCAGGGCGGCATAACCGGTCTCGGCACAGCACTTGATTGTTGCGTGCGCGACGGCGGCTGCATGGAAGGCCAGTGTGAGTGTGAGTGCTGGCGGAAGTCATCAATGAAGCTCGAGCGCGGATTTGATTCGATCCGACCCGACATCCATGTTGTCATGCTGCTGCTAGCACTACATCCTTAAGCGGCGACATCGCTTGGCTCCGTTTGGCTTGTCAGCAGAATCGGCGGTTCGCCACTTTGGTGACGGACTGTTGGAGAACGGGACAAACTGCGGTCATGTCCGACAGCACCGACCAGTAAGGATCAGTTGGTTGCATTTTGTGGATTGGGGTGGGGTGGGCTTTTCGCTGGGGCCATATAAAGCGTCTGCCTCTCTCTCTCTCTCTCTCTCTCTCTCTCTCTCTCTCTCTCTCTCTCTCTCTCTCTCTCTCTCTCTCTCTCTCT